TAGCTTAGTTGGTCTTGAGGTGAATTGAGAAATTTTGGGTTGAAGATTAGGTTCAAAAGGTAGTGATGGTATAGCATGCTGAACAGGCGATTGTGAAATATGAGATGGTGGATATGGGTTTAGGTGTGAAATTCTTTGTGGTTGCATGAAAATTGGGGGCCTAATCTTAAGTGCTTGGAAAGAAGGTTGAAAATGGTCATAAGAAGGATTTAGGTACGAGTTTGGATTCGGGATAGTTTGTAAAAGTTGTTTGAAGCCAGCTAGCTTATTTTTGAAAATCAAACTTTTAAGCTCAGTCATTTGCATGGCTAGTTCACCTATTCCTCTCTTGAGTTCACCCAAACCTTGATCATTGTTCAAATCACCCAATATTTTAGCATGCTCTGGCAAGTGTTGAAACTAACGAGAGCCGATTGACCTTGACTTGACGAAATTGACAACGATCTTTGAGGAGAAATAAACTCAAATCCGTCACTACCTTTAACCATTTCTATCAATTGAGCCATCTGTTTTTTCATCTCTAGAAGCTCAAGCCATAATTCCTCTTGATTCAATTTCAAAGCACTAATCCTTGCTTCCAATTGATCTCTCATTTTCGTCACTCTGATTCCCACCAAGACAGACATTTTATTACAAGAGTTAGATAAAAAAATTCTAGATTACTACCCTTATTGAATGAATATCACAAAAACAATGACACACGAAGTATGAATACATGAATACGATGGCTAAAGAATGTCATGAAATGTATATATGCCTATGACAATGAATTTTTATATGTACAAATGACCCAAATGAAAATTTTTATCAACCATGAATGTGTATGTAAGGAATATTATGTTGCAAGGATAATGGGATATGAAATAAGGAATATTATGTTACAGGGATAGTGGGATATGAAATGCAACGTTTGTTCCATACGGCCCTACCATTCATGAATTTATATGCATGAAATGCAATTACATATTTACATGAATGATGAGATATATTCCTATGACTAATACAGCATACTTGTATGGAATGCATGAACCTATCAAGTGCATGTTATATTTTTACATGAAATGCAATGCTTGTATTATGCCAACCTAATAAACTAATACTACCTTTTATGATGCATATGGGATGGGATACATGTATTATTTTTTATGATGTATGAAATGCAAAAAATGAAACAAAATATAAAAAATTTAATTTTTCTGAAAACCCTTTTTTTGTTTTTGGTTTTTTTTGGCTTGTTGGATAATGTTTAAAAAAATCACTTTATTCTAAAATATTTTATGAAATTGTAAAATTTGAGTAATTACCAAATGAATGAACTACATGCAAAGAGAAAATTTATTTTTTTATAGAAAATGCTTGTCTTTTATCATCCATTTTTGGTTATTTCTATAAAAAGATCGGCAAGGTTCATATAGCTTACGATATGCTGGGTTAAGGTTTATGCGTCTAACGGTTCCCAGACTATTCCTTACATCATCGTTCGTTATAGACTAGTAAGGTTCCCCGATCCTCACCCATTACAGGTTACTAACGGAAAGGGTTCAATCTTAGTAGAAGTGTTTCACTAGCAAATGCGGAAGTTATCACCTCACGAGAGCGTAGCTACTTCACTTCCTCCTAAAAGAAAAAGAGCCCGAGTCTAGAGCTCATGCATGCGAGTAAATATGCAAAGTGTGTGCAAAGTAATGTATTAATTCAAAATAACATGAATAAATCATAAACACAAAATCAAAATAAAATAATAGCTAACAAGCAATTTACTTTATTTATTAACTTGTATGTATATATTTTGAAAATTAAAATAAAGAGAATTAAATTAAATATCAAATAAAACCAATTAAATCCAACAGCTATTATTAGCGCATAACTAAAATTTGGCCTGACTCTTAAAATTTATCAGTGGAATCGCCAAGCTGTCATAATGGTTTTGAGACCACCAGACGTAAGGTGTTTTAAAATCGAAAAAAATAAAATGGAGTCACCATCAATCTTTTTTAGGGTATGATTGGCCACCCAAAAGTTTATCTTTTTAATAAAACTATAAAAACGGGTTTAAAGTTTATCAAAAAGATAAATTTTAATTTACGAAAAATCAGGATGGGTCCGGGAGTCGGTTACGTGTGGAGAAGGATTAGCACCCCCATAATGCTCATAAATTGATACCATTTAATTACACGCTATTTTTTATGTTGGATAAAAGTGGTTTTAATTTGAAATTTAACACTAATTCCCTTCATTTGAAAAAATAAAATTTTTGCTAAAATTTTTATTTAGAAATATTGAAAAAATCTTTAAGTTAAAAAATTATCTTAAAATTCTCCAACATCTAGGTAAAATTTAAAATAACTCTTTTCGTTTAAGATTTAACAAAATAATCCTTAAAATGAAATAACAATCTTTATAAAAAATAATTATTAGTGACTCTCCAACATCTAGACAGAGTACCAAAAATTATTTCTTTCAGAATGTTATTTTTATTTTATTTTATAATATCACAAAAAAAAATTTTCAAAATGTATTATTTTTTTTATATAAAATATTTTATCATCAAATAGTAAAAAAAATTAAAGAGAGAATATTTTAGACAATTATCGATAATAACACGTTAACGTATGTATGCTAATAAATGTCATGTAAAATAAAATGCAATTTAAAAGTTGGATTCTTAAGTATAATGAGACCACCCCGACTCTCCAACATCTAGGCAGAGCTTAGGTGCGACTGTTTATATTTAAAATCCCTATTTACTATTATACTTTTTATTTATTAATCTTATTATTAATGCAAATTAAAAAATCATGTGAAAAGACTTAACAAAGTAAAATTTTCTAAACACTCCATCATCTATGTGACATTCAGGAACAAACTGCTTCAAATGAAATTTTCACAAGTGTTCTTAGGATTTTTAGGATGTTTTGAGTAAGGGATTAGGTAGAAGTTTTCAAGGTTAAGGTTTCAAGATTTTGAAGATTCGGATTTTAAGGGTTTGGATTTAAGTTTTGAGGGTTTTTGTGTTTGATTTTAAGGTATGGAAGGTTTAGGGTTTTGATTTTAGAGTTTGAAGATTTTAGATTTCGGTTTTAAAATTTGAGGTTTGGGGTTTTGATTTAAGGGTTTGGATTTTAAGGGTTTGGATTTTAGGGTTTCGAATTTTAGGGGTTTTAGATTTTAGAGGGTTTAGATTTAACAGATTTTGGATTTTAGGGGTTTTGGACTTTAGGATTTTGAAAATTAAGAATTAGTGTTTAAGGTTTCGTTTTTAAGAAAATACGAATTTCTCTAAAAATCCCCAGCATCTAGGCGAATTTTTGAAGCAAGTTCGATTTTAATGATTTTTGAAAATTAATTAAAAAATTTTTTTATATTTTTTTTACAAAAATTTATTAATAATAATTCCCCAACATCTAGGCAGAATTATTTTGTTTAAAAATATATTTGTTATTCCCTCCAATATCTAGGCAAAAAATAATAATAATAATAATAATAATTATTATTATTATTATTATTATTATTATTATTATTATCTTAAACATTTTTAATATATATTTTTAATTATTATCTTACTTACTTTCATTTTTATTATTATTAAAACAATTAAAAAAATTTATCCTAACAAATTTAAAACTTATCATGCATACATATATAAAAAAATACTTAAAATAACAAAAAATAATAATGTAAACAAAATTAGAAAATTCAAAAAAAAAAATTTTTACCTGAACCAGACCGGTCAACGATGGTTTGGTTGGACTGAAAAAGGTTCGGTTCGATGCGCTGTTCGGTTGAGTCGGTTGAGAAACGGTTCGGACCGGTTCAATCGGTTCACTGACGGTTCGTCCGAATCAGCTGGAGGGTGGCTGAGGCAGGTTGGCGGGTCAATTTACAGGGATCTCGGGTCAGGTTCGATCCACGAGCGGATCCTCTTAAGCTTGAAACGACGTCATTTTGGCCCTATGCTCAAAATGACGTCGTTTTGCTTTTAATGTTTTCTATAAAATTCAATTTTTTTTCAGCTCATTTCACCATTCTCTCAAAAAAAAAATTTCAAAGCTTTTGGGTTCTCTCTGGCCCCGCCGGAATCCGATCCCCGGACTATCGTGCCGGTCGTTGCTTGGGCCACCGCCAGTGGTGGTCGCCGGTGACCAAAATTTTTGAAATCCTCTTGGAAGCTCCTTTCAACGTGATCTTTCCAAATCGGGTCTCCTCTTCTCCGGAAACGACCCCTATCGATGTTGATCGGGATTCAAAGTTTTCTGTTCTTTTAAAAAAAAAAAAAAACTCAAACTAATAACCTTTCTTTTTTTGTTACAGTGATCTCTTTGGCGCTGGGTTTCTCGTCGATTCGACGAGAACTGTGGTTTTTGTTTTATAGTTTTTTTTGTGTTGATTTTCGTAGATCTGTTTGTTTTTTTGTTTGGGTATTTTGGGGGTTGTTTGGGTTTGTGGATTATGATAGTAACCAAATGGGTGTTCGGTCCGAGCCGAACTTCCAAGCAGACTGAAAAAAGTTGTGATTTGGTCCTTTATAAGACTAGGATGATGGTAACAGGTTGAACGTGCACCTAACAAGGTATGGGTGATGGTTCTGAGCAATCAGAATATGATAGGGATAAAGGTATGGTGCAGACAATGGGGTGGGTAGCCAGTAGTGCCGTGCAAGGCACCTAACCCATACCCTCTTTCTTTTGTTTTTTTTTTTATTTTATTTTATATTTTATATTATTATTATTAATAAACAATAACTGAAAATAGTAAATTGGACAAAATCGGTGTCTTGGTATTTCGTAACTTCTATTACTATATAAAAAACCATATAAAGCTGTAGTGCAGCGACATTACAACAAAACAACAAACCTTTTTAGCATAAAAATTGTTCACTTGCGCAATGTTGGAGATCAACTTTAATTGATGAACAGATCTAAGGCTAAGGTAAGCCATTATTAAAAGTAAAACCCAAACTTAGATTAATAAAGATAGTACTACTAGTATAGATAGTAGATCTAAAACGTTAACCCAAAGCCATGCAACTTCTCTTCAGTAATTTGGTCTAGCTTTTCCATCATATGAGGAGTCAAATGATTTTTAGCATCTCCAACCTCACCTCGCCTAAAAAATGCCTTGCAATCCTCACCGGAGGATAACTTCCTAGTTTTGTTCACCTCCAAATTGCTCAAATTATCGAAGCTGCATAGCTTCAATATACCATCCACCGCACCACTCGTTTCTTCTTCTGGGGTAAATGGGCGTCCCAGGAACTGAGCTAGCCTCATCAACTGTGCTTTGGGCTGCTCTTTTATTTCCTCGTACTTCAAGAACAAGACCCTTTGCGGCTTTTCTAAGCTTTCTTTCCAATACCCCAAAACATGGTCCCAAAAGGGTCCACACAAACTCACACCTCTGCTAAACTTATCGAAGGTCTCTTCAAGAGAATTGTCACCCATATTGTTGATTCTCAGCTTGTTTGTGAAGTGCCAAAGTGATACGAAAGTATCCTTTGGGTTCCTGCATAAATACACAAGCTTACAAGCCGAGTTCTTCACAGAATCTGGCAAAGAATTAATGGGTAAGTGAGTGCCAAATAGCCTTGGAGAAGTAAAGGTGGTGAGGTCAGCAACCTGGCTATCAATGTAGAGCCCGAGCTCCAAAAATGGCACAAGAACGTGAGGATTCTCTGCCAGTAAAGGGTGGTTTTCGGGGTTAGGATATTGGACTCGGTTCATCAAGGCAAAAACAATGGCCTTTAACCAGGTTGTTCCTGATTTGGGAGTGGTAACAAGGAGGACATCAGGATCCTGAGCTTGAAAGTGATTTTGGCACGTCAGAACTCCTTGTAACTGACGAGTATTGTGCCAAAAACCCTGATACTGATGGAGATGGCTTGCAACCCAACCTTTCTCAGTTGGTAGTGAGAGTATAAGCTGCCTGCATTCTTGAGTGAGACCCTCTACTTGCAGGTATTTGGGAAGAGAAACAGGAGGTAGATCGTTGGACAAAGAACAAGGTTCAAGTGTGGGCACTGTTATTGCCTTGCTGGCTTGACAGTAGCAATCTTTTTCAGTTGGCATTGAGGATATTAGTTCCTCGCATTGTTGCTTGTGACCCTCTTCTTGTAGGTAATTAGGAAGAGAAACAGGATCAGGTAGAACAGTGGGCAGTGAACAAGATTCAGTGGTAGTCATTGGTTAATGCCCTAATGACTTGTGTTGGCAACCGCTAGTGCTGGGCAGATAGTGATTTATACAAGGTTTTTCAGCACTGTTATATATAGAACAAAATGTTGAAACACTATGAAGGAGTGGTTGGCTCAATCGGCAAATGATCATCTTTTTCAGTGTAAAGGTCTTGGATTCAAGTTTAATTGGTGATTATTTGATTAAATTATCTCAAATGTAAAAATCTTATCTCAGTATAGGGCGCAGGACGACTTATTTATTTTGAATTTTTCTTAAAAAAAAATATTAACAACATAAAATAATCATATGACTTGTTAGTAATGTACTGAGCTTTTAATTTTAATAATCAACCTTTTTTGTTAAATATTCAATGACCAAATTCAAATCCTTACAACTTAATAATTAAAGATACTATGAAACACTGCATGTGATTGCAAAAGCAACCATGTGGGTATAATTATACTGGTAAAAATGAGTTTGGGGTTTGACCACAAATTTTAATTTTTGAGGGGCAATGAATTTTCTTTTATAAAAGACCACATAGATCTCCTTATGGATTAAAAAAAAAAAAAAAGGGAAAAAGGAAAAAGATTAACAACATGTTGATTGTTATGATAAGGTTTTATATCTAGGGGACCAAAATGAAAGAATCTCTTTTGGTGGTTTATCGATTGAATGTACTTGAACCATTTTCAATCTCATTTATTAAAAAAAAAATTCAGCTCATAATTTCCTTTTTTTTTTTTCCAATTAGCTTTGTAATTTCTTTTTGACTATTCAAAAAGAAAAAGAAAAAAAAGCACTTGTAGCATATGAAATTATGAACTAAATCGTGTTGTCATTGTCAAAAATGGATTCATTCCCCTCTTTATTATGGCAACTTTCACAATTTTGCTTTTTTTTTTTATACTTTTTAAATTAAAAAAAATGAAATAGATTTTTAGGCAACAATTGAAATTTTAAGATTTAAAAATGGCCAAAAAAAGTATAATTTAATTTCATATATACTTTCATCATGTTTATTTTTTAATAATACTTAATTTCTAAATAAAATACAAATGTGTTTTTTCTATTATAATATTTTTTATTTTTATTTTTTTAAATAAAATATAGAGCATAAAGTTGCAATCAAACAAAAAAGATATATCTTTTTGAAAATTTAGTAATCTCTTTTTTCTTTTCCAATCTTTTTGCAACATTTATTTAGTGGAATATAATTTCATTTTATAAAAGATTCAAGATGGAAAAAAAAAAATATATATATATATATATATAATATATGGTATGTTCCAAAAGTTGCCTACAACTTGCTTTACTTTTTGTAAAATTAGGGTTTTTTTTTTGGCCTACAATGATTTATTCTACTAATGATATATTATCTAATACATGTTTGTCACCGATATTATTAGAAATTTAATGCCAATACCAAGTTATAAATTTTTTTAATTTTTTTAATATTTAATATTATCACATTTTGATTTAATTTTTTAATAAATTATTTATAAAAGTATTAAATTATACATCTTTAATATTTCGTAATTTTAAGCAATCACTTTCATATTTTTCTCATAAAATCTTCAAATTATGTTTAAAATTATGAAATCAATATAATTGAAAAAAAGTACTTATATTGTATGTCACTCCACTTGGGTTACACTGACGCCCAAAGTAGGAGATTTGAGTATCTTCTTTTTTGACTACCCTAAAGTAGGAGATTTAAGTATTTTTTTTTTTTTACTACCTTCTTTTTTGGCTACCCTAAAGTAGGAGATTTGAGTATCTTTTTTTTTAACTATCCTAAGAAAAAATAAAAGTTATTATCAATATTAAGATTGGCAACCCAACCTGTCTCAGTGGGTTTTGACCTATCTTAATCTCATAAAGTCAATTTTTTTTTAAATTAAATTTTAGGTAAGTTCAAGTAATATTAAAAAAAAAAATCAAGGTCGAGTTTTAGGTAAATTCAACATAACCCGACTCGATATATATATAAAATTTATTTTTAATTAATTATTTAATTTTTATTTATATATTTATATATTTATTTAATTTTATATTTATATTTAAAAAATAATATTTTACATTTAAAAATAATATTTTATTAATTTTAGATCGAGTCAAATATAATTTATATAATATCAAGTTAAGTCAGGTTTGAGTATAAAAAAATAAAAATTCCTCAAGTAGGGTTGGGTTCGAGTTTTATAAATATAAAGTTGGTCAAATTCAAAGCAACATAAACTCATCTCGACCCGACTTATTATCATCCCTAATCAAAACAACATATTAAAGCTATCCCCAAGCAAATTTAAGGGGACATATTGATTAATTAAAATCTAAAATCTAATTGGAATGATATTATTGTTATATATTTTGTCTGTCTTTTTTTTCTAAAATATCTTAAATTTATGTTTTTTTTTACATTTAAAATTTTTATTTTTTATATTTTGAAATTATTGTTTATGAATTTTTTTTACATTAAAAATTATAAAACTTTAATTTTATAAAAAAAAAATTTTAAATTTAATATGAAATATATTAAAGTCGAAACTTTTTTCTTAAACTCCATAAAAATTATTACAACTCAAACAATTTAAGACAAAAAAAAAATTTTATTATTAAGCTGATATGCGCATTTGAGATATATTTAAAGTTAAATGGGTAGTTTAGGTATTATACGTAAAATATATTAAAGCTGTCTCCACCCCGAACAAATATAAGGGTATAGTTGGATTAATTAAAGCCTAATTGAAAAAACATTTCTCATTCATTTTTTTTTCAATTATTTGGATTAAATTAAATATAAGATTTATTGAGTTGACACGTGTACTTGAGATATATTTAAAGTTAAGTGAGTGGTTATGGTATTACATATGCTGTTGAAAATAAAAAAAAATATCTATTAATTTTTGTGTTGATATTTCTAATGTAAAATGTAACATTCCTAATAGTTAATATAAATATTCATATACTTATAATACTCAATTTAATACTTATTTTCTTTATTCATTTATTCTTTTAATTTTTCATATTATTATTCTTTAAATATTTTTTATTTATAAATTAAATTATTTAAGTACTAATTACAAATAAAGAGAACCACTTTACAAGTTGCCCTACCGTGTTTGAATGATACACATGTACTTACAAAAAAATCCCTAATTATGCTTGCTCCACTCCTCCAATAAAAAAGAAACTAAAGAAACTTTGAATTTGACGCCCAATCACATCAAAAGTTACTAAACATTGCTTGCTTGACAGCTTTGCTACCTTCTTTTTTTTTCAAATATATTCTCATTTCCATGCTAACTGAGCTATGATTTGCTCCCTAATGTCGGAATGTCACCATTAACATTAATGAAAAGAATTGATTCGACAGTGACAGAACACTATGAGATATCATTATCATCAATTTTTGCTGTGGTAATCAATTATTGTTTAGATAACACGATTTAAAAACACATTCACATGTTTGGCACGTGAGCCTTTTTTTTTTTATTAAATATAAGCTAAATTGATAAAAATAAAAGCATGAGGTTCAAGATAACTCATTTTTCATGGATACTCGGAGAGACAAATTTATCCTTGAGAAATTATGATATCTTATTGGAATTTGTGGGTTACAAAAGTAAAAACAAGGGTGGAATTTGGCATTGCATGAGCTCTTGCATATGGTACAGTGTATATTATTAGTATAATATTATCTCATATTTAATAAATATTTAATTTTTATAATTTTATATTCAAATTAAATCTTTTCACTTACTATCAAATAATTTTAAATTAAATATTTAATATAATATTATAATAAAAATTTCTTTCCGTTGCTACATATTCTTCACCTGAGGCATTTGAGGGATGTCTGGAAGAAGGTGTTGCTTCTTTGCAATTTGCAAAGGGAGGTTGCTGACTGGGAAAATGAGTTCCAATGAGTAAGCTTGGTGGAAAGGCGCTTATTTATAGATAAGAAAAAGTTATGCATGATATGATAATGTAATACGAACATAATATGAATAAAGAATATAAAAATAATTAAATTTTAAATAAAATTAAAAATATATATTTCATATTTTCATATCGATATGAATTTTAATTCATAATTTTTATATAAAATATAATATAAATATATAAATTTTAATATTTTAAATAATAGAAATATAAAAATCGTTAATTCTAATTAAGGATCAACGAGGTAATTAAAATAAAACTTTTAAAATTAAAAGGTATAGCGATTGATCATGTAAATAAAAGATTAAGTGAGAACTGAGAGCTAAGTACTGGAACAAGTGTACATGTCATTTGGTAGCAGAACATTGCTGCTTCTTGAATAATAGGAAACGACATTTATTTTTAAAAAGAAAAATAAAGATAAATTAGGGGGTGGTATCTGAAGTGACAGTGATTGTTTCTCAAACCCATCATCTTTGGCATTGATAGCAACAAATTTGGGATAGCCAACTAAGGTATGGTATCATCTTTGGCATTGATAGCAACAAATATGGGATAGCCAGCTAAGGTATGATTTAGGAGCAAATTAATCATTGTTAAAAAGGAAAGATATGCTGTCAATGAATTGCTATTACCAATATTCCGGCTAAAGCCAATCGGTTTCAAATTTGTTCGAGTTTTAATTACTCGGTTAAAACTCAAGTAAAAATTTTTTGAGTGAATTTCGTAAAATTTTATCTTATTAAAAGTGATTAAATAAAAATTTAAATTAACATTATATCTATCTTTATCTTCATATCAGAACTATTGTCCATGAGAGGGACAACAAGAGTCAATTCCTTGTAAACTAGCATTAATCTCATCAATATTCAAAAGAGTTCCGGTTTGGCAGAATTTGAAGAATGTTGCAGCTTCAACATACTCTTGTACATGCGAAGACACAAGCATAGTGAGTCAACTCAGTTGTTCCACTTTGGCACTAAAGTATAAGAAGAAAAAGATGCCACCCCGGGGGAGTGTGCTCGCCGTAGCTTCCAAAAAGCAGTCCCTTACGACTCTTTCAGGACATATGCTAAATCTATAGTTATCGATCGTTATATAAATAATATTATTAAATATTATATAATTTTATCAAAATTTAATATATTAGTAAAAAAATCATTAAGAGAGTTTTTAAGAAGTTCAGTCTAGTTAAAATTATTATAAAATTTTAATAATTGATAAAAAAATATTTATTAAAAAAGAAATTATGAATTTTAAATTTATATAAAAAATTGTATTTTTATTTTAAATTAGGACATTATAAGATTTTATTTTTTCTCTAAGATTAAAATAGTAAAATTTATTTTTTTCTTAATTTTAAAATTTATATTTTTTAATAATGAGTTTTTTATTACATTAATTAATAAACATTTTTAATAAAATTCTATTTCTTATAATTTTTTTAAAATTTCAATCTACTTCCTTTAAAAATCAATTTCATAAAAATTAGATAATTTTTGAGAAATTCATTTTCTATAAATTATAAAATTTATCAAATATAAATATTTAAAATTTTATTAAAAAATAATTAAATAATTTTACTTAAAAAAATTTTTAAAAATAGGGTGGGAAGAAAAAAAAATCATCCGGAAATAAAAATAAAACGCTCACTTAAAAAAAAAAAAAGCTTAAAACGATGTCGTTCCATGCCCATTTTAGAAAACGATGCAGCCAAGATCTGGCGGCGCCGCCTAGAAGTCACAGTTCACGCATCTGTCTCGTCAAAACCTCGTTGGCTTCGGCAACCGGTGGGCCCAGCTGCTTCTGTTTCTGTGGGCCCAGCGGCGCAGCCAAAACCTTCACAATTCACACGGCTGTCTCACCTCTATAAATTCTGCAACTCTGACGCGAAAAATTGTTTGTAAAACCCTAAAAATAGGAAAAAATGGTGATAATACTTGTAGCTACAACCACCGATCCCGCCTCAATTAACCCGGCCGCCGCCCTCTTAGCCTTGCCCGGTTGGCTTCCCGGTCCTTCTTTGTTCCAGGTCCTTCATTATCATTTCTTGATCACGTAATTAACGAAAAAAATGATCAATCTTTGCCATGATTTTGTTTTACTCATTTATAGTTGATTTTTATTTTAGGACATAAAAAGCTTTACTAATCAAAACGTGCGGTTACTACAACACGACAAAGGCATTGTCGACGAGGACGATTTGGATCGCCGATGGGAAGAAGCCACCGGCGAGACTGTCGATGAGCTTATTTTCTTCAGTAAACACACCGCCGTTTCCAACCGCCCTGCTCTAACTGTCCACCCAATCGGTATTTTTTTTGGTAAAAAATGACTCTTTTCTTATCAATTCTTGAGGTCAAATAACAAGGTTGTTACTTTGTGTGTGTGTATTTGTGTGGAATGTAGGGGTGCCTCATTTGCGTGAAGGTGACGTTCTGCCGCAGGGTGGGAAGCCCGGTTGGGCGGCGCTGCCTGACCCTAGGATAGGGCCCTGGCTTAGGCTTTTGAAGGAAATTGCTCAGTCTCATAATTTGGTTCCTGAATTTGAGGTCATTTTGTTGATTATTGCTACCATTTTGTTCAATTACCTGTTTTTGTTTCTTATTAGTAGTATAATTTTTTAATTTGATTATAGGTAACTTTGGAGGCTACACACCATGGACCTTTAACAAGCAAACCAACTCTGTTCCTGGAGATTGGTAATGCAATATGTTTTACATTTTTTTTATATGTTAGTAGTTTGGCTAGAGCTTCATTTTTTCACATTCACCTCAAGTTTGCCTTATTTGTCCTAAAATTTGCATCAAAATCATTTATTGAAGGATATGTATGCTGAAATTTGAAAAGAAAAATCAATAGATGAACAAATAAATGGAAAAGCGGCTAGCTTGGTTGATATGCGATGGGATAAATGTTGCATTTTGTTCTAGAAGTTAGGATAAAGTTCTTATGTGATTAGCATTTCGGAGTTTCTTTAAAGTGGTTCACACAGCGAATCTTTGCCAGTCAGGTTTGGATTGTTCTTTTAGGATGAGTATGTATTTAGTATACCTGTAGATGTACATGAACTGAGGTGTAAAATTGATTTGTGGATATGTATTTACCAAGCATGCATTTCATTTTTTATGCATTGTCTAGTCATCAAGTGTGAGATCATCATTTACATTACCCTCATCATGTGACTCTTTTGCTTTTAAATAGATTGCTACCAAAAGGAAGAACAGTTTACGTTTCAGTGTTTACTTGACTGAAGCTGGAAGAGTCGTTTAAGTTGTTTTATATTTTGACACTTAATTTTTTGTCTGCTTGATGTTGATGACCTTCCTGTAATGCAATATAATAGAGCTCCTGTCATGGATTTCTGCAATTGGTGTTTAGAATTTAATTACTTTCCTTTTTCTCTATGTTTAATATGCTTTCTTGTGGTTGATATAGGCAGTACAGATGAGTACTGGAAGAGGCAAGATGCTGCTCAAGTCATGGCTCTAGTTGAGTAGATATTTATCAAATTTTCTGTTTCATGATTAGTCATTACCACACCCCAATTGTTATCATGCCTTTGTTGTTTTTATTTTTCTTTTCTGGGATATTCACGGCATTTTAGTGAACTTATTTATGTTCAATGCTGGTTTTAACCTCCCAACTTAGTTAGTCCATACAACAAACTTAGATGGTTGAACATGGATAACATTTTTTATATTTTCAGTATGATGCATTTAATTTATGCACTTTATACTTTCAATATGATGCATTTAATTTATGCACCAAGTAAAATAGATATATTATTAGAAGTGATAGGCTTTGTTCCCTAACTTCTCCTGTTTCTGCTTGAAGTTAGTTTGGGAAGGACTTGGGCTTGGAGGTGGTGATGCAGTCGGAAACTGGGGCAGGTACTAGCCAAATAACTTCCATAAAAATCATTAGGCTTTTCTCGGTACTCCCATTACTATTTTTGTTTTGCTTAAACTCAGTCATGGTCAAAGATTTCTATCCTGATAATCTTATTGGTGAATAAGCAGTTATTTTGCCTTATTTTCTGATATTCCCCTTTTGTTTGGGTTTTTGGAAACAAAGAGTTTCTCATTCATGATAATATGCCTTGCATTAATAACAACTTGGTGTTTATAAATTAATGATATTCAAGGGAGAATGATAAAGCCAAAGTGCTTCTCGCAATTGGTGGTGGACATTATGCTCCTCGACACATGGATATAGTCAGGTAAGCAACAGTTATCATTAGCTTTTTTTATCCATGCACACTTTTCTTGAAATGTCTTCTTGCTACCACATATTTCCTGTTGTGCTAAACTTATCAACATGCCTCTTAAGTTTTTTTTCTCCTCCTATTTTCAAGGAAAAAGATAAGATGTTTGAAAGAGGTTTTGTGAACTATTAATAACCTTTTTTTGTATGTAAACTACTAACTGCAGAAAAGATGGTGTTTGGGTTGGCCACGTTCTTTCCTCATATTCTTTGCCAATGGAAGATCCAAGTCAGTCAAAAGTTAATGGAAGTACAGATGGTATTGGTGGAACGTGGAGACAATCAATTAAAGTTGCATATGAGGCTACAAAATCAGCTTTCCCCGGCGGGGAAGTTTTGGCGCATCTTGATCACAAGTAAGTTGATAAATGTTTTACATGAACTCATGGCTCTATGTTTTCAGTTATATGTTGTACTATTAATCTAGAAATATGTTCATGCATTTGGCTATAGTTAGAGGCAATTAAGGACTCATAGAGATTGTGTGGTTGTTCATGGAGATGGAGATGAACGAAGAACCAATTAAGTATTTGGGTGGTTGCTCATGGAGACTGAGATGAACAAAGTTTTTTTATCAAATAAATAGACACTTTTCTGCTGACACTTATAGGAACTGTTGCAATAAGAAAAAAAAAATGGGGGGGAGAGTGGGTGGAAGGGTGGTTTGGAATGTGAGCAGGAATAGAGGCAATTATGCCTTAGTTTCCCTTTGGGGCACTGGTATATTTCAAAGTTGCAAAAAACATCTTAAAACTACAATTCAGCTTTTGGGATTACCATCGAATGCCAGTTTTGCTACAGATCATGTCAAAGTTGTGAATAACATCTTAAAGTTACATCAGTGATGCCATTTGGGATTTGATTCAAGTGGATTGTTGAAGGGTTTTTTGTAGAGATTCTAGATTCAAGTTATAGAGCAGTTCCCTTATAGACACACTTGCATAAACCTTATTGGTTCTACATTGTTTTAAAGACTCAGTTCTCCATTTGAGAATGGATTGTTAAAGTTTCAAATTGCAAAAATAGGGTACATAGTTACTCCTGGATTCATTTTTCCTTGGTCACTTGGAACATTTTCCAGTGACTGCTTGAGATAGTGGCCTCTAAATGATTGTTGAAACCCAGTCCCCTCTGCTCTCTGCACCTTTATTTGTGTTGACAACTGTTGGAAGTTAATAAGGGGATAAAAGAAAATAAGAAGTCAAAAATCAGTAATAGAGTCTTTAAATGTGCCAATAATTGTCTGCTATCTTTTCAGCCATGAATTATTATCTGCTATAAGTTTTCCTGCTTGAGCACATCTTTTATGTACATTGCCGCTTGATGCTTTTTTCTGGTTTCAGGAGTTTCAAGAGCTGGCAGAAAAATGCAATTACTGCATTTTTAGGTGAGCAGAACATTAAAATTGGCAAGCCAAATGATTTCATTTGATTGGTGTTGGTTTTTGGATGGTCCCCAGCAATAACTGTGCTAGGGATTTTTTCCGATGCAGAAGATTTAATTAATACAGAATCTAGCCAATAGGTATTCAGTAGCATCTGAGCAATTTTGGAATGTTTTTACCACAATAAAGGACAAATAACACAGTTGAACAGCCTGCGTGAGGATATGATCACAAAAGGCACTGCTGATACATAAATGATTTATGCTTCGTATTTGTTTATCAAATCTTGTTTTACTTTGTTCACTTGTTGTTACAGGCAGTTGAATGAAATTGTGACAAGTAGTTAAGAAGTTTATTGTTTATACCCTGCTGCATTTATTGCTGATCTTAGAGTTTGGAGATCATGGGCGCATTTTCTATATTTTAAAAAAGCAGCATCTTTTGCCTATCATCATATATTTTCCTTGGTGGAAAGAATACAGTAGCATGGAGATTCTAAAAAGAATTATAGGTGTTGAAATTTAAATCCGGATATCACCTCGTAAAGTAGTTGCATAAATTGATTGAGATAAGTTCTAGATTCATATCAACGTACATTTTTGAAGCCTGGTTCACAAAGCTCATTCCCTTCTTGTGAAGGACAGTGTGAAATAGCTACATTTTCCTTTAAAATCTTGCTACTAACATTTAATACCATCTCATATTGGTTTCATCCTGGACTCCATGCCCTTGGAGAGTCTTCCAAACCCTAACTATAAGTCAGTCCAATCTCCAACAAATGTTAAAATCTCACTTGATTCAAGCCCTCAACCCAATTGGCAGCCAAGGGATTTACAAGCCAGAGAAAATCAGCATTTTCTTATACATGACCATAGCCTTTCATGTTCTCAGTGCTTGCTATTGCTTTCAATTCGTCTCTTTGATTCAAAATACCATACAAAATCTGTATTATATATATATATATGAATCGTTCTTACAATTTTTTATCATTTCTGTTTTTGACTAAACAAAGAAGTGGCTTAAAGCATGCTTCTTTCGAGCCAAAACTGATTTGGCCATTATGTTCAACTTGCATAATTTGCCAACATTCCTTGGGCTGTCAAGAACCAACCCAAGGGCTACCAACCCACCACTCCTCCATCATTGACTTCATTGGAACCGTTGGATCAAGCACGACGTCATCGGGAGGTTTGGATATGAACATCCAACCAAAACAAACAGAACCGTGGGTGCCGAACATATTACCTTGGAAGCAGGTGACAATAAAATCTGGCTTTCTCAATAAAAATCCAAAAAAACCCATAACCCAACAAGAAAAAAGAATTAGAACCATCTGAATTGGCCGACCAAGTCCCCTCCAAGAAATGGGTTTTTGTCCATTTGTCAATTTAATTTGTTGAAAATGAATGAGACACAACACGTAAGGTCGAAGAATTCAGCCGATTTTGTCCCCCAACACGGCCTCACTTGTCCAATTCACGCAAGGGAGATTGTGTCATCTTGGCTGTGTTTTGTCGTTTTGGATTCTTTTTTTTTTTTCTTCACATGGGTTTTAGTGCTTCACAATATTTGCAATTGCGGATTAAGCTCAATCATCTTCTTTTTCTTTTAAATAATAATAACTTTGAAAACCTATGAAATTAAATTCTGACAAGAATCGGTGCATGTGAAAACTGTTACGAGATTTCACTTGGGATCCCCATGCAAGAAACCTTCTTTGTTATTTTTTTTTTGGGTCTTTGCTAGGTTCAAACCCCCTCTTTCAAGCCACTAGAAAATAGAGATCAATCAAGTAAATAATATTTAATAATGAGTGGAATATTTTAAGAACTGAGTCAGGCACTCAGCCAAGAACCAAGGGACAATGCTCGAAAGATAAACGATGTGCTTAGTGCCTCCTCCTCTGTTTTGGATTTTTGAAATTTTTTATACATTATAAGATAAGGAAGAATATATGTCCTAAAACAAAGATAGGACAATTGAATTTAGTTTAAATCATGAATCAAAAAGTACGTTGGGGAAAAGAGATTTAGGTTTCCATTGGGGTATCTCATTTACTAAAATTCGAGATTTTATTTAGAATTTTTTTTCAATTTAAGGACCACATACATGAGTTGATTAATTTATTTATTTCTTTGTTATCAAAATTTTTTTTATTGAATTCAAAATTTAATTCAATTAATTTATATTTATTTTTAAAAAATAATATTTAATAAATTTAAATTTTAAATCTCAACATTAATGCCTCTCGACTTATCTCAAGTCACAACTAATTTTGTAAAAAAAAAATCTTTAATACAAAAGACTATCGGTATAAAAATAATAATAAATGATTATATCTATATTAAAAAATAAATTAAAAGAAATGATGGTGCCATCTACATGTACCATTTTTTCTCTTGATTCCATTTTCATGGTTAGGGAAATCTTGGTTTGGTAGCTCACCATGTTTGTTGACATTGTTTGATTGTACAAGGTTGCTCCCTTCTTGGATAAAGAAACAAAGTAGTTATAAGAGTAAGTTATCTGCACAACTAGGTCTCCATTCCAAGGAAGTTAGTTTGAACTCAACTTCATATTGACAAAACAAATGTTACCTACTTTACCAACTTGAATAGTCCAAAAGCTAAGCATAAGAAAGAATTGGACAACTTGGGATTATTCATAAATAGTTGCTTGCCACATGATAAGGAAATCATAGCAACATGAATGAGAAATGAATATTCCTTTTATATCTTAATAATGTAATTAATTATAATTGATAATTTAAAATATGATACAATGACACGACATAAATATAATATAACATAAATTATGAATGTAATATAGTTTAAAAATTTAACAATAATTATATCTAGATTTAACAAAACAAAAAATATATATTTCATACTTTCATGTGAACATAAATTAAATACATAATTTTTATATAAAATACGATATAAATATAAAAATCGTTAGATTTATAATTAATAAATAAAAATTATGTACATTAAATTAATATATATCTAACATTTTGATGAGATAATGCTCGTGAAATATCATGTTCGTACATATATATATATATAAAGGGATTCAATTATACCAGCGCAAAACTAAATATTTTAATGTTGAAATCATTTAAAAAGCTATTTAGCTTTTTCAATACATAAATATGTTTGGTTTTTAATATTATCTAAATTACACATGAGATTTTGACAAATCACTTAGTAATATTATAAAAATCAATAAAATAATGTATTTATAAATTATAATAATAATTATTATTGGAAAAAAATTAAAGATGTCACTAGAAATGAAATTAGTTTCAAAATTAAAAGATATATATTTGTTTGAATTAAAATCCAAAATTTTGATTTTCCATACCAAGAAAAAAAATTTTGTTTCTTTAATTTAATCATATTTTTACGTGTGTTGCTGTTCAAAATGGTCTTAAATTGATTCCAATTATTCAAAAAAATTATATATTTTTTATCTACCATCTTTATTAGGAAATTTCATCAAATAAAAAATCAATTTTACAAATTTTAAAAATTTTTTGAGTACATATTGAGCAAGCATATGGAGAGTCCAAGGATTTAGTGGACCAGTGAGATAGTGACACGTAACAGATACAAAATAGTACGGCAATCAAAAGTGTACCTAATTGTACCTCAACATCCCTGAAATCCGATGGTATCATTCGTCCTTTTGTCCTGAACTGACAAAATAATAACAAAAAGGTTCTACGTTTCTGTAGCCGCACGCTACCATTTCCCCCTAAACGGGGATACACGTGTCACCCAACCGATCCTGGGACGGCTAAAACATGTGTTGCCGATCCCCAAAAGGTGTTAACGACGAGCTTCTATCCACTGCCCCACACTTACTTTCAACAACTTTACACCCACCCCTCATTTACCATAAAATTAAAACATGTCACTTTTTTTAAACTACATACGCCATTTTTAATGAAAGTTTTATTAGAAACATGAAAAAAAAATAATCTCAAGCAATACTTAAAATTTTACCTATGATGCTATTAAAAAATTTTTAATTATAATTTTAATAATTTAATATGTTATGATTTAAGAATTTCAATAATATATGATTCCATAATTTTTGTTAATTTTATTAGTAAAATTATTATAATTTTAACGTGTTGCTTTAGTAAATATTCCCTTTTTCTCTTTTTTTTGTTTATTTTTTATTTTTGAGATATCTCAAAATTATGCCTTTTTTTAGCATTTAAAACTCTTACTTTTTATATTTAAAATTATTTTTATGATTTTTTTACTTTTTGATATTAAAAATTATGAAATATTAATTTTGTAAAAAATAAAATTTAATATTACATTAATTAAAATTAATTTTTTTTCTTAAATTTCTTAAAAATTAATATATGATAAATATTTTGGAATGAAAGAAATAATACTTATTAAGCTAAGTGGTACAATAGAGTTTTTGGTTTTTTAAGTTATTTTCAGCTATAAAAGCAAATAAAAATTTCTATTTAAAAAATCATAATTAAAAATAATAAATAATTACAAATGTTAAAATTTAAAATTATTAAATAATATTTTATAAAAATAATTATATAAACTTCTTGTTCGTAATTGTTACGTTCAATTAGGCTGGTCGAAAATTTTTAATCAAGTATTTTATTAATTTGTTAAATTTAAAATTATTTCTTAAAAAAAAAGAAGGATGTGTTCCATTTTTGACAAAAAAAATCATGATTATTAAATTCAATCCAACGGCTGATTCCTCGGTTCTATAATGAAAACCGTTGTTGAGGATCATTTCCAAGACAAGAAAGAGAAAGAGAGAGAGAGTTTGACTCGGAAAAAGTGGGGAGGATGAAACTGGACAATGACGGACGCACACGAAAAGAAATCCTAAAATAAAGTAAACAAAAAGACAGCTCGAGATCTCCTCCGACAAACTAACATGTGTACACGACATCATTGTCATCTTCCTCATCGTCACTGGATTCGCGGTTACAGTAAGCGCCCTTTTGTTTTTCTTTCTCCGCCGTTTTTACTACAAAAATCTTAACAAAACGAATAAAAACGTTTTGAGTGCAAGAACAGAACTGAGATTTTCCGACATCATTGTCAGCTTAAAAAAAAAAAGTGAAAAGATAGTTTTTTATTTGGCTTTTTCTTCTCTTGTTTTTGTTGTTGTTGCTGTTTGGTTGGAAAGAAAATTTGGGTCTTTTTTTTCTGAGAAAATGAACAGGTAAAGTGGTGTTATCAGTGTGGGTTACATAGTTCTCAAAATAGGGTGGGGACAATTAATGCTTGTGGGGGTCTCTCAAAAACCCAAAGCAAAAAATAAAAAATAAATAAAGCCGTTTGTTTGGTTTGCCATGGCAATTAATGACAGATGGGTGTTAAGTTTTGAACCTTTTTTATTACAGTTTTCGATAATTGCAACTCATTTATTTCTTTCTCTTTGCTTTGCTCTTCTCTCTGTTGTTAAAAGCCCTCTTAAAACACCCAAAGTTTCTTCTCTCTGTTATTCAAAGTTGGGGTTTTGAGCTTTGATTTTAAAGATTCTTAATTTTTCTTCCTATTCAAGTAAAAAGAAAGAATGTTTCTTTATTATTTGCTTTGCTTCTTGTAGAAACCCCCAAACTCTAAACCCTTTGTTTCATTTATAACCTTGTTTTTACTTGGCTTTTGCAGTGGAAATTGGTTAAAGTTCATTTTTGAATCACAGAGAAGAAGAAAAAAAGGTACAACTATAATTCATTTTAATTATTTTAATGGCTCTGTTTTTGTATGATTGTATATTTATCTTGGGTTTTTTTAGTTGTTGTGATCTGCTTCAGATCTTTGATATTCTCTCCTTTTGGTTTGTAAAAATGGCTGTGGTTTGGGTTTTTACGGCTCTGTTTTTGGTGCATATAATTGGATAATTTTTTGTTTTCTATGATAATAAATGAGCTTGGATTACATTACATGGTTCTTCTTCTGATCTGGTTTATATACTTTCAGCAGTGGTTTCATTTTGGCTTTGCTTTTCTTGGCTTCTTTTTTAATCTTTGAAGATCATCTAGTCTTAGGGTGATGGCTGCTTGGTTCATATCATTCCTCTAATCCTCATTTGACTTCATGTGTTTGTATGCTTGGCACAATCTTTCATGGCAAAATCCGTTTTCTATTTGCTTGAAACTTCAATAATTGCAAGTTTGTTGCTGATCTTACTTGTCCTGCATTTCATGGGCAGAGTAGCTCTCAAATGCCATATGCTGTATGGTTCAAGATATCACTCTTACTAACCACAAACCAACCAATGTGTAACATGAAACTTGGTAATAACACCATTTCTAATTTTCCTTCTCTTCATCTTGGTTTCTATGTCTGTCTCTGCCTCTCTGGCACACGCACCTCTATTATTTTATGTTTAATTTAGGAGGAGGATTGATTACTGCACTGTTTTTTCTAAACTCGACTGCATGAACATGCTTAACGTGGCTACTAAATGGTTTCGAATGTGTTGGTCTGCATTTTTCATCTTTCAGATGTTACTGTCTTGTGAATGTTTTCTGCCAGCTACATTCAATCATTTACATGTGAAAATTACGGTGTTTATTGGTTATTTTTATGTACTCGTTGATCATTCGACTATACGCTACAAGAGTGACTCAAAGCCTTATTCCTTCTTAGCTGACGCTAAACGTTTTGAGAACAAAGAAAAGCCTCAGGATTCCACTGGACTGAATGCCGTAGGAATTGTGAAGGAACATCAGAATGCAGTCATGCATGATATAAAGGGCCATGATGGGGATTCTGATCCCTCAGTATATCTAGAGAATATAAGAGATAAATGGCCAGCATCAAAACTTGATTATTCTATGACTGTAATTGACTTTGCCGATGGTAATGCAAAGGCAATCGGAGATTTTGTGACATCAAATTCTCATTCTATGAAGAATATGGATTCATTTCAGGACTCAGTTTTTTATTTGGACAAAAGTGTGATGGAATGTGAGTTGCCTGAATTGGTAGTTTGCTATAAAGAGAGTACATATCATGTTGTCAAGGATATCTGTGCTGATGAGGGAGTTCCAACACAGGACAAGTTCTTGTTTGACAGTGGCATGGATGAGAAGAGTGATTGCAACTTTCTGCCGTCTGAAAAGGATCAAGATGGTAAGCTGATGAAGGAAAAATTGGTGATTGATATGTCCATGCAAGATGTTTCCATGTCTCCAGAAGAAAATCATTCTGGCAAGGGTACTGACAATGAACCTAACAAGCAAATTCCAAATCGATGTGATTCTAAGGATTTGATGCTAAAAAGGGAAATGAAGGATGATGCAATGAAAATAATCACAGATGACGTCTCCAAAGAGCTGTTTACCCTTGGAGAGTTATTTTCAGTTAAAGAATTAAGCACTGTGAACTCCAAATCTGTGTCTTCCGATTGCAAAAGTGATGGAATCAAACTACAATCTTTTCAGGTAAACTTATCTTGGTCAAAGTTACTAAAATTTCATATGTACTGTACCCAAATTCCTTGTAATAACAATATGGATTCACCTGTATTTTCAAGGAAATTTACATTTTATTACCTCCTATTTTTCTTCATTCCTGTTTGAGTTTACCAGCAAAGGCACCTTGTTTTCTATATGTTTCCCATAATGAATGGACCTTTATGCCAAATGTAAAACTAGAAGAAAAATCATGGTAATTTTATTTTCCATCAGAATGGCAATATTTAAGTTAGAAATCTATGAATATCTGACAAGTATCCTGATTGTTGAAGATAGTTCCTATTAGGGGTTCAGGAGAGAGGGTTCACATCTTAGGAAGTAACATGACGTATTTTGATTTGTATACAGAACTCAACCGAAAAGGAAGTCATGGTGGCACCCACTTTGGTTTCTGAAGTTGAAGAATCAAAAAATAGCAGTGAGGAGGCAATTCTATCTGCTTCTGCATTGGTCTCAGCAGCTGAAGAATCAGACAGTGGGAAAGGGGAAGCTACCCAGATCAGTGCTGCTCAGGCCTCTGCTTCTGAGGAATCAACCAGCAGCAGCCTTGTCAATGAGGTATCTTACGATGGTAAACTGGAGACAGGTAGCATCACATTTGACTTTGATTCTTCTGCACCAACAAGCAGCAAAGATGAGTGTCTCCACAATATTGACAGGAAACCTCTTGAGACCGGAAGCACAACCAAGCTTGAAGATACAGTTGATCAGCCTTTTTCAAACAATCTTCAATGTGGAAATGGAGAGTCCAGTTTCTCTGCCTCGGGGCCTGTAACAGGTCTGATAAGTTACTCTGGGCCCATAGCATATTCTGGCAGTCTTTCTCTTAGATCAGATAGCAGCACAACGAGCACTCGTTCCTTTGCCTTCCCTATGTAATTTGCTGGCAAACTATTTGTTTCTTGCTCCTAACTTCTCCTTTTATATCCAATTCATCACTAATAATTAACTGTTTTGATTTTATTTTTTCCTCTATGCAGATTGCAGTCTGAATGGAATAGTAGTCCGATAAGAATGGCAAAAGCTGACCGGAGACATTACTGGAAGCCTAGGTGTTGGAGGCAGGCCCTCCTTTGCTGTAGATTCTGAAAAGTTCTATTCAATCCATTGGTTATACAAATTTATTATTTTTGTTTATCAAGTTATATACCTCATCGCCATTTCTCCCGCTTTGCATGTAACGTGCAGTAGGTTTTAGAATGTCATACTTCGTATTCCTTTTTGGTTTTCACTTTCTTGTTCATAATATCAGCTTATATCAGTTAAAGATAGTTGTTTTCTTACTCTTGCCTCGACCTTTCCTGTTTACAATATCAGCCACTTTGCTAAAGCCACTTCATTCCAAGAACAAATTGCATTGTTCATGTAATGGAACTGAATCTTAGGTGATGCAGTGTAATGTTCCCACTGCCATGATCCTGCTTTTGTCCAAATTAAGGGCTGTAGGAAGTGAGAACATAAGTACAGATGTAGTTCAACGTGAAGCTGGATAAGCTAGACTTGACTACATGTCTGAGAGGTTGGCCCCTTGATGATACCTAGAGGCTAGATCTACCTTCTTGTGGGGTTATTGCAGCCTGCAGGAGAGCAGATGCGGGACAGAAATCAAATGAGACAAAGCTGAGCACTGACTGCAATCTTTATTTCTCTTGGTAATGCTTGCAAACAAGTTGGTATAAATTATAAATGACCCTAAAATTAATGCTAACATTCAATAAAATTTCATGCAACTTGGGCAAATGCCAGACAGGATTTCAATGTTTTCCAATTCCATGGCATCGATGACTAAGTTTTTCTACCATATTTCTATGAATATTAAGGAAGAAAAGAAGACTATGACCAGATTTTAGCAAATTATATTCAAGATTGTTTGCACTCAAAAGGTTAAAGTATTGGGGATCTAATTGGAAAACTGAGAGCAGCAAGAAAGAAACATTAAAGCAAAGTTCATTTGATCTTATATGGATTAATTATTTAAAAAATTGGATTCAAAATTTTTTTTTTCAAATCAAAGAAAAAAAAACCTTCGTCGAAGTTGAACTCACAGGCTCATAGCTGTTATACTTTTTTGTTGGTCAAACATTCTGGCTCCTTGTACGCTATTCTTGTCCTTGTTTTTTCATTTCTTCCCTGGATTTACTACACATGCACGTGTATTGTCTTTGAAAAACGAAGGGCACTGTCTCATCCCTGTTTCCAAGTAATTACTACATTCGACTGGGTTGGGTATGTATGTTCTTCAGTACATTTTCTGCACAGTTTAGTGCCATGTTTGGTACGGACCAAAGACAAGAAAATGAATCTTGTTATGCAGGGACAGATTCAGGATTTATGTTCAATATAAAAATATAAAAATATAAATTAACTCAAATGCATAAAAAACAATTTGTTTATATACAAAAATAACATATTATTATTATTTTTATGGGTTTCTTAATGGGAAATTAAACTTTTCAAGCATTATCTCTTTCGTTAGGATGATAGTTTAAAATATTTTTTCATAACTTTAGATACAATAAAAATCATCTAGATCTAATTAAACGTGAACTTGTTTTGTAAAATGTTATCTGTCATTATTATTAATTTCGGATGATTCTTTTCAAATTGATTTTCTTTTAATAAGATATTTCTTTATAACTAATTAAATTAAAAAGTTAGTTTATACAATTTCTAAGAAATAAGAAAATAATGTTGTAGTTTATATTGGATATTGAAATTTAATTATGCAAACAAAATCAACATGCATATTTTATTATGTATTTTGAATTTTAATTAAATTATATAATTTTATATATAAAAAATAATTTCATAAAAATTAAATTATTTCATTGATCAACTTAAGAAAGTAAAACATTATTATATCTTAATCCACTTATAATATAAATATAAATATAAATAAATCATAAATTAAGCTCCAAATCAAATTATTTACTAATACAAAAAAATTTAAATAGTAAACAAATATTATATCACATAAAAAATGATAATAAATACAAAGAAAAAAATCCAAAAAAAAGTAATTACTTAAATATATTGATGGAAGAAAAAAAAATGTTCACTCTTTAATTTGTTTCTTTGGCTTATTGGCTTTTCTTTGTCTTCTTGTTATTTTTCTACTTCTATTCTCTTGGATGAAGTAAAAATTATAGGTGAAGTAGGAAGAAGATCATTTTTTATTTACTTTTATTATTTTTCAAATGAAATGATGGTCTTTGAATAAAAAATTATTTATAAATGTTTATTTTATTTATATTTACACATGTGACCCTATTATTTTTGTAAAATAAATAATTTATATTGCAATTATAGTTTTGTTCTTTCAAACATTTATAGGAGTATCATATATATTTTATTTTATTTTCATTTTTAGTGGGGGCAAACTATAAAAGAATTAAATTTTTGAAAAATTTTTGTAATAATTTTTAAGGGATACTGGGGGAAACTGCTCCCACTGCCTCCATTGTAGATCCATCCCTGCTGTTATGGTTTAGTCTTTACTTGTTCAATTTTCTTTTTCGCAAAAGACAAACAGAAGGAAGAAATTTTGATTTTTTGCCTAGCCCCCCTTTGGCATAATAGCAACATAAGATAATCTTCAAGGTTACATTTTTATGGGAAATCCTACTTCAAATATATGCCATCGCCCCTGGACTGCGGTTCATTTAGATCTTTCAATTACTTTCTTGATCTCCCATTAGGCAGAAGGACTCAACAACAAATATATGAGCTGGCCTGCAACTTTTTAATAAGAATGCTAAGAACATTGAATTAAATCTCGGAGTTTAGCTGATTGGATCATGCATCCACCGTTAAGAGGCGTGGTAACTATATCCCTATATTTATTATAATAAAAGAAAACCAAGGGTCCTACTACCTTGCTTGTTGACAAAAAACCAACCCAAATGGTGTGAAGCCTCTTAAATGCTTTGGAACTCTGCATTATTGTGCTTTGTGTCTGTTCTCTTTTGTCAGTTTCTCTCCCTCTCTTTTCCTCTTTGTCTATGGGGCTTTGGTTGATATAAAAACAACCCACACTCAGAAAATTTGAAAGCTGTAGTCATACAAAAAAAATAAAAAATAAAACTTCAATGAAGCTGATAGTCTTCATAGCTGTGCTTTGTTTTAGCTACTTTGCATTGCAAAAACCTTGTTCTTCCCTGCAAATCCAGCTGCACTCATCAAATGGACAAGGTAAACTATACATAAAGGTCTCGTTGTCTCTTTTCTTTTTCATTATTTTATGAGTTTAAATGCTTTTGATCAGGAGCAGCAAAAGGAGTTCAGCTTTCTCCCCACACACTGCCAAGGAAGCTCAGATTCACTGAGGAAGTAGCAGTAAGAACCAACCCAGAAAAGACACAACCTTTAATATAACAAAATTACCATCTCTTTCTTACATTCATATGCCTTTTGTTCTTGAACCAGGTTAAAGGAAATGAAGCTCAACAATCAATTTCAAACACCAAGCTGAAAGAAGATATTTCAGGTGACATCCCATTCAAGCTCTTTGTTTTGCATTTTTTTTTTTTCTTTTGTATTTTGTAGATAGAACAGAACAAAACCTGGGGTTGAACAATTGTACTGATTAAACATTGAGAATATTGGACAGGCAAAGCATACCCGAAAGAGCGAGAAACAAAGCATGGAAGTCGAGGCACAAGGCAAGAATGGATGGAGGGAGGGCCCGACATTTCACAATATTTTACAACGGATTATTCCCATGTAAGAAGACGAAGTCCCATACATAACAAGTCATTGCTGCTTGGTCCTTGAAACCTGGGGGAGATGAGAGTTCCTGCTGCCTGCTGCTTTCATGTCCCCAAGAGTACAGATCAAACTTTTAGGATCACAATTTTGTTAACACCGAGAAAAAAACCGTTGTGAAAGTCGAAAAATTAAAAAATAGATATTATTTGATTCGGATTAATTTTTTTTATCTGATTTAGATTAAATTTATTATATTAAATTTGAATCAAAGATGAAAAATAAAAAAAAAATAAATCAAGCTATATATATTTTTTAAATTTTATATATTTTTTAAATTTTTATCAAAATCTATTTAAATATATTAAAATTTTATATTAAAATAATATATAAAATTAAAAATTAATAAATCAAATCAAATTAATAAAATTTAATTCGATTCAATTCAAATTAAATAAAAATTCAATTCAAACTCAAATTGAATTTTAAATTTTATAATATTATATAATATATAAAAATATCAAATTGAATCCGACCCAAATATAACCGTTTAGTACAATACTTTTGTCATTAGGCAAATGAGGAATGTGTCTTCTTTTGTTTCTGTTTATGGCCAGCATTTCTCCTACCAAAAACAAAACCCTCAAAATTGAAATTTTGTAGCATTGTACTAGGCTAGGGAGTTTGAGTTTCTTTGTCAACTTTTCTTGGTAGTCAAATGGGGTTTACAGACAATGGTTTATATGAATTTGGAATTTAATACCATTGGTTTAATAATTATTTTAAAAATATTTAAATTTTAATATCTTATAAAAATAATATATATGAAAAAAAATTATAACCTATGTAAATAATACACATATTAAAAATTAAAAAAAAATATTTTATTTTATTCAAACTTGGAATCATCATATGTTGAGAATTTTTATAAACTTAATTATTTTGTTTCTATACATACATGCTTAATCTATAACATATTAAAATGGGACGTAATTTTTTATTATCTTTATTAGATTTAATAATTTAAAACATAATATAATAATACAATATAAAATAATACAAAAAAATAATATGATTTAAAATTTTAACAAAACTCATATATAAGTTTAATAAAACAAAAAATATATTTTATATTTTTATATTGATATAAATTATAATATGTAATTTTCTCATAAAATATGATACAAATACATAAATTATTAATATTTTATATGACACGAATATATAAATTAACATGTTTAAACTTTATAAACAACACCGATTTATTGTAAAAGTTAGAGATTTTCAATAAAATCTCATAGATGAAAATTTTTCCTTTTTTCCTTTTTTTTTTCATTTTAATCAATTTTTTTATCAATAAAAACTTTCTTAAGTAATGATAATTAATTTATTTTAAATAAAAATAGTTTAACAATTTTTTCTCGAAGTTAATATATATAATTGAATTGACAATAAATTTAAAATATTTAACATCTACTTAAATTAGAATATAAGTTAATCAAAATTTAATTTGATAATAATTAAATATTTTTAAAAATTAATTAAATTTTTATTATTTAATAATTAATAAGTTTTGAGTGAAAGAATATTAAAAATAAATAGGGTAATTAATAATAAACGTAGCAAATTACACATCAAAAAGATATATATATATCAAATCTAAGGGGTAAATAGACTTTTCGCAAATAAGAAACCAGAACTGAAACGACGCCGTTTTGAAAAACAAAGGTACCTAAACAGCAGAGAATAGAGGAAACAAATCCATCCGATCCCAAAATGGAAGATTTATGGAAGCGAGCAAAGTCCTTCGCGGAAGAAGCGGCGAAGAAATCGCAAACCTTAACAACGCCAAACAAAATCGCCGATCTAGTCGCCGAAACAGCCAAGAAGTCCAAGGAGCTTGCTCTGGAAGCCACTAAGAAAGCCGATGAGCTCAAAACCGCCGCTCTCAAACAAGCCGATCAAATCCAAATCCAAAGCATCTCCAAGTCCATTTCCGATATTATCCCTCCCCAACTCTCATCCCTCTCCATTACCTCCTCCGCCTCCACTTCCTCCGATCCTCCACCAATCTCCGATTCGGAGCTCAGGAAGTTTGGTCTCACCAATGATTTGAGAGATTTTGTCAGAGGCTTTACTTCCAGTACTTTCCAGAACTTCCCTTTCCCTGTCCAAGGTAATTTTTTATTTAATTTAATTTCCTTTGTCTTATTTTAATCAATTCTTAAAGTTTTAGATTTTTTGATTAGATGAACCGGATCCGTCCGATGCGACGACTACGGGGTCCAATGTACGGAAGGATCTGAGTGAATGGCAAGAGAGGCATGCTACTCTTGTTCTTACTACTGTTAAGGTAAAAAAATTTACTTTTCATTTTAGATTTTATAGTTTTAAGGCTATGTTTGGCATTGCATTGTAGTTGTGTTTAATGGTAATCGCTGTCTTTGGCCCGGAAAGACAATGCCAAACAAAGTAAAATTTGTGGTAAAGAATTTCGATTGAGATGAGTTTTGCTTCAGTCACAGCTTTTTTGTCATTGTAATTTTCAATTACAATCCAAAAAACCAAACTTGACCTAAGTTTACTCAGAAACGCATGACGCATTTTAGATTTTATGATTTTAAAAATTAATTTATGTAAAACATTTATTCTTTTGCAGGAAATCAAGAAATTAAGATATGAACTGTGTCCGCGTGTGATGAAAGAAAGAAAATTTTGGAGGATATATTTCACTCTTGTTAGCACTCACGTCGCCCCGTAAGTAATTAATTATTATTATTATTATAAGGAGGATTTGAGGTTGGAAATCTTATTTTGATGTAAAGTATTTATATTTTCAGTTATGAGAAGCAGTACATGGAGGGAGTTAAACAGAGAGCAGAGGTAAAAGAGGATAAATCAAAGCAAACACCTGTAGTTGAGACAGAAGAGCTGGAAAATGGTCTGAAACATAAAACTTCCAGCGCATCTGCTGAACAAGATTTGGATACATTTTTGTTGGGAGATTTTGAAGATAGTGATGGGGGTGGAGGTATATTAATAGAAATTATTGCATTGATTGTGGGTTCATAATATCTTATTATGTTTTTTGTTTCCTGCACTTTTGATATTTTGAATTACTTGCTCTTGAAGTAACTTAATGGTTTTAGCTTTTGCGTTGATGACTTTATTTTAAAATTATATGATCAAAAGGATGTTATTCCCAAGAATCATATTAAAGCTTGATCATGCATTGTTTAGCCTAACTTACCATGGCAGATTCAATGTTATATGTTGATCTTGGCAGAGGTGTTTATATTCATGTTAAGACATGCAATACTAGTAACTAATGATGATGTTATTGCAATGATGTGGCAAGCTTCATTGTTCATAGAAAACCATTTACAAATTAATTGGACACAGACAACGTGTTTTTCTATTTTACATGTTTTCCTTAACAATTTTTTACTGTCAATTTATTAATTATTTGCACATCTTTCAGATGATGGTGATGGTGATGCAGATGCTGATGGGAGCTTTGGTGATGATTTTGACAAGATTGAAAATTCTGTAAGCTTGAATGAATTTATACTACCTCTTATTAAGGTTTCCGAACTCCTATCAGCGCTTCCTGTTGCATCCTTTCTAACATGTTTAAGTTTTGCGTCATTTCATTGATGTTTGCTTCAAAGTTCTTTATTCTTTGAATTGGCTGTAACATATGTTTCGAACTTTATGGCCACTTACAGGATGTTGAAGATGAGAAAAGGAATCCAGGGGGAACTAAAGCTTAGAATTGCAGTAAGAGGAAACACATTGGAGTAAAACTTCAAACTTTACTGCTATGGCGAGAAAAAGACTTCAGAAGGGATAGCAGAAGCAGTTGCCGGTTCTCAAAATTTGATTAGTGGTTGGGATTTGGTACTGTGATGTATATGTTTGCTTTATGCAAGAGATATGATTTGCTATTTGTTCATTTGTTTAACTCTATAAACAATTGCAGGTTCTGATACCTGTTTGCCAGGGAATGAGGGGAGGCTAGAACACCATTATTTGCTTTGTACGGGGAATCTCATTCTAGTAATCAAATTGATCTTGTTAATATGCTTCTGAATCTTGAATTTTGTTCATACCATGTCTAAACTTAAAGAAAATTTCAATCTCTTCTTCCGGTTTGGAAGAATGTGGGGAATTTATGAAACATATCGAAACAGCATATTCATTCATTTATTGGAAGCCTCAGAGGAAAGATTTTGTATAATTATCTCGAGATACAACTCGAGACCTTGTGTTGTTTGAGACCCACAACTGATCCCCAAAGAAACAACATATTTAAACCCAATTTGAAGATCTTTGGGTCCTATGGATTCCTGTTTTAATCTTATAAATCCTTAAGAAGCATGTCAGGTTAATTGCATTTGGACAGCATTGAATCTCGATCTTGGGCTCCTGAGTGTAGACGTCAAACAAATGCTGAATTCAAACATTTTCTTTTGGGGTGAGAGGTTCTGAATTTTCTATCAAATTTCACTTTTAGTGCCAAAATTTTCACTAAATTTTGTAACGCCAAGATACAATTCACTGAATTGGAAAGGAAACTGCAATTTTAAAGTGTAGTAATAATGCTAGCAGTAATATATACAACATAAAAAACCAATTAAACTATCTGGTTGATTGCCCCTTTTCCTTGATCGATTCAAGCCGATAAATTGTTAATAGTAAAATATATATATATACCTACTGAAAGTGGCTGCTCTTCGAACCTACACTGCCATGACTCGTCTCTTCCGGTTACTCTGCAACACTTCACTCAAAGCACCCTCTTTCTCCCTTTCTTTCACCTTAATCCCCTCGCTATCCTCTTCGTCTTCCTCTTTCTCTTCAAAATGCAGGGCGGAGCCAATTTCAGTACCTTCTCAACTCCCTCCAGTTCCCAAAAGAGTTCCTTTCACTGTCTCCCTCCACGGTCATTCGTGGCAAGATCCTTACCATTGGATGCGCAACATCAGCGACCCTGATTTCTTGGACTACCTCAACCAAGAAAACTCATATGCTCGTGCTTTCATGGCTGACACTCAAACTCTGCAACGAACTCTGGTCACTGAGATGAAAAACCAGATGCCTGCCAAGGTTTCCACGCCTGTTGAACGTTTTGGACCCTGGTTTGTGCTTTTTAATATGACCCTTTTCATGGTTTTGGCTAATTTTTAGTTTTTGTATATGAAAATTTCCGTCTTTCCTTGACATTTGTGATTATGTCATGTTAGTGTTATTTGGGTTTATGCTACTATTTAAGATTTGGGTTTTCGCTAAGTGATGCAATCTTAACGTCATCTGCTTTAGATGGTGTCAGTTCCATGAATTGGTTGGATGCTTGCTCACTTATTGTTAGTGTAGAAAAGAGTGTCAACTAATGTTAATGTTTCGAAATCTTAGCTAACAAGCATAATATTTTTGAGGTTTGCTTTTGTTTAGTTGAAATAGTCTATTTTTAGTGTTCCAGAAATGAATTGTGAGTTCACTGACATCTTATGCAGGCTGTACTACGAGTACATACCGGAAGGGAAGGAATACCCAGTTTTTTGCAGGAGGTTAGGAACTAAGAGACGTGGTTGGGCGGAAAGGCTTCTCAGCTATGCAAAAGCCGGGTTGGGAAGGGAGGAAATTTTGCTCGACTGGAATGAAGTTGCTGAAAAACATGGCAAGTTTCTTAAAGTGCTTTTTTTTTCTCTTCTTTTCTTTTCTCTTGTATATGTATTGGATGTAGATGTGTGGTCATGGTTATATTATGGTATGCCAACATGATACTATAATGCTTCCTTTCCAAAAGGTATTTTGGCTTACAAGAATTGGAAAATATATTATCTTTTACTGTTAAAACTTTTTGAACGAAAAGAATAGCAAAAACTGAATTTTTCAAAGTAGAAAATGAAAGTTTATAATTCTGTTTATGTGGCCATGGTATGTGTCTTGAAACAAGGCTCCGAAGTTTAGTAACCTTAGCTATTGCTGTACAGCGCAGATATATGGCTAAAAATAAAATAATTTTCTTTGGTGTAGTTGTGCTTGATGTTATTATGTCATCTGTGCAGGTTATGTGCACATAGGCCAGTGCCGAATTTCACCAGATCATAATTTTCTAGCGTACACACTTGATGCTACTGGTGGTGAACTGTTCATGCTTCAAATTAAGGACCTCAGAAATGGATATCTTGTTCCAAGGGCACCAGTTGATCGAGTTGTTAGCTTGGCATGGGCTCAAGATTGCCAGACTTTGTTCTATACAATTGCAGATGAGAATCAACGAGCTTACAGGCACACTTCTTCACTGCATTGCTCTGTCTTTTTGTTAGAGATTGAAATGTTTTCCAACCCATCTTTTTTTCTGCAGGGTTCTTTGCACAAAACTAGGATCAGGTAATACAGATGATATCTTGATATTTACTGAAAGTGATCCTAGCTATTGTGTGGACCTAACAAGTACAAAAGATGGAAAGTTTATAACTGTGAATTCAAATTCAAGGAGTTCATCTGAGGAAGGCATTTACCTTTTCACTACCATTTCCTTTTCGTATGTTTAGATTATTATTATCCGCCAATCTAAAATCCCAATGCATTATTACAGGTTTATGTAGTTGATGCTACTGATCCCTTGAGTGGCTTGCAAAGAGTACACGAGCGTGTTTCCGGCATACAGTATTTTTTGGAACATCATTTTGGTTTCTTTTACATTCTTACAAATGCTCCTATGAAAGAAAATATGATGTGTTCCAGTGATGGCTTTTATTTAGCTAGATGTCAAGCTGGAGATATCCAGTCAACCACTTGGCAGGTTTCGTTTGCTTTTCTATTCGTATCTAGAGAAGTGGATACCTGATTTTCTTTCTTGTTTGTTATCTTACCAACTGAAGCTTCTATTAACACAATCCGCTATTGCACATATTAATACATTTCTGTATGTATATTTTTCCAGAATATTTTCTATGCAAGTAAAGATACCATTTTACAAGATATGGACATTTTTTATGGACATTTGGTGCTTTTTCTCAATAAGAGGGGCTGTCCTATGATATGTTCTGTTGATTTGCCTATCAATGTTGATTGTAAGGTATTGTAATTTCTGCCTTTTGTCTTCTCTTCTGCATGTAGAATTTTGAAATAAATGCACAAGATGAATTAATTCTTGTTGTTTTTGAGCTTTCTGTTCTTGTGCTTTATGGCATTAAGTTTGTTGTAACATATTTTTCATCTTTTAGCAGAGAAACTTAGTTTTCCCTGCCTCTCCTTAAGCAATAAATGAGTTGTGTCAAGGAAATGCTTTTTCATTCTGGGCTTATATTTACACTTTTTCATGTATAGTTGCAGCTTTTTAGTCGGTATGGTTCGATCTTATCTTTACACACCTGCAAGTATGAGAAAAGAATTAAGTATTAGTGAAAGCATATAAAAGAGAACAGGAAAAAAGCAGTGCTTGAAAATTTTCCTGATAATAAATTTTATCATCGTCAATATCTGGATTTGTTGTGATAATCTCTATAATAGCAGTTCCAGTTTTATCATTTAGCCATGAGATAAATTGGTTTTGTATCCTGTTTTTTCTGTTGCTCAGATCCTTTTGTATCTGCCTATTGCTAACCTAAGTGTTGATGTTTACATAATTGATTTTAAGCATGTTTTAACATAATAAAAAAAGGAGAGTAGAGATAATGATGTCTAGTGTAATCATTAATCAAAATACTCAAGTTCGGGAGTATTTCGTTCTACTAATGCCTGTGCTCACTCTGTTTTGTTTTTGATCTGATTGTCTGTTCTCTTTCTTGCTTTGGTATTTATTGATGATAAGTACATTCTAGCTCCTAAAAAGGAAAAAATCCCCAATAACAATGATGAAACTAAACGTCATTGTTTAGTTGGTTTCTGCATGTATGAATGTCATTGTACTAATTTTCAATTTGGCATGAGTTTTTCTGCAGCATCAAATGAGGATTGAGGATCTTGATCCATGGTTTTTTCCTGTGCCATCAAATTCATGTAGTATTCAACCAGGTTCAAACCTTGACTTCGCAAGCTCAGTATACAGAGTGGTGCTGTCTTCTCCAGTGGTAATTTCTTGTGAGCTTGATTTTGATATAGATACTTTACATATCTTGATGGTGTATAACTTTTATTGGTCTTCTCTCTCTTTCTGCTTGATGTCAATATGCTTAACTTGCATCTCTATCCTCACACCTTGTTCCGTTCATTAGCAGTGCAAAGCATAGAGAACTAACTTTCTCAGTTCATTTTTTGGTTTAGTAATATTTAAAGATAAAGCATGACGAAGCTCTTGCAATTCTGATGAGCATAAAAAATCTACCCTTTTCCACTTGAGAAACAAATAGTTACTATCATCTGTGGAGCTTCTATATGCTGATATCAAGAGATTTAAGACTATCAAAACCTTACATCTTTTCAGGTTAACTAAAATGGACCAATTATTGAAGTAGTTATGACCTTCTCAAACTTTTTATAGGTATTGCATTTGATAAATGATAGTATAAACTAGTTGAGACTAGGGAGCCTATTTTGTTTGTTTCTTAGCTCAGTGAGAACTGTGGAATTACGTTTGCTTGATTTGTGATGTGCTGATTTTAGTTACTTGAACAATTACGCTTATCTTGAATTTATTTACCTGTCATTTGGATCTCTAGATGCCTGATGTAATCGTAGACTATGATATGTCAAGACGGATTTTCTCAATTGTCCAACAAGAAGAGGTACTTGGTGTTTCTAGTAATGCTCGATCATGCTCTTTAAGATATGAATTAGATACCCAAGAACACCTTGACAGTGAAAAGGTTGAAAACAACCAAAGTATTGAATTACAAAGATGGAAGGATTTTTCTGAGACTTATTGTTGTGAAAGAAAGGAAGTTATTTCCCATGATGGTGTCAGGGTTCCTCTGACCATTTTGTACTCTCAAAAAGTGTGGAAGAGCAATCAGTCTCCTGGAATTTTATATGGTTATGGAGCTTATGGGGAAGTTCTTGATAAAAGTTGGTGTGTGGACCGTCTAAGTTTACTTGATCGTGGATGGGTGATGGCATTTGCTGATGTAAGGTTGGTAATTTGTTGTCATTCCTGGTATTTTGTTGCATCAAGATTTTGGTCATGCATGTTTCAAAGAATTAGCTGAACATATTCTAGTTTATCAGTCTTGGATGGTGTTACTTGTTATTTCAAACGTTCCATGTGTTTCCTGAACAGGGGGGGTGCTGATGGTGATTCTTCATGGCATAAATCTGGCAGTGGGTTGTTCAAACAAAATTCTATATATGACTTTGTATCATGTGGCAAGTATCTAATTGATGAGGGCTATGTCCATAGAGATCAGCTGAGTGCCATTGGAGTTAGTGCTGGGTGTCTTCTGATAGGGGCAGCTCTCAATATGTACCCTGACCTTTTTCGTGCTGCAATTTTGAAGGTTAGCCTTATTAGAAAAATACCTGACATTTACTGGTATATTATCATGTCCTCACCCAATGGATTATATTAAAATGTTTTGGTTGTACTCTCTTTGTTTTCTTTCCTTTTTCTGTTAGACTGTCATAATAGAGACTTTGTTAATATTTCAACAGGTACCCTTTCTCGATATATTGAACTCGTTGCTGGATCCTAGTTTGCCTCTCACTACATTGGACTATGAAGAATTCGGGAATCCCCAGATAAAGTCTCAATTCGAGTCTATTTTAAGATATTCTCCCTATGAAAATATTCCTCATGGTGGTTGCCACCCTTCAGTTCTTCTTACAGCTTCGTTTAATGACTCAAGGTAAATCCACATTCTCCACTTCTTGAGTTTTTCATTTATAATTGCATGAATGCTTGCTTCCATTTGTGCTGTTTATTTCGTTTTTGTACTGTCATTCAGAAAACTTGTATACCAATTTGTATCTATTTTACTAATGCTGGTCACATTTAATTATATCATCCCAAGGGTTGGAGTTTGGGAAGCTGCCAAGTGGGTGGCCAAAGTACGAGATGGTACATGTTCTTTTTGTTCTCGTTCTGTCATTCTGAAGACAAATATGAGTGGAGGACACTTTGGTGAAGGTGGCCGCTATATTCAGTGTGAGGAAATAGCTTATGAATATGCTTTTCTGGTGAAAGTTATGGGGATTCACATTAATTAGCAAATAAACTTGGTTCTCATCAAAGGTTTTCAACTAACAGGGAAAAGAAAACATTAAGCAGAGGGATTTCTTTCATTTAATCTTTGAATGAGTGATTGATGCTTCTGTTTATTGAAGGACACTCGATTGCTGTTCAGGCAGTGATCTTTATGATGAGAGAGTGGATTCTGCGCAAGCTAAAATTTTTAGAACACTTCATTGGCAGTTCAGGTAGATATCAAATGGTATAAGTGGCTTCTGAGCTGCCTCCATGTGCACCTGCTTTTTTATGCTGAATCTGGTCATGTATACATATTGAGTGACTAATGAAGTAATCTTTTGAGATTTAAAAATGCTGCATTTGCTGTTAATCCTTATTGCACCAGGAAATCTGGCGCCTTTCATTCCAGGATGCACTAGAGTTCCATTTCTCTTTATTATTATCATTATTTCTACAATAAAGCAGTACTTCTCTGATAGTCTTGTCACAACTTGCATTGCCCTTTTTGGCCAATGTACTGGATTTTACTCATTGAAGTGTTCTTGGCTTCCTTCTACAATATTTGTCTGTCACACCATATGCTGCCATGACTGAGCAGAATCCAGAAGTACAAGTACACATAGGAAGAAACTGCAGAAGGAACTGAAAGTTCAACAGTTTTCATGTTCTTTCCGAATGGCAGCAAAATTTTCCAGCTTCTAGCTGTAGAGGATTGTTTTTAAGTTTCTCTCAGGTCTTTTATGTACAAAATAATGGTATCAAATGAATGCTAGCAGCACTGATCCATGTTGGTTAACTGTTCCCTAGCTTAATGTCACAGTAAGCACACTGGTCCAGGTCCAGGGATGTTGACCACGTGTGATTTCAGTTGGAGAACCAGAGAGATCAGACCCAGAGTGCAAGGTATCCATCCGAGATTCAGACGGATTTAAATTTCAAACCTATTAGATCTAATTTAGCTTACGGCAAGCTAAACTCGAACAGGCTGTGCTTTGCTGACCAAAGAAGGAAAATCCCATCTCACCTATATTACTAAAATTTGATTTGGTCACTGACTTCACTGATCTTTTATTTACAAAGAGATCCCAATAGAAAAAAAAATTACAAGAATTGAAATTTAAGTTCTAAATTTATTAAATTGCATGAATCAATTGAGTTTAGATGATATTTTCCTCTCAAGATATCATCACATGTTTAGAGCCGAAAATGATTAAATTAAGAAATGTGGTTGAGCAAGCTTATCAACATCACAATGTACGGTCACCAAAAATTGAAATTTAGCCTCTTACGGAACATGTGCTACATCTTGACAGTGTGAACCTATAATCCATGATCATTTTTATTCCATTAATTTCTTAGCAAATTCAATTAAGTAATTGAATTTAATTCAGTTGGATCATACAATTATTTTTAAAAGATGATATATAATTAATCTAAACTTAAATCTCATTACTTGTAACTTTTTTTTTTTTTTTAGATTGTGACCTTATGTGTAGCAAAAGAAACTAAGTAATTTTATAATTGTCGAGCATTTATATATTTTGATTGATGTCGGTTGAAAATTATAAGAATTTATTATTTTCTTTACTTATAATGATGTACTAAAATTTTGAAAAACACGTGTGCATTTAAATTTAGAAAAAAAAAAAAAAAAGGGAGATGAAAGATATCAAATTTGGTGCCAAAAGTGCCTAGTTTTCTACTATTTTTGGTACAAGTACAATGTAACATATGTCTTGTTTCATATATATTGTATGATTTTCAAGTAGAGAGAATCTATAACAACTGGAGAGCGGAGGGGCTGTGTGGAGATGGATAAACACACCAAAGCTGGTTATGAAGAGTCTGAATTTGTTGATAAAATAGAGGCGAACCAGACCGCTATCGGAGGGATTAAGGCTGAAAAGATGAAAACTATAGCTGCCAGTTAGCCTTCTCCATTATCTTGTATCAAGTTCTGGGTTGTTGTAGTCTTAACCATGCTACTTATTCTTTGGGTCTGTGCCATGCAGTTGGCAACTCTCGATGATAAAATCATGGTGCCAAAATCTGCATTCTATTTTCCATATTCTTTCCTACCTCAAAGTGAGTGCTACCCATTCTTTATAATCTCATGTCTGTTATTCACTTATTCTAGTTAATTAGCACGAAATGATAAAAGAAATTTGAATTAGTCCTTGATTCTCTTGCTTTTCCTTTATATTTTTTTATATAAAAATGCCGCAACCTGAAAATAAAGAAAAGAGTTGCATGTGTTGGGATTTGATCTCCAGAATTGTTAAATCCCACTTGAGTAGCTATAAAAACCGAGTTAAACTTCAGGTTCTTTTTTCTTCGTTAATTCTTAATCCACCTTGAAATTGTTTTAATGGTCTGCAGGGGTTTATAAAAACAATGGATATCTGATTATTTCACCCAATGGAGGATTGAATCAGAAGCGACTTGGGGTGAGTAAACAAAATTTTTTCAATTACTACAATGCTTTTAGATGTTTTCAATTGTCACCTTTTGTAAGTTCTGCTATTGATCATGCTTTATGTCCACTCCTTAGATTTGTGATATGGTTGCCATTGCAAGATATTTAAATGTAACATTTATTGTTCCCAAATTTGCTTATGGCACATATTGGAATGATGCCACGTAAGCCAATTCAATCATTAATCCAATGGGATTTTGAATTGTCCTCCGAAGTTACCTTCATCCTGACTTTCTGATGGCCTAAAATTGTGATTAATCCATTGTTTCATTGCATTGTTGACAGCAAAAATGCTGACAATTTACTTTAAAAAAAAATTGGCAGCACATTTGCAGATATTTTTTATGTGAATCATTTCATTACATCTCTGAGAGATGAGGTTCGCATGCTAAAAGAGCTACCTACAGAGCAGAAGAAAAAAGCTGTCAGAACCACTTTATTATATGTTTCCTATGAGTTTTGGTAGCTTGGAATATTATTATGAGGGGGTTGGTTCCCAAATTTTACATCAAAGATTCTTGTTGTGATTGAACTTAATTTCGATACATTAAACTTTATGTAATCTGATGCGCATTTGTTTAAGGTCCTTCCTCGCATACAGAAGGATGAAATTTTGCTATTTGCTCGAACTGATGCCAGGCTTGCCAACAATGGCCTGCCTGAAGAGCTCCAATAACTGCGCTGTAGAGTAAACTACAAAGCATTAAGATTCACTCGAACCAATTGAGGAAACAGGCAGAAAAATTGTTACAATTTTGAGAGAAAAGGGTACTTTCATGGTTCTTCATCTAAGGTATGAGAAGGATGTATTGGCATTTACCAGCTGCATTGAAGGTTTAACCAAAGAAGAGGCTGCAGAGGTGAAAGAAATGAGGTGAGTCCTGAGAAACCATTCTTTCTATAGCATTAGTATGAAATTTGGTGGATCTAACAATGTCAATATCAGATATGGGTGGAAGCATAAACCGATTAATTTTAAGAGGAAACGAGAACGTGGATCATGCCCTTTAACTCCAGAGGAAACAGCTTTAGTATTCCAGGCATTAGGCATTAATGGGAATACCACAATTTATGTTGCAGCTGGAGAAATATACATGAATGGAAGAGAATGGCAGGCCTGGCAGCAGCTCACCCAAATCTGGTGAGTGGATTTTATAGTATAAAAGAGACGAAATAGATGCTGAAATTTACATCCCGAACCTGTTGGAGAAATATTTTCTCTCAAGGGTGATTGCATGAACTAAATGAACTAAGCTCCTCCTTCATTAAACTAATTATTTCATTAAGAAATAAAAGTGTCCTGTTTTATTCTTGTTGGAAACAGGTTAGAAAAGAGACCATATTAAACCCAGTAGAGCTTGAGCCCTTCCTCAAACATGCAGATCAGATGGCTGCACTGGATTATATTGTTGCAACGGAAAGTGATATTTTCATTCCTACTTTTGCAGGAAACATGGCAAAAGCTGTTGAAGGCCACCGCCGGTATTTACTAATAACTTTCTTAATTATAACTAAAAAACTGTGATTGAACTGTTGCTTGTTTAGTTACATAAAATCATTTGATTACAAGGTATATATTGAGATTCTTTCTCATACTTGTACAGATACTTAGGATTTAAGACAACAATTTCTCTTAATAGGAAGCTCTTGGTTGGTCTGATTGATCAGTACGAGAATGGGACTCTGAGCAGGGACGAATTTTCCCTGCCAGTAAAGAAATCTCACGAGGATCATACCGGAAAACCAGCAAGACGAATGGAGATTCCGGACCATCCCAGACAGGAAGATTATTTCTATTCTAATCCTCAGGAATGTTTGCCACCAACTAGTACTTTTTTTTGGACATTGGTAACACTTTTTAGATAACAATATTTTTAATGCTCTATAATATATTTAAATCAATTCGTATGATACATCCATGATAGTACAGGTAAAGATTGACATCCCCTGAGCAGAAAATCTGGGGAATCAACCCATAAAAACACATAAAAGTAAGGAGAACAGCTCTTACCACGAATGTTAATGATACTAGGACCCCAAAAAAAACCAAAACCTCAGCATTTACAATAACCAAATGAAACTGAAAGAAAGAACAGAAGGACTGACCATGTAAAAATGAAGTTTTAGGAAACGTTGTAGCCAGTCTTATTTCTTCAGCCGCTTTTCAACATGATCAGAATCCTCTCCACCGCTCACATCTCTAAGATGTGTCATTTCCTGATTGGGAGAATTCTGTGGGTCCTGTAAAAATATTGTACACAAATAAGAGACATAACAAGTTTATGCAAGATCTAGTGTATCTTGACTATTTTGTTAAAATAGCTTTAGAAGTTTAGCAAAGAATAAGGAACAATAAACCCTGGAACAGGATCAACCAACAAGAACACCAAGATCTTTCCTTATTTCAGTCATACCTTAACAAATATTCCTGATGTTTGCCCTCTATTTGCACGCTTTCCAAGATCAATCTGCACTGAGATGTTGGCCTGTGACAGATCCAAACCCGCGCTCTGCAGTGCTTGTGTCAGAGAATTCAATAACCTGGTTGACATCAAAATCCATAGACATTATCAAATTATAGTTAAGCACCTTAAACCTACATGGAATTCAACAGCATAAGCAACGGAATTCAACATATGTGCAAAACAAGAGCAATGACGTAAAAGTTTTCAAGGGGAAAATTCCATATGGAATGGAATATATAAACTACACTAGCTAACCATGTAAGTGATGTGCCATACACTTTGAGGACTGAATAAGAAAAAGAAGATATACCCACCCTTGAGAATAGACACTAGAAATGCTAATTGTTCCTCCTTCAATGGTCAGATCCTCCTTTTGGTTCAGTGTATCATTGCTGATAAGACACTCAGTAGATTGAGCATCAGAGATTGGTCTCTGAAGGGGATGCACAAGCACATTATCCACATTTTCACCTTGGATGGGAAGAGGCATTCCCTTGCTTGCCAACTCAGGTTGCCGATCCATAGCTTTGGATGTAGCATCTCTGATAGGATCAGCTTCTACAGGATTCTGTGCACTTGTGATCATTGTGGGGTTGATATTGATGTTATTCTCATCAAACTTCCCAGTAAATGTTGACCCAGGGCCTGAACCAATTTTAATAGTTTGCGGATGACCAACAAAACTCTGAACACGCCAGTGATTTTTTCTCTATTCAAGTATGAAAAAAGTAAGTTACAAAATAAACTGGCACCATGTATAGATGCTTTCTTAAAGACCGAGTAAATTACACACACAAACAATTAACACCTTGAAAATAAGCAAAAAAAAGCAATGACATATAGCAACTATTCTAAGCAATGCCACAGCAAGATATTTATTTCACAGGAATCAATATAAGAACTAGCACCATATAGAAAGATAGCTGCTCTTACACATTAAGTTATTGAAATAATTTATATAAAATTTAAAAATCAGCAATATACAAACAAATAAATCAAGTATATTATCTCATTACTTCAACAAAAATTGCAGCAATGATAAAAAAAATCATTGCTTAAGGAATTTTTGCACCTCTAACGATTTTATGCATTTCAAAGAAACCAGCAATAAACCCCAATAAAATATCACGAAATCATTAACAAGCCTGATGAAACTGAATTTCCCATCAGAAATATAATAATTAAAAGAAAAGCAGAATCTTAGAATACCCAATGGCTTAATTAAGATGATATACACAAATCATCATGAGCATGTTTTTTTAAACCACAAATTAACTGCTTAAGCCACAAAAAAAACATATTATTTAAACCTCATAGAAAAAGAGCATTCAGTAAAAAACATACCCATGGCATTAGTTTCATGGGCTCAGAGCTCCATCCTTGGTATGAACCCTCATATTTTTGAACCTTCGCCTGTAAAAATTGGACATATTCTATCACCTGCAATAGAACATTGCTCCATTCAAGAAATTTTACAAGCAGAATTTCTCAAAAGATAAATTGCTTGATAAATAATATATATGATAATTTTCATTTCCATATTCATGACATACCTCTAGCAGGAATGAAGCCGTATCTCTCTTTTGATCAGTGTTAGGTATTAGATCTCGCAACATTTGAAATCTACGGACATCAGAAAAGTTATCAGCATTACCATTGACAAAGTTAAGCAAGCATCATCAATTCACAACCTCTCTTGTCCATGGTACATCTGCTACAATTCAATAGCACTTAAATTTCGGTTCCAAGCTTTTCACGTACAACAAGCACTTAACTCGGTGCAAGTGAGGAACAAGCAAACACTTTTCAGTCCCCTATTATATCCCACCATACATGACCAATAACATCTAAATTTCAAGCGCCATTTCAAGTTAAACCATTTACAAACTAAACTTAACCATTCTTTTAAACCAGTTCATATGCACCTCCAGCTCCAAATGCAATTAAATAGCTTTACACAAAAGGAGAACTCTTTGATAAAAGTTCAGTAGAATCATCATGGATTCATAATACAGTCAATTAGCTAGACAATCCATTTTTTCAGTCACCAATATTTGCACAACAAACGTAAACCTAAGCCAATAAAGTTCAAAACTTACTTAGACTCAACCTCTCCCTAGCCATTACAATCAATGGTTTATGCAATTACCAGAACTTTAACTTGACAAACATATAGAATTACTTAAAGGGTATGACTGAAACCAGAAGAAAAGAAAAGAAGGTACCTCTCATTAATCTTACTCCTCCTCCTCTGCTCCGTGACAGAGTGTTTTGATCGTATAGCGTTAGCCTTATCACTGTTTCTCCCATCTGCTTCCACTACCCCAGAAAAACAACAAAATATATATAAAACAAACCCAGAACAGAAAGCAAAAAATACCCAGAATTCCAAATTCAACAAAAGAAGAAAAAGGATACACATAGAAATATATATATATATATTGTATGTAAGTATATAAAGAAGAAAAGGAAAAGAGGGATCTGGGGTAAAGAGTGGGATCCAATCTAATATACCTTTGTTGGTGTTGTTGTCATTGGCGTTGACAGACAACGTTTGATTAGAAGAAGGCCTTTGTTTTTTGGAACCAAACTCCTCTTCCTCGTAGTCCTCCTCCTCCTGTTGACTTTCCTTTCCCCTTCTCATTTGTTTTCCAAACCAAAAAAAAAAACTATAAAAAGAACCCAAAATAAAGATTGAAAAAAGAAAGATAATTGGCTAGAATGATACGTAAAAGCAAGGAATTGGAGAAGAAGTGGAAAGGGAAAGTATGGACTTTTGTTGGGTTGGCTGGTTCCCGGCGTGAACAGCAGTGTCCTTGAACTTGTTTCTGTTTCCCTAAGAGGACATGGAGACAGAGATGTGATGTGGGTGAGTTCATGAATTTCCCGTGAGGTTTACGTAAATTTGGCCTTGACTTTTGTTCTTCATGTTATAATCAAATCAATGTAATTGAATTGCAATTTTTTTTTCTTGCCCTTGATTTTCGATTTTGCATACAATCACAGATATCTTCTTTATTTACAATTTTTTTTTTATCTAAGGGATGGAATATTTCACCCAAGCTCAAGCAGCAATAGCTTTAGTTCGGTGATGCGGCAAATCTTAATAAATAAATATTATTATTATTATTATTATCATCGGACTTAAAGTTTTAATGATTTTTATATTTTGCTTCCACTGAAAAAGAAAACAAGTTTAAAGTTTTATGTGTAATTAGACTTGTTAAATAATCAAATTATTTGTTCAAATCTAAATGTCTGTTTAAATTTTTAAAAAATTTAAATAATAAATTAAAATTTATTAAATAAATTTAAGCATAATTTTAAGTTCATTTAAATTTTGAATTGGATTTTGGATAAAAAAATTAAAGTTTGAGTTTGACCCAACCCAATCTAAATAAATTATATATAATTAAAATATTATAATTATATAAATATATATATGAACTTTTATTTTTATATTTTATTTTTAATTTTTTTTAATATTTTATTATATAAATTAAGTTTAATATTTAGATTTAAGATTTACTTTTTTAATTTGGTTCATACTTGAAAAATTTTTGTGATCTCAAATATTAAGACAGATCAAACTTGAATAAGTATATAAATTATTAATACGAAGCATGAGTTTATTCCAACTTGACCTATAAACACTTTTATGTGTAATAAACTCAACACTTTTACTTTTTTTTTTTGTTTTTTCTCCCATTAAATTGTAAAAAAAAATTATTTTACATTATTATTCATACTATATGGTTAATGGAAAATCATGAATATACATAAGAGACGGATGAGACAAACAAGCATTTTTTTTTTAAAGTTAAAGTAAATCATAAATTTCAAAAAATATTTATATTAGATTTATAGATTATTCATTAAAGGAGATGACTAATAGCTAAAATCAAATCTAAATCTTACAAATAAAATATTCAATATTTATCAACTCAATTAACTCTCATTGACTGAAACGAACAAACTTCTCACAAACATCTTATGTTCTCATAATCTTATATAATGTTTTAATCATATCGAAGATGAGTCAATTAATAATTAAATTAATAATTAATAAAAAAATTTATAATTCATTAACGAGCTATTAAATTAATAATTAATAAATATTTATAAACACTCTTAAATCCAATTTCTCATTTTATTATCATAAAACACAATAATTATGAGTAGAGATTATGAAACAAGCTAGCCATTGGAGATATTTTTCTTCATCTTAATTGGTTGAATTTTAAAATGGAGTAGTTGAACCAATTCAATATATCAAAATGGCTTTGGTTGTTAAATAGAGAACATTGCATTATGTTTTATTTCATTAATCATACTCACATGTTTATTCTTAATTGCTCCTCATTGTTAGTTGCTTGTTCTTAAAACAAATGTCATAAGTTCATAATTATCCTTTTTACCCATAACAATAAAAAAAAAAGGCAAAAAGGTTTAATTTCACTTTCATGAAAGCTCTTCTTTTAACATTATCTTAAATTACTTTAGTAGTATAATGTTAACATCAATAATTAAGTGATAAATTTAACATAAAATTTAATCTAATTGATTCATATATTCATTTTAAAATATGATATTCTGTAAGTTTAAAATTTAAATTTTATTATCTATAATCTTGTTATTTATCTCAAATTAAGAATTTTTTTATACGAAAAAAATAATTAAGTTCGACATTTATGTATTTATGTTTTTTATGAAAATTTCAATATTGCCTTGCCCACTATCAAGTGTACGATATGAAAAGATGTTTTTATGCAAATTAGCTACTAATTTACTAAAAAAAAAAAATTCATACGTAAATAAAGTTTTTATGCAAATTAGCTACTAATTTACTAAAAAGAAAATTCATACATAAATAAAGGGTTTTTTTTTATTAGTTTCAAACCATTTTATAATGGAAGGATTTGTTCATAAGTGTATCATTGATTTTCAGCAGGAATTGACAAATTAGACCTTTTGAATCAAATATATATTATTATTATTATAATAGGTATTTTGGAGATTTTAACTAGAAAAAGTGGATAGAAAATTACACTTTAAAACAGCCTTTTTTCAAAGTAAAAGTCTTGGAATTGAGCTGGAATTTGTTGACATTTTTCGTTGAAAATAAAACACATTTTTTTTTTTAATAAATGAGGAAAATGAAAATACAAGTTGTTTAACGTGTTATGGTGGCAGTAACAGTATGCTTTCCCTGTTTCATTACTCTTCAGACAAGACATCACAGGGGGAAATCTGGACAAGTGGGGACCAATCAAATTGATCAAGAAAAGAGATCTTAGAATTGAATTGTAGGGAGGAAAATTGCTGGCTGTCAGACAAAATCATGTTCATCAGTCAAACCTTATAGTAAACAAAGGTTTTTTTTTTCCTTTTTAGAGTTCAGTTATATAATAATAATTATTTTCTTCAATTTCAATTTCTTGAACTTCAAATTGATTCTTTCTTTTCCTTTTTCTTTAGATAAAGATAGTGACATGATCAATGATTTTTGTATTTGATTTAATAAGATTAATTTTTTTTAATTTAAAGGTCGAGTCGATTTTCTTTTAAGATTAAATTTTAGATGACATCACTTCAATCTAGGGATATACAAAAAATATATTTTTTATTATTTATTTAATTATATTTATTATATTAAAAATTATTAATTTAACAAAAATATTATATTAAATTAATTTTGAATCCGATCAATTATATTTTATAAATCTATAAATTAAATAAAAAATATTATTTTAATATTAGACCGAATTCATATATAAATTTTAAGAGATTCAATTGAATAAAAACTTATCCGGACTCTGCTGATTGTCATTTCTACTTGTTCCTACCGTCAATGATTAAAAAAAATCAATAAAAAACAATGTGATGGTGCGTTAAAAATGTTTTTGTATTGATTATTCAAATCAAACCAAAGTTTTATTAAATAACAAATACTTACTAACTGGTCAAGCTGATGAATCATCAATCATAATTTAAAATAAAATCTTCAATTCAAAGGGAAAATTTTTGGATCAATTACAAAACAACACATTTTCTTTGAAAATTTTGTTTATGACTTTGCATCACCCATTGATTTTAAATAAAACAAAGGCAAATGTAGGCTTATTGAGGGACTTAAAAAAAAATTTACCATGAAATTTAAATTACTCAATTTTATTTGATTAAGATATAATTAAATGATTTACGATAAAATGAGATTTGAGTAAAGATTTTGTGTTTAAAAATTTTAAATTAGACATTTTACCTGTTATATAAAAAAATAAAAATATATTCGAAATCGAAAAACCTATTCTTTTTTACTTGTAAACATAAAGAGGATAAATAAAAATTATGTAGAATTATATTAGTATATAATTTTAATTTTTATTCAAATATTTTATTTTTAGGTAGAAATAAAAAAATAATTATTTATTAATAATTGTATGATCTATTGATAAAACGTTAAACTCTTAATTTTAATTATCAAAATTTAATATTTAACAAAATCAAGTGAAAAAATGACAATTATTTTCACTTACATACCTCTTAAATTTGATGTCCAAACATGAGAATTTAAATTATTTTTTCAATTCTGTCATATCCTCTAAAAAAAAAAACTCAATTCAAAGACACTATAATTATATTTGATCATCAACCACAATAAAAAGGGGAACTATTTTGAGTTCTAACTCTCCCACTTGACCATTAAATACCTATTTTTACAAGAATTTAATTTGGAAAGTTTAATGCATCATGGAGGCAAGATCTTACTTTAAATTGCATTGATTTGATTAATTGATTCTGTACCCAAAGGAAAATTTGCATTTTATTTTTTTTTTTTTTCCAATCTTTCATGGATAAACTTTTTTAACAAAGTAAGTTGTAATTTAGAGACAAAAAAAGAAAGAATTTGAAGGTGTTAATATTTAAATTTTAAATTTACTATATGCTATTTATTAAATATGTTTAGTAGGGGTAAGGAAAAAAGGTTGAAAACTAGTTTAAAATCGTAGTGTTCATTTAAATTTTTTTATTTGATTTAAATTAAATTCAACTATTAAACATATATATTAAATTCGGATTAAATTTTGAATTAAGAAATGAAAAATAGAAATTAATTAAATCAAACTGAGTTATATATTTTTATTAGTTTTTATATATGTTTTAAATTTTTATAAAATAAAAATAATTAATTTATTTTAAAAATATTTAAAAATATTAAAAATTTATATTAAAATAATATATAAAAAATAAAAAAATTAATGAATCAAATTAAACTGATAAAATTTAATTAAAGTTAGATCAAATAATATAAAAAATTAGTTTGAATTGAAATCGAATTTTAAAAATTTATAATACTATATATTATTAAAAAAATTAAATCAAATCAAATCTAAATCATTTTCTCCTTTAATGTTTAACATGAAATAATATGGAAAAGTTTATGGAGTAATTGGCCGAGCCAACAAAATTACTTTCAAAAAACTCCATGCGTAAAAATTAAAAAATGGGAGTTAGTGATACTAGGGTTGGTAGCTCAATTTGAGCCCGACAGATTTCGATACTACTCAATCCGATCATATAGGATCAATTTTTTTTTTTAAATTCGAGTTTCGAGTCGAGTCGGATATGATATTATTAAGAGAAAATCAAATTCGAATTTTAAGTAAACTTAACTCGATCCGATATGATATTATATTAAAAATTATTTTTTAATTTTTTATTTATATATAATTATATATTTATATTTAAAAAATAATAATTTATATTTTTAAAAATAATATTTTATCAATTTCGGATTAGATACGATTTATATAATATCATATTTTGTTTGGATTCGGATATAAAAAAATAAAAAAAATCAAATCAAATTGGGTTTAAATTTTTTTATTATAAAATCAGATCGAATTCAAGATGAGCAAAAATCTATTTTGATTCGATTTATTGTCAATCCTAAGTGATCCTTTTAATTTTGGATTGATTAGGGTAAATCAAATTTTTTATTATAATCCAATAAAGATAATATCCAAGATTGCCCCCATTTGTCTTGGTTGGATGTGACAAAAGGTTAGTGCTAGAAAGGGCACATATGTCAATTTATGCAATTTTTCAAGCAGTCCAAAAATAAAATAAATAAATTATCCCTTTTTTGTCGGCCTTTGGACCACATAATCAAATCAAAGCAACAAATCCAAAAACATCCCTTCACAATCAAACAACTCATTTGAATAAAAAACAAATGAGTTGAAGTAATTTCTTATGAGAAAACTTTTTAATAAAAATCTGATTTTTTAAATATTTTAAAGAGTAAAAGTTTATTTATATCAATTAAATGTTATATTTTTTAAATTCTAAAGTAAAATTAAAAATATAACATGTATGTAAGTGGATAGCTTTTCATTTTTTAATTGGATTTTAAAGCTCCCAAAAAAAAATCAATAATATTAATTTTGTAAAGGATGAGAAAATCAGAGGGTTTTTATGCAGCATTCTTCCCTTCCTTATTTTATTATTTTATAAAAATTTATTTTTTTTACTTTTTTATTTATTAAAATTATTTTTTATTATTAAATTTTATAAAAAAATTAATAAAAGTAAGAATGATTAAAAACTTTATATTTGATTAATTTTGATTTATATCTATATAATATTAGTGCATTTAAAAAAAATACAGATTAAATTAAAGTTTGTTTGAAAATAAAATCGAGTTAGAAACGAATTTAAAGTATTTTATTTCATATACATTATCCACATAATACCTCTTTCACTTTTTTTGGGTTTTTTTTAATTTTTATTTTTTATTAAATAAATTTTATAATAAAAAATAAAAATGATAAAATAATTCATAAAATAAATTTTAATTCATTTCGATTCAATTGATGTATTTTTTTAATTCAAAATAATTGAGTTGATTATTGTTTTCAATCGATCTCAAATTAAAATAAAATTTTAAATATTATATCTCGATTTATACAAAAATATATTTATATTCTTTATTTAATTTTATATCAAGATATAATTATAAGATTACTAAAATCGGGCCATTGGCTATCACTGCCCGGGAAAGATGGTGACTCCCTCGAACTCACCTTCACATACAAATCCCAATAGCAAAATCCATCCAACGGCGCTCGCTCTTCCTCTCCTTTCACTTACATCCAACGGTCCACATTCCTCGTTCTAGATCCTTCTATTTTTCCTAAACAAAACAGAGGCCAAAAAAAGAAAAAAACCCAAAAATGATAAAAATTAGCGAGAGAGAGAAAGCAAAGTGATATAGTTAACCAGGGTTAGTTAATTAACCCTAGAAAGGCATGGCAATTGAGTTAAAGAACGTTTCTTCGAGGAAGGAGACAAAGCTGAAAGGTAAAAAGGAAAAGAAAGAAAGAGAAAGATATAGAAAAAGAATGAAGCTTTCCTGTGTTTAGGCAACTGAGTCAATCTGGACGATTCTTGCCTCCTTTTACACTTCCCCTGATTCCTTCCCTTTATTTGACTCGTCTATTCCGATTCTTGAAGTAACTCGGGATTAATTTAATCGAGAAGGCGGGTAATCGAGATTTCTTCGTACCCTTCCTTCAGATCTCGATATCCGGTAAGTTAACTTTGTTAAATTCGTTGGTTTAAACTGTTTTTTGTTCGGTTTTTCCTAGGTTCAGTGTCGGGGCTTGAAGTAAAATGGAACGTTGAAGATTCAATGTCTAAAGAGTTCTCTTTTTTATTTATATTTGTTGAATTAATTGAAAATTTTGAATATTGAAAAAATGCTTTAATTTTACTCTGTTCTTTTTGGATGTGGGATTGTGTTTGTTTTAGATTTCATGGATGCATTGATTTTGGTTACTGCTGCTTTACTTAGCTAGCTTTACACTAGTTTGTCTGAGTTCTAGCCATTTAGGGAACGTTTGGGTATGTATAATGATAATAATTCTTTTATGTGCTAAATCAAAATCAGGGTTTTGATTCAAATCTGGGTTCTTATTTTGCAGTAGCTAGCTTTAGACTGGTTTGTCTAAGTTCTGACCATTTAAAGAATGTTTGGGTATGTATAATGATAATAATTCTTTTTATGTGCTAAATCAAAATCAGGGTTTTGATTTAAGTCTGGGTTCTTTTTTGCAGGTTTTTCCGGGTTTCCTACTGTATATGGCTATTAAAAATGGCTCGTTCAATGAAGTATAGGGATAGATCTTTATGTTCTATCGATTTGGTTCTGTTTTTTTATTCTTTTTAAGTTTTTGGGTTGGGTTTTTAGTTTTGGTTTCTTTGGTTGATGATTGTTGGTGAATTGGAGTTTTTTCTTGTTCATCTGCTATTGGCTTTGGAGTTCGGGGTCTTCTTGGAGGGGAATAAGCTCTCTTCCATTGTTGCCTCTGCCTCCAGTTGCCAGGAAAGCAGTGATTGGTTTTTCTTGACTTTTCATGTCTCGTAAATTGGACAGTCCTGTTCAGACTCAGATGGCAGTGGCAGTGTTTAAAAGTCCTCTTAGAGGGGAATATCCTAGGAACAATGGAATGGAAGGGAGACAACCTTCTTGGAGGAGACGGGTTTTTGTGCAAACAGAGACTGGTTGTGTCTTGGGCATGGATTTGGATCGCAGTGACAATGCTCATACAGTTAAAAGAAGGTTGCAGGCCGCCCTTAATTTCCCCACAGAGCAAAGCTCGCTGACTTTTGGGGATGTGGAGTTGAAGAATGATCTTAGTGCTGTACGGAATGATTCTCCACTTCTCCTAACACGGAACTATCTACATAGAAGCTCCTCAACACCTTGTCTTTCGCCTACTGGAAGGGATCTTCAGCAGAGAGATAGAAGTGGTCCTATAGAGATACTGGGGCACTCTGATAGCTTTGACATATTAAAAGTTGTGGTGAAGGACATTGTTAAGGCAATTAAAATGGGTGTTGATCCACTTCCTGTTCATAGTGGTCTGGGGGGTGCCTACTATTTTAGGAATCCTAGAGGTGAGAGTGCTGCAATTGTAAAGCCCACAGATGAAGAACCTTTTGCACCAAACAATCCAAAAGGCTTTGTTGGGAAAGCCATTGGACAACCAGGTTTGAAACGTTCGGTTCGCGTAGGGGAGACTGGTTTCAGAGAAGTTGTGGCTTACCTTCTGGACTATGATCATTTTGCGAATGTGCCACCGACAGCGCTAGTGAAGATTACTCACTCGGTCTTCAATGTCAATGATGGCGTGAATGGACATAAGCATCACAAGAAGAATCTGGTTAGCAAGATTGCATCTTTCCAACAGTTTATACCTCATGATTTTGATGCTGGTGATCATGGACCCTCAAGCTTCCCTGTTTCTGCTGTGCACCGCATAGGGATACTTGATATACGGATATTTAACACGGACAGGCATGCAGGAAACCTTTTAGTGCGGAAGCTTGATGGCATTGGGAGGTTTGGTCAGGTAGAACTCATTCCTATTGATCATGGCCTTTGCTTGCCGGAAACTTTGGAGGATCCATACTTTGAGTGGATGCATTGGCCTCAGGCTTCGATTCCTTTCTCCGAGGATGAACTTGAGTACATAGAAAAGCTAAATCCTTTTAAGGATTGTGAGATGCTGCGGAGGGAACTTCCCATGATACGGGAGGCTTGTCTCCGTGTTCTGGTACTCTGCACAATTTTCCTTAAGGAAGCTGCAGCTTTTGGTCTGTGTCTTGCTGAAATTGGTGAGATGATGAGTAGGGAATTTCGGAGTGGAGAAGAGGAACCTAGTGAGCTAGAGGTTGTTTGTCTCGAGGCGAGGAGGTTGGTAGCAGAGAGGGAGCTGTCATCTCCTAAGTCTGATGTGGAAGATGCTGAATTCCAGTTTGATATTGACTGTGAGGAACCAGAATCAGACTTAACCCCAAAAGTGGCTACAGATGATTTTATGACCAGATCACCATTCCAATTTGGAAATGGATTTGTGAATAACCGTTTTCCACTTTCAAAGCTGGAGGAATGCTTTGAGGAAGATGCCGAAAGTGAAGGAGAAGCAGAGCAGGAGGGTTTTTCTGCTTTCAAAGCTCTTGAAAGGATCCCATCCATTTCAAAGCTTTCGATGTCACTTAAGGATACGAGCATAGGTGACAAGAGCCAGAAGTATTCAAAAATTTCTGGAACAAAACAAGAGAATGGATATCTGACTAGCTCATACGGGCATAGGAGTGCAAATGAGCAGCTTCCTGCAAGTGTGGGCTTTGTGAAGCTGGGTGACATGAACGATGAGGAATGGGCCTTCTTCTTGGAGAAGTTTCAGGAGTTGCTCCACCCGGCATTTGATATACGTAAATCCGATATCTTAGGTCAGAGGCAGATACAGAGGCTTGGTACTTCTTGCCAGTTTTGAGATTGAGGTGCCGGTATATTGACACCAGAGAGTTGAGTTCGACTTAATATGAAATAAGACTTTGTAGGTTTGTTGGGACTTGCGATGAAGGATTGTTAGGATAGATTCAGTATAGGCTTTTGCCCCCGGTAATGTTGTTGTTTGGGAGCAGCTGTAGTAGGAATCGCTGTAAATATTCTTTGGTTTCATCAGCCAAGTGGAGAGCTGAGTAGAAATGTAGAATTGGTTGTATTTCTTCTTGAAGCTTTTAGCTTTGATTTTGTTTATCCGCCTTCTTTTCTTTCCGTTATGGACTTTGATAAATAATTTGTAGATTGGAGTATAAAAAAGAATATTTGTGTAAATATGGACGTTTCATTGTTTGTGTTCTGTAAATCTTGCATTGGAGTCCATTGTTCATTCGAGTTGGATTGCAATTTGCGAAGTGATTGGCATTTCTGTTTTGCTTTTTCTTAGGTTCCTCTGGTTGTATGATAGATGAATATTAGTCAAGTGATGGGATGTTCTTACTTGTTATAATATGATATAATTAATGTTTCATACAATTCTTTTCAAAAACATTGATAACTCAAAACTCTAAAGAAATTATAAGAATCAGTAAATCTATATTGTTGGTCCACCCTACAACTCATAAATGTAATTAGTGGAGTAAAGCATTATACAATGAGATCCATTCTTATCAATGTGTGAAACTGAGTTATTTGAAGTGTAATCAGTAATGTGATCAATTTTTTTTTCCTGGTGATTACTTTATGTTAGATATTCAATATATAAAAAATGTTCATATGTCCAATGACTTAGTTGCTTTCCAAAACCCACTTTCTAATTTTTATATCTTCAAATTGTAGCAAGAAATGATTTCAACATAACTGTTGAGGCCCCATTTTAGTTAGTACTCCAGCCAAATTAATTAGCTTTTTTTTTGGGTACAGCTTTCTAAGAGTCAATTCCTGCATTGAAGCTGAGGCTATCTATGGTTTTAAAAGGAGGAGTGGAAGTACCAGAATCCAAGCGGTTGAGAAGAATTATGATTCTGAGCTATTGTATAACAACATTTGTCAGAATCAGTGGAAAGGTATTTGGAGAATTCATCCTTTTGAACGTGACATCCAGGCCAAGCAAAACAAGTTTGAAGGATTCGGACTACAATAGATTAGCTAGTCAAGCTGCTGATTGGGTGGCAGCACAATTTAAGAACAAGATGTGCATATCTAATTGGATAAATCTACCCCATCTTCTTTGGTATTCATTTGGACAAGGATGGCCTCCCTGCACCTCCATAAGTTTTGAGTACCATGTTTCTAAGCTCTTAGAGAAGCTAGTTTGTGTAGTTCTCTCCATTCTGAACCTAGATTCATTTGTAAGCCTGACCGTTATGCTGGGACTGTGTACTTGTAAGTGTTTGTAGTTTCTATGGTCAGCTAGCTTTATACATACCCGAACATTATTTGACTGAAACTATAAGAGCTAAGATTATCTTTAGTAGCAGTAATCAGACAAGACTAGATTGGTTTCAAATAAACAATCGAGGGGAGTAAGGATTAGAAAAGAAAATATTGTTGATGCTGACATTGAAAGCAAGAAAAAGATTATTAGTATGCAACAAAGGAACAGCACATAGGTTGGGGTCCCATGAACGATGGGGATGGACCATCAGCATGATTAGAATTGAAGATTGGCCCTTTTCAACCCTTTGGCGGTGTTTATCTCTATCATCATCTATTGCCAATTGCCTTGCTTTCTTTCTTTTCATTGTCCACACAACTGCCGATAACATGGAGCTTTTCCTGTGGATTTTTTTTGGAAGTTTTTCAATAGTAGGCAGATGGTTTTCTTTGAGAAAGTTTGGACGTTATTTCTCTTTTGTCGATTGTTTCAACTGATTTCTCAAATGATCACAAGTATATATAGACAAGTAATCTCCAAACTCAGCTTTGGTTTACATCTTGGACATTTTCTGTACCCTTTGAAAGTCAACTAGAAACTAATATCATCAAATGCATTTATCATGAACGAAAAGATCTCATAAATAATGAATCAAGAAAGAGGAACAATTGCTCAATTATATTTTATTTCCAATAAATACTAAAGAATAGAGATATTCAGTAATCAACTGAGGAAATGCTGAGCTTTCCGTTGCAGAGAATCAGCTATAGTTAGTAGTATTAGTTTACTAAAGTGAAAAAATGAATACCATAAGAGCTTTTATTAAGAGAAATAAGCAGTAGATGTACACAAAATCATCATTTCCTATTGCTTCTATATGTTTCTGCCTGTTGGAATATATAGCAGCCAGCCAGCATGAACATCTCCTGCCTTAAAAGTCAGCCCTCTGCTCAGGAAGTCATGGGTGGGTCGGGTATGGTTGGCATCCGTGTGGGTTTCATATACATATGTCAGCATCACCAAAGTCATAATCACGTCTGCAAACCAAAGTTCATCTAAATCAGGATAAAAATTCAAAGTTTGGTTAAGTTCTTGGCCTCTTGCTAGCAGACTAGCTGGGCCTTCCCAGCTAGGATTGTAATCATGAAGTTGGCTTAATTTGACCAGGAGTTATATGTCACTGTTGTGGACAGAATTGGACGTGGCACCGTAATCTTTTGCCTGATTCTTGATGCTTATATCTTGCTGCCATTTGTCTTTGCAGTGAGGGTCTATCTGGTATTTACTTACATTGATTGTAATTCAAGAAAAAATGATAAATCACTAGAGAGATGCTGGGGCAGTCAAAAGGTCGAGTGGAGTGGGGTCTCATCTTGTTTTTCCCTAATATCTTGATGCAAAATGATAGTTACATTTGGTGAAGTTATCATTATTCATGACTTTAGAGGACAGATGAGCATGTGGAGAAAAAGGTTTCAATGATCGATCCTTGTTTGTGATCACTTTTCTGATCTTTCCAATAATATATGTTTTTTTTTTTTTTTGCCTCCACAATGAAACAACTAGAACAATTGTTTAAGTTCAGTAGACTGCGCCCACATGGAGAGCAAAAGATGGAATATTTGCTGATAGATCTTTGAATTCAAGTGACATTCCCTCACATGGCTTTAGCAGAATACTGCAAATAATTCTGGCTTGTCAGGAAGTATAGAGCTGGAACATTTACGACGTTCAATTTCAAAACACTGGGAGCCGAAATCATGGAATGCTATTTGTCATATCGGGATTAGGTGAAGCATTTCATTTGTCAAGAAAAGGATGAATGGAACGTACTGTGTGACACTGCGAGTATGAATGGCTCTTGAGGACATGATGGATAAGTTCAGAGAAACAGCTATGATCAGAATTGGTATGAAGAGATTCAAAGATGATAGATATCAAGAAATGGACGTTATAACAAATTATTAATGTTATCAGTGTAATTTGTGTTGAGCTCAAGAGTGGAAAGCAACATCATATCAGCAATGGGACATTGTGTTTGACGAGTATTGGATATGCAGCTGCACGGTTGGCATGCATGGTGCAGGATTGAACATGTCCTTTACAAGTACAACTTTGGTAGTACTTCAGTTGAGAATCAATAAAATGAATAAATTGTAATCGCCACAAACAGTTGGGCCGGTTTTGCATGAGCCGAATTTCTATAGAAGGAGATCATTTGGTTGTAATGAATTTAATGAATTTCTCCATACTCCTGGTCAGTCATACTAATCCAAGATCGACCCAATTATGATAGACATAGGATGACTAGAGAGAAGGGTAGCCCATATGCTGCATCCCTTCTTGATCAAACTAAATGCGTTTTTCGGATTTGCAGTGCAGGATGCAGGGAAATCCATGAAGTCTGCAGGCCTTTTATGAATAGTATTGGGCCTTCAGGCTTGAGCTGTTTGCCTGAACAGTGCACTACTGAAACCAGTTGGACTTTCTCTACTTAAAGGTGGGTGGTTGACTTGCGTTCTTCCCACTCTTGACAGATAAAAAACATACTGCTACAATTTTGTTTATCAAAATGAGAAAATTTTGGTGTTTGAGTTTAAAGATTGTCTCCCCTATGAACACCTTTGTTTTCATTTCTTTTTAGTTCTGAGACTTATTTTTTCCTGCTTGATGATAAGCAGCACAAGTTGAGGGAAGTTTTATGTTAAAAAATGAAACAAGAATGACATCAAATGTTTAATCAGGGAAGTTTTATGTTACTTGCAATCAGCTAGGATTGCCAAGTATATTTGTACATATGCATACATAAAACCTGTTGGATAATAATACTGCATCAAGAAAAAGCTCCATTTCTTCTGATATATTGCTCTAGGTAAGAGGGGACGCTATCTTCCCCTCTTCCTCCCTAGGCTAGTTGCTTATATCAGATGCAGTGGACACATTCATCGATATACTATATTTCTTCTCCTAAGGTGTTGTTTATTGAGAAAAGAAGCCTGGTCGGATGAAACAACAGGATTTATCTCCCACCAAGTTGACCCAATTCTTCCACAAATCTATCCAAATCTTTCATGGAGCTCCCCGCATCACTCATTGCAGCCAAAGCCTTGTCTTTCAGATCTTTCGCCTTGGCCTTCACTCCTCCGCCCTCAGTCATTGGCTCAGCGATGGCCCTGCCTAGTTCATCTGAGTCAGGAACAGAGTCTGCACCCTCGCACACCCTAACAGCCACGCCCATATCATCCACCAAGAGCCTGGCGTTCAAATACTGGTCAGCCTCCATAGGCCAAGCCAATATCACGACTCCTCCCACTATCCCTTCCAAAACCGAGTTCCACCCACAGTGACTCAGAAACCCACCCACCGCTTTGTGATTCAGTATCAACACTTGTGGCGCCCACCCCTTTACCACCAAACCCCGACCTGCCATCCGCTTCTCAAACCCATCGGGTACAACTCCGTACCCGTCATCCTGCTGTTGGGTCGTACCTGGTTTGACCACCCAGATAAAACGTGTCCCACTCTTTTCAAGCCCATTAGCCAAGGCTTCCATTTGTTCCTTTCTCAACAGCTTTTGACTCCCAAAGCAAACATAAACAACCGAGCCATCGGGGCATCCATCAAGCCAAGCCAACACTTTGTCATTTGGGTCAGAACCAGAATTGCCCCTACCAGATACATCAGGGCCTGTCAAACTAAGTGGCCCGACAGTGAAAACACGATTATGACCTACATGCCCCTTGAAACATTGAACATACTGAGTTTCCAAAGCATCGAAGGTATTAAAAACACAACCCCAACTCTTCGTATTTGCAATCATGCCATCCTTGACAAACTCCCAATCAGGATCGGATCGTTTGTAGTGCTTAAACACGGATGGCAAATGTTCCTGCTTGAACGGCTGGGATCCAGGGAGATGACCAAACTTGACTTCACTCAAAGACTTCACTTTTTCAACGTTATTCCAAATATAAACAAACACAGAAGCCAGAAACGCACCGGACGAGAAGAAAGTGATCCTGGGGATTTGCCAGCGGGTTGCAAGGTGTTCAGTCCAACCAAGCAAGAAATCAGAGAGGATGGCAACTAGAGGGTTGGGGTGAGCGTTTAACCAGTTGACTAAAGGGTCGTAAAGTTTCCCTAAAGCGGCCATAATGGGAAGGTTCCCGGTGCTGCCGAGGTCTTTAACATGCTCAATGCCTGGTGGGACGAGAGGGTGAGAAGGGAAAGGGAGGACAAGAGGAGTAATAGAAGAAGGTTGAGAAGAGAGGAGAGAAGAGAGGAAAGGGAGGCATTTAGGGGTGACTAAGACGGTGATGGTTAGACCACGGAGAGAGAGTTGGTGGGTGAGGTCGAGAAGAGCAAGCATGTGGCCTTGTGCTGGGTATGGGAACACCAGGATGTGAGGGTGAGGGTTGGGGCTCGTGTTGGAAGATATGGTCGTTGGTTGATGGTGGAGAGACGAAGACAGAAAGCTGGCTTAGGTGAACAAGATGAACTGTTTGAGTTGCTTGACAATTGACCATGGATTGGAGAATATTGGAGCCGTAAAGACTATTACATCGAAGTGGAATCATGTTACTCATGTCATTAGAAAACGTGACTCAAAGAACGAAAAGTGTAAAGGCCTTTTTTTAGCAGTAAATCTGACAGAACAGTTTATTTATTGTAATTTGATCGTTACATTTCGAAAAGTCATAAAAATTAATAATTTATTAAATCAGTCTTTTTTTTTTTTTCACCAAATCCAATACATTAATGAAAGAAATAATATTTTATTAAACACTTATTCACTTTCTTTTAAAAATTATTAGAGGTATCAATTGATTTAAAAATTGGATTAACGGAGTTATCGTATTATTATTATTATTATTGTTTGGATATAAATTTTATATATTATTAATAAATTAAAAGATATATAATAAAAAAAGGTGTTTTAGTTTTCAATATTTTAAAATTTTAAAAATTTTAATTTATGTGAAAAGGAAAATTAAACTTTTAAACAAATTATAAATCAAAATTTTTTCAAAAAGTTTTGATGAATATTTTTTATATTCTCACTTTATTCTTCAATAATTTATAAAATTACAAGAAAAATTATATTATTTTATAGTAATTTTTTATTTTATTCTTATTTTACAAAAACAAAAATTCTTTTTATTTTTTTTACTTAAAAACTTGTGATTTAATTTATTAATAAAGTTGATTTTTTTTTATTTTTACTAAAAATATACAAAAATATTATAGAATAGCTTTTTTAACATTCTATAATATTTTTGTATTAAGTTTACTAAACACCATTTTAATTTCTTTCTATAGCAGTTTTAGAATAGCTTTAGTCTAACAGCACTTTTTATAGAAGTCCCAACCGAGCCAAATAAGCACTTATGAATATTGTGAGCTCATTTGTGTTGTTTGAGTGTATATGTTATGTTTTTCTTTAAAGAAATGGATGTCATGAAATAAATTTATAATTTTATTATTTTAAAATTTGGTAAAAATACTAATATTTTGATCATCTTTCATAACTAATTTTGAAACTTTTTCAACAATCATATGATTTTATAAATAATTAAAAGTAAATGTATCCTAAAACCAATGATAGCATATATGTTTCATCATACAAAAAGAAATGGTTTAGACTTAATTCAGTTGTGATGAAGTATTTGATTTAAAAGATGGGTCTCCAAAAGAAATTGAAGCCATTCATGGGAATGGAAAGAAAATGAAAGTTCTGTGGAGTTAGAATTTGAACCTTTTTGTTGGCCACTTCTTTGTGAAAAAGAGGCTTTTGTTTTCTATAAGAACAAAGCATATGCATATGGTTTTACTTTACACATAACATTTGACACACATACTTTTCTTTTTTCATATTGGGTTGATAGAAATTTAAGGGTAGGAAAATTATTTCATCTTTGAAGTCAATGAAATTGAGATTTATAGATCCATTAGATTTTCACTTATGAATTTTTTGAACTTACAGATTTCCTATCAACGAGAAACCATAAGGAGATTCAAACATAGGTGCTAATGTACCCAATATTTGTTCCTTACCACTTCTGCCAACCCTCGTTAGCAACACATCTACTTTTCGAAATTTAGATGCTTTGCAATAAGAAAATGAGTTGTACATGTGTTGAAATTTAAATTTCAGGTCAATTGAATACTATTTTGTAAGAATAATTACATAAACTGAACTTAAACTCTGAATTCCATAATTTAAATTCTAATTGATTGATGCTATTTGCTATTACATGGAGAAAAAGAGAGAGACACTTGAAAGTAAACAAAAAAGTCTTAATTATATCATAGATATAGATATAAGCAAAGCCAGAAGTGTAATTTAACATTCCTGATTCAGCACTCTTCTTACTATAACATTCTTCATCGACAACTCCTTGCCATAATCAGTTATTCTTAGGTGGGTGGTGCCTTGGCGCATGATAATCAGCATTGAAAGCCACAAAACCAGACTCATCAACTCCATTAGAGAAATGGCTGACAGTTTGCTCGCAGCCCAAATTATTGTCACATTTGGAATTTGTACTTGAAAACTTCGATGTCCCTCTAACAGCACCACTCATTTTCACATCCTTTGGCTTCTTCATTTGCCTCACCACCACCATTTTTCTTCCTCCTAGCCAATTCTTGCTTGTAGCAGCAGTTACAGCTCTTTCACCATCCAGGAGGAGCCCCTGATTAAACCCCAAAATATCAGATATAGGAACATATATCATGCAAAAAATCCAGTAATTATTACAATATAATCAATGCAGCCACCTTAACGATCACCTTTCCAGTTGAAATCTTATGGTTTGAATCTGGAATCCCACCTGATGAAATAAAAGAAAAAGTACATTAAATTTAACAAGCCTAAACTATATAGAAAATGAAATTAAGTTATAAAGAAAAGGAAGAATTAATATACTTATACCTTGGCTGGCTTGTGCAAAGGAAATCCATGCAGCAATCAGAAGTAAAATCAAGAGGCATGTTTCTCTCCCAGCTGCCATTTTTCTTCCTATGAAATGTGGGTTAGCAGAAGAGTAAATGAAAACAGAAGCAAAGACTTTATAGCTAGAGGAGATGATCAAACCAGGTCAAATATATAGATTTTAGCACGTCTGTAACAAAAACTAGGTCAAAGCTATTAGGAGTTGACGACTATGCATGGTTTCCAACATATATACAAGAAAACTTTTTGAATTAATTACAATAATATCTATGCATGGAAGATCTTTAAGTAAAATATACTGCATTCGAACCCTCGAATCGTCCACATGGGGAATCTCAAGGCTTTTTTCAATCACAAAAAAAATCATATGATAAAATTTCAAGGTCCAAGATAAAATTTGGGTTGTTATGAGAGGGCTTTTTAGTAACAAATTGCATGGAAAACACCGACGCTATGGTAACTATGCCACAATTTTGAAAGAAAAAAAGGAGGGTAAAATGAAAGAGAGATGATGATGAAGGGATTGAGTGGTCCATCAAGATGCATAGAGTTAGCGGTGGTACGTTAGATAACGTAGAATGTAAGGTCCGTCTGTTTTGCGCCTGTCTGCCGCCATGCATTCAACGAGAAAACTAGCTTAATTTGTTGGTTTTGCCCTTGCCTCTTTGCCGAGCAGCTAATTGGTATGCGGTTTAAATCTTGATTTCCCAAATGACTAGGCTACTATTCCCCATGCTTTAACATGAATTTAAAACAATTTTAGGCCATTTCAATGTTATAGGGTCCAACTATAAAATGCACTGTTCTAGAGGTGAGAAAAAAATAAAAAAAATAAAAAATCGATTTAAAATCGTAGTGATCGGTTTAATTCACATTGATTTTTTTTTATTTAGTTCAGATCAAGTTTAGATATTAAATGTTTATATTAGATTTGGATCAAATTTTGGACTAAGAGATGAAAAATTGAAAAAAGCTGAATAAAAAAAAATATTTTTTAATTTATATATATTTTTAATTTTTTAAAAATAAAAATAATAATTTTATATCAAAATCTATTTAAATATATTAAAATTTTATATTAAAATAATATATAAAAATAAAAAATTAAATTTAAAAAATCAATAAATCGAACCAAATTAAACATATAAAATTTAGTTCGGATTGTAAGAAAGTTTAGTTTAGATTTTAAAAATTCATAAAATTATGCAATATCCAAAAATATCAAACCAAATTCAAATCCAAACCAAATTCATAATATTACTCTTACACTATTCTGAATTTAATTCTTAAATGAAGATTAAAAGGAAACTAATTAAGACTTTTCTATACAGACAGTGTTTCAGTTTAAAATTAAAAAGTGGGTCGTGTGCTGAAAATATTATCTCTTAAGAGTGATTGTGTGAATAATTTAAGTTAAATTTTGGGTTTAATTAATTAAGACATTATATATGCTAATGCGGAAATGATTGTCAGGACTTTTTCAAAACAGCTTCAGCTAATTGGATAGTTTCTTTCAAATAAAGAAAACAAAAAGAAAAATGAGAAGTCTCGTCTTTGTTTATGCTTATTTTAATTTATTGACAACAATGGTTAGTTAATGCAGGAAAAATGTAAAATATGTTTGCAAACATGTGAAAAACAGACAAGGGATGGTTAGTTAATTACCACAATTTCTTTTTATAGAAAAAGGAGAGCAAGAAATTGTGAACATGGAATCACTAAACATTGTATAAAACTAAAAAAAAGTACAGTGTTTTACAACGTGAAAAGCAGTGATAGGGTTTAGGAAACATGGGAAATAGAATACCTAGCTTGCTGGAGCGTATTTTCCAGCTTCATTTGAATGATTCAGTGGGTGTTCGTACGTAATAAAGAGTTGAAACTTGAAACTAGGGCTGAATCCGCCACCAACAAACATATTTCACACTCGAAATTTGTGCGATGATATCGAACTACAACCAGAAGCATGTTCTGCCACATGGCCAACACATAGTTGGGGAACAAAGTACAATAAAACAACTGAAATTCTTTGAATATTCTTTCATTTCTTGGAAACCAATGGCCTTTTCGATGTCATTTCCAGAATCCAGATGATGCTGGATAAGTATGGCTGGCTGACTTGGTGCATGATCCTGCTGGCCTCAAACCCATTTCCAGGTTCCAAAGTAGAAGCCAAGTTATTAGTTATCCAAGACTCAGCCCATTAGAGTTGTCCACTTCATTGTTTCCCCTGGCGATTTTTGCTGCTGCCTGCAATTTGGTTCTTCTGTGTCTGATGGACCATTTGGTTTCATGTAGATGAAGGAGAGCAATCCAGAGCCCTTAGTGGTTGCTCAACAAGGATGAGGCACATTCAGACAGCAAATTAATGAAGTTATTAAATAAAATCATGCTTTTTTTGGGTCCAAACACTGTCATGATACTGAATTCTGATGATAGTCTGGATTGAAAACCTTTCCACTGCATGCTTGCATGAGCCTGAGGACCCATTGGTAGGAGACCAAAACTTTGTGAACCGAAAGACACCTGATCACACAATTGATTGGAGCCATTGAAGAAATTTCAGGATGAATCCCACTGAATAGTTTGAAGGTTAGATATATATTCCATCAGGCTAACAATTAATAATACTAGCATTGCATGCTTTAAAATGTATAATAATGTCATATCCTGTCATGAAAGAACCAAAATATAAATGTGTTTCTTTTGTTTTTCCAAAAAATTTTCCAATAAACTCTGCTTTTTCTATTGGAAAAAAAAAATTGATTTATAAAAAAACCCACATTACAAATTATTCAAATTTCAAACAATTGAGCGTTCAAGTATTTGATTCAATCTTCTGACTAAAAGTGTTAAATTTTAATTTCAGTTTCAATATACATGAATCTTCTTGGACATGAGAGAGTTTTATTAAAGGGTCCCCTTTGTAAAAATGAGAGAAACTAACCATGGATAAAAAGAAATTTAAACAAAACTAAGATAAATTAACTAATTATCAATAAAAAAATAATTTAATTAATATAAATTATTCATCTCAACGTAAAAAAATTTTGAGTAATTTTAAGTTTGAATTCAATTGATGGTCTATTGTTGGAATAATCTCAAATCTATAATATTTAATTATTGTTTTTAAATTATTGTATATGATATATTTTATCTCGACTCTAAAAATTAAGTAATTTATGTATCTTTGAATAAAAAAAAAATTAACTAATTGATGTGTCAAGGTCAAACAAAGATCATACAAATGTAGTTATATGTAATCATGAATGTTCCCTTTCCTCTCCCAAAACTAGACCCACATCAAGACCCTGAATATTTTTTTTTAAAAATTTCTTTATAGTAATTAACCCCACCAGCTCATCATTCATCTACTTTTGCTTGCATAAAAATTTTAAAATTCCTTTTTCCAATTTTCAAAATTTTTTTTTGACCTAATGGATCAGTGCAAAAGTCATGAAAGCAACCTTCAGGATAAATTAAATCAGCATTAATTAACTGAATTAAGTATTTAGATGTATATAAAATTTTTTTTATAGCAATAAGAAGTTCGGAACCAACCTTGTTGAGGAATCTCCAATTCCAAACAATTGTAGAAGATGATAAGCGCCTGTAATTGGAGTTAAGAAAGGTAAATATGAGAAAAAATAGAAAATTAATTTAAAATTATATTATTTGATTTGATTCGAATCGTTTTTTTTATTCAGTTTAGATTAAATTTAGATATTAAATGTATATATCAAATTTAAATTGAGATGTAAAAAATACAAAAAAATCAAATTGAACTAAATTATAAAATTTAAAAATTGATGAACTGAATTGAATTAATAGAATTTGGTTAGAATTAAATTAATTTAAAAAAATTAGTTTAGATTTAGATTAAATTTTAAAAATTTATAATATTAAATATTATCCAAAAAAATAAAATTAAATTCGATTTAATTCGAACCGTCATTATCCTTAAAATATCATATATTGGACAAAAATAACAAAATGACTAAAACATCATACTAAACAATTGAGATATAATTGTCCCATTAAAAAAATAATAAAATCATGCATTTTGTTTCTAAAAAAAGTTTGGGTTTTTAGTTTTAAAAAAATGTTAATAGCTGAATTTTTCTCTAAGCAATTACTATACTCTTTGATCAATTTGCCTTTCATAAAGACAAAATACCAGAAAAGATAGAACATCTAACAACCATCACATCTGTCATTGAGTTATCTCTAGGCAGCATGGCCCCCTATATTATAGCAAAGAGCCATATAATTGCAATTCAAATTTTTTTTTTTAAAAAAAAATCGATGGTGTCATGTAATTTAATATGATATTTATTTATCAATGTTGATGATCAAATTTTAATATTTATAATTTTAATATTAATAACTTACTATTCATTTATACAAATTATAAAACGAAGAATGCAATTAACTTTTGTGACCAATTTGAAGCCGGAAATCACTCTTAATTAATAACCGACAAGAAATTCCTCCCTCTTACATTGTGCTTCCCATGTTTGCTTTCTCTCTCTCTCTCCTTTTCATGCCAAAAATTTCTCAAGAACCAAACATAAAACAAGTTAAAAACCAAATCCCAGAATCTTGATTTCCTAAATCTCCACTTCTTTCTTTTGTCCCATTCACTATAATCTCTGTTCTCTGTCTAGACTCTTACCCTCCAAAAATAAAAACAATCAAAGTCTAAGCCCTACCCTGCTGTTTTTATCAACTTGTCACACTCAGACCAAAAACATTTGATCACCATCAAATTTATCATTTTCTGTATGCTTCTGGATAAAAAATGGGGACTGCAACATCATCCATGGCAGCTAAATTTGCATTTTTCCCGCCGAACCCACCTTCCTATAACATTATTGTGGATGGAGCAAGTGGGAAAATGAGGATCTCAGATGTTAACCAGAGTGATAACGTGGACGTATTGAAGCTGAGTACCAAGAGAGGGAGTGAGATTGTGGCTATGTATGTGAAAAACCAATCAGCTTCATTAACAGTGCTGTATTCTCATGGAAATGCTGCTGATCTTGGTCAGATGTATCACATTTTCAATGAGCTCAGTGTCCACCTTAATGTTAATCTTATGGGGTCGGTTGCAAGCATATTATATGTTCATAGATTTTCATAGTTTAACCCTGAAAAAATTGAGAACTCAGAACTGTAATTTTTTTTTTTTTTTGTGTTGATGCAGATACGACTACTCAGGATATGGACAATCTTCTGGAAAGGTAGGATTTCCTGGAAAACTGATGTTCAATCTAGAGCTAGGTCAAGCCTATCATAAATGAGCACGTGTGCTTGGCAGAGATTGTGGAAAGTCAAAAGACAGAGACTGGAGATATAAAATATTAACATGAAACCCTTTTTTTCTTGTCAATTTAACTTATTTATTTTTCATGGGAAAGTTTCCTCCTATTCTGATGATTGTTCTGATATATGTTTTACACTTAGCCAAGTGAGCAGGACACATACGCAGACATAGAGGCAGCATACAAATGCCTGGAAGAGACCTATGGAGTAAAACAGGAAGACACTATTTTGTATGGGCAGTCAGTAGGGAGTGGACCTGCTTTGGAACTAGCCATTCGGTTGCCTAACTTAAGGGCTGTAATTCTTCATAGTCCAATCTTGTCTGGCCTTCGTGTCATGTATCCTGTGAAGCGTACATTCTGGTTTGACATTTACAAGGTTTTTGCTTCATTCTCTAATCATCAAGTTGGACTATGCTAAAAGTTTTCCTGTTTCAAGACGTGACAATGCTGCTCTTTATTGAAGAGTGCCCTTTCTTTTTTTGTTTTTATTGCAGAATATTGATAAAATTCCTCTAGTTGACAGCCCTGTCCTGGTAATTCATGTGAGTTTGTATTTTCTTTAGTCCTTTCATCTGAATGATTCATTGTTAGATGTATTAAGCCATATTTGATGCCAAGTTTACGATTTGATCAGTTGAATTTACTCCAGATTGATTTGCTTTTTATATTGCGTTTGAATTAGTAGTTAGAATAAACAGAAATGCCATGGCTATCTGATAATTGTATCAAACTAGAATTTAGAAGAGAGTAGCCACCACTTCATATACACCATCCCCGTTGCTTGACTGCATGCTTGACTGTTCAAAAATACTCCACTCTTTCTTGTCTGAGTTCGAATTGATTGAGAGGTCGTGAGAAGATAATTTTTCATAAATTCTTTAGACCGCGTAAATAAACCTGTTCACAGATCCGGAAAGGGATGTACATGGCAAAGGCTAAAAACTCCTTGCTGTTCAACTGAAAAAAAAAAAAGATCGAACTTTCGTGTTGATTTTCACATTTTAGCTGAAGTTATTATTATAAGGAGATTGATGAAGTTGATTGAAGGATACTTGGGTAATTTTTTAACAATGTTTTTCAGGGAACTGAAGATGAAGTGGTGGATTTTTCTCATGGTAAGCAACTTTGGGAGCTATGTAAAGAGAAGTACGAACCATTGTGGCTCAAAGGGGGAAACCATTGTAATTTGGAACTCTATCCTGAGTACTTAAAGCACCTTAGGAAGTTCATATCAGCCATTGAGAAACTACCTCGTCCTCGTAATGTATCTGAGCAACCCAAGGTTCAATCCGACCAACCTTCGAACAATGCAGACCCAAACAAGGAGAAATCCAGGCCAAGCACTGACCATAGAGAGAAGGGTAGGCCAAGTTTTGGGCGGAGAGAAAAATCCAGGCTAAGCGCAAGCGGTAGAGAGAAAGCAAGAGCCAGCACTGACAAACGAGATCAGAAATCAAGAAAGAGCCTTGACCGAAATATGAAAGCTAGGAACAGCACAGATCATTCAGAGAGAGCAAGAAATAGTTTTGACCGGTTAGATATGAACCATGAAACCTTATTTATTCAATCGTCTCTGCATTATTTTAAATATTGACTGTTGGAACTGATCATGGCAGATTGGGAGATATGGTACGATCTGTTGGATTGTGCAATGTTGATTGTTTGAAGCAGACAGCTGCCGAGGTTTGAGTATGGAAGTGTTCAGCAGTTATTGCACTTTGGGATTGTAAATTTGGTTTCCTCCATTATTATCTGGTTGATGACCTCGGAGGTTTCTGTAACAGTGATTGCTGCTGTGTCTTCTAGAAACAAGTATCATACTGCACATCCTTACTAGATCGTTCATTTTTTCTCTCCTTTGGTAATTCCTTTGTCGGATTTAATTCAAAATAAGAAGAATGTAATTGAAGATTGTAGTTTTCCGCATTTGAAGTTTATATATATCATCAAATCAGCTTCAAGATTTTCTTTAAACTGTATTTGGATTCGTTTCCATGTAATTATTCATTTTTTATAAATAATTTTTTTTATAAAAATTCATTGGAATGGACCATAAAAATAATTATAATAATATTAAAAATATAATAAATATGATATTAATTTCAGTATCGATAATTCAAATATTATCAAAATCAATTTCATGAGATTTAGATATTATATGATATGATGATACAATTTTATTTACTTGATTAAAGTTAACAAGAACTCTACTTAACATAAGAAAAACAAAAACAATACTACTACAATGCAATATTTTAGATACAATAATTTTAAATTAAATGTAATAATATAAAAATAAGACAAAATAAAAAATATATACAAGTTAAAATTTTTATAAAAAATATATATAAATAAAATAAAAATTAAGAATATATTTTATATTTGATAAGATAAATTATAATAAAATAATTTATATATTTTATTTAACAAAAAAAAAAAAACGTATTCACAAATCATTGTACTTAAAAAACCAAAAATAGATAAATAAATAAAAAAAATAAAGGGACAATCTTTCTTATAGGAGTCCGTTGCTGAAATGGCAGAATCTAAGCCTTACAATTCCAAAGACAAGCAACTTCATGCTCGAACAAAGCCTCCCAGCTTGTTTCCCAAATTCTAGAACCCTCCAGTCTCTGCCTTAAACCCCTTCCGTAGGGTTTTTATCTTCTTTGCTGTGTCTAGCCCGACTCTCTCTTTCTCTAAGGGCTTTGCATTCATGGCTCCAGTTCTGAGTAGAAGCTTAGCTAGCCCATCTTTAGTCTTTCTCCCTTTGACAAACCCTAACAAGGCCGTTAATCCCAGAAGCTCTTTTGTACCACGAAATGGTCTCAACAAGACCTTTTCTTGCACTGGGTTAAGGTGGAAACTTGAGAAGAGAAACAACCGGACTGCGGTTTGGTGTGAGGCGTCGGCAGTTGCCGAGAAAGAGGCCGAAGAGACCTCCGGGGAGAAGTTTGAGTACCAAGCTGAGGTGGGTTTCTTTGTATTTCCTGGACTTGCTCTTCTGTTGTTCTTTTTCTAGTTTTTGGTGGAATCTTTATGGGATTTCTAGGTCGCTTTTTGAAAAAATGAAGGAAAATGATGTTCCTTTATGTACTATGAGACTTGAAAATTACTGCCTTTTCTATTGGATATGGTAGGTGTTTGTTTATGTTGACGGCATTTGTCCTATATTTTCTGTACTGAAACTGATGCAAGCTTACAAATGGTTTCAGGTTAGTCGCTTGATGGATTTGATTGTTCACAGTCTATACAGCCATAAAGAGGTGTTTTTGAGAGAGCTTGTAAGGTGAGGATATTTATTTCCTGCTATATTAACTTTTTTTTTTTTTTAAATAAAGACTCCTGGTTTTCAATTGAAATATTTGGCTTCATATGTTTTGTCTCATGGTCTCAACAGAGTCAGTTTGTTGTGTTTGGATTTGTGGGATCTGTATTGGGAAGCTTTCAATACATTACTTTTGGTTTAGTTGGTTTCCTGTGCTGACTGCTGACAAACTTCTGTTTTTATGCTCCAGTAATGCAAGTGATGCTTTAGATAAGCTTAGATTCTTAAGTGTAACTGAGCCCTCTCTTCTTGGAGATGCTGGGGAACTAGAGATACGCATCAAACCTGATCCAGATAATGGGACTATCACTATCACGTACGTTTGTTTATGGCCTTTCTTCTTGAAAAAAATTGAAAATGATAGATGACTTATTTATTTATTTATTTATTAATGGATTTGCAGAGATACGGGTATTGGAATGACAAAAGAAGAGCTCATTGATTGTCTTGGAACAATTGCGCAAAGTGGTACTTCAAAATTTCTAAAGGCTCTTAAGGTAATCTCTTTTGCGTTTTGTAATAACTCTGGTTTCTATAAAATAATGAAAATTTTACTGTTTTTGGTCACTTACTTAGCATCTTATTATCTGTAGGAAAATAAGGATCTAGGGGCAGACAATGGTTTGATTGGTCAATTTGGTGTTGGATTCTATTCTTCATTTCTTGTGGCTGAGAAGGTAACTTCCTACTGGCTTAATTGATATTTTGCATTATGATCTTCTGCTTCCTATATGAAGCTTTTTTTGTTCAATAATTTTCAAGTTAGGTTGCTAACTGGGTTCACTTGCTTATATATATATTTGCTCAGGTTGTTGTATCAACAAAGAGCCCAAGGTCGGAGAAGCAATATGTTTGGGAAGCTGTAGCAGACAGTAGCTCCTATGTGATTAGGGAGGAAACTGATCCCGAAAAGCTTCTTCACCGTGGTACACAGATTACACTTTATTTAAGGGTACTCTATCTGTTAATCTTTTTCCCCTTTTACATCCTGTTTGAATTTTTGTTTATATCTAATTGCATTTGTGTGTTTAAAATATTAAATGATAGTAAAGGAATTGAGATTTTAATTTAATTCTTATTTTTAGAATTGCCTTAATGTTCTGGTTCTTCAAATGTACAGTTCTTCTAAGTGCCAAATGTGGCCTAAGATATTGTTCTCTTGCAGTCAGATGACAAGTATGAATTCTCAGATCCATCCAGAATTCAGAATTTGGTGAAGAATTACTCCCAGTTTGTTTCTTTTCCCATCTACACTTGGCAAGAAAAATCAAGGACGGTTGAGGTTAGTGTATGCATTTCTGTTCTAATTTGGAGATAATTGCTTTCTTCTCTAATACTGCTATAAGCAAGTAGAAACAATTTACAAAATCAAATGAGTACTTGTTGACCCCTGTCCACTCCGTTATGACTCCTCTCTGTGCTGCTCAAGTTGTTTTTAACTAATGTTAGCATTCTCATCATGTTTGATATTTATAAATATATATAAAAACGGTGAAAAGTATTTGTTTATTTTGAAGATGTTACCACGATGCATATGCCTATATAATATTTGCTTTTTCCTGATCTTCATAGCAAATGCCAAAGGGTATTTTTTTTTTTTTTGCTATAAGCACTTGAATTTTGAACACATTGAAAATTTAGTTCTTTAACCATTCTTTACTGTACTTGATCTTTGGGCAGGTAGAGGAGGAAGAAAAACCGAAAGAAGGAGAAGAAGAAAAGCCAGAGGTAACCATGCCATACTTTCTGATTTTATTGTTGTGGCATGATTTCTTCTCCGTAAATATTGTGTTATAGTTGGTCTATGTGCTTGTTTACAGGGTGAAAGGAAAAAGAAGACAACTAAAACTGAGAAGTATTGGGACTGGGAATTAGCAAATGAAACAAAACCTATATGGGTGAGTTTTTGTTCCGGCTTCTCAATTTTATATTGCTGATTTTTCGTAAGAATATTTCTCTATTATCCATATGGTTTTATTGTCATATACCATCCTTTATTTGTTTTTTGGGGATCTGATTGTAGATGCGGAATCCAAAGGAAGTTGAAAAAGATGAGTACCATGAATTCTACAAGAAGACTTTTAACGAGTTCTTGGATCCACTTCAATACACTCACTTTACTACAGAGGTATGTATGCGTTTATGGTTTTATGAATTGACTTCCTATGCATAGCTAGAGTCATTAAAGTTTCTTTGAAAATCATGCAGGGTGAGGTGGAGTTTAGGAGTGTTCTGTACATCCCTGGCATGGGTCCTCTCAATAATGAGGAAGTAATAAACCCTAAAACAAAGAATATACGTTTGTATGTGAAACGTGTATTTATCTCAGATGATTTTGATGGAGAGCTGGTAAGTTTAAACTTGATTATTTCATATCTCTGTTTGTAAAGTAATGAATTTTGCAGTAAGGACTTCTCTTATTGGAACTTATCGTGGTGCTTTGCATCAATTAGAATTCAGATGACTAGGAAATGTTATAACTGAAAAGTTTTAATCTGTTTTGATTTGAATTCTTGTACTCCATCCATCTCTGCTTGTTTATGATAAAGCTATTAAAAACGCTTTTTGTTATTTTGAACTAGAAAGATATTTCCACAATCTACTTGTGTATGGCAAGCAAAGATAAATTTAGATGTTCACCAAAATATAGGAAAAGGGTTCTTAATTTCTTTCATCGTTTTCTCTTTATAGGTGACTGAAGCATGATATTTTGCGAGTAGGGGCTGTGATAATAGATGAAGTCTTTCCTTGTGTTAGTAACTTGATGAAAGTAGCTTCTGTCATCAAGTTTTAACTTGTATTTAACCTTAATGTTGTTTTGCAGTTTCCACGATATTTGAGCTTTGTGAAGGGTGTTGTGGACTCAGATGATCTTCCCCTTAATGTTTCTAGGGAGATCCTTCAAGAAAGCCGAATTGTAAGATTAATTTTGTTTACACTTCTGTTGTCATATCAACATAAATTTTATTCTTTCACATGCATGCACATTTATCTTCAAGTCAAATTCTTGTTCTCAGTTTAGGGTCTTTGAGCAATACTGCTAATTATTTAGTAATTACTGTTGTGTTACCATATTAACTGTTTTATGGTTATTATGTTTTAGGTGAGAATTATGAGAAAGAGGCTTGTCAGGAAAACATTTGATATGATTCAAGAGATTTCTGAAAGTGAAAATAAAGAGGTAAATAGCATGAAGGAAATATATGTTTTTTCACTTGTACTGACCTGAACTTTGTCGATTAACTTGGACAATGGCAAACTTGATTATAGGATTACAAAAAATTCTGGGAGAACTTTGGCAGGTTTCTAAAGTTGGGCTGCATTGAAGACTCTGGTAATCACAAGCGTATAACACCATTACTTCGGTTTTACACATCAAAAAGTGAAGAGGAAGTGACAAGTTTGGATGAATATGTTGAAAATATGGCTGAGAAACAAAAGGCAATTTATTACTTGGCAACTGACAGCTTGAAAAGTGCCAAGACTGCTCCGTTCTTGGAGAAGTTGGTTCAAAAAGACATTGAGGTATGTTTGTAGATTTGGCATTGGATGTGTAAGGTTCTAAAGAAACATAGCAATCTGGTCTTTAGGTTGCCATGCAACAAATTTAGAGTAGTTGATATATATGTGATTAAATTCAATAGATATTGTCTACTGAATTACCTGATTATCTTTGGGTATTCTTACATTTAGAACTACTAATGAAAGACTTGACTTAAGAACAGGAAGGAGTTAACATTTGGTTGTTTCTTATAGTTGATAGGATGGAAGAGATCTTTTGATTCTTGTTATCATTAGCACATATTAAACCATTGCTTTTGTCTTTTCCCCCCTTAGTAGCAGATGCGGTGTCTCTGCTTTTTATATTGATGTTCTATGATAACTGATGTAGCTTCTTCTTTTTTAGGTTCTCTATTTAATTGAGCCTATCGATGAGGTTGCCATCCAAAATCTGCAAACCTACAAAGAAAAGAAATTTGTGGATATTAGCAAGGAAGATTTAGAACTTGGTTAGTGTTTATGATTTCTTCTTTTATTTATTTATTTATTTTTTTTTGGGGGGGGGGGGTTTCTGATCTCTGGCACCCTTGATCTTCATTTCTGATGGCTTTAGTGTGAATCTAATGGAATTTGTTGTCATGCTAGGTGATGAAGATGAGGTAAAAAAAAGGGAAACTAAACAAGAATACAATCTTCTCTGTGATTGGATAAAGCTACAACTTGGAGAAAAGGTGGCCAAAGTCCAAATTTCAAAGCGTCTAAGTTCATCACCTTGTGTGCTTGTTTCTGGCAAGTTTGGATGGTCAGCCAACATGGAAAGGTGAGCTATTTTCTTTAACCTCTGAACATGAGTCAGATATAAGTAAAACCTATTCTTCATCTAATAATTTCGATGCATTACAGGTTGATGAAAGCACAAGCTCTTGGAGATACTGAAAGTTTGGAGTTCATGAGGGGAAGGAGGATACTGGAGATTAATCCTGATAATCCAATTATTAGAGACTTGAATGTAAGACCATTTTAGTTAAACTGGATTGAAGATGTTCTAGTTTGAGTATGTCTTTTAACAATATTTATCTTTTAATTAGTTAGTGGATAATATGGTATGATAAAACAGTTAAAAGACATCTCGGGACCTTGGGAGTGCAAGACAAGCTCTATGCTCAATTAGTATAAAACCGTCGAAGAAGAATGGCAGCATTACTCTTAACACTATTAGTTCCAGTAACTATGGACTACATATAATTACTTTGAGATTTGTTCTCCTGATTAGACAGACCTGTCAAACTTTGTTTTAGCCGTAATGATGCTCAGAACTCTGAATGTTGATTGTTAGGTGTATTATAAAAATGTTGATATGTCAAGACTTGCTGTCCTTCATTTTTTTTATTGACTGCATAGGCCAGTAAGCCAATTATGCCTGTCATAATTGTGGCATTAATTTTGGTTATTTTCCTCGCAGGCTGCGTGCAAGAATGCACCTGAAAGCAGTGATGCCAAGAGAGCTGTTGACTTGTTGTATGATACAGCATTGATCTCCAGTGGTTTTTCTGTAAGTGGAACGATTTTTTTTCTTTTAGCTTAACATATTTGCAGATTTTTATGTATCATATGATTCTTACTTTTCCTCTTCATTATGCAGCCTGACAGCCCTGCTGAGTTGGGTAACAAGATATATGAGATGATGGCCATGGCACTTGGAGGAAGATGGGGTAGATCAGAGGAAGATGAGGTACCAGAAGCATTAGAAGTTAGTGCTGCTGAAACTGATACGAGTGCTAATGAAGGTTCAGAGACCCAAGTTATCGAAGCATCAGAAGTAAGGACAGAGAGCGATCCTTGGCAAGATTAAAATGTCCTGTAAAATTTAAACAAAAACTTTCATGATTGTTATTAACAAAATAATCCTGAATGAGAGACTAAGAACTAACAAGAAAAGGGGGAAACATTGTGTGAGTTGGGTTGGGAGACGTTTCAGTAGAACTCTTGCCTTCTCTGCTGGTATTTGCCCTACTTTAGCTGTTCGCGGCCACTGACATCGGTGGGGGTGGTTATGGCATGTTGATTCCCAAGTTTGGCATTGCTGTGCTGCTGATCATTTAATTGATGCACACTTGGTTGATGTTGATAGAAGAATTCTTGATGTTGAAGATCTGTTTTGGACTCATTTTGTTATGGGAAGTGAAGTTGATTTCTCTTCCTTCAACTGACTGACTCTAAGATGACAAAAACTTTGGAAGAATATGCAACAATAATTCTTCATTGACTTTTTTTTGAATCAAACAAGCTGAATTCTGATAATTATTTTTATATTATTATATTAAATTAAAATATAAAAATACTATTATTTTAAATTGAAAATAATAATTAAAGTTGAATTTGTTTGACAAAAAAAATTAATGAAGGATAATTCTTTTCGGATAGAGGAGTATTATTCTGTAAACCAACACTGAAAATTTTAAATTCATAATGTGTGTTAGATTATCTTTGAAGATTTTAGATTATGCAAAAAGGGTTAGAAAAATGACATTCTTTTTATGTTACGTTAAAAAAAAAATTTATTTCTTCAAAGGAGAACAAACGTCCATGTAAAAGAGAAGGTGAGGTTAAAATTTATGTTCATATGTTTTTTTTTTTTTAACTTTTTATCCACCAGGTTAATAAGTAAAAGATAAAAAAATAAAATAAAATAAAAATAAAAATAAAAATTGTAATCTTAATATGTGAAGCATTATTATTAGATCAACTTTCACCAAATTATTATAAATTGGATTTAGGTAAGGAAAAAGTCTCCAACCTGAATGTTGCTTTCTTGCCTTGTCAAGTTGATTTAACTTGTTTATTCTTATTGGTTGAACTCCCAAATGATGTACAACCACATGTTAGCAAGGAGCAATGGAGATGTTAACACTCAAACCACTCCTTATATTATTTTTTTAATTAATTTCAAGCAGATCACTTCAAACTCAAGGCCCACATGCCAATAAAAAATTGGACCATTTTCTCAATTTAATTAAATTAACCCATGTTTCATTTCATCCCACAATCACAAGTTAACCTCTTCTATAGGGCAAGGTATCAACATTGAAACAATCTAACCTAAAATATTTACTCATAATAATATCGGAAATCATGATTTATCGATAAAATATTAAATTTTTAATTACTAATTAGAATTTAAATTTTGATTATTTAAATAATAAAAAAAATAGAAAACTACTAATTATTGAAAACAAAAATATTAAAAATCATTAAATATTATTGAAGACAAATTTTAACATAAACAATAATAATACTATTAAATAAATATTTTCACATTAATACATTTAATTCAATAGTTGATAGATGCTTCTTTCTGTACAATTAATTTTTCCATAAAATAATAATAATATCCAGCAGCAGTTTGTTGGTATGCATCATGCAAACGCTAGCTATTGGAGGTTATCCTTTGGAGTTAAATTGTTCTACGCCAATGTCAAGACACGCAGCTGACACAGTCTTGTGTTCTTTCTGTCTTTATAACATTTGTTTCCTTTCTCAAACAAAAGTTTCATCAAAATTCATATCCAGCTTTTGACTTTTGGTGACAAGAAATTAAAGCACGATTAGTCGGATCAATTGGTCACTTTCAGGATGGTAACATGATAGGCATATATATGCTAGAACAACCTCGGAGAAGAGACTGATTCAATGCTTAAAACTTTTTTAGCTCAAAAGCTTTCAGGTTCTGCAAATTGTTCATTTCCAAGAGGATCCTTGGAGGTTGCAGCTCTGGTTGGATGCCGGTATGAGCTTTTCAAAATCTTGCTCTTTCTTTTTTCTAGTTTAATTGTTGAACCCTGGGATAATTTGATCATTAATGCTCTCAACAAGCCTTTCTTAAGTAGAAATCTAGGGCTCAAGATCCATGCTTCCATTAAAACTTTTGCTTTAAAGAAGACTTACTAAACCTTTCCAATTTATGAGAATGCTTTCTATGAAGTATCAAGGACTCCAAGGTGAAGTTCTCAAGCATCCCATGCATGTGCAGTTCAGATTTTAGATAAATAAACGATTATATGCAGTATTTATCTTATTTCAACCTGTCAAGCAGACTTGCTTATATTTGAGACTATAGATTCAGTATGACAAAGGACTGCATGGATGTTTAAATTTGGAAGATTGGTTCTACTTCATCAATTTGTAGCATATACCCAGTTGCGGTTCCATGATTTTTTTTGGGGTGTCCTGGAGAAAAATTTCCTTTAAAATTTCTTATTTTCTACTCTTTGGTGGTGGCCATGGGGTGGATACGCCGCTGAATATACCTCGTCCTGTCATGAACAATGTTTGAAAATGAGTTGACAGCATCCTGCACTATGCATGTTGACCTTGTTACCTGACTATGCATATCTTGGCTTAGCTTGACCTAGCTTTATTGATTAAACATCTCATTTTTTTTCCATTTATTGTCTTTTTTATTGTATTTTTTTTTTCAGATAGACAACGCTACCTTTGCTAGTCTTTTCGAATCCTTGTTGGCAGATATTTCAGCAATCACACACTCAGTAGAATATGTAGAAGTAGAGCAGGAAAACTTTATTGAAGTGGGATGCTACCTTTATCGAGTTTTTCCAGCCATAATGGAGTTGAAGTATGCGGAGAATACCCCCAAAAATGCAAAAGAGATTCTAGAATCTCTTTCTCAGAATGTCAACCTGGCAAAGGATCTTGTGGGAGAATGTGATAAAGAGAACCAACCAGTCTCAGATACTGAACTGAGAAGCACCATAGCCCAGCTAGAAGGGGTGGTAAAAGACATAGGTGAATGTTTGTGCTTGATACCATCCGCAACATTTGGGGGTCAGGAATATGCAGAAACTGCAGTCCGGTCTCTTTCTGATGAAATGCAGAATGTCCACTTTGAAGTCAAGCAACCTCAAGTACTAGAAACCAAAGTGCTTGAACCACAAATTTCTTTTGCATCAGAGCAACCTAAAAAATTACAAATGCCAATAGAAAGTTCTCAAACGTCACAAGAGCCAATAGAATCAGATCTTTACTCCGTTGATATTGATGTCTCTTTCTTTACAGAAAGTTCTGAGAGTTTGAGTATGCCACACATTGTTGATTTCCTTAAAATTACAAGTGATAGAAGCCAATGGCAACACGAGAACATAAACAAATCCTTGACAACATTGCCACATGTGGCTCACTATATGGAACCTCTGTATGATACTTTCTTCTGTCCATTAACTAAGCAGATTATGGATGATCCAGTTACCATTGAAAATGGAGTGACCTATGAGAGGAAGGCGATAACGGAGTGGTTTGAAACTTTCAATCATCTAGAGGATATAATCTGTCCAACTACGGGGATGAAGCTAACAAGCAGAGTTTTAAGCACCAATGTTGCTCTAAAGACCACAATAGAGGAATGGAAGGATAGGAATGAGGCTACAAGGATCAAGGTTGCCCGTGCCGCATTATCTTTGGCTAGTTCAGATAGTATGATACTAGAGGCAGTAAGAGATCTGCAACACATCTGCAAAAGGAAACGATATAATAAGTTTCAAGTACTTAGTGTTGGAATATTGCCATTGCTTATTAAGTTACTTGGATACAAAGACATAGATGTTAGATGCGGGACTTTGGAACTATTACGACAATTGGCTGAAGATGATGAAGGAAAGGTTTGATTCCTACCGTTTCCTGATATTAACCAAAATACAAAAAATCATTACAGCATGAATATAGAGCTTAACCTGAATATCTATGATATATCCTGGACTTATATGCACCATTTTGTTTATATTTTGTGCAGGAAATGATTGCTAACATAATGGATATATCAACATTAATTGAGTTGTTATCAAGTAGCCACCAGCCAGTTCAGCATGCATCATTGCTTTTCTTACATGAGCTTTCAAGATCTCAAGCTTTGGGTGAAAAAATTGGGTCAGCTACTGGAGCAATTCTGATGCTGATTAGAATCAAATACAACCGCGATGTTGATTCCTTTGCTTCACAAAAAGCAGATGAAATTTTAAAGAACCTGGAGAGATATCCATATAACATAAAGCAGATGGCAGAGTACGGATTCTTGGAACCTCTTTTGAATCATCTTACAGAAGGTAGTTTAAATTTCTTTATGATTGATTTGATAACTATATTTCAAGGGAACTATTTCTAAAACTACACATTAATAGCAGTTAGATTAACTGAAGAATAGATTCAAGTCTGATCATAAAACTCAAACATGTTTCTAAGCCTAAGAGACAAGTATGCGTATTACGATTACATGTTAAATAAACAGGATTCGCGGAGGTGCAGATGGAGATGGCAAGCTACTTGGGGGAAATCGTTCTTGGCAATGACGGCCAAACCTATGTGGCTGAGAGGGCTTCTCCTACTCTCGTTAAAATGTTGCAAAGTGGAGACACCATTACCAGAAAGGCAGCATTTAAGGCTCTAGCACAAATCTCATCTTACCTTCCAAATGGCGGGATACTGGTCAAAGCTGGTATTGTCCAAATTATGGCTGAAGAGATGTTCACTCGTAGGATGTATGATGAGCCAATGAACTCAACGAAAGAAGCTGCTGCAATACTTGCAAATATTCTTGAGGCTGGGGCTGAGCATGACAGCATCCAAGTAAATACTCATGGCCACAAGTTAAGCTCAGATTATGCTATCTACAACATTATCTACATGCTTAAGAACTCAACTCCAGATGAACTCAACATCAATCTCATCAGAATTCTTTTATGCCTGACAAACTCACCCAACTCAATGGAAACAATTATCTCAGTTGTGAATGAGACTGAAGCAAGCTACACGCTTATTGAACTCATCAATAACCCACATGAACAACTTGGGGTAGCAGCAATCAAGCTACTCATTACGCTTGCACCACATGTCGGTAACACACTAGCAGAGAGGCTCTGCAAAACCGGGGGGCAACCTGAGGATTTAATTGACAGCCCGACTGAAACTAACCACATTACAGAGAAGCAGGCAGTTTCAGCAAAATTCCTGGCAAAACTCCCCCAACAGAACCTAACACTCAATCTTGCTCTTCTGAACAAGAATGTTGTCCCCACAATCCTTCAGAAAATTTTTCTAGTCCAAAGAAGTGGAACAAGAACCAGCAAGCATGCAACTGTTTACTTAGAGGGCCTAGTAGGCATTCTTGTTAGATTCACAACTACACTGTATGAACCACAAATATTGTCCCTAGCAAGAACTCACAACCTCACATTGGTGTTCACAGAACTGCTCATGAAGACATCTTGTGATGAAGTTCAAAGATTGTCAGCAATTGGACTGGAGAATCTCTCATTAGAGTCGATAAATCTATCACGGCCACCACAAATTAAGAAAACCAAGTCTACGAAATTGTTCCAACTACCGAAGCTCCTATCTTCCAGTTCATCAAAAGGGAGAAAGATACCAACACTATGTCCAGTTCATAGAGGTGTTTGTTCTTCAGAAAGCACATTTTGTTTGATCGATGCAAAAGCTGTTGAAAGGTTGTTGGCATGCCTGGATCATGAGAATGTTGAGGTAGTTGAAGCTTCATTGGCAGCTATATGTACTTTGTTGGATGACACGCTTGATGTGAACAGGAGTGTGAGCTTGTTGAGTGAATTAAATGCTATTCCACATATCTTGAATGTGGTGAAAGTGCACAAACAAGAAGGCCTGTGGCAGAAATCATTTTGGATGATAGAAAAATTCCTAGTGAAAGGTGGAAATAAGTCAGCTTCAGACATATCACAGGATAGGTTGCTACCTGCCTCATTGGTTAGTGTTTTTCATCATGGAGATGGCAGTACGAGGCAGATGGCCGAGAATATTTTAAGGCACTTGAACAGAATGCCAAATCCCTCAACTACTTATTATACCATGTAAACTGATGCCCCAATTTCACTCCAATGTTGTCAAAGATATGCCTCTGTAAGATCAGTCATTCTAAGTTGGACCCCATATGTTTTACATCTTATAAACATATCCCTATCAAATTGTCTGTACTAAATCTGTAATCTTATTTGCGGCAGAGACGACAGATATGCTTGGTACAGGACAATCAACCTTATGAGCCAAACCAGCAAAAACTCATTTTTGGATTTCTGGCGGGCAGGATTTGACCGGCAGTCTCTTAAATACAGTTGTTGAGATAATAAACGTTTTGTCAATGTCCAAACCATCTTCCTGATATTACCTTCCCGTAATCTTTCATTTTTTAAGTCAATCTTTTTTTTCCTTCAATCTCTGTTATCATCTTTTGACCGTCTCCAAGCAAGGTTCTCAGTTCCAATATATCTATCTGTTGTCTGCAGAATCAGATGATGCCATTAAGCCACTTGACATGCCTGCAACCAATGAATTTTTTTAGAATATGGCATAGAAAATTGTCAAAGTTGTTTAAAGTTAAACTCTTCAGCATTAAACTATGCTTCCGGTCGTATAATGACATCCAAAACTGCCAAATTACAAATTACGTGGAGCTTTTTGAAATAAATAATAGGATAAAATCAAATCTCTACATCATTGATAATGTAGACATCAGAGATTATAGGTCTAACTTGAGCTAACATCAATAATACCAGTTTTTTCAATCCAGGCTTGTTCAAATAGCAGGAGTTTGTCCTTCTGAATCATTACCTGTTTCAGAAGACAATGGCTTCTTTTTCAATAGAAGAATTTGCTGGTGATGGGGTTCTGAAGGCTTCCAAAATTATTAGAAGAAGGTTGGGATGATGTCCCAACCTTAAAGATGATGAGCTCAGAGGACATGGATGCAATCAACTTGACACAACATCAAAAGGTTAGTTATCCATTCATCCTAAGAAAAATCTTTGACCTACTCAAACAGCTAATCCCACCAACCAAATGGTTTTCTTTTTATTTTACTTCAGGATGCTCTGGAAATCAGAAGGTACCTTCATGATCGTGCTCTGATGCAATATGGAGATAGGCTGGAGGCTTCCAAGAAATGCCTGCCTGAGCTCCTGAACGTAAGCACTGAGGATCTGTCTTCACAATTTGGCATGAAGAGGGGACACATTGCACGTTTCATAGATAGAACCAAGTCATGCACAGATCCTCTGCCCAAACCATATGGACTAACTGCATGGAAAATCACGGGTCCACCATCTAGAAATATCAGCATTTACAAGAATTTTTCGTCTGTCGATTCCACTAAGATGCGAAATATAGCAAAATCCTTCGCCAGGAGCAGCACAAGTAATGACAGGTCACTGGAAGAATCACTGGCTGATTTCAGGATCAAAGATGGATATGTCTTTAAAGGGATTGTTGCTGCAGGACCAGCTGAGCCTCGAGCCTGTGGTTGACGATGTTGCACCATACTCTGCCATTGAGAACATATCAGTTCAGAATCTAACTCCTCAATATAAGATTGGTATGGAGCGTTTGGCGAAATCCAAGGCACCACCAATGAAAGCTTCAGAACTGTGGCGGGATAAGCCAGCTGTGCTCCTCTGCCTTCGACGACCAGGGTAAAGTTAGACATTACGCATCCTACCATTTTCATCAATCCCTTCAACTCTACTATCTAAAGGATGAACTTGATTAGTTTTTCTGTTTATGTCTGTTGCAACATGACAACAGCTGCATCATGTGCAGAGCTGAAGCTTATCAGCTCTATGCCAAAAAACCAATATTTGATACACTGGGAGTTCAAATGTTTGCAGTTCTTCATGAGCATTAAGAATCAGAGGTGACTAATACACTTTTATTCAAAATTTTCTCTAATAAACTCCTCTCTTTTCCTCAGATATTAAATTTCCTGATGCAGGTAAAAGAGTTCTGGCCCCGATATTGGGGTGGGGTTGTAATCTTTTGACAGGGCTATGGGATTCTTCAAAGCTCTTGGAGGTGGGAAATTACTCAAGGACAAGTTTCTGTCAGGATTTGTGTTCAATCCTCGGGCCATTGCAAACTATAAACGTGCAAAAGCTATGGGAATAGAGCAAAATTTTAAAGGAGAAGGTGAAATTAAGGGTGGACTTTTCATAATTGGTCGTGGAGGAACTGGATTTGCTTACCAATTCATTGAGAGGAATTTTGGTGGTCGTGCTCCTGTAGCTGAAGTTATAGAGATCTGTGCTCGATTGCAGGTAACTATTGTGAATTCTCTAATTCCAAATTGTGGTCTTTCTAATCCTTATCCAATTATTTGTAACCAACTTTTGTTCAATACGATACAGAATCAACAGCAAGATCAAGGAGCTTCTAGCAAGTCACCATAAAAATGAGTAAGTGGTTTATCAGATTTCACACCGCATCTATGTGTAAGGGAACAGAATTTTTGATGACTCGTTCGTGAAAATATTCGAGTTTAATTTATTTATGTTTATTTATTAAATTTAATAAATAATTTTAAATAATTTATTTATTAAATAAATTGAATACCGATATGTTTATTTATGTTTTTAAATAAGTTTATTTACGGTTCATTTAAAATTCGTTCATTTATTATTCGTTTATAATAATATTAATAAAATTATATTTTTATCTTTTATTTTAATCTTATTTTAAAGTTCATTTATATTTATTTGGATTTATTTATGTTCGTTTAGAGTTTGTTTGTTTAAATTTATTTGATTATGATTTGTTTATTATTCATAAATGTATTTATTTATATATATTCATGAACATGTTCGTTTAATTTTCACAAACGAGCTTATTTAACTTAATTGAACGAACATAAACCGAACACGAACAATCTATTATTTAAACAAAAAAACATAAATAAATAAAATAATTTTTTTAATAAATACGAATCGAATATGAACATTTTTATAAATAAATAAACAAATACAAACATATATTTATTCGTTCACGTTCAGTTCATTTACAGCTTTATCTATATTAGATTCATCATATAAAAAAAATTTTCTCTTTATTATCATTTTCATAATTTGTATCAATATATCAAACACGAAACACATAACCGATATGAGATTTTTGTGAAAATTTGAGTCTTCCAATTCTTCTCCTCCCTCTGCATAAATAAATCAGTTATGGAATTATAAGGCTTGCAACATCAAACTCTCTCACTCTTACAACTTGAACAACATTGTCAGATATTCTGATCTGATACTTGCATTATTATGTTGATAAATACCAATGGACGAATTAGTGCTCTCAAACCTTTTGGGATTGACTATCACTTTAATTCCAATCTTTTAGTAAAACCATCCAACTACTTACAAATGCCATGAATTGTCAGTAAAACCGTCACTAAAACCGTTGGATTACTTACAAATAACATTTATTTCTTCTAAATAATTGGATTGCCTAATACTTTAGCATTTTTCATAATATAAGCACATTGGATTTAACCTCTTTTAAAAAAAATCTGCATCTCCCACTAGCTTGACTTGCCATCCTTGCTCCAAAAAAATAATAGAATACAATACATAGTTATTATCTAATTAATAGTGTACTTCAAAGAAATTCATATTTAATTTATAAAATATTATTCATTTTGATTTAAAAATTTTACAATTTTATTTCAGATTTTAAAGACACAAATTTAAATTTAAATCATTATTATGATATAAATTTGAATTTACCCTTTTAATTATATATCCTAATAGATCCTTAAAATCTGTAAAAATGAAATTAAAATGTCACGATTGTCTGAAATGTATTCCATCGGGCTATTTTCAATCCATTATTAAATGGAATCATTTAATAGATTTGCATCTCAGATCTTGAGAGGATCTCAATTCTGTCACATTCAATGTGATATAAAGGATTACAAGACAGGTAAAGGATAACAGACTCACATTGTTTATCAGACACCTTTCCATGATTTCTTGTCCCCCTGCCCTCCAGGGGGATTGGTCTGAAGTGTTACAGATTTCTATGAAAGAAAATCTGCTCCTTAAAGGAATCAATCTTCAAATAAATTCCGATGTCTAAATTGGTCGTGCATGGATGTCATGTTGAGGAATGAAGATGAATACTTTCTTGAGAAAAAGAACAGCAAACATGACAACATAATAAACAAATGAAACTTACACCTCTGAACTGAACAAAATACTTCCTCACTGTCATCTGTAAATTACAGAAGAAATCATCTAATACTGATAGAAAAAGCATATACTTTTACATCACAAAAACTTTCCATCATCAATCTATACATTCTAATCCATTTTTCCTCTTACTAGGACAGTGATACAATTCCCATGATCAACGGAATTCCATTTCCCTCTATATATCTAATGCTCAAACAAGAGAAAATGAAATCACCGCCCCATTGTCCAGTTAAGGAACCTCCCTTTAAGCAAGCCTATCCTTTGGTCATATGTGACTGATATTCCTAGCTTTAAAACCAGGCCAATTGCATCTTCAATTATTCACTAAGAACTGGGTAGGAAAATGGTGATAGCATATGTTTATACTTAATTTTGAAAGAGTACATGTCCTTAGCTACCTTCAAGAATGATGGCATATATATAGCAAGTAGAGGGTCGTTATGAGCTGTCTGGCATAGAGCCATAGACCCTTAAGAGAAGGATCAAAGTTCTACTTTCATATGGTCTGATGGTAGAGACCCTGCAAAAGCATTAAATAAATTTTAGTCGGATCTGAGGACATTCGGCCTATGAGACAGGCCACAGGGCGTTTATGAAAGGAAGTAATACCATTTACATCTTGGCTGTCAGCAGGAGCACCGGTTCCATAATTCATCTGGACAACATTGTGGAGCTCATCCTTCCATGCGTTCAATATCTAGAACCAAAATGTATTCACACGAAAGGTACATTGGTAATACTCATAGACTCATGAAGTTAAGCACATAAATCGTTTACCTCATTCACATCATGCATTAAAGCCAATGTTGCAGAACAATTTCTCTTTAACCTGTTAATTTTTTTTCTTTTTTCACATTGGTAACACTTTAAAAAGATATTAAAAGAACAAAAAGACTTAAGGCTCAATTTCATGCGAGGGAAAGGTTTCACAGAGATTGCTGACGAATTATCCATTTGATGCTACAAATACAAAGACACAATCATAGAGTTTGAACCATAAAAAATGAAGAAATGGAAAACCTGATTAGGCTTCTTGAATCTTCCAGTCATAGGTGTGAACTGGGAACCGAGAGTTCTACAAATAACATCAGCATTATTCCCCACGACAGGAAAAGCAGCTTGAACAAGTCCAGGTTGAGACGGATGTAATGGAGGATAACCCACAGACATATTTGGAGAAAACCCCAGAGTTGATGAAGGACCAGCTCGTGATTGAGTAATCTGTTTATCAACAAAGAAGTATTTTGATGGATTAGATGAGACGTGTAGACATGAGTGATCGCTAAATCTACGCTGATCAACTTACATCTTTTGCCAGAAGCCCTTCTATATTAAAATCCAGCCTTGGGTTTACTGTCGAAAGTTTCATTGAAAGAAACTGCAGAAAGGAAAAAAATAAAGTGACACATTAAAACTTGTGAAGGGTAGCAGATGTTATGCCTCTAGAATGAATGCAAATCAGTGAAAATTATTGTATGAAAATTTCATAGAAGAGTTATAGAGATTCAAACAGTGACTCTATCCGTCAATTATCAGCTTCCAAAGACAAGGTCATGATATAAGCCCTAAGGTTATAACAATATTTACATCAATCTATAATAATATTCACAAGTGACACATTAAAACCTAAGAAGGGTAGTTATTCTCTACAGTATATGCCAATCAGTGAAATTTATTGTATGAAAATCTCATACAAGAGTTACAGAGATTCAATCTGTGACTCTATCCATCAATTATCTGTTTCCAAAGGCAAGGTCATCATGATTAATACCATATAAGCCCTGAGGTTGTAACAATACTTACATCAAAACAGAACAAGGTTCAAAAGTTAGTTTTCTTTTCAGTTTGTGTTATTTATCAGATCATTCAGAGTTAGATAAGATTGAAGTATGCACCATTCCACCATCACCAATTACACTAGATTACTAAGGAACCACTAGGTTTGAAAAGGGAAGTTGTGAGTTCTGCTTCAATACCTCAACTTGCCGCTGAAGTGACTGCACATAATTAATGATTTCATCTAGCATCACTGCCTTGCCTGTAACCTGCAAGAACCAATAAACCCTCACAAAATGAACTGCAGTAGCTGTTGTGAATACTGCTGAGAAGTCTATTTGATTGTACTCTATAAGCTATAGCATCCAAGGAGACTCACCTTGCTGCAACCAGGTACAAGGTCCTGAAGAAATTTCATCCTTTCACTGATCTTTTCTCTTCTCACCTGAAGTCATAACCAATCAACTCCAATCTAAACAACAAAGATGATCTAAATATTTCTAAATTTCAATAAGTTTTCCATGTAAAATTTACCCTTTCTGCAAGACTATGGCTGTTTGTTGCCTGGCCTCTCCGGGCTCTGACATGAATGTATTCTTCTTTTGGTGGATCAGAAGCCTCAGACCCTTGTTTTCCCTGTTTGCTCGTAGCCTTATTGATCGTTGTAGTTTGGTTCTGGTCTCCCTTCGGTTGATTTTCAGCACTATCCTTGGCAGCCTCGACAGGTGGTTGGCCTCCCTTAGCTTGATCAACCTCAGCATCCTGCCATAAAATTAGCAATCAAAACTTAGACCATAAATAAAAAAAATCTATAATGGATCAGGGAAACAATTGGCAAACATTTTTTTTACCTTTACACTCCTTTTTCTTTTCTTCGAACTAAGACCCTTAGCTGAAGGTTCACCACCTGTACCATCCAATGTAGATGGCTCATCTTGATCACCAGCACCACCACTAAACTCAGTCTCATCAGACTCATTACCAGAGCCACCAGTTCCTTGTTTTGCTTCTTCATTAGATCGCACAAGCCTTTCACTTTTCCTTTCATTCTTTAGTGGGCTTTCTAGAGTAGCACTATTTTCAACTTGCAAACAAGCATCTCTAGAAGCTTCAGTGGCATTCAACTTACTTTTCTGAGATTCCACACCAGATACTGATTTCATCTCACTGATTGCAAAAACATCTTTTGATCCTGGCATCAAGCCCACACCCCTAGAATACAGGCCCATAGATTCAGGAATACCAAAAGGGTTCACCATATTACTAAAATTTCCCCCATTAAGGCTCGAGAACCTGGCAGCACGCTCAATGAAAGCTGAATCAGCTGGCAACTGAGACAGGCTCTGTGGTAGAATCCCAGTTGAAATCGGTAAAAAAAAGCCCCCTTTCAACATTGAACTTGACGAATTCCCATCCATATCAAATAGTCTATCAATGCTACTTCTCAGAGAGGTAGGACCACCTTTTCCAATTCCCATTGCATTTGAAGAGCTTGCACCATTTTGTACACTGATGTCACAAAATCCCAAGTTTTGTGAATTAGATGAGTGCTCCCAAAGGTTAGAACCAAATGAGTCTACCACTGAAGCAGAGGCACATGAAGAACCAATAGCCAAGGGATTATCGCTAGCAACTAAACTCATAGGAGTACTTGTGAGATTGGCACCACCAAACTGCCAATCTGATGACATACCAGGTGCCTGGTAGTTTATGTTATTGTCATTCCTCTTTTCTAGGTCATATTTATCTTTTTCACCTATATCCATCCCTCTTCAACAAAACTAGTAGAAGTAACTCAGTCTATGCCTTTCTCCACTATTCTGTTTGAACACCTAGCCAATAGCTCAAAGTCAGGCTGACGAGCAAAAATTAAGCCTTAAAAATTTGAGCAGTACCTAAAAATACCCTTAACTGCTCTAAGATGATCAACCAAAGATCAAAGACCGCAAAAGAAACGGGTAGAAAAGAACAACAAAACAACAACAGCAAACAAATCACATGGGAAAATGATCTAATTCTTTTACATAAACTAAAACACAATAGCTTTATGGACAAAGCTTCAAGCTAAGTCCACAAGGGGTCTGAAAACTTACAGCATAAGAAAGTTATAGTCCTAAAAGCTTAAATTCAGCCACCCCAAAAGAAAACCATAAAAACTGCTCATAAGAAGTATCAAAGAAAACCCCACTTCAATTAATGAACCCCAAAAACATTACTGAAATTATGTAACAAAGATCTCCACAAAGTGAAACAGCTACCATTTCCAAAGCACCAACTGAAAATTGGAAGTGCCCAAATTTGCACGAAGGAAAAAGCCTTCTTCAAAAGAAAAAAGACGCAACAGAACAGAAAAAGAAGGTTCAAAGAAGAGCTGTAAAAAATTAAAAGGCCTACTAGAAGCAGTAATTAATCTAAAAAAGAACATTGATTTCAGTACAATAAATAAAGCCACCCTTCTCATTCAAAACCCTAGTCAGAATTTACAGAGAACCCAGAAAGACAGAGAAACTCAATTAAAAGTAGAGAGAGAAAGATACCCATTTCAGATTCCGTGCTTACTTTTTTGTATTCTCTGTGCTCTCTCATTCAAGGCCTTTCCTTTTTTGGTTTCAACACACCCACGCAAACAAAAATTAAAGCCTTTATTGAATTTCAGCTAGTACTTTTTCTTTTCTGTTTGTTCAGCGACAGAGCAACTCTGCTAAAAAAACAGTCAAAAAACAAAACCAGAGAAGAAACGTAGAGAGTTTTATTACTTTAGAGTGAGGGAAAGGAAGTGGTATTCGTCTATTTTGAAGAAGAGAGATGAAAGGGAAGAGTAACGGCAAAGGTCCTGCATTTATACCCACGCTTGCATCAAAAAGAGAGCTCTTTGATCATTAACCACCGCCACTGCTACTGTTAAAATATTACAAAACACCCCTCTTCTCTTCCTCCAAACTTCACTTCAATCCTTTGCTTGCTTCGTTCTATGTAGGAATATTTTTTTGAACTTTAATTATACCCATTTCATGAGCTAGCAACTGACACTGCCAACTCTCATTAGATGATTTTTTAACTATAGTAGTAATTTTTTTTTTTTTGTTTATCTTATTGTATTGTCCTTTTTTATTAAAAAAATTCTTGGGAGGAGAGCTTCAAGATCATTAATGGGGTTTGTTTGGTCAAGAAGCTAAAATCTAGCTCATTTCACACTTCGTATTTTTTTTTAGGGGGTTATTAATGGGGAGAGATACAAATTTAAATACCCATCTGGGTCATACGGTGGCCATTGTTATTAATCTGTGGTATCTTTCTCTCTTTGATAACTTGACTGTCTTCTGCAGGGGGGTAATTGTGAAATTGCAGCAATGGTACAAGTCCAAGGATATTGCTCTTGTTGTGGCAACTGGCAACTGTGAAAACGATCAAGCCAGACGTGTTGTTACATTGGCGGCGAAATATGGCATTGATACCTGCTTGCCAAATTGACAATGTCTTTATTCCTCCCACCAGCTGGCTACTCTCACACCAACTATCAATTAATTCAGTCTTCTTGCAGCATTGTGTTGGGAATTCTTTTATGAAAGTGATGATAATCATTACTTGCAATTTTATGGCAGTTTTTTTTACTTCAATATATGAACTGAACTTCTGTCAGCTTGGAGTTCAGTAATGGAAAATGATAAATATGAAGAGGAAAATTTTTCTAGTTAAGTTTCCAAGTTGTCCTGAATCTACTAATTTCTGCAATTTTCTTTTAGCAAATTGCAGAATCCCCAAGTAATCAAATCTAATGGCTATATGATCTGCTTTAGCTACATTCTCAGAGAGTTGACCAACAAATTTGAACGCATCTTTCCTACCTGTATAACCAAGGCTTACCTGGAGGAGGTAAGGTCATCCATGAACAATAAAAATTCTGTGAAGTGTGAACTATGTGTGGCAAATATTTTACTATATTATGCTATATCGAAGGACTGGACTGGATTGTCCCTTGCTTTCTCTCATGTCATTATTAGTTGGCCTTGGAACTTACAATTCTCAAAGACCTAAGCTTTAGAATAATGGAATCTCAGTCTCACTTTTACTTTACAAGTAAAACACTAAACTTTACTTAACCCTAAGCTCTATTAAAATGCCCATGTAAGAGGTAAAAATGATTTGTATGATTGGTTGGTTTTACTAGGTATGTTGGAGAAGAAAACAACAAAGTAAGGTTTCTGCATATATAAATATATAAAAATTCTTTAAGAATACATTGTATTAGAAACCACAAACAAAAAGTTAGAAGGGTACAGTGCAACTTCCCCTTTGCAAGGAAAAAGGAAAGCCTACCAATCTAATTAAACAAAAGGGCATCATATTCCTTAGTAACAAGAACTTGGCAAATGGGTTGTTGCCACCTACATTTGGTGTGCCCTTTTGTTGGAGGGAGCCCTATAGATTGGTGCCTGTCTGTAAACAAATGAATATAAAATAAAAAAATTTACAAATATTATAAGCAAGTAAGAGTTGGGTCATAGTTGGCAATGGCTCTCCTTTTGGGAAAAGGCTAACAAAACCAAGCTAATAAAATCCCATCCAAAGAAACATAGGATGGGAGTTGAGGATCCGAGATCTCTTAAACAAAGCTTCAGAGTTCTTTGACCTGAATCAAGGACTGTGTCATCCATAATAATTAGCATGTTTATATTCAATTTCTAACACTTTTAACCCCTTTTTATCTAAATTTTTATGAATTTCATGCAAGCTAAGGCCAAAGCTAATGTAGCATATGTAAAAAGGTCAGTCTTTCTATTATACGATATATAATATAATGTAGTATAACCGAAAGCTAGCGTGCTGAACAGTACTAAACATTTCAGTTGGATCTTGAATGGTAGAGAATGAGATGAATGTCAGTTGAGTCTGAAAAATGAAATAATAAAAAATTTAAGTTTTTATGAATTTCATGCAAACATATCATTGCATAGCATGATGAGGGATGTTGTTGAACGATAGTTTTCAAACTTTTTGATACTAACTTTTGGCCTAACTTTTTTCTCTCTCTCAAAAACCCTAATTTCATAAGATTCACCTTTCCTCGTTAGAAGATGCTCACTTGAAAATGCTAGTAACTTTCCTGTACCTCTAACTTTTTTTTTTCCTTCAATTTTTTTCACTCTTTCACTTTTTTTTTTTCCCAACTTCCAATCCACGGATGGAAAGAGTTGAAGTTAACTATCTCATCCTAGGAAAGGAACTGACCAAAAAAACAAGGGCTTTTTTCCACTGTCTGTCACCCTTCATCGGATATTTTGATAACTATCTAGCCTTGATCAAACATAGTTTTCGTATTGAATTTAAAATTTAATTTCGTTGGTTTATACAATCATTTTAAAAAAATATTATCTAATAAATTTAAATTTTAAAATATTTACTATTTCTCCCTTTTTCTCGAACTGTTTACTCAAACTAGAAGGATTGACAATCTATTTATCTGCTCACAAACTTTGCTTAACAAAAGAATTCTTTGTAATTTGTTTTTTAGCAAAGCAAAGTCTTACAAAGGTTTGGTACAATTACTGACACGTTGCCATCTTGTCGAAGAAAGCTCATATAACTAATCATGTATGAAAATTAGTCCAATATAATGTACAAAGTTTTTTTTCAAACCTGTCAACTATCATGGGGTTTTGCATGTATTATTGATGGATGCTGATGGCCTTAGACTTTTGTTCTACTCATTTTGTCTTAGTGATCCGATTTTTACCAAATTATGAAATAAAAATGTTTCATTTTGTTTTTTTCATTAAGATCCCATTAAATATTTAAATTAATCGAGCAACACAAAATAATTATATAAATTAATTAAACTAAACTTGAAATTATATTGCGTTTTGATTTGCATGGAATGCCACAAAATCAAGGGCAATTGACAACCTTAGAACATATTAGTAGTTTGACAAACAACCATAATTGCTAAACTTTTTTTTTAGCATGTCATGAAATTAATCATTCTCGAACTTAATTATTTTAAAGTAGAAATTATTTTATGAAAATGAGTGGATAAGAGAATCGAACTGTAAAGTGAAATGAAAAACCTAATTTGAATGTTCATTGTTAGTACATTCGAGTGGTCGGGATGCTATGAGCCAACCAAAAATAGTATTTACAAATTTAGCAATTTATTCTTTGGTGAGTGAAATGGCCTAACCTGTTGCCAAGCAGGCACAAAGATAGACATGTTAGTTAAATATCTAGTCTAAATTCTAATATGATAGCATGCTTTAGGAGAAAGGTCTTTGATGCCTTTAGTACTTAGAAGGCATTGTTTTTCTTATTAAAGTTAGAATGGATAAGAAGGAGCCTACATGTACATTTTGAAGGTAAATGTTTCAAAGAAATTTCTAGGGTTTTGTAAGCATGTTTTCGTGGTGGGTTTTTGGTGTTGTTTGGTATTCTAAAATTGGTTTGGTACAGAAAGTTTTTTTGGCAATGATACAAATATAACAAATCCAATATATAATTAATATCGACCTCAAATATCAAAATTTTCATAATTAATTTCTTACTTGAAAGAGAAAAAAAATCCAAAGAATCTGATTATAAAACGTAAGCTCCATTACAGGGATGGATCCGAAGTTTATACTTAGTGGGAGGGCAAAATTATTATAGTAATTATCAATAATATTAGTATAATAATTTTATGTTTACATTCCAAACCATTACTTTTTTTTCACATACTTTTTAATATTACAAAATAGTCCAACTTAAGAATTTTTTTTACAATTAATGGGGTCTAAAACCAAAAAAAAAAAGGATTTATTTATAATAATTTCACTTACCTTTCTTATATTCTAGCGGGGGGCAAAATATAAAAATCATTAAAATTTTGAGTAATTTTATAATGATTAAAATTAATTTTCAAGATTTCAGTGGCGATAGCTACCCCACAATCTCTACCCTAATTCCGTCTTTGAGCTCCGAAGTTTTTAACAAAAATTGCAAGTATCACTTTGGTATTCGAACTTATGAGAAATGTTCATCATTGAATTTCAGGTAAATGCGACTAAGAATTTATGTAAAGAAAAAAAAAATGAAGAAAATGAAGGGGAATCAAGCTGTATGCATTGAATTGAAGTATGTGTAAATATAAAATAGAAACAAAAGAAATCAACTGAATCGAACCATACAAATCTTGATATAGGCCTTTGAGGATGGGGTCCTGCACAAAGTGTATCTGGACTACAACATATTGTTTAAGAGGCCCGAATTCAATAATTTGTATGGGCTACGTGACCAATTTTTCTGGTTTGGTGGTCCGAACTTTATATGTGTTGGGCCCCAAAAGGTTAAACATTTTTTTTTGTTGTAAAAGAGGACTAGTGCCCTTAGAAGGAGGAGGGCGGATAGCGGGATCTAACCCACGTCTATATGCTAAAATCAGAAAGAGTGACAAATAATCAGAAGAAAGTGACGAATGATCTGAAATGTTATAAAATTGCAGGCTTTCTAGCACAAATTCTTTTGGTAAACATGTGATAACTTCAAGATTGTAATTTTTTTTTTTTTTTTTGGCATCTCAATAATTCAACGTAGGTCCCCTGGTAGTTGCTAACGTGTGCCGCCACGTCATTTCTTCCCCTAAACCATCACCCACTGTCATTGACATTGACTTGCTAATACACCCAGGACTCATTTTAGACTCTTTCAAGGGCTCTCGTTAACAGACAGATCAAAGAGCATCAACGGTATTATGAAGAGGTAGTTGAAAAGGGTAATGAAAATTCTTCTTTGGCTGATCCATTTCCTTCCCAAGAATTATCAAAACCCCATCAAGATTTTGCTCTCAGGTACCTCTTTTTCATCTCATTTCTTATGTTCCTGGCCAAGTGTTCTTGTTCTGAACTAAACTATAACTGTAGCTGTTTCTTTTTTCTTCTTTCTTTTCTGTTATGTTATAATTGCATGTTCATTTATTGTGGGAAAATATGACAGTTTGGTCACTTTAAATTCTAGTTGGGATTTGGGATTAATGGGAGAGAATCATATCTGGTGTTGGCTTGGTTTCTTTGAATGACTGCCAATCTTTGACTCTAGGATCTTTGACTTTTCATCTCATGTTGGTGGAAGTATTAGTGAAGAACTGATATAAACTTTTTATTGGATTTTCATCTGAATCTTATTGTAGAATTTAAGTCTCGAATCGTTGTCAAAAATGTGGAAATTGATGAATGTTCCATTACTATTACTGATGGGGATCATTAAGATTTTGGATTGCATTTTGCATCATGGTTAGGGAAGCTTTCAAGTTCCAAGAAGAGTTAGTTAATAAATATGACTGATTTTATTGCTTTATGGTTAATTTGTCTTTTTCAATTTGCTTTCACAACTTAAAAAGAGGAGAGACCTGAGTGAATGAATAGTGATGTGCATCAATGGGTTTTCTTTAGCTGAATTTTACTGCATACTGGTTAGATAGAACCCAAAATTTGTGGCTGAACACTGCTTTAAAACAATGTGATTTAGTTGTTGTTGTTCCGGAAGAACATTTGATGTTAGGATTATCTAGGTCATGTTTGTTGAGTAGTTAATTAAACAAAAAAAATCAAATGCTTCGATCCAATTTTACAGATTTGCACAATTTATCCAAGAAAGCAGGGAGGTAACCTGCTACAAGTAATACTGTACAAAAACTAACAGGCTATACAACAAGTATAGCCATATACAATGTAAATAATTTACAAGAAATCAAAAAGTCACTAGCTCTTACAAAGAAAAACATGCTTGTCCTTTGTTGCCTGTGAGAAGTCCTGCAATCTGAACCTTCTAGTATCAAGAATACAGTTGAAAATTTCAAACTGCCTACTGTTCCTTTCCTGCCAAATGAAATAAATGCATGCATTCCAGGCTAATTTGAGCATTACAACCGGCAAAGATTTTCCCTTCAATGACTTTATTCAACCAAATTCATCTGACCAGTTTCCCACATCCCTTTGAATTCCAGAACAATACAATAACTTGCTCCATAACTGCTTAATATAGGAGAAAGAAAAGTATAAGTGATCTCTATCTTCATCAACTTGCTTTCAAAGAAACATAAGCAGTTGGCAATAGGAACATGCCAAGAAGAGAGTCTGTGCAAAGTAGGCAGCTTGTTAAGGATAGCCATCCAAGCTATCAGCACATGCTTAGGGAGATTATGCTGAAACCATGGCATCTTATCCCAGTTTACATTTGTTCTTCATTGATGTGAGACAGTAAGTTTTATGGTACATTTTTCTTTTGCTGAATTTTTGTGGTGCATTGTTGCTATCATGATTTTATATGTACTAAAAGCTGTATTTAAAGATCAATTATCTGTATGCATAAATGTTGTGAGACATAATAGTCACTCACATAAGCACATCCATAGTACTCCCAGTTTCACATATAAGAATTAGTTGCAAAGCTTTAACTTGTAGCAGTACAATGGAACAATAATTGAGCCGTGGAAATGAATGACTTTAATGGTTGCAAAGACATAACAATAATGCTGACTTTTGCCTTTTCTTTTTTTTCCTCCTTTCCTCAGGTAGCTAAACAAAGAATTGAGCCATGGGAACGAATGGCTTCAATGTTGATGATAAATATATGTATATGGGCAATCCAGAGTCAAATACAGTTCATGAAGAGGCCTCGTCAAATGGAGAGGGCATCCATGAAATGCAAAATACCATTTTAAACACAGTTGACTTGGACTTGGCATATTGTAATGAAAAATTGGTAAATTTGCATGTAATTTTGATGCTCCTTTTGGGTTGGGACAATGGTCCTGGAGCAATTAACTCAGCAAATAGTGATATTTCAGCTCAGTTTATTGAGAAGGCATTGGCGTTTGATCTTTTATGTGGAATTTTAGATTCTGAGTTAAGGGAAGTGGAAACTGTCTTGGATCCTGTTCAAGCTGAGATTGTTGATGCTCGTCATAAAATATCTTCATGCAGACATTTGGGAACAGTATTCAATAAACTGGAAAAGAAGCTGCATGATTCTGAAGAATCCATGAAAAAGTGTCAAGAGCTTGTCTTGGAGTTGAAGATGCAGTCATCCAAGCTGCAGGGTTCCTCTTCATATTTCAGACATGATAACTGTAAGTTTGAACTTAAGTTCATCACATAACATTAGAACATTAAGTTAAAAATGTAGCTTATAATTTAAGAGCTTGCCCAATACAAACAATGAAGTTCCCCTGATAAACAATTAACATATTTTTGTTTTATTTTTTATCGTTATACCACTCTGAGAGATGCATATTAATAGGGAACAATGACAAGGCCATGGATATATCTGAACAATATCAGCTATCAAACATCATTGGAAAATCAAAAGTACTGGATGTTAAACAACAAAGACATATTCTAAGGATGCTTGAAAAATCACTTGCAAGGGAGCTAGATCTTGAAAAGGAATTATCAGAGTCGGGTCAAAGCCAAGAACAATTAAAACTGAAGCTACATTATACTGAACAAGTAGCTGTTCGCATGGAAGAGGCAGCAGAAGTTGTTTGGGGAAGGTTTCTAGAGGCAGAAAATGCTGCTGAGGTGCGCATGGGAATTGCAAAGGAACTGGTAGGTCGACTTCAGATTGTACAGTTTAACCTGAATGGTTCAATTCAACGAGAAGCGGAGCTCAAATATAAACTCGAAGGTTGCATTGAAGAGTTAAATACCAAAGATATTGCATTAAAAAGGCTTGAGAGCAGCAATGCAGAACATGCTGCAAAAGCTTCAGAAGTATTCACTTTGAGGAAGAAGGTGAAATTACTCGAGGAACAGGTAAAAGAATCTGAGCTACAGCTGAAGAGCGCAAATGCCACCAATGAAACAAGTCAAGAGCATCTTCATGAAATGGAAATCTTTATTGATTCACTGAAAGAAAGGATTTATGAAGCAGAAAGTAGGGCTGAAAGTGCAGAAGCCAAAGTTACAGAGTTAACAGATGCAAACTTGGAACTTACTGAAGAGTTGAATTTTCTTAAAGGTAATAATGATAATAACACAAAGAAGGTGACCTCACTTGAGAAACAGTTGAGAGAATCGGAGATTCAACTACAGCATGCAAAAGCATCTTCTGAAGCAAGTCAGGAGCAGCAGAACATGCTTTACTCAGCAATTTGGGATATGGAAACTTTAATTGAAGATCTAAAATCAAAGGTTTCAAAAGCTGAAAGTAAGACTGAGAGTGTGGAGGAGCAATGCATTATATTGTCTGAATCTAACTTTGAACTTAATAACGAGCTAGGCATCCTGAGGCATAAAATTGAATGCTTAGAGACATCTTTGGACAAAGCTAACACTGAAAAAGATGCAAATGCAAAAGAAATAAATTACAGGACAAAGGTAATCACAGATATGGTTACCCAACTAGCTACAGAAAGGGAACGCATTCAAAAGCAGGTATAACTTTATTTTACTGTGATATAAACAAAAATAAAATATGTCCTCTGCTCTTGAAATAAATTCCTATGGTATCCCGCGGAATTGAGTTGTTTTACATGATTTTGTGTGTACATGTACTATCATGTTGGAGCTGGAAAAGAAAATGACAATAAGAATCATAATGATTATGCATGAGTGACTAGCATTTTCTTTTTTCCAACGTAGTAGCTTTTTTTTGTGAAACAAATGATTAGTTGACTGATCTAAACATTCTTATTGAGCTAAAACCTTCAGTTTAATTCTTTTAAAAATGTTCTTTGCAGCTATTGTCACTAGTAAAGGAGAAGGAAATATTGGTGAAAAAGTTACAAAATACAGAGAAAACTGACTCTACATCGGTCTACAACTCTGGAGATGATGAATGCGGAGAGATATCTGTTTCCAAGAGTGGTTCAATTAAAGCTACCTGCACAGAAACATTCAAGAAAGCAGTTCTCTCAGCCACAAGTGTACAGACAGGTACTCTTCAGGTTTTTCTCTAGTTGATGCAAATGCAGTCAAAGATGTGGGTCAAGCATGTAATCAGGAAGAGTATATTTCATCTGTATCCACTTTTGAGGCACACATTATATGCAAAGTAATTTATCTAACATCCTAATGTTGTTAGCATTGGTTCTTTGTATGTTGGACTCCAATTACCCCTCTGCCCTCTCTAACCATAAAATTGTGAATGCACTTATATGACCATGTTGGTTGATTGGGAGTGTCTCATGATATGAAAGTCATATTGTAGTTTCAGTTATTATTACACATTTCAACTGAATGCTCATCTCACCTTTTGTGCCAATATTTATTATTACTGTAAGGGTTCATGGAGCATTGATAAGATTTGATGGATATGCCTCGAGTGATAGTGTTTTTCTTAGCAAGTCATCCTAAATGATATTGAACAAGAACATCATTCAGAGAATTATGCTGCACACTGATGAAGATTTTGAGTCAGCTTTTATGTTGAATATAATGGTCATATATACATAAAATTAAAAACCATAATTCATTTGAATCATCTCTACTTTTCCTTCTGAAACAGGTGGATGAACAATCAAAATATGCATCTCTTTGTATGACTGCAGTTGGTCCCGGTGGTGGCACTGGCAAAGTTTCAAGGGTGGAAATTGCGAAAAAAGGAAAACAGGCCACCTCAAGCTGCTATACATTTTGATAGCAATTCTTATTGCACTATTTTCTGCATTAACTGTATATTTGTTGAGTGAGAAACCTGCCTTCTTTGATTCTTTTTGATGGCCACTGAAATTCTGTTTTGCTGGCGCCCATTTTGCCCTATGATGTATATTTCTTGCTATTTTGGATTGATGAGTGCACATTCATTACCATATCATGCAACAAAGTGAATTATCCTTTACTTGTCATGTATCAGGTTTGAGAATGGGGATAAGTCTCCTACCATTATAATTTGGATCTTTCTGACTATTTCATGTTTAAACAAGAAAAGACAGCAGGGGTTTATGTCATAAAGTTATAGTTCAAGGTTTAATATCTTGTAGAATTCGATTTGAATCAATAATTCTATTTAAAAAAATTATCAATTCATAATTGAATTGAGTTTTGAAATTTTAAAATATTACTCAAAACAAATCAAATTTAAATCCGATTAAATCCATTATCACTCTTAACTCGATATGAAATGGGTTTCAAAATTTGCATTTAAGCCCCTATATTTTTTTTTATATAAATAGTGGGAAGAAAAGAGTGGAACAAAGCGTAAATATTGGAAATTTATAAACCCAGAATTGAATTATGAAAATCGGGTGCGTCATCGTTTTCTTTGCGACCACTACTATAAATAGCGTCTCATCTCTTAAACCCTAATCTGTCAAAAGGAGTGGTTCTTGAAAACAATTAGCACGGAATGGCCCCTTGCTTCTAGAAGTTTCCAGTTGCAAGGAAAACTCGAGAAAAGGGTATGACCAAAGGTGCAAAATAGACACTTTGGCACCTTCATTTAATTTTTGGTTTGAAATCAATCTGACCAAAACAATGTTTGGTGCCAGAAAAAATGTATCTTTTTTTTTTTCTGAATAATTGCAAAGCAAAATGATGAAACTTGCTTAAAATCTGAATCCCCCGTGTGGGAATCCCATTCTGGGTCTTCAAAGTTCTCTGATTGCTTGCAAAACTATGTTTTTTGTTCGATTCATTGCTTCCAAGCATGGGTTTTTTTTTTTTTTTTGTCTGGAAAGCAAATTGAAGAGATTTGTTTAATCGTTGAATTTGATGTGGAATTTCCATATCGTTGTAATGGTCTTCAAAGTTCTTTGATTGCTTTCATATATAAGAGCATCGGTTTGCCATGGCAATAAGCTAAAGTAGCCATCTTAGAGATAAAGCTCGCAAATTTTTTGCTCGTCTCTATATCTAATTGATACTTCTTTTACCCTTTTGGCCCTTTTTTTGGCTTTGGTTCAATGGAGGTTTAAGTATGAGTAATGATGGTATAATTGATTTGCTGTTATAGGTTTTGAGTAGTTGAGGAGCAAAGAGAATTGGTTGGCACCAAAATTCATAGTCTGTTGTGTATGTAATATTTCAGGCTATACGAGCATGGTGCGATAGAAATGTATCTTCTTTTTGTTCACCACTAGCTAGAGTTGCAATTTTCAATGACTGGTGCAGCAAGAACTGGGAAGAACACATGCCTTACTTATTATTTAATCCCTCTTGTTATAGTCATACTCTTGCATTTGCAGGCTGTAGCACGGCTGTGCTTCTTGACTTGTAGTCCTGAAAGTGTTTTATTTTTTCTATGTCAATACTACTTGCTTGTGTTAAAATGGAAAACCATGCTCTTGAGTAATAACATATCATTATGCCTATGAGATTTGAGACTAGTGTAATTGTATATAGGTTGGGGATATTTGTTTTGCTAAGTGGACTAGGCGACAATTTTCTTTGCCTTGAGAGTCATCTTGATGAAATCAAATGTTGTGTAGTAGATGCATTATAATGCACACAATTCTATTTTTGTTTTGATTTTTTTGTTAAATTGGCTTGATAATTGATATGATCGACTGTGCATCTTTTTTGGCTTTAGAATGAAACTTTTGAAACCTTGGGATAAATGATTTATGCTCAAATCACAAGGTTGGAAGAGGGTAATGGAATGAAGCTATTTTGCTGGCTGAAGTTGAGGCTAAAAATAAGTGGGATGGTGTGAAAAACTAGATAGCTGAAGGAAGATTTTGAAGGCAGTAGACTGGTGATTGGATTCAGTTACTCGATTAGGCTACCGGATCTCCTTTGTGGACATATATCTGGAGAGAAAGACCATAGAAGATTTGGCTTGATTTTGCACCATTTGAAGTAATGTTGAAAATGGCATCTTTTGATGAAATTCGGTTCTGAAGGCACTGAAGGATAGAGCTAAAGTCTGAAATCAATGCAAGGATACAATCATAGGGAGACTAAAATTGTGAAGAGTTCTAAATTTGCTTTGTAACTTGAACCTGGCCTTAAAGGATGCAATTTCTCCTGCTGGATTTCTTTTTATAAATAGGATTCATGGCTGCCCTATTCAACTCGATATTTTCCTCACTATTCCAGTTTTCCTTGGATAAGTAGATTTTTTCCTTCACTTAAAACCCCATTGGTTTTATTTCTTTACAGGCTAGCATATGATAACCAAGTCACTGATTCTCACTGCTGCTTCAGTTTGTGCTTGAATAAAAGTTGTCAAAACTTCTTATGGCGCAAGTCACATCAATTTACTTTTAGGATGAGACCAAAATCTCATTTTTATCCACGACATTCGCATTTGCTCAATGAGAAGCAGAATCAGTGCACGGAAATCCGAGTCTAGAAAGCTAAAAATCATTGTAATTGCTTCAATTCTAGTCGCTAGCATGATTGGCGTGTGCTCACCACGGTTTCCCTTCTCTTGCGCGCATTTAGACCCGACAAGGATTTATTCATGGTGGTAAAGGCATTTGCTTCCAGGGTTATTCTAGCAACAGGTTACATGCACGTGTTACCGGACTCTTTCCACGACATCATGTCTGATTGTTTGCCTGAAAATCCATGAAGTTCCCTTTCACGACTTTCGCGGCAAGGCTATCGGCCCCCGATGGTGGATTCTTTTGCCATGAGTATGTGCAAGAAACGTTCAGCTAAAGCTTTATTGGCGGATAAGGTTGAGATGTTGAAAAAGTGGAGTAGCCAAATGAAGAGTTTCGGACAGGGACATGGCCATGCACTTGAGAAGATAACAAGTAACGATGGCAAGGATGATAAAGAATCACAATTGTTTATTCACAATCGTTTTATTGCTCAGGTTACATTAGAGCGTCAATGTTATCTGACATAGAATTTGGTCTATGGAGTTATCTTGGTATTGATTACATAATCATGCAAGCAATTAATCACAAACCTTTTTATTCTAAATGCAGGTGTTAGAGTTGGGAATTATAGTTCATTCAGTGGTGATTGGTCTTGCCATGGGAGGCTCTGACAACCGGTGCACCATACAATCACCCATTGCTGCTCTTTGCTTCCAGCAAATGTTACGAGGAAATGGGATTGGGGGAATGTATATTACAGATGATCCAACTCTCTATTCTCTGTCAAACACCAATTTTTTATAATCTTTTAGTCTATTGGTGAACATTCTATTTTATCTTCAGGCTGAATATAAGCTCAAAATGAAAGCAATCATGGAATTCTTCTTTTCTGCTACTACTCTGCTTGGAATTGTTCTAGGTTGATTTGTCAAGGGTTTACAGTGAGACCAGCCCAACTGCACTTATAATAGTAGGACTACAAAATGCTTGCTCAGCAGGTTTGCTGAATTATATGGCTTTGGTAGAACTCCTGGCAGCTGAATTTATGGGCCCTAAGCATCAAACAAATATGAAGCTCCAGGCTTGATCATATGTTGCAATTTTACTAGGTGCTGGATTTATGTCTCTGATGACAAAATGGGCTTGGTTCCACATGTACTCAAATCCTACTAGTTTTTAATTGCTTCTTCCATAGTCATACTAGAACAATAGATTTCACTATTGTTGGGAGATATCTGGATTCCGGAATACATCACAATTCTTCAAAAATCAGGAAGGCGTTGCAGTTTGTCGAGGTTCCCAACTCACTTGTGGCCCAAGAAAACAATCTTTGCCTGTTTAATATGAACCCCGTAGCTCTGTAGTAAAGTTTCAAAAAAGTATGATCATAAATTTTAGGCTTTAGGCTTTAGGCTTTGTTTCAGAGCCACATGCCAGCCAACCAAGACAAATTAAATTGTTTAATTACAATTGCATAAAAACTTCCTCGATCATCCATAGGGATTGATTGGGGTCAAAAGGGTGGTCTTAAATATCGATAATGCTTCTGTTTATGTGTTTGTCCATAAGTTCTGATGGATCAATGGTTAAAGCTGTTTAGAGCAATATTCCAATTTTGCTAGTTTCTAAAGATGAAGATAGACCAAGTGACTAACATCAATAGTGACCACATACCAAAAGAATTACAAAGAAAAAGAAGAGTACGTAGCAGAATAATCGACAAAGTTGATAATGTGATTATACCATACACGTTTGAATGTATGAGAAAGGAAAAGTATACTTCGCAAACAATTTGTCCTATTCAAAAAATGGGGAGGCCAATAGGTCTAAAGTGTCCCCTCGTGCAATAAAAAATGCACTCATTGCCACTCAAGACCTTTCGCATATGGCTCTGGCTCCTTGCGAGTGGCTTTGGTATACCCTCTAGGTCCATAGATAACTTTTCACAGGGAAGATGAGGAATTAGCTATATGCAGGAATGTGCTTCCTGGATCATTCTCGAGCGTATAGTCAACACCAAGTATATCTGTAACAAATTTTTAAAATCTCCGAGTACAAGAAATATGGTACAGGACAAAAAAAACTAGTATTTGGCAGATAAATGTATCCAGTACTAGGTACAAGATGCTCTAAAATGAGGCAACCAACTCAGTTGCAGTACTTAAGCAGCCATCCTGTTATTTGACACATTTATGTTCTGTTGTGCTGAAAGCCTTCAACAGTGATATTAACTATAATAAGATTAAATATACAATGAGATTGAGACCTTTTCTAATAGTTTTCTTATTCTTAGACAAGAAACAAACAGATCGTTGTACAGTATGCTCTTATGTTATATGCTTAATCCAATAGATTAAGCAATGTCATAAATGGGAAATCAGAGTTTGATATAACTTGGTCTACTGTCACATATGTATACAACCATGGTTTAGTTAACCCTACTTCAGTTCATAGTCTGTGAACTGTTGAAACTTGTGCTAGTCCCATGATGCAATTTACTTGCTAATGGAGACACCAAAGTTTGAAGTTGACATGCTTACGCCACTTTTCTGGTTAGGTTCAAAACCGATGATGATGGTAAATAAAGCATGGCACATCTCCACAAAGCCAGTATGAGTATGTTGCTTGTGTATTTGTCATTAGTGAATTGGCCGGTTAATGCGTGGGGCTAATGATCAGGCTTGTGGCTCAGGGTACTTGGAGAATCCCCTTGATCATTCCTGCAGGAATTCAAATAATATAAGAAAGTTGTGCATATCAACCTCTTAATGCTGATTCGTTCTCAGGAATATGGTATGAGATCACTAAGCAATCGACCTATTATTTACCAGAACGAACTTAGGTGTTTCCATTGGATTAATTGCAAGACAAAGTCACAAGAGATGTGGACCTTCATCATGATGAATATTCTGATGGATAGAGATTGATCACTGTGGCACGTCTATTGGTTGCAAGTTTGGCAACACTGTGCTTTTAGGATTGTCCTAGGAAGAATATGGTTGGGACACCGATCCTTTCATGAACAAAATATCCAATGATCGATGAATGGCTCCTGTAGGAAGCCATGGAGCTATAAAAGCTCAATACATGGCACTATTAAACCAAAGCCAGAGGGATAATGAAGATGTAGTAGTACTGATTTATATAATATTGAGATATCCATATTGTTGTGGATTAAGACCTTGATAAAGTTACATCAGGCCAGAAAACAAGCATGCAAGTCAATAATATTCTAAACGCACCATCCACCATTATTATTATAAAACAAACAAACTATGTGTCATTGACAACAACGCCATGTGAAGATTTTGAAAAATATCAGTAAAAAAAAACTGATGAAATTGCATCTTTTAGTAAGAAATGTGGAATAAGGATCATGAAATATAGCAGAAGAGGAAAAATGGTCATGACCTTATCCTTTTTGAACCTATTACTCCAAAATGTGATGACCACACGAAAGAAAACAAATGGGAAGAAAGAAAAAAGTGTGGTTGTTAAAGTGGGAAGAAAGTGGAGACAGTGCATATTTGGTACAGGTGCTGGTTTTGAAAGCAGATGCTGATATGGTAGCCTGTGTGGTCACAGAATTTCCAAGGGACTCCTACCATTACTGAAAGCAGCCAATTGTTTGAGACAACAAATTTTTCAGAGGCAGTACTAAAAGTAACCCACACCCTACATTGCATAACCTGAATGCATGATGAATGAATGTTTGCCAATATGCAAGTATAAAGCAGATACTTCTGCTACAATTGCCATGGCTTCATTTCTTTTGATGAACATTCTCCCAAGATATTACATGCCCTAGCATTATGCCTTAGTTTCATCATGAATTTGGATACAACCATGTTGTTTATGGACTCGGGGCCTCAGGCACATATTTTCGCACATTGGCACAAGTGTGCAAGGGAGAGAGACTTCATATGTTGGGGTTGAGTTGACGGGCTGTGCAATTGGGTGCAGGAATGGTGCACCAGGCACCCATGGTCACTAGTAAGAAGGACCCACTTGGCATAATTATGTGTTTCAACTCAAAATGTTACCCTCTAAGATGATGCTTGGCACCAAATGGATTAGGCGTTAAATCCAGTCCCCTTCCGTGCGTAGCACTTCTTTCACATTTGTGGTGCTCCTTCTCCTACCCTGTCTGCATACTAGCTATAGAAACATATTAGGCCAGGACCCCAAAACCCTTTTTGAAGAAAGCAATTGCGTAAGCCATTTATCATCCCTTTTATTCTTCTTTAACTTTTCAAACTTTTTTGTTGTTTTCTTTAATTGGTAGGACCCAAAACCTTAGCTCATCTCCAATTTGCCAATGATTAATCAAATTAAGGCATTTTCGTTTATTAAAGAAAGAGGTCCAATTTTAGGCAGTATACAGGATTAACCCTGTATGTTGTGCTTCAAAAACTAAATATATTTGACATCACAGTTGGCACAGTTTTCTGGCATTAGTGCTAATTGCTAGACTGCATGGCATGGCCTGTGTAATGAAGGATTGAAGTCTGGTAATTGATATGGACTGCATAAGACAGTCAGTGTTGTGAAGGATCAGATTTCCATGCAATATTGCATGCATGCCACAGCTACCTTTACTGCACCAATTTAAGTTAGTGCAATTGCAGCTTTGCAAGGGGAGAATCAATTCTTTAAATATGATTACATTTCACATACTTCATTTTATTTTATCTGTTGCTATCACAAGTTCAGAACGCTCAGTGATTGAAGTTCCTTGGCAGAAAGGATGTGACTGATACCACAACATTTATGAATAGGGAAAATTTTGACTTACATCATACAGTATGGTCAAATTACTAGTGATAAATGTCAATTGCTCATATTCTGCACCTGAAATCATGGATGCAGCAGCTAATTTGCCATTCACCTTCCACAAATAGCATATACTATGGTACCCACATGCTCTCAAGTTGTGGGAATAACCTATCCCACCTTTGTGTATTTTTCTCCCCACAAAACTTACTATCAGTCAATCATGTCTGGTCCAACTCCTTTTGGCAGCTTTAGTTTTTCAGGTGTAGCTCAAAAAGTTTGGCTTTGATTCTTCTTTTTCATGTGTGTGGAGTACATGAAAGGTTTTGAACTTCTCCCAAATTTCTCATTCATGAAAGATCACAAATATCTGCATTCTTCTTGTTCTTCCAGATAATGGAATAAAGCAACCTTTCTTATTCTTCAATCTACTGATCTAGCTAGTAGGTATATGATCCATGCCAACAATAGCATTCAAAGACAATAACTATTATTTTCGCAGTTGAGTACACATTATACAGACAAAATCTCCTAAAGGAGAACAGAAATCTTCAAAACCCTGAGAAAATGTTATGTTATATGGAGTACTTGATGATTAACTGAAATAAACAAACCTTTTTCCTAAATTTAGAACATTTTCTTATACAATCCTTTCCAGCTATCAGTCTTCTGCAATAGCTTAGTCAAAGATCACTGAGATTTATGTCACCCTCTTAAGGGCAGTTCTGTAGTTTAACCCAATAACTTGTGAGGTATTGTTCACTTTCACCATAAGGTCTCACAATTTTGTCTCACAAAAAACGCCTCACAAGTATGCATTTAAGTCTCTACATATATGTCACAGTGAATTCTCACAATATCTCGATTTGAGTTTGGGGCGTTAGAGGAAACAGCCTTTGTAATTACAAGTTCATAATAGGTGGGGGCGTAACTTTGCTGCATTTGACTTCGGCACAGCCTAGCTAGGAGGGGAATAAGGCATCCAGAAGTCTGTTAGAACTAGGACTGTAGGACATTAGGAATATTAAGGCTACATTCTGTAACTCAAGTATAATATTTTGTCATCATTTCTATGATAGCACCTTTTTCCTCTTGCATTCATGCATAGACATGAAGCTGTAATGATAAATTAGCATCAGTGCAGAATATTTTCCACAGATTTTAAATGAATTTAGCATCCTAGAGTAGTTCTTTTAGTGGGGAATCACCTAGCCTTTGTAGTGTTATCAAACAAAGCAACAAATTAGATGTGGGTAGAATATTGTACTCCATTAACAAATAGCAGATAACATGCATTTGCAAGTTGCTGCCTCTGAGATTTGCCAAGACTTTTTTTATCTAATCTTCTTTTATTAATCTCTCCCTTATCATGCTTGAAAGTGGACCTCAAGGGATGTAGATTAACAGCAATGTATAAACTAATCATCAACAAACAACTGATTATGTACTGACAAAGATACTGCAAATTTCTTAGTTCAGGCACAAATAATATTACTTTAGGTACTTTCATGGTAAACATGCCGATCGATGATAGGCCATTAAAGAATAACGAAACTGATAACCTGTGTAGCTCAGTTCAATGAAGGACAATAAGATTGCTGGGATTTAGGTACCTGATATTAAACCATCTAGATAATTGCACTCTTATGGGACCCTCCGATATCTTAAATTTAAGTGCTTAATGAGTCATCTGATTATAATAAAATTAGTCATAGAAACTATGCTTTATTTAATGGTTTACCTTTTAAACGGGACTTCATTGCATCATCAGGCACAAGGCCTTACTCCCTGCTGGAGTTTTGAAGTATGAAAAATTCTCCAGAGATAGACTTTAACGCATTTCTCATATCAGATGCCAGATGATTATCCAAATCTGAAATTTCTATGGCATGCTTACACACCTAAACTGATGCATGCATGCATAGATACATAATATGTGTCATTAGATCATGGTTGCAACATCTAGAGCAGCACTGTTGCCTTTAGAAGTAATGTATGTGATGTAAAGCAAGTGGTGTATCTACTACCACAGCATACATAAATAAGATAAGCGACATTCACATTAATGATAAATTTTCCAATTCTGCTCTTGTAATCCCTGATACTGTTACACTTGTTGCTGAAACTGGCCCACCTCAGAAGCCATTTTCCTCCTATAAAACCTTGCCATGCATTCCATCCTTCCCTACCTTCAAGGGCTGTACAATCACTGCAACACATTACAACCCTTCAGCTAGCTTCAGGCATAGACTTCAGAACTTAAACCATGCTTACTGGTGAGCTCACCGGACTTCACTTCGTAGCACCAGAAAAACCAATCCTGATTCCAGCCAACCTTGGCATGATGCAAAATACTATACCAGCTTTTCATTTCAATAGATTCTTAAGCAGCCTACCCAATTTCCACATCCCACCACTTGCTCATGAATTCACTGCACAGTCCACAAGTCTCAGCAATCATTCAACTTCAGATGAAGCTGAGGAACACCAGCTCAGCATCATCGATGAAAGGAAACTGCGAAGAATGATATCTAATAGAGAATCTGCTCGTCGGTCAAGGATGCGGAAACAGAAGCACCTGGATGAACTTTGGTCACAGGTAATCAGGCTTCGCAATGAGAACCACTGTCTCATAGACAAGTTAAATCATGTGTCGGAGTGCCACGACCAGGTTCTTCAAGAGAATGCGAGGCTCAAGGAAGAAGCCTCTGATCTTCGCCAAATGCTGATAGACCTAAAAATAGGCAGTCCTTATTCTCTTGCATTGACAGAGCTGGAAGAGGTTCCCTGCAACACTGCTCACCTAAGAGCTGAGTCGACAAACCAATCCATTGATAGCTCTGTAGACTTGCTTCATTAAGATGAGAGTTATCTTGCCACATATAACTATTTTATGTTCCTCAGTTTGCTACGGATGTTAATCAAGCCTTTTCCTTGGTATGAGCTGTATGAGATTAGAATCAAACCATGCAATAACATCTTTTGATAATTTTATCCTAACTCAGCTTAATGGTCTACACACGTCACCTAAATAATCCATAGTTTGAAGCAACTGTTTGTAGCTCTTCTCGCCACATATAACATTCCAGAGCAGAATATGTGAAAATGATATCTGCAGTGGTCCATCAGAAGCAAATCAAACACTCAATCATGACTTTTATCTATTAATCATTTTATGAACCCCAACAAATCTGGTTATAGAATTTCACCTAAGATATGGATTAGAGAAAGAACAGTAAATAGCACTGAGATACGAACAAATAGAAAATCCTGTCGCACAATATATTTCCCTAATTTTACTGTCATAAGGGGAAGTAACATTTTTTTCCCATGTGCAGTATACGATTGTTATCAAACAAGTTGCTTTTAGAGTGGTGGCCCTTATGTGAACAGGATCCAGTCATGACACAAGGAGGCCTCATAGCCAGTCCAATATCCAGTGTTGCTCACAATAACAGGGGCAAGAGGACAAATGGTGGTGGAGGTACTGCTAGTAGTGGCTCACCATTCAAATGTCTACTATACCAAGCAAAACATTTGAAAAGGCTATCCACTAACATAACCCAAAGTACTATTTTCAGCTTTTTGTGAGGGCATCAATTTGCCTGCCTAACTTGTGTTCAGCCTAGCTTACAATGTTTTCATCAAAAAGAAGCCACATCAAGGACAATCTACGCTTCAGGTGCTGCTTGAATACTTCCCTTTTTCACAATGCCAGATCCCACTCCTATCCATTTCTCTCTTGCTTTCTCCTTGCTAATGTGTATGTTCTTGCAGTCCATGCTTGCACCTATGTGATGCATATTCTTCCAAGTTCCAAAAGATGGCGCCAGTAACCAGTTTCTGCAAAAATGGATGCAACCTGCAGGCTTTATTTTCTCTTTACAGAGATAAACAAGTAATTCAGAATATAATTGGACAGTTTTTCTTTATAAATACATTCCTTTAAGCATAATAAATATATTGTTACAATGTCAGTTATAGTTCCTTTCATTGAGCTGTCTATTGACTGAAAACTCTATAGCAGTTAACAAATTTGCCACTTCTTGGAAGGATGTTTCAGACCTGACTAAAAGTTCTTATAATTATTGGTTCTCCGAACAATGTATGTTGATGAAATCGTAAGATATTTACATGTTGATATTGTGAATAATTTGATTCTTATATATAATCTTAGCTGCTTTGCTTTTATGCTATTCTAAAGTTTATCTCAGAAAGCATCAGACTGTACTTGCAGAAATTTCAAACAGTGCATCTTTTGGGGCTCAAAAGAATCAGAATATCTTTTTTAATGGATCAAATGGTCGTTAAGATTAGCAGATTATGCAGCATATCAAGGGTAAAGTACAATATCCAAGCAAGTCTTTTCAGCATATGGAATCCAAACTATAATTTTTAATGGCATAAGGTGATTGGTAAAGATCAAATACAAATGACAAAGATCATTAATAAATTAAACCAATATCTTAATCATCACCTTCTAATCTTGCTGAAGAGGAAAATATTGGAACTCAATTCATTTTCACTGCAAAAATGTTATGGCTTTGTTTTTCCCATAACAGACAAGCACAGATACTTCCACATGCATGTATATCCAATGGAAAATCTTCTCTTTTTCTAAAAAAAAAGCAGTAGCTCCCCTAAATTCAACGACCCGATGTCAACATTGTTTTTTCTTTCTCTTTTTGCTTTCTCCAACCATTTTCCAGGTAAAAAAGAGACATCAAGATGAAAAGAAAGAATACTACTAATTAAGAAAGGCACTTCTTAAATGCATGAACTTAAATGACTGATTCTAGTTCCTAGGCAATCATATGTTTCATGTGTGGTTGATAATGATCCAAGGAGAAGGACTGGTAACTCAACAGAAATCCATTAACACTCCAGTTGAGTTGTAAACTTTATCATCCTAGATAATTTTGTGCTGAAAAAGTGAATGGGCAGGAGATTATGACAGCAGCTAACCTATAGATAGGTTAGGTTCTAGAGAAGACATATGCCAATAAGAGCAAAACTAATCTTCACACAAGCAAGGTCGGACAAAGGAAAGAGTTGTAGGCGTCGAAGATTTAAATTCAGATATGATGTCATCTTTTAAGAATAATTTTATAAATTAATTGAGTTAAATTCTAAGTTCATTACCTTTATGACTTGAAAGGCAAAAAACCTTGAATTTATGATTTTTTCACTATATCTCTCAATGTCAACAAGGAATGTAACTAGAATATGAGAAATATTATTTCATTTGACAAACTGATAACAGTTCGATCACTTTGAATTAATGATACGAAGATAATGAAGAAATAATGGAAATAAGGAACTATACAATCATATCTTGAAATCTTCGATTAGGAGTGGTGGATTGCAGCCCAATTTTAGTTTTCAGTTATCTGGTGATTTGGGTGCCAAAAAAAGATGGAATCTAGAAAAACATTGGACCTATGGGGTCCTAAGAATATCTACCAAGGACTTTATTCGAAGAAAAGAAGAACCATTAATCTGATGTAAACGAATGCCAGAGTTTTGTTGGTTTCAGAACTCAGATCATAAGATTTCAGAGAGCCCAAAAAAACATCAGGCCTAAGCCTTTTAGGTTTTAATATCAGAGCACGTGTTTCCACTCGTGTGTTTGCAGCCTTGGACCATGGCCTCCTGGCGAAGTCAAATTCAACAGATTGGTGCCAAACTTTGGGTGTCGAACAACCTGTAAAATTTTCCTATAGTGACAGAAATTTGACAGACAGGCAGACAGAGAATTGCACTGTTTCAAGAATAATCCACCATGGCACCATCAACAGCCACCATGTTCTTCCTATTTATTTATGGTACAAAACGACCTTCTCACTAAAGACCCAATCTCAAAATCAAAGCCCCTACATGAGAGATTAAGTTTGCATTATTTTTCTAGTGTTTTTAGGTATATATTCAGCCTTTCAGATATAATACATGCTCATTTCAATTTACAGGGTTGAAAATGATAGCTTGATTTAGAAGAATATAAGAATTAAGTGATCAATGGCAACATCAACGTAAACAGTTTGAAACATAAGTTTGATTACTTTTCAGGTGCAAATTGACATTACAGAGGAAAAGAGTAATACAAAAAAGATCATGGCGCATTGTTTTCTTGGGTGTAGATATAATCCGTATGAGCAGCCAAGGACCTCCTAATTTGACATTCTTCACCATCCAAACTTTTGCACTCATCATCAATGAAACTTGATTCCTGTAAATTGTTAACATACAAAAACATTGTAAAAATAAGCCCTCCAAAAAAACCCAGCAACATTGGTATTTCCCTAGAAAAAGAGAACTTACTGGTGAGGAAAATGGTATCTGAGGATCATCAGCATGTTGCCCATTAGTGGTTGACAGAGGTGTGCTCGGTGCAGCAGATAGCAGAAGCAATGCCAAGACCAAGAAAATGGAGCTCTTTGCCATTTTTTTTTTTTTTTATCTTTTTCAGTTTTGAAGAGAGCATGGACGAGTGAGGGGTAATGGTACCTATATATAAGGGCCACAGGGAGCCTGTATGTATACGAGGTAATGCAAAATTCATTAAGGTTCCATGAATGAACATTGAAAGTAGAAAAAAGTCAAAAGATTGGCAATATCCAGTTGGGGGCAAGAGTCAAAGAGTTACTTGTTTCCTAGGAAACATCGCCATTGGCAGACACCATTGAGAAACGTATCTAGATTATCATTTTTCTTTGAATGATCATATGGTGCAGTCGACTTGCAGACTGTGTTATGGAAATTAGAAAGCTAGCTGTACATGCAGGTGTAAAATAGATTCCATGATCAACGGCATGTGGTGCACACCTTTCAACTTATTAGGGTACTTTGGTAAATTTCATATATTTATTTATTTTCTTTAACAAATAAAAGATTTTTAAATTTTATTAAATTTTAAATTTATGTCGCATTTTAATTTAGTTTATCTCATTTTAACAATAAAGAACATTCTTTGGATAAAATATATATTACATTTTAATTCGAAAAAAATTGATAAGGGCTTGTAAACATGAGGTATATTCAATCCAAATTACATATTACATGTAATTAATAAAAAAAATTTATAACCTAAAATATAATATGATAATATGATATGAAAATAATATAAATAAAAATTATAAAAATTATATAATTTAAATTTTTAATAAAAGTTATATATAATTTAATAAAATTAAATATATATTTTATATTTATAATATATAATTTTTATATAAAATATAATATAAATATATAAATTATTAATATTTTATATTATAAAAAATATAAATTAATTATACTATTATTTTTTAGATTGGTGTTACGTACTCTTCCCAAGGAGATAAGAAAAGGGACAGTGTCTTAACCCTTTAGCAACGGATTGTTCATCAAATAGTGACAAAGTTGGGACAACCCTCGCTAGTTGTTCTGTAAAACTGTCCTGGTTTTATTGGGTTCATCAACCCAACAGTTGCAATTTATCTTTTTTTTTTTTTTTTAGTTTCAAATTTCAAATTTCACACCACCTTTTTATTTAGGAAAAAAATAATAAAACTGTAAGAAGAGAACGAAACAAAGTTTCATATGCAATTAATTTCTTAATCCAAACAAAAAAAAATTTTTTTTTAGCAAACCATAAGTAGAGTTTTTCAAATGTGTTGAGCTAAAATTAATTGAAATATATATTATTTTTAGGAAAAAATTAGTTGAAATAGTTAATAATATCTTTTATTTATAATTATCCCATTAATATTTTAATTTTTCTTTTAAAAATTTATTTTTTAACTTTTATAGAAACTAAAAGTTATTAATTTTTTAATTTTTCACTTTTATAACCTAATATATAGGGTATTTTCTATAAATTATTTTTAGGATATAAACATGGAGCATTTGCTATAACTTTTATTAATAAAAACTCTCATTTTTATTTTAAAAAAAAAAAAAAACTATGTCAATTTGGAGTTTAATATTTTATTTTTTATAACCTAATCTTAATTTTTACAAAATTTAGAATTGCAATTTCATATTTTTAAAGTTTAAACATTTTAAAAAAAAACCTTTTTTTTTTAATTTTTTGCTGGAACCAAAGTTTAAAACTTTCCGAATAATTATAACAAATCACTGTAAAAAAACAGATCAGAATAGAACAGTAACTGGCACAATAAACGTTCAGAACCTTCCGAAATCCCAAAAACACGTGTTTGTGTCTCTGGGCTACTTCTGTCTTGTATTCTCTCTCTCTCTCTCTCTCTCTCTGCAACTATATCGTACAGGGGAAGAGGATGAGAGAATCGTCTTCTTCTCTCTGCGGGGTTCTTACATGAGCAGGGAATTATAATAAGAAAGATCCCAGTCTCAAATTTGCTCTTTTATCTTTAAGAATCTTCAGAAAAAAGAGTGAGGGAAAAATGGTGATATTGATGGGGTTAAGCCTGCAGTCCTTGATAGATTTGTTGGTAGCTGGGATTTCTCTGATGATTGGGTTGGGAATTTTTGCTTTCATCGCTTCCATTCTTTGTTCTGCTGCTTTCTTGCACCATGTCAAAGTTGTCTCTTAATTTCAAATTTCAAAGCTCAGGTAATGGATGATACTCTCTTTTCAAAATACCCTTCTGTCTTTTGTTTGCTTTAGTTTTGGGTGTCAATGATTCCTTTGATATCATTTGTTTCTGATTTCTTTTTCATTATTTGTTGAGTAATGATTTGATTAGTATACTGTAAAGTCATGGATCATAGATTAAAGTCAAGAAATGTTCTGGTTGTTTTGACTATAAAAAAAATCAAGAGCTTTTTTATAACAACTCGTAACATTCCTTAAGAATAATGATTCAAGTAATTTATTCGAGATAAATTAAATATTATTTTATATTTAAAAAAATTTGTTGAAAATAAATTCTAAGAATAAGTAAATCTTTAATAGGTAAGTTTGTATTCTTATAAATAGATAAAGTCTTTATGGTTAAGTATAAAAAAAATATGTAAGAAGGTTATAAGGTTTTATGAAATAGACGTCTCATAAAATTATTTTGCGTCTTGTGAATATGTATATTTAAATATTTGCAAGTGGATAGTGGATAAAAGAGATTGAAAATGTTCACATAAGTCTGATATATAGGTGTACATAAATATATGTTTGTTTGAATTAAGAATATTTTATAAAAACAGAAGAGATTGAGAAGGTTTATGGGTATTGATTGTTAAGTGTTTATTGATATGAATTATATGTTTGTAATTTTTTACAATTTGTGGATTTTTTTTCATTTGTGGACGTAAATTGATTGGATCGAACTACATTAAATTATTATCTTTTGTGTGATTGATTAATTGTTTAATTTTACTTACTTTAACTTAATTAGATTGTATCGTGACTTTTTAACCTAACAATATCACCATTGGCAGGGTGATATTAGAGATCTTTTTTTGAAGGATACAAATAATATCACCATTGGCATCACATAGCACCCCTAACCACCATGGCAAGGCTAGCAACATCAACTGTCTGCAATTAGCAGTTAGACATAATCCCCAACCTCAACCATCCCTCCAACAAAGGGTGTGTGGGGAGGCAATAACTGTTTACCTGCAAACAGGAATCATGCAGCCACAAATGATATTTTGCTTGTAGTCCTGCTGTTTTGTTTCGTACAGTTTCTGTTGTCCCTTCTAGCAATCTTTTTTCTTTCTCTCATCTATCCCCTCTGATCTGATGAAAACCCCAGTTTTGTCCTATAGATAAGGAAATGCCCCAACTTTGACAGAGATTTTGTGAGATCCAGTGCTTTGTTAATCTTTCTGTTGGGAATATTGACTCAAATCTCATAAGAGATTTGTTTGAGATTTTTTTGAGATTTGTCAGATATTGCTTGATGGATAAGAAGACTTGCGAAAGAAGAATTTCAAAAGAAAGGAGATTCTTAATAGGTAAGTTTGACTTGCAAGAGAAGAATTATAAAAGGAAAGGGATTCTTAATAGGCAAGTTTGACTTACAGGAGAAAAATTCTAAGAAGAGAGGGATTCTTAATGGGCAAGTTTGTATGGTTATAAATAGGTGAAATCTCTACAGGGTTAGGTATGAGAAAAAGATGTAAGAGAGTTGTAGGATTTTGTGGGATAGACACCCCATAGGAGTATTGGGGCTCTACGTCTTATGGATGTGTATGTTTGTTTGTGAGTGGACTAGAGGAGATTGAGAGAGTCCACATAGGTATGATGTATGGGAATATATGGGTATATGTTTGGTTGTGTTGAAAAAGTACACAAGATTTTGGGTTTGTGTTTATTTGGGTTGAGAATACTCCATAAGACTAGAGGAGATTGAGAGTGTCTTATGAGTATTGATTGTTGAGTGAGGTTGATGATATGTTGTATGTTTGTAATTCTCTACAACTAATGGATCTTGTTTCTCATCCGTGGATGTAGGTCAGTTGGATTGAACCACGTTAAATTATTGTCTCTAGTGTGTTTGATTTATTGTTTGATTTCGCTTTCGCTGATGTGATTGGATTAGAGGCTTTTAGCCCAACACTTTCTATGCTACAATTAAATATGTATCTAATCCCATTAAAACTGAAAAATCTCTCTTAATAAAATCTTCTGTAGCTTAAGCTCCTCATTGTTGAGCTCGTTATTTCTGATAGCACATATGCCTGCAGGCTGCAGCCTAAACATTGCTTAATGAATTATACCAGAGCATGCATGAAGCAAATTCAAGCAAATTGTAACCTCTGTATCTAACTATTTTTTTCAGGTGTGAAAAGTGGTGAAACAGTTGCAAGTTTGAAAGTGCAGTCAGTATGTTGTTTCTCTGGGAAAAAGCTCCATTGCAGCAGTAGTCTTTATGTATCTGGGTTGAGAATGTAGGAAGTCTCCTGTATTCAAAAATAAAAGCTTCTGTAACGAATAGTACCATTGTTGAATGTTGAGATCAGAGGTAATTATCTCATAATAAATTGGTATTTCTGCTAGTTTATCCCTGCTTTCTAGAGTAGACCATGCCTCGGATTCCATCAGGATCAGCCACAAAGCCAAGGGGGCGATTAAACCCAACACCCTTGACTCAAGAGTACAAAGCAATGTTACAGATTCCCTTCTCCAATAAGTCCTCAATTAACCGTTCCATGGCAGCTCTGCCAAGCCCAATTCCCTGGAACGAAGGGTCCACCAACCGCGTCCCATATTATAGCATTGAAAAGTAATGGGTTTGTCCTCAGCTCTTTGATCCAGTGGTCAAGGAGCTAGGACGTAGATATCTTGGGTTCATACTCGAATTTCATGTCTTTTTTAATAGCTTATGCCCATCTTATGTGAAAAAAAAAAAAAGGTTTCTGGGTCTTCTTGTACTCAAACGCAAAGCATGGATTCCGTGTGTTCCAGTGCTAGCTTGATCTTTTCTGGGTCACGCCTGGGGAATCCTACAGCCACGAAGACAGAGTTGAGGTGGTCGAGATTGAGGTTGGAGATGGTACGGCTAGAAATGGCATGGAATTGGATTGAGACGGTTTTTTCTCATTTTGATTCAATTTTATATATGTAATATTCTAATTCGATCATATTTTTTTTGATATATTTTTTATTTTTTTAATATTTAAATTTAATTCGATTTAATATTTTTTAAAATTATATCTGATTTAATTTAATTTAAAATTATTAAAATATTATTATTAAAATATTTATATAATTAAATAATTAATTAAAATATAATTATATAAATCGAGTTGAATTGAAATAATTTGCCTTAAAAGTCAGACTTCAAAGTCAATTTTATCTGACCCTAACTTTATTTTATTATTATATGATCCGAAATTCAATTTTCACAAAAAAAAAAAACCAAACCTAAATCTCGAGAGATAGATTGGGCTGTCATCGTGCGGCGGAAGAAAAAGCTCGGGACTCGAGGTCTAGGTCGGAGATGGAGCATAATTGCATGTTGTTGTTAGGGAAACGGACGTCGGGGGTGCAGAAGCGGGATATGATGCCACGTGGAATATTATTCAGGGATAGATTGGATAACGCGGATGATCTTCTTGCTTTCTTTGCGATTCTGTGGTTGCTAAAAAGGCAGTTGGTCGGAGCACAAATCTTCTTATTAAAATCTTATAATTAATTAATCATAACAAAAAAAATTAATTCATTACATCAAAAAATTGAGATTTATCAAAAAAAAAAAATTATCATCTATAATTAAGTTTTATATAGGAATTATAATTTTATATTTATATTATATAAAATATTATAATTCATGTATTCATATTATATTTTATATAAAAATTATATATTATAATTCATATTAATATAAATATATAAAATATTTTTTTATTTTATTATAATTATTTATAATTTTTATTAAAATTTTAAATCATGTTATTTTTATATATTTTATTCATATTATTTTTGTATCATATTATTATATCATATTTAAAATTATCAAATTTTTATATATTATTTTAAAATAAATCCAACAATGAGATTTTGCAACCATTTCCCTTCATAATTAAGATACTTTAATAGCAAGGAAAATGAAATTTTCACAATAACAACAAATTCCAATATAAATTATTATTGTATATTAAATAATTAGCAGAAACTAATCAAATAATTTTGTTGATTCATTCATATAATTAAACTTTTTTAAATGATTCTATTGATATTCAAACTTAAAATTTTATAACTTATAATCTGCAAATGTTCTTACATGATATGAGTTAATACTCAATTGATTGATATCATAACTACCATTAAAAATATTCATTTGTTTGGAAATTCTAATCTTCCATGAAAATACAATTATATCTTGATGAACATAGAGAATTGTTTTTAAGGTTTTCAAAAGTTTTAGACTTCATTTTGAACGAACGGTAAAATTGATTTTATAATAAAATTGAAAACAATAATAAAAATTATTATAATTGAAAAAAAATTATTGTAATTATGATTAAAAAAATTTTAATAAAAAATTTATATAAATAAATATCATTAAAATTAATATTTAAATTTAATTGTAGTATAATAAGTTCAATCATATCGCACTAAAAATACGATGAAATCTAAATTAATCATTAAAATTTAAATAAAATATAAAAAGTAATAATTATGGGATTGACATATTGCCCGAAGCTCCTTTTTTTTCCTCTATCTAAATAAAAAATTTGAAGCCCATAATATAACAATGAACATAATAAAAATAACTATACTCTTATTATCTACGTTTTTATTTTTTACTTAATATAATATATAATTAGTTGGATTCGTTTGCTCAACTTAAAGTAAATTTTTAAAACTATTTTTTTTTCAAAATCACTAAATTCAACCAAAATTTCATTTTCATGTTTTTTGTTTTATGTTAATCATTTGTTTTTATCAACTAAAAAGATTCATATTCATTTTTTTATAAAAAAATAAAGTAATTTATGTAACACCAAAATTTCATATCGAAATGATATGTGGATAAAAAATGATATATATGTAAAGATTTATACCTAAACTTATGAGACGTCTTTTTATGAAATCAAATCGTGAGACATTCGGATCAAAACGAATAATACCTTACAAGTTAAGTACTGACCTTCACAAATGATATCAGAGCGATCACTAATCGATAACTGTAAGAGTCATTAAGTGCTACACGGATGGGTCGTGAGAGTCACTAAGTGCTACACAATGATCTGGTGTGATCTTAGTCCTGTAGATAGACTTGATTTGATAAGGACATCAAGCATTAAAGGTGAGGAGATTGTAACGTCCACAATCTCACATTGAAAGAATGTCTGGATAAAGAATAATATATATATAGAGATTTAATCCAAACTTGTGAGTCACATTTTGTGAGACAAAATCGTGAGATCTTCAAGTCAAAACGGATCCGTTGGAGTGGGAGAAGATATCATAGTTATAGAGAGAAGCCATGAATCCCGCATTGGCTGTGTATTAGAGTTGATATTCGGATATAAGGGTTCACACTCCTTCACAATTTCACATTGAAAGAATGTGTGGATAAGAAATGATATATATATAGAGATTTAATCCAAACTTATGAGTCACATTTTATGGGATAAAATCGTGAGATATTCAGGTCAAAACGGATTCGTTGGAGTGAGAGAAGATATCATGGTTCTAGAAAAAAGTCATGAATCCTACATTGACTATGTACTCACACTCCTTCAACTTTACACCTTTTGTGAGACAAAATCATAAGACCTTTTGGATCAAAGCAGATAATACTTTGTAAGTTGGATGCGAGTCTTCACAAATGATATCAGTCTCTTGATAGAGATGCCAAGTATTAAAAGAATCTCACATCGGAAGAATGTGTGGATAATAAATGATATATATATATCTAAACCCAAACTTGTGAGACGCCTTTTATGGGATAAAACCTTAAGACTTTCGGGTCAAAATAGACAATATTTCATAGGTTGAGTGCAAGTCTCCACAATTTGAGATAAAAAAATTATAAATATTAAAATTTAAAATTTAATATGTTGGATGTTATATTTTAAAAGTGGTTACGTTAATAATTAGATTAAATTAGAAATTCAATTTTACATTCTCTTAAAATATTATATTAGGCATAAATACTTAAGCATTTATCTCGATAGAGTAGAGTTTAGACATACCTATTCAATACTAAAAATGAAAACATATTTAATTTATGGTGCATAAAAAAGATTTTCCAAAATAAAAAGGGTAAAATTGCAAATAGCTCAAAAGGCAGGGTACGACCACTGAATTGGTTGTTGTTTAATGGTTAGTCCATGAAAGAATCAAAGCCACCATACTTAATAAAAAAGAAAAAAAATCAAAGCAACCAGCGGACAGAACGCAGCAACATTTCAACTCCCAAAGCTCAAACCTCCACGTGAAACAAGTTCACTCTGCTCACAACCACCATTTCTTGGTGTTATAAAAACAAGTAATTTCCAATCAGGATTTTCTTTTCTGTGCAAAACCCACTTCGATTTTCCCGTACACTTTGACTGTTTTTAGAGGTAAAAAATGCTTGTTTTATCTGTTATTCTGTTATTATGTGTACCCAAATGCATATTTTCTTGATTTACTAGTCCGGGGGTTTGTTGTTTTTACGTCTTTTGATCTGGGTTTGTTCTGTAATAATGGCATGTGTTTCTGTTGTTGCTAGTTCAGGATCTCAAGAGCTATGCCTAGTCCTTTGATTCCTTATGGGCTGATGCTTTTCAGATTACTGCTTTTATGTTATGGAATCAATACATTTAAAACTTGTGATGAAATTCTTCTTAGGGTATTCAAGTTGATATCTTTCCTTTTGGTTCTCTTGTAATGAGAATCACAGCTGTGCAGAATTATGCATTTGATTTTAGAATTTCTATTTTAGTTTCTCATATGGTAGATTCACATCATTCGATATTGTAATGATATACAATGCAGTGATTGTTCAGATTGATTTTCAAGGAGCTGTTTTACTTGTTTAGGATATCTTGGCCTTATAGCATAGGTTATTCATGGGAGATTTCCAATAAAATTTTGGAATTTCATTCCTTTTGTTTTTCTTTTTTGAAGAATGATACTGGATTGAATGGAGATATAGTGGCCAATACAAGTACACACTTGAAGTGTTCACCCTAGGGATACAAAGAAAGATGTTAGAACTCTTTCCAAGGCTCTGAATTTTATTGAAATAAACATAATAATAATAATACTAACTTGGACAATTCACATATCCCATGTAAGATTTATGTAATCATAAATGTATATTCTGTGAATAGTTGTATATGGTTGCCATTTGACTAATGATGTTGAATTTTCTTATCCAGTAGATTTTAATGGTTGCCCTTAGTAGAATTGGCCTTGCCGGCCTTGCTGTCATGGGCCAAAATCTCGCCCTAAACATTGCAGAGAAGGGATTCCCAATTTCTGTTTACAACCGGACCACTTCAAAAGTTGATGAGACGGTCGAAAGAGCTAAACAGGAAGGGAATCTCCCTTTATATGGGTTTCATGATCCAGAAGCCTTTGTTCGTTCAATCCAGAAACCGCGTGTCATAATTATGCTTGTGAAGGCTGGACCTCCTGTTGATCAAACCATTAAAACTTTATCGATTTACTTGGAGAAAGGAGATTGTATCATTGATGGGGGTAATGAGTGGTATGAAAACACTGAGAGGAGAGAGAAAGCCATGGCGGAATTGGGACTGCTTTACCTTGGAATGGGAGTTTCTGGTGGTGAAGAGGGTGCTCGGCATGGACCTTCTTTGATGCCTGGAGGTTCCTATGAGGCTTATAAATATATAGAAGATATCCTTCTTAAGGTGGCTGCTCAGGTTCCTGACAGTGGTCCTTGTGTCACTTACATCGGAAAAGGAGGATCTGGCAATTTTGTTAAGATGGTTCACAATGGGATTGAATATGGTGATATGCAGCTGATTGCAGAGGCCTATGATGTACTAAAATCAGTTGGGAAGCTTTCTAATGAAGAATTACACCAGGTTTTCTCAGAGTGGAACAAGGGGGAACTGCTGAGCTTCTTAATCGAGATCACTGCTGATATATTCGGAATTAAGGATGAAAAAGGAGGACATTTGGTAGACAAGGTTTTGGATAAAACTGGCATGAAGGGTACCGGTAAGTGGACGGTTCAGCAAGCTGCAGAGTTGTCTGTTGCTGCTCCTACAATAGCATCATCCCTGGATGCGAGATTCCTTAGTGGTTTGAAAGAGGAGAGAGTTGAAGCTGCCAAGGTTTTCACATCCAGGGGCTTTGGTGGTGTTCTTGCTGATATAGCTGTTGATAAGGAAAAGTTAATTGACGATGTGAGACAAGCTCTATACGCATCTAAAATCTGTAGCTATGCACAGGGAATGAACTTGATACGTGCAAAGAGCATTGAGAAAGGCTGGGACTTAAAACTTGGGGAGCTAGCCCGGATTTGGAAGGGGGGTTGCATCATCCGAGCTGTTTTCTTGGACCGTATAAAGAAGGCATACGATAGAAACCCAAACCTTGCTAATCTTCTTGTTGATCCAGAGTTTGCTAAGGAGATTATTGAGCGACAATCCGCTTGGAGAGGAGTTGTTTCCCTTGCTATCAATTCAGGTATTAGCACGCCTGGTATGTCCTCTAGCCTTGCTTATTTTGACTCTTACCGGAGGGAAAGGCTGCCTGCTAATTTAGTTCAAGCTCAAAGAGATTACTTTGGAGCTCATACCTATGAGAGGATTGATGTCTTGGGATCCTTCCACACTGAATGGTTCAAGATTGCCAGACAGTCAAAAATCTAATAGTTTTCTGCTCTGGACTGATGATAACCCATGTCAGTGAACCACTGTGCTTAATGGCTCAAGGACCATTTCATTTTTAATTTATGTTGTCTTGCAATGATATTAACTCAATTCAATTGTTTGGACGCGAATCGTTGGACTTTAATTCGCTGCCCCTTCTTTAGAGTAAGTGCTTTGACATTTCCCTTTGGTTTTGAAGGAGCAATTCTCTGTGGTGCTCGTTGAAAACTGACTAACTATTATATCTTATTTTTCTTCTTGTTACTTTGTATTCTATCAACCATTTTTAACCTGGAAAGGCCATGCAGCCATAAATGGCATCTGTGTAGTTTTACAAAGCCCATTGTGTAGCGGCCAGTGGAGTGAGGCCAGGTGCAATGGTCCTAAAAGAATTATGAATCTCACATCTGTATTAAAGTTGGTTTCAGGATATATCATGAGATCTAACGAGATTAAAATGAATAATACCTTACGAGTTGGTATAGATGGTGATACCAAGGCAGTTCCCAACCTCTTTTACCTATCAAAGGCTTTACACATTTTAACTACACCAATTTGCATTTGCTTCAACTGTGTCAGTAGCACATTGAATGAACCCTTTTCAATTCCCGTTTTCATTTACATATGTTACATTATTTTGCTTTGCCAAGAAGCCACAAAATCTGGGGCTCTGCACAATTAAATGCCCCCAGAGGATAAGGAGGGGCTGCCCGTCTTTAGCGCAGAAGTACTTCTGCCATTGCAATACCCCAGTTTTGACCACAAAGGTCATCTTTTTTGTGCTAAATGTTGAAAATTCTTTATATTTGACTAATATTGAATTCAAACACGTGAATCAATAGCTGTAATTCTTAGAAATTTAGATTTCATCAGTTTGAATATCAAAACAAGTGAAATGAAATTTATGAGACGACTGACCAATATTTTTCATTATGTAACTTAATTTCACATGCACAAAAAAATAATATTAACTATTATCATGCCCATATCATAAATCTCATTTTTCTTTACATTACAATTTAATTTTAAAATATAAATTCTATCAACTAAATTATTTTCTCCATAACAATAGTTAATAAAAATAATAATTTTATCATTATGATGATTATTTTACAAGAAATATTACTAATCTTTTATTTATATATAAAAAAATCATAGCTTGAGATATGATAAATAATTACATGTACTAAAATTTGAATCAAAACTTAATAGAAAATCAATTAAATTATGATTCAAATTCAATACTACTAATATTGAACCGATTATTATTATTCGCAATGCAACATATTAAAATGGGTGTGAAGATACACACTTAATTTATTAGATATTATTTATTTTAATTTAAAAATTTTAGGATTATTTTTTTTTAGTTTAGAAACAGGGAAGATTATCTCATGGGATTTATAGATCTTTTTGAATTTTTCAAATTTATATATCGTCTATCAATAAAAAATTATAAAAAATTAAAATTAAAATTAAATATTTTATATTTAAATTTTAATTATTTACATCATTCACTATTAATAATTTTAACCACTTATATGATTCCCTAATAAAAAAATCTTACTATTTTATCTTTAAAAGAATGACTAACAAATATAAATTTAAATTTTTACTGTAACATGTATATTATAAGATATTCACGTAATATTCCGAGGCTGGGCTGCTACAATGGGTACAGGGGCAATATGGTGAACCAAAAAATGAGCGGCAACTTTAGAGAATTTAACAACACGGTAATCAAAAAACTAATAAATTTTATTCTTTCGATTCATTATTTTTTTCCCTCTCCTTTTGGAATTAACGAAAGGGCTTTTCTTTCTATTCACCGAAAAGGAGCAATAAAATAAAGATAGAAACAGAGGACTCTGTTCCTGTGCATGTGATTGACACCCTTTTTTTTTTCTGATTGTTTCCTGAGAAAATTTTGGATAAAAAATCGGAACTTGAAGCGAAAAGGAAATATGGGTTTGATTCAATTTGTCAAATCAATCAATTGGGAACAAGAAGCTTACCCTGCTTATGAAGATTTCATTGTTCTTCCTTTCTTTGCTATGTTCTTCCCCTCTGTTCGATTCTTTCTCGACAGATTCGTCTTTGAGGTACTTGGTTTTATCTCCTTTATTCATTTTTATGATAATTTGATTTGATTTTTTATTTTTTTTTAAAGAAAAAGAAGTTTTGAAATTTTGTTGAAAGTTTATGTCTTTGATGCTTTGTCTTTTAGCTTTATTGAATTGCTTTGAGGGTTGTTTTTGTTGTTATTGGATTGACCAATATAAGATTCTTGGTACTGCTAGTTGTTGCTGCATGTGAATGGTATTACATGTACTTTTATGCTTCGCAAGAAGCTTGATATGATTCTATGAGTTATAGTGAAAAGCATTCAATTTGGGTTTTTGGAATCAGACCCTAGTTCAACTGTCATTTATTTTATATTTTTTTGGCTATCGATAGTGTAGAAATGTATTTAAAAGGAAATTTGGAGTTCAAGAAAAGATTATTATGAGCAGTTTTTCTTTTTGCTTTACTCTTCACTAATGGAATTCATTTAACTTGGACTTGATGAGAGTGTTCTTGGCTATGTAAATGCATTGGTATAGGAATGGCTGCATGTTGTCTTTATCTAAGTTTCTTTTTGGCTACACAATGGGGGATAGCTCTACCTCTTCCCTTAATTCCCCTAAAGTTTATGGCAGATCCCATGAGTGTTTGAGTCTACGACTTGCAGATTCCAACCCCAAAAGGGCTGGTACTTGAACTACTAGGCCAGAGGCCTAGGTTTGTATTGGACCTATTGATCTTGTTAGTTAGTTGTACCATCACATCGTCTTTCTAGCTAAATATATGTTCTTGACAAATACTCATTCATGTTGCCATCATTAGAAGATGAGGCCTAGAAATTTGGACTTCAGACTTACTTCATGATGGTTGTAATGTAATCATTTTGTTCTTTTTTATTGTCCTCAAATTTCTAGCTTTTACTCCAAAACACCCTTCCATTTAACAAGTCATATCTTCTAAGACACATTAGAAGTTTTCTTTCTTTTGCTACATGTTAGCTGTGTTAGAACTAGAGTATTCTTTGGAATCATGATGTTTCACAAACTTGTATTAAGGATGCTTTGGTGACTTGTCATTGGGAGCTACTTCTGGCTTTTATTTGTTCACAAAGCTACTGGTCATATTAGTCAAATGGAGTTGTGGACTGTTTGATGCAGCTTGACTAATATGGAATTGAGTTTTGGGCTAACTGGGTGGTTTTGCTTCTAGATCAGCTACAGATTTAACTTGACTCAAGCTCTGGTTGGTTTCCTTTAGCTCTTTAAAGCTTTAGCATCTTTCGCTTAAATGCATAGAGCAGCTGGGAGTCCCTGCTTGAGGTCTTGAAGTTTTAGCAATAGATGTTTGAAGGGTTGATGAATTCCAGAAGAAAGAAGAAAATGCAAACAAGTGGAAATGAAAATTTTTGTAATAAAGCTCTTGGGACTTGGAAATGAAACAGTAGGACTCTTACTTTGTAGGATGACTAAAATGTAGTTCTTTCATTTGTTTTCTTGAGTTTGGATCTCCTAAGAGCTTAAAGCAATAAATAAGTGCCATGCCATTGTTATGACATACCACTTCTTATTGGTAAAGGTTCTGCCCATGATGTTGTTTGAACATATCTTCCATTATTGATTGAGTTTTTGCCTAGACTGTTGTATGGTTATGAATTGTTCACAAGCAACTGTAGATTTTTTACCATTTTCTGGAATTTTTTAAGTTAACTCATTCACTACCAAAAAAAGAAAAACTTAATGTCTTTGCTTTCGTGATCACATGTTGAAAACACTGCCATCCTCCTATTAATAGGTGACTGACTGCATTGTTTGTGGGCTTGTGCAGTGCTATTTGAAGATTTTCTTTAAGATTATTTTCTATGCATGCAAGTGCCACGTGTGTTGATATATAAGTATTTTGACTAAAGTTTGAAACTTTCACCATTATAGGGAGACAGTTTGTTGCAATTTACTTGCTAAATGACTTGAGATAAATTAAAGTGAGGTGATCTTTTAATTCAGATAAAATTCATATCATAGTTGATAAGAATAAGCATAAATTTAATTAGATTGAAGTGTTTGTCTTAAATGCTGGGGGGAAAAGATGTCTATGTTTGGCATATTTAATGTAGTTGCTATCTCTGTCTGGCTAGTTTGGTTGCTTCTCTCCTTCATATCCTCTCTCTCTTTCTTCTGTCACCGACCTTTCTCCTAACATTTTTTTCAAAACTATCTTAAATGGTTTCAGAAAGTTGGAAGGCGGTTGATATTTGGAAAGGGACACCAGATGCTGGATACAAATACAGAAGAGAGAAGGAAGAAGATTAGAAAATTTAAGGAGTCGGCTTGGAAATGCATTTATTATCTTTCAGCTGAAATTCTTTCTCTCTCAGTAACTTATAATGAGCCCTGGTTTAAGAATACAAGATACTTTTGGGTAGGGCCAGGAGATCAGGTCTGGCCTGATCAAAAAATTAAGTAAGCTTCATCAACAATATGCAATATAATTGCTCCTTTTTGCTTCAAATATCAATATTAGCTTATAAAGTCAGAGATATGAGTACTACAGCTTTATGAACTCAATAAACTAACTATTATGTTTCTTGTCCAGATTGAAATTAAGGGGACTTTATATGTATGCTGCTGGATTTTATACATACTCTATATTTGCTTTGATTTTCTGGGAAACAAAGCGTTCTGACTTTGGAGTCTCAATGGGTCATCATGTTGCAACTGCCATCCTTATTGTGCTATCATACATATTTAGGTATGCTTTGACAGGGTTTTAGCAGAATATAAGATATTAGGATTGTAGATTTTTAAAATTTTATAGAATAGTTGTTTCTTTTCTTATTCCAGTTTCTTGCAGATTTGGCCGTATTGGTTCAGTTGTTCTAGCAATTCATGATGCGAGCGATGTATTTCTGGAGATAGGGAAGATGAGCAAATATAGTGGTGCTGAAACAATTGCTAGCTTTGCATTTTTAACCTTTGTTTTGTCTTGGGTCTTACTGCGCCTCATATGCTTCCCTTTCTGGGTCCTCTGGAGTACAAGGTTTGTATAAGTTCATGTCTGATATATATTTTCTATCCAACTTTTATGAGGTTTCTTTCTAAGCTCTTGAGAAACACGCCCAAATCCATAACCATAGCACTGAAGTCAAGGGAGGAGAAAGTAACTATAAAACAAGTTTTGCTTACAGCAGAAGATAACTGTAAAAGAATTCCATATTGTGAGCATTCAGCTCCGTATTTCTCACCATTGAAAGTTTTAACCCTTTTGCCCCAGATATCTGGTAATAATGGATCCCTTCTGTTATCTGCTTGCTTCAGTATATATGAAGGATTTATTAAATTAGCTTATTATATTCATTTTGGGAGTGGTAAGTTCTGGGGTTCCAAGGACTTTGTCTTGCTACACTGTGATGGAAACTGTCTTTTCTCTTAAAGAAAAAATAGTTGCTAAGTTTGCCTCCTGGTTCTGATATAACCCAGAGCATAAAAATTCACTTAGATGGTATTTCTAATTTTATTCTTTTTATTTATCTTATTTCTTTCTTCGATTGCAGCTATGAAGTTGTCCAGATATTGGGCAAGGACAAGCATCCGGTGGATGGACCAATTTGTTATTATCTGTTCAACACACTACTATTTTGCCTGCTTGTTCTTCATATTTATTGGTGGGTACTTATGTATCGAATGCTTGTCAAACAAATCCAAGCAAGGGGCAAACTTAGTGAAGATGTTAGATCAGGTAAGTACAGCATATTTTTTTGTCACATGGAAATGACTGCATACAAGGACACAGATGAACTAGATAAATTGATAAATCAATCTCATTAAGAATTTCTGACTTGAAATACATGAATTTACTGTTTATATACAGTTTTTTTTTTGGTCAACTGGCTCAAGTCCTGATTGATAAATAATAATTGGTATTGCATGGAATAATCAATCATCAGAGATTTTACTCACTTTAAGACACTGCACATATTCTTTGCTGATATGTAAGTAACTTTATAAATGAATGAATGCCGTAAAAAGGAGTTTCATACCCTTTTATATGCATATCGTCATTTTATATTCCTCCAGAATGTGCTTTCAAGTGGCTTTCCTTTTAACTTCATAGCTAGCTGTTTTACTTTTAATTTTCATTTGGACCATTTATTCTCTTATTCAGATTCTGATGATGAACATGAAGATTGATATCGAAACAAGAAATACTGCATCAACAGGACTCATGAAAAGGTAATCTTACTTTTATTTGAAAGCTTCATAGTACTCACCAATTTGATTTAGCAAAATCAAAATTATAGACCTCCAGACCTGGTTCTGTTTGAAACATCATAGAAAGCCCTCATTTGAACAAGTGGACAGGACAAAACGCTTTGCTTTTGTGCAAAGTTCTGGTTTTCACTGTCGTTTCATTGTCATCTTTGTCTGTAAACTGATAAATGTATGTCCATTTTCAGTCAAATTGACAGAAGGTTCTCTTTGTATGTCCTTCTGCAGATGGAAAACAACCCTGGTTTGCACAATAATATTCTTTAAACCTGAATGAAATATTTACGTTTCCTTGTAATTAAGAGAACTTCAAATTGCTTCGTGATGAGGTACAAAAGCATTTCAGAGAGTTTCGATTGAAGAGAAGTTTTGCTTTGGCACCTTCCAGTTTACAATATTTGGTCTAGGTCTGCTGGCTCACCAGTAATTTGTTGTAAGAAAACATGTTACCATGAAACTGTAATTCATCAGCTCGAAGACAACTCTGCAGCCAAGTTGAGGGTTTACTTGAGGATTCAAATTTTTTACCCTTAAACCAAGGAATCTTCATTTGGTTTTTTTCTAATTGAAACTCATTACTTCATTGTAGGTTCAAGTGTCCATAGTGAGCAGACTTTTATTACATGTTGGCTTGATTCTGATTCTTAGTTTTAATAAATGCTTGAGAAAATATCAAGTCAGAAATCTGCAAAGAGTTGATTAACTTCTTTTGACACGTGATACTAATCTCTTGCACTTCAAGAATCAAGATCAAGATTTTGAATGTATTCTAGATTTTTGTTAAGCAAGTGAAATATTGAAAATATAAGAAAGAGTGTTAGTCATTGTTCTTGTTTGTTAAGCAAAAAAGGCAAGTGGCTATATCGTGTAAATTGAACTTTGATGGCATTCCAAAAAAAAGTGTTACATAAGCTTGCTTGAAGGACAGAAAAATGACTAGGGCTTTTCATTTTACAAGAAGTAAGCTGAATTCCAATTTGTCAGCTGAAACTTACCAATATCTAAAGCATTGGTTTAACCTAATATGTTCAACAAACCAAGTCTATGCTGCATTGCTGTGTGACAGACACAAAAATGATTAGTTAATTTAGATTATAACAACTTTTTTTTTTTCAACGTTTTTACCAAAGAGTACCTTTTTTAAGTAAGGCAGCTTCAACTTGCTAGATATTTGAAAGCAAAAAATGTAAAAATGTAGTAAACATTTGCTGTTATCTGTTAATGGTTTGTTGGCTGACCCAAAAACCTTTCCAAGCAAATTATTTTAAGATAAGGAGCACGTCTTTGAATCTCCCTCTCAGTTATAAGTTTTGGTTTGAGAGCACCCACCAACCAGGCCAACATTAGTTGCATCCTATCTTGACTAATTACACATAAATTTGTACTAAATACTCAAACAGCTAGTTATGCACAAGGAAAAAGCTTCTTCAAATTCCACATTTTTTCCCTTAAATATCTTCAATTCCCACCCATTTCCCCTCACTCGATCAATATCTTGATCCATTCATTCAAGAAAAAGCTACGCATAGCAACAAAAGAATGGCGCATTGCCCTTCTCTGATTATCAGTCTGCAATGGTCCATAGTTCTGATTTGTTTCTCCATCTTCAGCTCTACCATTTTTGCCAGTGCTGACCCTCCCTTGACATTGGATTACTACAAATCAACGTGTCCGACTGTGTTTGAGATTGTGAGGCAAGAAATGGAGTGTCAAGTGCTCTCTAATCCTCGCAATGCAGCCTTCATTGTTCGATTACATTTCCACGACTGTTTTGTTCAGGTTAATTCAGATACACATATCAATGCATGAACTGCTCAAAAAAAATGGGAGGAAAAAATTTTCACATTATGAATTTAATTTGTGCAGGGTTGTGATGGGTCAGTTTTGCTTGATGATACAATCAGCTTAAAAGGAGAAAAGAAAGCTTCAACAAATGTAAACTCTTTAAAAGGTTTCAGAATCATTGACAGGATTAAAAACAAGCTTGAATCTGAGTGTCCTGGAATTGTTTCTTGTGCTGATATCCTCACTATTGCTGCCAGAGATGCTGTGATTCTGGTAAAATATTTCCACAAGTGAAAATCTATACATTTAATTTTCCTAATTCTCGAGTTGGCCTCATTTTTTTGTCCAATTCTTTACAGGTTGGTGGGCCTTACTGGGATGTACCAGTGGGAAGAAAGGATTCAAAAACGGCTAGCTATGATCTAGCCAGGGAAAACCTTCCTACTGCAAACGAGGGTCTTCTCAGTATTATATCTAAATTTCTTTATCAAGGTCTCTCAGTGACTGACATGGTGGCTCTTGCTGGTAAGCTGTTCTTTGAATCTTCTATAATGAACATAAACAATGCAGTGCACTAAATTTCACTCCTTCTTGCCTTGAATCACTTCCAGGGGCTCACACCATTGGAATGGCACGCTGTAAGAATTTTCGAGCTAGAATATATGGAGACTTTGCAGCAACTTCAGGGAAGAATCCATTATCCGATTTGTATCTCAGCAGCTTGAAATCCATCTGCCCTGCAACTGGATCGGGAGACAATAACGTAACAGCCATGGACAATGTTACACCAAATCTTTTCGACAATTCTTTTTACCATACACTGCTGAGAGGGGAAGGGTTGCTTAGTTCAGACCAAGAAATGTACTCCAGCGTCTTCGGAATGGAAACCAAAAAGCTTGTCCAGATATATGCGGAGGACCCTGTTGCTTTCTTCAAACAATTCTCAGATTCAATGGTGAAACTGGGAAACATTACGAATTTGGATAGCTTTGTCAGTGGTGAAGTAAGGAAGAATTGCAGATTTCCCAACACTTGAAGAGCTGAAAAACACCCGCTTTTGTTAATGAATTATAAAGTAAAATTGTTTGTTTGTGTCAAGAAGACAATGAATAAAAAGTTTTTCCAAGGTATGACTCCTTTTTCATATACTAGATGGTTTGAAACAAAAGTTTGGCTTCAACAATTTTGAATTTTAGCATGATTTGATGGGTTTTGGCTCAAATTAATTTGAATTTCATCGGTTTTTTAACTCAAGTAGATTAGGTTTTTTCAAAAATATTAACATTTGATTCATTTTTTAAAATCTGAAATTTAACTCAAATGATTCATATAATCACCTTTTAAAAGTGACATCCAATAAATACGAAATTCAAATATGAACACTTACAATTTATTCTTCCATTCCATATTGCAGCCTCTTGTATTAAAATAAAAAATAAAAAAAGCAATTTTCACTTTTCACCTTTGAAAGTAAAATACTATGTAGTCTAGTAATGAAAATGCCAATCAAACAAAACCTTGATTAAATCATGTTATTTCTTGTGGATGAACATCCTAAAAGTAAGTTAATGGTGGAAGAACCAATATACTATTATTACATAAAAAATTCCAGATTTGCATATCCTTGATGGGTAATTCAGTTTGGCCTTGCTGCTGCTGGGCAATAATCCTGTATCCATATCTGCACATCCAACTTTCGCAGCTCCATTGCTGCAAATGTAAGGGTTTCCTACAATACTGCTACAACAAAAAAAAAAAATCAATTAAGCAACTAAGTCAGGGTTCTGGCTTCCAGCTGGGTGAAATAAATAGAAATGGGAAACAGGAGAAAATGTTGGAGTGAGAGTTACTTGAATACTTTGGCAGGCCATATGGGCACATGACCACTCAAATTATTGAAGGACAAGTCCCTGGAAAATTAAACAAAGCTTATATAATCCTTACTCTGAATATATCATTTCATTGTGGACAGAAAACTGTAGGATGAAGAGATTACATCAAATTAAGCTGTGTCAAATTAGCCAAGGAAGCAGGAATTTCTCTAGAAAGATTGTTATCAGCCAGCCTCCTGTATGGCAATTCAAAAACCAATCATCAGATTCAATCTAATATTGCTTAATTATGATTTCAGAAAACAAATTGAATAAAGAAGATAAACAAAACAAGGGGTCCAACAGCAGGGCATACAGGTATTGGAGGCTGTTTAAATGAGAAAGAGTGCTGGGAATTTGTCCAGAGAATGTATTGTTGGAAAGATCAAGAGTTTGAAGCTTAGAAAGGCTCCCTATCTCAAATGGTATATCTCCTGATATATTGTTGTTCTGTAGAAGCCTGCAGAAAATTTGGATGCCATTTCTTAAAAATAGCTGTACAAATCAACTGAAATAGACTCCGGGTTATTGTAGTGAGAATTTTTACTTACACAATCTGGATATTGGTCAAGTTCCCAATGGAAGGCGCGAGAGTACCGGACAAATCCTGGCTTGGAGCTTCTCTGCAACAAAATCATTTTAACCATTTATTCCCCAAAAATAATGTATCTGCTCTAATTTGATTCATGTGAGATATAAGAAATAATAATATATAAGTATGAACAGATAATACTATTTACAGGCCAATAACTAGACCATCAGGAGAGCAAGTGACCATAGTCCAGCTGCATGGTTCAGCATAGGACGCACCCCAATTGTCAAGAACCCCATGAGGATCAACCAGGTGATTTTTTATACCCATTAAAGCTACTACTGAAAAATTTTCAAAAGAAAACGGATAAGATTACATTCATGTTTTGAATTTTCTTCTTTTATATATAGATTTACAGTAAGAAGGAACATGTTTAACTTCACCACTTGGTGAAATCAACGGGGATGCGGAAGTCGACAAGCAGAAAAAGGCCACAAAACATAGTAAAACAGAAATCTCTTTCCTGATTTCCATTGAGTTGTGGCGACAAAGGTAATACAACTAGAAATCCTGATCTACTCAGCTAATGCACATGTTTACATGAACATGATTATAATTGGCAAAGCAGTATGTGAGATTTATAATTAGAGCAGTTAATCAAAATCAAATGCATGCAACTTGGCCCAGGTCAACCCTGGTGGGATCAGACAGAACCATAAAATTAAAAAAAAGAAAAAGAAAAAGGCTTTCTGGGATAAATTGGAACCCCTTTTGTAGCTCCAGCAATAACAAGATCCTGAAAAAATACCAATAAGATATAGCTCCAAGACTGAACAAGAATAGTCAGAGAATGATTCTTCAGCAAATACTTTTAATATGGTTCATACATCAAGCATCTAATATAGCTAAAACCATTCAAAAATGAGTATTGATACCCTGACTACCAATAAATTACTAAGCTTTTTGTCATCTCATAAATTTTGACATATACGAGAAATAATTATAGATGTTAGAAATTTGAATTTAACCTACATATCACATTTTAAAAATGATTATATGAATCAATTGAATTAAATCATGAGTTCGGTATCAATGAACTTTACAAAACTGAAAATTGATTTATAATAAAGACTGTATAAATCAAAGATGCTGAAACTGGGAAAAGGTGCGCCAACACTAAATGTGTAATTGATTCTTACAAGTGGAGAAGAGAAAATAAGGGAATATATTCATAAATTAATCCTAGGCAACAATTCCAAATAAAGTAGTGATTTACAAGTTAAGCCTAATTAAACAAAGACAAACGAATTTGATTAGCACTTGAACATTTATCTAATACTATCAACATTACCACGGGTAGGATTAGCATCGGATCAGGTTGAGATGGATTTTTGCTGGCCCTGATCCGATAATATATAAATCGTATCCGATTCGAAATTAATAAAATATTATTTTTTAAAATATAAATATTTAAATATATAATTATATAAATATATATAAATAAAAAATTATTTTTATATCATATCGAGTTAAGTTTGTCTAAAACTCAAACCCAACCCGACTCACTCGAAATTAAATTTTTTTAAAAAAAAATCTGACCTTATAAGGTAGGGTCTGATCGGAATCCGTCATGACGGATTAGGTTGCCCACCCTAACCAAGATAATAAGAGCGAGAACAAAACCAACCATATCTAACACAAAAATGCTACAATCAAATTGATCTAAAATCATGATTTGATGCAATGTTTCAATCTCAAATTAAGATATTGTGAGAATCTATTATGTTATATATATAGAGATTTGAAATCATTCTTGAAAGATTTATTTTTTAGATAAAATTATAAAATTTTTTAATTAAAACGAATAATATATCAATTAATCGCACAACTTTTGGGGCAAATTTTGGCTCTGATGGCAAATTGTAGAGTGTTCAAATTTTGGCTCAGATGCCAACCTATGAAGCACCTCTAAATTGATCGACATCTATTGTTTGATATTGTGTTCGAATAGACATAAGAACATAACTTGTAAATGAATCCAACATTAAAGACAATTGTTTTTTTTTTTTTTTTGCATATGCTCAAATAAAAATTTGAACAATAACTGCAACATTTTTCTCATGAAAAAAAAATAAGTAAAGCAGATTGGGGAACATATGAAAGAGTAGCAGTGATAGACGCGGAGCCATCAATAAATTCTTGGATTAAAAGCAAGGAACACAGGAAAAGAGATGGAAAACAATCAGTTGTTGTGGCTGCTGGGATTCGAGCCCAGGTCTCTACGGCCACAACGTAGAATTCTTACCACTAAACTACAGCCACAAGTTGTGGATGTTGCTGCCGATGAACATTGATGTAGGTTTTCATTTGAAAACGATTAAGCTTAATTCAAACTAGAGTGCTGCTAAATGCATCCGAGCTTTTGATCTTTGGATCCCATTATTTTTAATTTTTCATAAATAAAATTATTTAATTTTTTTTTTTTTACACAAATTTTCAAAAATAAATTTATGAAAAATCATATAACTTATCAAAAATGAATTTTCGAAAAATTATAAATTTTTTTGAAAATAATTTTTTGGAAGATTATAAATCTTTTAGGAAATAAATTTTTAAAAAAATTAAATTTTCAAAAAAGTTTATGAGTTTTTATAATCTATTTTCAAAAATGTTTATAAATTTTCGAAAATCCATTTTTAGAAAATTATATGATTTTTTGAAATTTTATTTTCAAAAAATTATAAAACTTTAGAAAATTCTGAGAAAAATAATTAAATAATTTTACTTATAAAAAAATTTTAAAAAAAAGTTTAAGTGTGAAAAAAAAATGAAGTTACATCTGGAAGCACTCAACTTACATACAAAAGGAACATTTTGCTTTTAACATTTTTGTCATTAACATCTAAGTAGGGAAATACATTTAAAACAGGTGACAATTTCCCTTACAACTTTCACAAGATTTGAGAATTTACAACTAAAGTTCAGAAAGTTAAAATACATAAGATTAAAAACACTTAAAAAGTAAAAAGAAAAAGATTAAACAACTTAATTGATTTAAATAAAGAGAAATGGATTTTGTCTTAAAAAGTAGATTTTCAGTAATAATTTTTTTTTATTTCACTATAAAAGAAACCAAAATTCAGAATAAAAAATTGTTAAAGTTGACTTTGTGTTGATCAACAACCATCCTATTTTCATTCTTTTATGGCCGACATACCATCATAATCATATCTTCCTAGCCATGCATTCGATATGGATCAATGAAATCTTTTCATTGATTTCTATTGGTTCTTTTTATCTTTTCGTGATCCGTTAAAACATTGCCAGCTTGTCCATTTCGATAAGAACAGCCCGAAACAGTCTCTCCCAGACGTAATTAGAGGCCTAGCCTGACCAAATTCATTCAAATTTCGTACAGAAAACTAGCCCCTGGAAAAAAAAATGTAGCTTAAAGATATGAATTGACATGCAAAAAATAAACGAAGTTAAATAAAACCTTAATGAAATGTCTGCCCTACAGATGACATTAACATGTTCATGTTGTCTGCGTAGTAATTGAAAGACTGAAGTTTTATTACTCCATGCTCTAACAGGGCAGCAGTGCCTGAGGAGCAATTTATTTGATTGAACCAACGAAAAGTTTAAAGGAAATAAACCATTGAACTACTCTTCTTCCTCTTCTTCCTCTTTCCAGCAGCATTTGAGAGTTGATCGAGGAGAACCACAGCTGACAGTGCTGTTAAATTTCTGGTACATGATGGAACCACTAATTCCAAGCTCTTCAGTGCTTCTCTCTCCGCAAAAGTATCCTTTAAAATCCAGCTGACAGCTGTGCTCGAGTGATTGACCAGCAACGTCAACATGCACTGCTACAGAAAAGTCCTTTGGTTTGAAGCAAACCAACACCCTTTCGACCAAGTGCTTCAGATTCAAATCTTTCGGATCATAGCCCACAGCTTCAAAGCTTGCATAACTAAACCCATCTTCTGGTGTAACATGAATGGTAGAAATTGCAGCCCCTTCAATTGCATTCATTGAATAACCACAGGGATCGAACTCAAAATCACATATCTCAGAATCTGGAAGGATCTTCCTTATGCCAGAATTAATGGTCATCACAGCTGCCGAGACTGATTGGTATTTGTAGAAAACTGAAGCCATTTCCCTGTCCAGACCAGTCAAACACATCTCTACAGTGTAAATAGGGCCACTGGTGGTAACTGATTCTGCAGATGCAGAGTACACATGCCATTTCTGTATATCGAGCCCACCCATTACATAAGCCTTACTGCCAGCGCCGAAATTACCAAAATAGCTATCAAGGATAGCAACTTCTTCAGAGAAGTTACGATGAGGATAGGGCTGAGCACCAGGGAAGATAAAACTCCCACGAGTATACCTTACAGATTTTACAGCAAAAGAAAGACTCCCAGCCAACTTCAAGATGGGTGGGATTGCAAGAAGTAACTTTGTTGTCCCACAGGTTTTGATGACGATCTTGTAAGGATAGACAAAGAGGCTAGACTCAGAAAGGACATAGGAGTCCACATGCTTGTTTGACAGTGAAGAAACTATGGTGCACTCAGCTGGACCAAGAATCTCATCCAACTGGGCTTTCGACAATGATCGAAGACCCTTTCCTTCAGGATCAGAAAAGATGCCAGGCTCAAAGAATGAAATTTCAAGCCTCTTCTCATAACCCTCAAATCCAATTGCAGACACTGCCATTGCAATGTCAACCAAGGGATACACACAGTCGCCAATTGAGGAAATTGCAGTTGTAAAGAAATCAGCCACGAAAAGAGAGGAGGAAGAGGTCGGTAGAAGAAAGAATCTAAAACTAACTAAAGCAAATAACAGCTGATTGACCACTAACAGTGGTCAGACGGCACACTTGAGTTTATCAGGATGGCTTGCGAGCAAACTGCAAAGCAAGAAAAAGAACTGTCAGGCATTAAATGATTCATACAATTAAAAAGCCAATAACCTCTTCATAGATAGGACACTACTTACGTTGGAGTATGCAGCAGATCGGAACTTCTTGATTCCGCCGTTTGGTCGGACGTCTTCAATGCTGTAACCGAGAGGAGCTTCGTAGAATAAAGATTTACTACTACTACTACTACTACTAGACTTCTTTTTCCCACCTTCCATTAGATCATTCAGTAACACCTACATTCCCATTATAAACAAAACAAAGAGGTCAGTTACAACATGTAAAAATCAACAATGGATTCAATAAATCAATTTTATATCTATGCTTTGAAATCTAGAAATTGCAAAAAGTCAAGTTCGGATAAAAAAATTGTATTTTTTTATTTGAATCCAAAAATATTAACATCAATATATTAAATTTAAACAATCATAATCTCAGCATATAGTTTAAGAACAGAGCTCAGACAGAATTAAAAATTTATTTTAAAATTAAAAAAGTATTTTTTAAAACATTAATTTCGACAGAAAATCAAGAAAATTCAAACAATAGAAGCAACCAGAAAAAATATCATCCATAATATTGATAAAAAAATTAAAAATTATAAATAACAATAAGGAGACAATTCAAGAAACATGAGGACAATATTGAGTTTTTATTCATACAAAAAACAAACAATCTTAGATTCAAATCACATGCAAAACCACAGGATACTAATAATAAACGAATCATAGATAGCGTTATCATTAAAAAAAATTAAAAAATCGGAAGAATCGATACTTACAATTCAAAACTTGAAATTCCTGAATCAACCAGTAATAAAAAAAACGATTATCTACCTCTGTTCAGATCCTGCAAGAAACGCAAAAGCAACATATCACCGTATAGAAAAACAATGAAAAGGAATCGATGATTCTTAAGATTTGAATACACTGAGATGAAAATAAAGAAGGAAAAAAACACTTACAAAAATATTAAAAATTTCAAGACAAACAAACGAAGCGAATAAAGAAGAAGCCTTTAGAGAGGACAAAAGAACAGAAAAATAGAATGAAAGGCTGCGGGAGATTATGGTTTATGGAGTATCGAATTTCTCGCGGCTCACGCAAATTATGATGGCATGATTTCGAGGGGTAGGGACCTATTTATATAGGGGAGGTAGGGCTTTCCCACTTGGAAAAGGATGCCACTACTGGACAGCTGGATTATTGAGGATTACGAATCGATTATTATCTGAAATTGACGATTTAAGCGTTTGAAACGTGTTTTTCGCATTGCATTAATTTTAAAATTCATGGCTTAATTCAGTTATTTTATATATTTATTTATAAAATATATTTAATAAATATAATTTTTATAATTTTTATTTGGAATTATGATTTTTTATAGAAAATATTATGAGATCATTAGTGATTTTAATTTAAGATAGATATAAAAGGAAAAAAATTACATTAAGATGAAGTAATCTTGGTTTCCAAATGTTTAGAAATTAATTTTTTTTAAAAATAATACAACAAAATATGAGAAAAGAATGATCGCTTGGCGTACGAAAGGAAGTCCCTGGTTAGTGGATCTCTTGAACTCACTTTTGTTTTTTGAATTACGATGACAGCAAAATTTCCATTGCCCAAACGGTCTGACACGTGCGTGATTCCTGACCTCTAATTTTCCTCATCTCTGCTATTATTTTTTTGTCACATTTTATTGTATTATTTTTTAAGGTCATATTTTATTACAATAAATAATTAATTATTAATAATTTTTTAAAATTTAAAACACATGTTTCCTAGTTTGTCTGGTTTGCCAGCTTGCGTAACACAGTCCACTCATTTAATTCAAATAATAATTATAAGGTTTTGATTCTTTGGATCCAAACAACAAGATCGGATCACTGTCCAAAATGCCAGGGAAAAGATTCTTTATTTGTTTTTTTCTTTTTTTTTTTGAAGATTTATCTCTAGTTGTACATATTTTTATTTGTCTCGACATCTTTAAAAGTTTTTAAAAATTTTTATTCGAAGATAATTTTAAAAATAAATTTAATAATTTAAAATATGATATAATGATATAATATAAAAATTATATGAATAAAAATCACAAAAATAACACGTCATAAAATTTTTAAAAAATCATAAATAAATTTAATAAAATAAAAAAATTATATTTTTATTTTTATATTGACACATTATAATATGTGATTTTTATATAAAATATGATACGAATATAATATTTTACATAATATAATGATACGAATTATCAAATTTATTCACGAGCCAGACAGACAGCTCACTCTGCAACCAAGTCTAATATATGCTTCAAAACTTTGATTCTAGATATCCACCAGAAAATGAATTATTCTTACATTAAGTCATAGATGAAAAGAGCTTGCATACCTAAATTTTCCTTATCTATTCTCAATCTGAACAAAACAATTATAACATTGTTGATGAGCTGCAATGTTTTGGCTCTGCAACTAGATGTAGACCAGTCATCAATGCATATATCACGAAAAATTTGCCAAATATTGAATCATTTCGGCAGTGCTACCAACCTTCCGGCGGAACAAAAGTTGTAAACCGATTCCCCATCGAGGAAACCTGCATGCACAATAGATGATTCCGGAAAACAAGTCAGAATGTGTAATCCAACTTGAACTCCATCCTGTATGTTAAAACCAAAGCTATGGCAATCTCAACAATGATGGTTAGGAATCAGGAGAAAACGTACCCGGGATAACCATCATCGATGTTCAAGCCTCTTTCCTGGTTATCCTGTCATTTTAGCCAAGGGATGATGGTTAGAAATGCTGGTCTAGAAAAGGCAAAGCACACAAGATGAAAATTTTACAGGTAAATTGCAATGTACGAGGTAAAAACTAGGATCAAGCGGAGCAACATGTCCAAGATGAATCTCAGTAAACTGAGGCAAGTTTCCGGGAAAGGAAAAGAAGATTTTCCCAAATATCAGTTCATACAACCTTAAACAAACAAGTTAAAGGAGTTAATTTAACCCAAGTAGCTCACGATTAATTTAATCTAAGCTAAGAAATAATATTTCCTACAATTTGGGAACCTTAAACTGTTGTTTCGTGAGGGGCATGCATACTTATGATTCGATTCAAATCACTGCATGATAAATTGCAATGTACAAGGTTCCATCTCGAAAATAACATTGATGGGCAGTAAAACTTCCTTACCTGAAGCAATAAATTCCCAAAGCTGTCGTAATTTCATGAACAACTGATGTGGCAAAGTGTAAATAGAGTGATGCTGTTTGACCAAAAGAGAGATATCAGGCAAAATATAACAGCATACGGGTAAAAACAATAGAGCAGAGCAATGAACTGACAGAGAGATAAAGATGCTAACTTATTATACAAACTAATATTTAAAAAGTAAAAAGATCTCATTCTCAACTACAGAGCTTGTTCAAAATTAAATTGATTTAATAGATGTAGGAACGAAGTTTCACAGAATACCATACTTGTTTACATCCTAACTTAAATGACTAAGAAAGGCAGCAGTCATACCGGTGAACACACAGTAACCGAGAAGAACCCATAACTCATCAACTAAAGGAACGCTGGAGAAAAAGAGGGAAAAACAACAATTAGCATTCATTTCCCTGAGAACAACAGCGAAAACAGCATGAACTATATCAGGTCAGAAAGCAAAATCTAACACACATACCCATCATTCAGCCTAGCTGTAAGAGTATTTGCGATTGCCAATGGAAGATATAGGAGTGACTGAAAACAAAGCATACATAGAAGAGTTAACCATTTTGTAAAACCATGTTATCAAGTCCATCAAAATGTAGTTAAAGATTAAAAAGAAATTATTTTCCCCTTTAAGACAAGAATAACTGTTCCTGCTCCTGTAATTAAGTACAAATATAGATCCCTATCCATGCAATCAGAAATAAGAAGTAAAGCAGTATTTTTTTTTGAAGAGATAAAATTCGATGGCACTAATTTATTCAACTCCAAAAGCAATTGAGGATAAAAGTGCAAGAGTGACAAGCTGCTCCCCCTTCATCTAAATTCAGGATTCACTCAACTCAAGTTTGTTTATAAAAAAAGCCAAAATCTAGCTTAAAGTAAGGCCGGCTTAGCTTGTAATGCTAAACATGGAACATAATGAAGCTCAACCAAAAGTTCAATATAGTAGATATTATTTAACTATATTATCTAGTTTAAATAAAGATTATAATAATGAGGTAAAAGTTTAGGTAGGATCCTTATTTAACAAGTAGATTTTTTCAACCTTAGCAGAGTTTAATCTATCATGAAGATCATTCAAGCTCAAGCCAACCTTGACAAATCTGTCAGATCTGCTGGAGCTTGATTAAATATTTTAGAAGCCAAGGCCAAGCTTCTCTAAGCTCAGCTCTGTTAAGCCTCTACCCACATTGATTTTATCAGAATATATTGATTCACATAGGAATGCTACATACCATGCACATGTTAGTTTTCAGTCCCTTGGGTTCATCACACAAGTGAGCCAAAATCATCCGTCCCTGTCAAAAAAAGTTTCCCTCATCAACCATGTTAATAGGAATTTGTCTTTCCACCTTAGCAGCATTCAATAAATGATTTTAAGTGCGATTCAGCCAAAGTAAAACCATAAAGCCACAGAAACAGCCATAATACGAGCCACATATTTAGAAGACAATATAAAAGTTTTGGAGGTGGAAAAAGAAATGAAGAAGTCATATACATAACACTTAAAACACATGGATAAATAATGATTAACTGAAAGAAAAATCTGAAACCGTTCAAAGCTTATAAAGGGAGAAATAGGGAGTAAAGCCCCAAGATTGACGCCAGAGTTCATAATAACACCCCTCATCCACAAGCTTGCAGGAGCAGAAAAAAGGTTCAAAATAAATGACTGAAAATTTTCATTGGGTGTGTAAAAGTTCGTAGATGTATGCCAGACAAAGAAAATCATTAAAGCACCTTGAGATGATGAACACATAAAAACAGTACATAATCATATAAAAAATATCAATGACTTGCTTAGGTTCAATATATAGAAATTATTAAAAGAAAAGATATGTGAGTGAGGAGGGAGAGACCAAGAAAGACAGAAAGAAGGAAATAGAAAGAACTTTCCAAGGATTCAACAGCATCCCATATTAAAATCACAAAAAGTTAGATGGTTACAAAATATTCACTCCCGAACAAAAAGGTAAAATAAATAGCATTGGTTTATTTTAAGTATCCAAGCCCAAGGCATACAAGCAAGCAAGGAACTGTCTCTTCTTTTAAGAAGGCAAATTATCTACAAAGGTAGTAGTGTTGTAAACATATTAGAATCATTGTCACCAGTTTCACTTATAGATACCGACAACAGTCACAAAGAGGACATACGAGACACTAAAGAATTTAAACTAGTGGATGTCAACTTGCTTTTTATTCAAAAATAAAATAGGAATTGAGAAGTATTAGAAGATTCCAATAAACAAACAAGTAAACCTTACCACAAGGAACCCAAATGCAAGTCCAGTTCCCAGTATAACTAAATGTGGGTAATTTGCCATAATATCAGAAGGCGACAGATAATCCCTTCACATTGAAAGAAAAAGGAATTAAGTCCAACTAAGGCCAATATGCACAAAAAAAAGCCAACATTGCTAAAAGAAAAATAGGCAGGTTCAATTTACCAAATAAGCACTCCTCCCATAAGTACAGCAAAAGGATAAAGCTGACAACAAAGAACATAAAACATCTTTTAAGCATTTCAGTACACATGGAAGGAAGAAAGAAATACATAATAAGTTACGGAATTACCATAGCTAATGCCAGTAACATGCTTCCTTTTCGTGCCTGAACAACCTTATGGACATTTTTTATACTACAAAAGAAACCATAAAAGAACATCAGAGAAGCTTATGCTGACATTAACCAAAGAGCTGCAGTATCAATAAAATAAAGAACCCTTGACTGACACAAGTCGGTCTCATGCATAGAAACATTGGCCATTGTTTTCCAAATGGCCCTGGGAAGCTAAAATCTCTTGGCAGTCATCAAATATTTGGATTTTCAAGGCTATGTGATGAAAAAAAAGGTCATTGATGATAACATGCAATTAGATCATGTCACTCAGCACCATAATCCAAAGTTCTAGTGTAAGGCTACAAGAATGCCCAAAAGAAAGTAGGAGGTAACATCAGACTAAAACTGGCAAAAAGATAAAGTAGACAATGTTCAACAAAACATCAAAGCAACTGATCCTAATAATCCACAGCTCTAGAGTAAGACTACATGAATGCCAAAAAGAAAGTATGAGAAGCTTCACCAGGAAACCCTGAACAACATTGTAACCATTTGGGATGTGGCTAACCACTTACTTGTAACCAATTGTAGGTATAACAGCAAATGCTATCATCAAATACAGCACAGCTCTGTATGTTGGAATTTCTAAAGCCAAAAAAGGAAGAAAAGGTAAACAAGCAATAACAATAGTCAAAGAAACGAATGAAAAGGCAACAAACAAGCCAATGGGATCCAAAAAGTCCAAGGACAACATGAAAAATAATAACCACAATAACAGAGCAAGAATAGTTTGCTAAGCTTGACTTACATTTCTTAAGACAAAAGAATGATAAATAAAAATAACTAATCAAACATCAGATCCCTATATAGAAAACATCATTAGCAGCTAATGATTTAAAAATGCAATCCACCATTTACAAGTAGATTTTGGCAACCTAAAGAGAAATACTTGGAAATACCTGATACATCAAATAGCAAGTGATAAAGAAAAATAATAGCACAAGATTTTGGAAAAGGAACAGCGCTGAAACAGAAGCAACACCAAGATGAGGTATTGAAAGAAGAATCAAAATAGCATATGGTGGCCATCACATATTGAGGAAGTTGATTCTAGCGAATCCATCATAAAATTGTCTTTGAAAGCTCCAATACTACCACAATGATCAGAGTTATTAGAACGTTTGAATTATTTATGTCCAAATCATTTCCATCTATGCTGATTTACCTGTTATCAGTGATATTAATATAGCTAGCATGAATTCTCCATTTGCATTTTTCCCAAACATAGACGGCCATCTTTCCTAACAATAGGACAACATTGATACAACAATAGCACACTACCTTATTTCATCCACTACTTTTTTGGAGGGGGGACTTGTTGAAGTTAAGGATATGTTTGTAATTTAACATTGCAAAAAATTTTAAAAAAATATGAAGAAGTGTGACAATTCAAATGGCTGTCGATCATAATCAAGCAAAAGTAAGAAAGACAATTTTAAATTAAAGTCATCATATCTTATAATTTCATATTGCTTATTTATGTTAATACTTTTTCTTGTAATAACTACTAAAATGTCACTAAGATGTCGCATATATTGCAATTACAGTATTTTTGCAGCGTCAACTAATAAAGACATTTACTGATAATTGTTCAATTTAAAAAAAAATATAATAACTTACCATTTATAAAAGGTACCCAACTGAACAAGCGTATGGACTTTCCAAATTGCTGAACCCACCATTGGGCACCTTAAACGGAAAAAAAAAAGATACTACAATTAGAAAAGCAAAAAAAAAGAACAGAAAAGAAAATATACAATAAATGCTGATGTGTGACACAGTAAAACAAAGCTTTTGCAGTACATGTTGTCAAAGGTACAAGTAACACATCAAGTGAGGAAACATACCCAAAAATGCTGTCAAAAAGTGCATTGTATATATCAGTGCAAGACCCTCGGTTGGCCCATTAACTACAGGAAGGATCAGTGAATTGGTAAAATAGCTGCCAAAAATTGAAAAACAACAGAAGTATCAGCTCTGTTAACAGAACCTTTAACCGTTTGCAACAACAACTACAATAGAAACTAAAAGGCCCTTCTAAAATTTATGTAGCAAAGATGGAGACATACAAGAGAAATACATATCAAAGAGTGTACTTAGAATACCTCAAACACATCATGAAATTATCAAAAAAAATTTTCAACCCAATTACCTAACCAAAAGTGGAGAAGTTTGCGAGAAAAAGAGCAATTTGGAAACAAAATTTATAAAGCCTTCATATGATAAAACAAGTTGTTGAAGAATTGCACAATGTATGGTATGGTTTCTTAAAGGGAAACAAAAGACAAAAACAAAGAACACTTTGGATTACTTACTGTTCCCATGTAGCTCCATAAAATGGAACAGCTGAAATTACCCAGAACCAGAAAGAGTCCCTTCCACACATGGCAGTGCTCCCAAAGGCCATGGTTTCAAACTGTAAAAACAACCAATCTTGTATAATGGAGGAATTTGATTAGCCATTGTTATGTAATGTAGCAAGTCAAATACATACCGCACATGCAAGCGCATCACACCCTGTAATATTTCACGCCCGCCAAAATAATTATTCCATCAGAATTGGTTCTATTGTAAATAGAAAAGGATGGAGAAAAGACATTATAAAGGGAAATTACCATGGTCAAAGAGTTCTCCAAGTGGACTAGAGGAGCTTGTTCGTCTGGCTTGCTTCCCATCAACAGCATCAAAAGTCTAGCAGGTAATTACAAATACATCAAAAAGAAACCATACTAAAAATAAAAGTAAAACATTCACAAACTCATCCAACTCCCCAAACACACCAAGGGAATAAGAAGAAGAAAGAATTTTGAATACAATGCCAGCAAGAAGGAGGTATAAACCTGATATAAAAATAGAAGCAACCCATGGGCAAAATGAACCCATCTTGGTGGGGGTGAATCCAAGTGAGGGGAATAAATCTGAAACAGCAACACAAATAAAAAACTGAATGGAAAGATAACAGCAGAACAACAAGTATCATTCTCCTAAGCCTTCCAAGACACCATCATACAATGACCAAAATGCTTGCTGAAATATATATCTACCCATGAGAACTACATTAATAAAAACAGACAGGCTAGGCAACACCAGTTGAGTATCAAATACAGAACCTACCCTTGGAAGAAACGAAATTTATTTCTATACTAAATTGCACATGCATGAGAAAAAGAAAGAAAATTTATGGTCCAATACCTTCCTCATCCCTTTAATATTATTTACATACAATGCAACTTCCAATCACCATAGCCTTAAAAATCTTTATTTTAGCTAATTCATTCAACAGATTCCAATGTCAAAAAAGAAACACCATGATTACAAAAACTATCAGATTCCAGAAATGAAGTTCAGTTTATTGACCAAATCAAATACAAGAAACATCCAATCCAATCACACATGAGGAAATGGCTAGAATAGAGACTACAAAAGATAGACCACACATTCCAATCTTCTTAAATCTGAAAGTTGAAAGATGTTCATTGATTAACATAAGAGTTTTTCCAAAATGATGCAGTGATTTAATGAAATAAAATTTGCAGAAAATCAGTATAATACTAAAAATTCCAGAAGTGATCAGAAATCAAAATAAATATAACATTGAAGAAAATAAGGAGAGAGAGAGTTCCCCACTCACATAGCCAAGCAGCGCTGATATAACCAAGAACATAAATCCTGTAAGTGTTATCTTAAGAAATAAAAGCATAAATTAGTAATCAAATAAGAAAGTTAATACATGCATATAAACTCCGTGGATACATGTATGTGCATATGCAAGTTTGTATGTACAGTAAAAATCGCAATTTAAGAGTAGTAAGCATTACATACCATGTTCGGTCTGGAGAAAACACCAAGCCGGAGGCAAACACATATAGAAACATATATACATTAGTGCCAGCAAATATTGAAAAGGGCAAATACTTAAAGCTCAATTGAAGCATGATATAGTGTTAAAAACTTAAACTTTCACATAAAGACAATTTCATTCCCTTCCTCTAAGCTTAGTACCATATCAAACAACACAATGCAACTGCATATACAAGTATGAAGTCGTAACCTTCATACAGGTGTAGATAGAATCACTTCTTTAAAACAAATAACAAGACCCAAAAAGCTAACAAAATCAACCATATATATTTAAAACAAAAAAAAAAAAAAAAAAAACTGAAGAACTTACGGCATCCAAAGTGGAAAGAAGTTGACAAAGCGGCTCCAAAAGGGTTGTAATACATATTTAGCAAGGTAAGAGTGATCCACACCGCTGTATTTGTATCTTTGCAAAGCAGCTACACCATGTGCCCCTATATACCCCATTCTTCCTTATCACAAAACTGCTGACACCTGCTAAAACTGAACAGAAATTTTATGTGATTTCAGCCATTCAAGCAATTGGTTATTGATAAAAATGTCTAAAAACAAGAAAAACACGAAAACCCATGTTTATTTTTCACTAAAAAGATTCACTTTTGAAACAAAAGTTAAATTTATAAGATTCCATGAATTTCTGATACAGAGTCTACATAAAAATTTGGTTTTCCACTAACTAAAGGCTTAACAAATCATAAATAAAAAAACGGAGATATACAGAGATGGGTTAGCATAGATCCTGAACAAATGGATTTTAAATTGAAAAATAAGGAACAAAATAATCATAAACTTAAAATCATATCAGATCTGGGACTTAAAAAGGAATCAACAAAAACAGAACAACTAATGAAAAAAACGATGAGAAAATGGGGAAAAACAAAAGGAAAGTTTTGTTGATACCTGATTGAAGCGGCTATCAAGCGAGCGATTTGATTTGCAAAAGCGTCTCAAATCAGATCAAGTAAAGCCAAAAAACAACGAAGTTTTTTTATTTCCTCTCCCGCCTTTCAAACAAACGAAGCAACAATAGACCTGTCAAATGAAAGTTTTAATGCTACAAGCGTAAATAATAAATTAATTAATAACAAAAAAGCGAATCAAAGGGTATTTTTATTTTCCTCTTTTTTTTTTTTTTTGGGACAATATAAGCCTCTGTTTGGTTTAGATGGTTTTTTTTTTATTTTTTATTTTTATTTCTTATAAAATAATTTTTATTTTTTGTTTTTAAAAAATATATTTAGTAAACAAAAATAAAAATTATTTTTTAAAAATGTAAAAATAAAAAAATAAAATATTTAATGATATTACTAGGCATCTAATTATAAATATAATATATATTTATTAATTTACGACGTTAAATGTTATTCAAGTATGATAACTTACAAAACACAAATAAAAAATTAATGTACATTGTTTATTTTCACAATTGAAATTTTTTTATATATTTTAATTCATTTTCATTTTTATTTTTTAAAAATTTATTTTTATTTTCAATTGTCAAATACATTTTAATTTATTTTTTTATTTTTTAAAAAATAAAAAATAATTCTATTTTTTGAAATCAAATACTACCTAGAATTTGCTCTTATCACAAAACTAATTTAAATTTTTATCTCAATATTTATAATTTTTTATAAAATGTTGAGTATTTTAAAAATAATTTAGACTTATCAAATTATTTTAAAAATATACTTTCATATTAATTTTGATGCATTTAAATTTAATTTCCCGAGCAAAAATAAAATATATTTCTTGCGATATAATAAAAAATTATAAAATAATTATAAAAAAAATAAATGTAATAACCTTTTAATTTTATTTATAAAATAAAAAATTTACTAACAATAAATAAAAACAAAGTGCAAGCTAAAATCTTGAATGATTCGAAGGCTATAATACTAATAAATTTTTTTATTATCACTTTATTAAATGGAATAAAAAAATAAAAAAACCTCCTTTTATATTGGGGAATCATATGCTAAAGCACGCAGCATCTTTTTCTGATTTGTTTAATGGACTATCTTACTCATATATAGTGGTAAAACTAATTATTAAGATATAAAAGTGAGCAATTAAAATAATAAAAAAATTAAATTTGTTAATTTATGTATTTATATCATATAAAATATTAAATTTTATATATTTATATCATATTTTATATAAAATTTACATATTATAATTTATATTAATATGAAAACATAAAATTTCAAATTGTATTATTTTTATATTACATTTATATTATGTTATTGTATTATATTTTAAATTATTAAATTTAAAAAAAATTTCAAATTTTAAATATTATTTTTTAAAAATAATTATATAAATCATTTAAATTAAAATTTAAATTTAAATTTTGTTTTTATTTCCAAATGAAAATGATAATTATATTCATCTTTTTAACTCTTTCGTACATACAAAAAAGAAAATAGAGAGAGGAATTTCTCATCAAACCTTAACATTGGTTACGTCAAAGCATATTCCTTGTGTTACCTTTTGCTTATTCTTAAACTACCTTTTACCTTTTGCTTATTCTTAAACTACCTTTAACATCAATTCCTAAAATAGTCAACAAAAGCAGTTCATCAATTTATTATGACTGCAATTTTCAATTTGCTTTCAGGTTTACCTATTTTGTTTTCAAGGCAAGTGGGTTGGATTTTTGTTTGTTTGGAAATGGACAAATGATTCTTCAGGCTTCTCTCAATACAAAAAAATTAAATAAAAAATTTAAGTTCATAATTAAAGAAATAATTTACGTATTTATATCATATAAAATATTAAAATTTATATATTTATATTATATTTTATAAAAAATTAAATAAAATAATTTATATCGATATAAAAATATAAAATATTTTTATTAAATTTATATATAATAATTATTAAAAATTTTAATTATATTATTTTTATATTTTTTATTTATATTATATTTATTTTATATTACGTATCAAATTTTAAATTATTAAATCTCATAAAGAATAGGTCACTTTCGTGGAATCAAGTTTAACATTTGAACGCGCTAAAGAAGGGTAGTCGAATTATGAAAAGTAAGTAAAAGAAATACCTTGGCAGGCGGGGCATTGATGGGAACAGGTCACTTCCGTTGAAACAGGGTTAACATTTTGAACACGTTTGATTCACTAAAAAAACCGCCGTTAACAAAGCAAAAGAGAGGTCGAATTATGTTATTGAAGCCTGATCCTTCTTGGGGTTGCTGAAGGCATCTCTGTATCTCTTTGTCCAATGCAAATTACTGAATGAATGTATTTGTAAATTTTGCACGTTAACTTTGCACACAGATCAATGTGCTCCTGTCTCCCAACCTTAACCGGCAATTCTTTGCATTTTCAAGAGATTTCGGTAAGAAAATGAAAAAAGGAAGATTTTATTTAGTAACCATCTGTATTTCATCGCACCAATATTTTATTTAGTGGCCATATGTATTTAATATCATTTTTGGTACGACGTGATTAAATTTATTATATTTTTAATTAAATTTAAATATTAATTTTATTTTTAAATGTAATTATAATAAATTTTATTATTATTTTTAATCTTAACGTAATTAATTTTATCACTTATCTAAATGAAACTTTAACGAATTTTTAATACGTGGAAATGAGAATGACCGTACAATTCTAATAAATTCACCTGCTTTGATCACGTCCATGAAATTTTCAGAAGTATGTATCAATTAATCATGAATAAATAATATTATGTTCATAATTTATTTATTTAATAAATTTTAAAATAATATTTATAATTATTGATTAATTTTTTTTAAATAAAAAAATAAAAAAAATATTTACATAAAAATTTAATAATCATTTAACCATTAACATTTTATTACAATTATTCGAATTTTAAATATTTTATTTCAAATTAATTACATTTTCATTGAATTAAACCGCAAAACATTTTATTTTTATTCATCAATTAAATAAATAAATAAATATTTTTCCTCCAACAAAAACTTAAACTTTGAAAATAAATATTTAAAAATTTAATTAATTGAAAAAAAAACCGATAAAACCTTTAATGTGATTGAATTTTAGTTTAGGTTTTTTTTTATCCTTTTACTTTTTATAAATAAATATAAATAAATAAAAATTAAATCTGATTATCAAATGCATTACATCACATATAAATAAATTTTATTATAATCATGATCCATTTGTTTAATTAATAAACTCTAAAATATTGTTCATAATTATTTATTAAATTTAACAATAAATAAAAATCAAATTTATTTACCAACCGTTCATCTAGTGTGTTATAGCCCTAAAGATCCTTATAACTCTCACAAAATCAAATATGGGAATCATCAGACCTCTTAACTCGCACCCCACTCCAAAATCCTTAATTCTCAGGAAATTGAATCCAAGGGACATCAGACCTTTTAACATGACACCCCCACTCCAAAAAGCTCTCAATATTCCTCCTTCACCATGCTTGGTCCCCTTCATTTTTTCTTTGTTCTTTTCAGCCATAGTGTTAGTGTACCTTCATAGACCAACTTTTAAACAGTTGAACCGAATTAAGGTCCCCTATCTCTTGCACTTTCACTTTTCACATCAATAGAGTTGAACAACAACTTTTTAAGTGGATAAAAATTCAATGCAATTTAGCAACAATATACTGAAAGAGATGGCAAAAGAATCTTTTGTCAATGTGGAAGCACATGCAGGAAAAATCAAAATAAAAAAATAATAATAATTCAAGATATATAAGATGCATTTGGTACATAAGATTATGATAGGATAAGATAAGATGATATTATGAATAAGATTAGATTAAATAATGTCATTCTATCTTGCATTTGATGTGTATAACGATTAGGATAAGATAATTTATTTATTAGTCAAAATTATCATTTCTCAAAGTTTATATAATTTAAATTATTGATATAATTTTAAAGGATATAATTAAACATGTAAGTGAAATCTCATAGATTAAAAACAATCCTCTCTACTTTGAGAGGATTGAATTGTCTTAGAGCAAGAAGATGATTAGTCTTCCTTATAATCCTATCATTTTTTTTAGATACAAACCAAACATAATATAGGATGATTATTACCCTATTCTATTCATTATCCTATGTATCAAACGTGACTATAAAGCCGGTAATGATAAAAAATTTCAGAGTTCTTTTTTGGAAGGCATCTATTTTCGGTCATTCCCAAACACAAATCTCATTAGAATTTTATCAAAAAGGAATTTGCTTTTTCCAAGTGGCCAGCTCTTAACACTTTTACTTCTACTACTATTTCTTCATCTTTCTGGTTTGGACCTATAACTTGAACCTATAATAGAAATGATATTGTGAATATAATTAAATTAAATGATATCATTTTATCTTGTATTTGATGCATGCAAAGATTAAGATACGATGATTTTATTTACTAGTCAAAATCATCCTTCTTCAAATTTTATATTATTTAAAATATTGATATAATTTTTAAAAGTATAATAGGACATACAAGTTTAATCACACAAATAATTCTCTCCATTTTTTAAGATTAATTGAATCATCCTATACCAAGAGCATGATTAATTCTTCTTACAATCTTATATCACTTTTTAGATACAAATCAAACATGATAGATGGTTATCATGCTATTTTACTAATCATTCTATGCACCAAACATAAAATATAACATATCCAGTGAATATTTACAAATAAAAAATCTGGTTTACAATGAATATGGCCAGCTCTAATACTTTTTACAGATGCTAGTCAAATTGTCAAGTTTTTCTTTCCACTGTGAAGGACTACCTAGTGTACTAGACAAGACATACATTTTGCTTCTAAGGGGAAGGATTTTGCATACAAACAAGAAAAGATGAAAACTAAATTAAAATTAGAATTCCATTCACCATTTTTAGCACAAGCCACAAATAACCGTCAAGATATACAAATCAAATCATAATGTCATCTCCTAAGTGTAACTGATGAATATAATGAGGATGCTAGTTGCCAATTAATTACAGTTAACAAGTATGATGACCATTATAGGGATACCAATCAAATATCAATTACCTAAGCATCCCCCCTCCTTTTTTTTTTCTGCTTATATGACAGGGCTGTAGGAATGGAAAAGTATGCAATTTACATAAATTAAAAACAGCAGGCAGCTAAAGTTACCATCATATAGCCTTCTCCAACCATCTTGGCAATCTCAATGAAGTCTTCATTCCCATTCTGGTAAGGAACACCGAATACAAGAGGTGCAGCAAGAACACAAAGGAGGCACTATTAAGCAAAACCTGTTGAAATAGCATAATAACAATAAGTCTTCAAGCACCCATCAAAAAAAAAAAAAAAGAAATTAAGAGGGCATAAAGGTAGGTCAAATGTACCAAAATCCCAAATAAGAAATATATGAAGTTCATAGACGGAATCAAATTGATGCCCACGGCAGCAAAAATGTACATCAGAGAAGCATGAATGTTTATAGTGATCTGTGAGCATTTGGAAGAATTATGCAAGTTACTTCCAATACCAAAGTATAAAGGTTAGAGATATAAAAAGGATAAAGAACTACCAAAGCCAGTATGTTTTCTCTTATTAAGAAAGAAGTTGTGAAGACATAGCCCATTGCACCCATTGATCGAGCCTACAATTTTAAAAATTGTTAACCACAGCAGTTTAGGATAGAAGAGAGGATTCCATTGCTTCTAATGAGAAAGAATGTGCGTAAGGGAGAAAAAACTACAATTGTGCACAAGAAAATCGAGACACTCCAATCAGCTCCCAGCCTGAGAAAACATAAAACAAGATAGACCGAGAAACTAGTTATTAATTGATTTCAATGTGTGAGAAACTGGAAATTCTTTTTTCTCTTTTAATATACTTCATAACATAAGAGGCATTCATCATACATACTGTAAAACCATATTGAATGTTGTTCAGATACATTTCTTATATGAAAAGCTGCAACAAACTATATAGGGCAAGCACTCAGTTTCTTATATGAAAAGCTTTAACAAACATATACATGGGCAAGCACTACTAGTTACCTCCATAAAGCACCCATTGTAAAACCAAGTATTCCATGCGTAAGCTGCACAGGCAAAATATGGAAACAGTTTAGTCATTTATCCTCATTCCACTCACAGAAATAAATGTAAATTTCCATTCCCACTAGTGCATTGCAACTTAGGCAAAAAAAATGAACACATCACAAACACAGCCGACCTCCACCAATGGAAAAAGAATAATATTGGGATTAGAGTGTAGGAGAGGACTACCATATTGACTCAACCCTAATTAAATATTTGTTCTGAACTGGTTGGATTTCCTAAATGCTTTTGTAAATTTATTTAAAAAGTATTTGACTTACTTGGTCATTCAATTAAAAGCTGCAAACAAAACATACGCTTAACATGAGTTAAATATGACAAAAGCATATCAGACTTTTGTACTTACAGCAAAATCATCACAACTTGTTAGGCTATTCTACCAAAAACCCCAAGCACAATTAGCAAAACATGCACATATTCACTATATAGCTGAAAAAGAAGTAGAGAGAGCACACAAAATCCTAATTTTTACATCTGAGTTGTAATTGGCAATATTTTAGTGTCTTAATCATAACTCAGGTCAAGCAAAATAAGTTGAGGTCAGTTTAGATTCAGCTCACCAAATAGTTTAGGGCTTTTACAGGGCCAGACAAGACAAACAATAACATAACTGTCGCCACCTGCCAAGATGAAAGACCATCTCAATAATTAGAAAACTGATAACTTTTGAATAATATTGACACTGATTAGATCTTCAGATGAGTTACAAACCAATTGTTTCCTTCCACATGCAACACCCCATCGTATAGAGGAGATCACTATTGGCAATGAAAAGAAACACCCAAAGTAGTTCTGTCGGCAAAAACCAATCCTAGTTAGAAACATGTATAGCAATAGTCAATAAACATGGCATGTAACATACTAACAGCTGTTCCAAGAAACCAAATACATAGAGTTCATAGTACTGCAATGAGAGTTTTCACTTTCTAAAAGTGACCCATCAGAAAGAAATGAAGAAATCAAAAGAAAAACATATGTGATACCAAGTAAAATATAATCTTTCCCTATCTTATAAACCCCATTGCATGCTTTAAGTTTAAACTTGAAAACCCTTCATAGAAATCTCAAATTCTAAGCATTTACAGTTGCCCTGGGACAATGGTAACCCTTAAACCCTCTACTTTCAAAGGCAGTTTTCTAGCAACTGATGAAAATAAACACATTGCTCAAAACATAGTAATTCAAAAGATGAAACAGAAGAAACCTCAATTGCGAGGGAATTGCTCAAGAAATAGATGAGTCCAGTAACAGCAGCAAACATGGAACACTCCACCAATCTCAGCGTCTTCCTGTAAACGAGACCGTTTGGTGCCAAGTCTTCAAATTCCACCGACGACCCATTGTTGGGTCCTTCTCTTTCTTCAAAGTAAACCGGTGTTTCGACTTTGGAAGGGCTTGAAAATTTGAAGCATTGGGCAGGTTTAGCGAAGGAAAGTGAAGATGATTGGAAGGGTAGTTTCTGAAAGAGGTGAGTGGAGGGAGGAAGGCGGGGAAGGGTAGTTTGGGAAATTCGGAAAAGCAAAAGTTGGTGTTGGATTTTGAGGAGATTAGCGTTCATGGCTTTCTCTGAAGCTGTTTGTCTGTTGACCTTTGTTGTCGCCGTGAGCTGTGATGTTCGGAGCGAGCAGAGGATAGGGAGGGGTCTTTTGGGCTGGGCCTCATTCTTCAAATAGTCAAAAGAGAAAAAAAATCAAAAAAATAAAAAATTATTCAAATTTGTAATTTTTTTATTAAATTAAAATTAATTTTTGATATTAAATGTACATATTAAATTTAGATTAAATATTGGATTAAAATATAAAAAATCAAACTGAATTATATGTATTTTTAATTTATATATATTTTTTAAATTTTAATAAAACAAAAATAATAATTTTATATCAAATTTTATTTAAATATATTAAAATTTTATATTAAAATAATATAAATATTTTAAAACTGATAAATTAAATTGAATCAATAAATCTTAATTCAGTTTGGTTCACATCCAATTAAGGTTTAGTTTGAATCTATATCAAAATTTAAATTTTTATAATATTATGTAATATATAAAAAAATCGAATTAAATTAAATCTTATTCGAATTATTATCATTTTAAGACAAAAGTAACAAGTTTAATATTGTAAATGGATCGATTGAGCTTCATATTTAGGCTTATCTCTAAATAATATTAATATTAAATAAAACTTAAAATTTAAATTAAATGATTTGTCCATTTATTTTAAAAAGTAAATTTTAATAAGATTAAATTTGATCTAATTTAAGATTTAACTTAAAATATTTATTAATGTCCCTAAAAAAAGGAAATTTATTAAGGTTGAATTCAACTCTTATCTCAATTTTTTTTTTTTGTTTATATCTTTTGTGATAATCAATTAATCGATATCTAAAAATTTAATAAAATTTTAAAATTAAAATCCCATTAAGCTACAATTCATTTATTAGTTCTATGGAATGTTTTTTTTTACTTTTTTTTTCATTTATTTTTCTATAAATAAAATAATTTACTTTTTTATATATTGTTTTTTGTTTATCATTATTTTTGTTATATATTACTATATTATTTATTATTATTTTTAATTTGTTATGTGTTACCAATTTTTAAAGTTGAGGCCCAATATTATTATTATTACTTGTCTAGACTAATTATAAAGTGTTTTATTGAATTTATGTCATAAATCATGTGAAACAATTTTACTTCAAAATTTATTTAAAAATAAAAAAATATATAACAAAAAAACAATTTTAGGAATATTCATGTCTTTTATTTTTTAATAAAAAACCCTTAAAATAAAAAACTACCCATCTTTATTCATTATAATTTCTTCTTGCATTTAAAAAATATATATAAATACTCATATGATTAAATTTTAATTATATAATATTATAAATAGTTTTTTTAACACAAATTAAACCTTTCATTTAACTAATAATAGTACTTTTTAATGTCAAAACTCAAAATCTAATATATATATATATATATATTATAACAACATACATAAATAAATTTGTCATATAGGTGCTTATATGAATAATTATTTTAAATAAAACGTTAAATAATTTTTTAAAATAATAAGATAGTTTCTTTTAATTAGAACTTAAATAAATTTAAATTTATTTAAATATCAAAATTATTCAAATTATAATTGAAAATCAAATCAGTTTAAAAATATATTTTCTAAATTTAAAAATAAGAAATATATATTTTATTTTTTTAATAAATAATTTTAGTTGTTTATTAAATAATTGTATTTAAAAATTACAAATATTAAGTTTATCTAAATCTTTTAATAATACTTTTTATCTTAATTTAAAAAATTTACGTAAAATATTAAAAATTCAAGCACCTTTATATAAATTTTTGAAAATTAAAAAAAAATAATTTTAAAATTTTAAATAATAAAACCATTAAAATGATTATATCCATTTGAACTCTAATTATAAAATTTATATTTTAAATAAATGCAATAATTTTAATATTATCTTTATCACTTATTATATCCATTTCAAAATTAAAAAAATATCAATTTAATCATAATTGTTACTAAAGAATTATTCTATAAATTTAAGATTACAAAGGTAATGTATTATACATAGGGAAGGCAAAAAAATCCGTACCTGACGGGTTCCGATTCGACCCGATTTTTTAAGGTCGATTTTTTTTTTTGAAAATCGGGGGTCGGGTCGGATAGCATGAATACAAAGTATAGGTCGGGTCAGGGTCGGGTTTTAGGCAAACCCGACCCTACCAGACCCGATATATATAAAAATAATTTTTTAATTAATTTTTTAATTATATATATATATTTATATAATGATATTTTTAAATATTTATATTTCAAAAATAATATTTTATTAATTTCGGGTCGGGTCGGGTTCGGAAATGAAAAAACAAAAAAAAAATCGGGTAGGATCGGGTTCGGGTTTTTTAAGCATTTAGTCGGGTCAGGTTCGGAGCGAGCAAAACCCGCCCTGAACCCGCCCCGATGCCAACCCTAATTATACATCAATTTTTTTATTTTTTAGTAACTTTTTTTAAAGTATATTTTATTATGATTATAATTTTTTTTTTATTTTTTTTTTCAAAATATATTTTATTGTCATTACAGTTTCATTCATAAGAAAAATAATATTTTTTTCAATTTATTTTTTATTTTGTTCACATATTTTCCAACATTTTTAATATTTTGCATAATAATTTAGTTAAGATTAGAAAAGTGAAAGTGTATTAATATTTATTGTATTATTTAATTTGTTATTTAATAATATATATTTTTATTTTTTAAAGAAAAGCAAATTTTATTTTTATTTGATATAATGTTATAGGTATATAAATATAACTTAAAAAAAAAATCAAAGGAAAGAGATAATTTTTTCATGCTATTTTTAGAAATTTTATTTTTTAATGATAAGTCAATATATATAAATTTTACATATGCTATAAATTTTAATGATTTAAGTGTAATTTTGAAAAAAATAAATTTGTATATATATAATTTTGAAAAGAAATTAATTTTTATATATTTATATTATAAAATAAAATTATTTCGTATATACGGATTATAATCTAGTTATATAATAATGAACATTAATCTTTTGAAAATTATGGACCCTAAGCAGGCTCCGAGCCTTATGCGCCGATGGACTGGACCACAGGTTAATAATCTGCGCTCGGCAGCCCTTAAAATATTAAAATAAGAAAAAAATTAAAATTTTTTCCATTTTTAAATATGAAAAAGGCAAAACCCTAGTAACTGAGTGAGTGTTTGTAAATCAAAACAAAAAAACCGACGACGAAATCCATTTCCTCTCTCTTTTAAAAGAGCGGGAAAAGGGGAAACAACATTGGAACGAGAAAATTTTAGGGTTTTCAAATTTGTTTCTTGCTTTTGAGTTGAGTGATGGCGAATGTGGCAGTGGATGAGGATCAACAATGGCTGCTGAATTGCTTGTCTGCTACTCTGGACTCTAACCAAGAGGTCCGTTCTTTCGCCGAAGCGTCCCTTAATCAAGCCTCTCTTCAACCAGGTTCCCTCTCTCTCTTGACCTACTTTCTTTGCTTTTGAAATGCTAATGTCTGATAGTTGCCTTGTAATTTCGAACTTACTAATCGTAACTAGTTCCGTTTAATATAGTTCTGTTTGATTATTACTGTGATAACGAAGTAATCTCCTAGCTTTCAAGTTTAAGCAACGAAATCTAGAGCGATAGCTTGTTTTTTTGTAAAGCCTCCAGTCTATATATGTAAGAAAAGATCCTTGTAAAAATCCATTAAAGAAATTGAGTAAGGGGAATAACGAAAAGCGTTTTTGGTTACTGTTTTTAGAATGAAATAAAGAATAGCTGAATATCGGAGATCTGGAAAAAGGAGACTTGATTGTGGACAGGAAACAACATCATTTTGTTTCTATATACCTCTTTAACAGCATGTGACTCTGCTCTTTTTTTGAAATTTCCATTTCCGCCCCTCATAATGACGGTTAAGGTGTCAGGTTTACACATTCATGCATACATCTCTCTCTCTCTCTCTCTCCATATATATGTGCTCGTGTGTTTATAATGCTGAATTACTCTATGCTTTCTCTTGGTTTTTAAAAAATCAACTGTTAGCTAGTGGCTTTGATTTCTTTTTAGTTTAGAAATTTGCATGAAGGCATGATTTATGTGGAATCTCTTTGATTGCCTGGTATTGGCATGTTTTATGTGCCACATTCAGTAGTTGGTAGGCTTATGGAGATGGAAATTATTTGAAGCATAATGATGCATGGTGATATTAAATCGTTTTAATTTCCTTTTTTAGATATCATATTGTCTCATTTGTATCGGCCAGTGGTTATTATCTACATCTTGTCTTGTCTTGTTTTGAAGGCTTTGGCAGGGGATTATCAAAGGTTGCTGCAAACAGAGATGTTCCATTTGGATTGCGTCAGATATCCTTTTTTGAAAGTTGATCCACCTAGTTTATTCTTGATTACCTGTTATATAACCCCATTTGATTTCATCTTGACAGATTCACTTACATCATACCTGTTACTAAGAGAAAGAATATCCGTTAAATGTTTCTTTTGTTTCATGGAGATTATTATTCTTTTCTTTTTTTAATTTTATTTGAAGAAAAGGAACCCTCTGTCTGCATATTATATTTATGAACTTCTTATTTCCTTCACACTATTAGAAAAAGAGAGAAAAATAGGTGTTGTGTTGTTTTCTTTTTTCTTTCAATTATTTAAAAGAATTACAGCCAAACTTGCACATCCATCATCGGATTGTGTTAATTATTGTATCCGATAAGGTTTTATGTCCACTGAAGCTTTAACATCTTCTACCTAGCTGCTCTCCTTTTGAAGCAGTTCATCAAAAAGCATTGGCAGGAGGGTGATGAATCATTTCAACATCCTGCTGTTTCAAGTGATGAGAAGGTATGTAATGAAATCTGACACTATATAAGGTTTACTTTTATTTCTTACCCTCATTAACCTCTTTTTTTTTTTTTTTAATTTTTGCATATTTGAAATGCATATGGTCTATTTTGTTGTAGCTGTATACTTGTTGTGTATTTTAATGCTGTATCCCTTACATTTTTGTTACCATTTTAGGCTCATTTGGTTGGTGTAAAATAGCTTCTTGATGATTTTTTTTTTTTTGTAAAAAATATTTTCCTCAATAATAACCTATTTATGTGGGTGAAAATGTTGAGTAAATAGGACCTACTTAATACATTCGATCAAGATGGTTTTAAAATTCTTTTAATTTTTTTTACTCAATTACCCTCTATATTAGTTAAAATTTTCTCTTATGGCATTATTTTACTGTTATTTGATTACAATTATCTACAGAAAATATATTGTAAAATTTCTCATATGATTACATATATTTGTGACATGTAATATTTGTGATGTGCTATAAGACCCCGTTAAAGTCTGTTGATTATTTAATTTTAGCAAATGTCCGATAGTTTTAAAATGTAAATTTGAAGTTTGAACCTTTTTTTGTAAACAACACCTAATTTTGCCAAAGAGTTTGATGAAATTACCAAATCTTATTGCATGAAGTTCACGATAATACAAGCTCTGTATTGCTGAAAACAGAAAAGTAGTATCTGAGAAGTACATGCATATCCAGTGAACCTTGGGAACATTGTTCTTGGATGAAATAATTTGGGCTTGGGGGCATTTGACAGCTTTTTTCTATCTAGCATGTGTTGAGCTTTTAAATTTGTTGGCTTTCAATCCTTTCTCATCATATACTTATGTGACCTTTTTTTTTTTTTTGAAGTTTATACTTACGTACCTTGATACTATATTAGACTTAGTGCCTTCTTTGTGTAGTTTTATAATATGCCATTGCATGTTTTCATTTTGTTTCAGTACTACTTTTAAACTGTAATAACTTGACTGGAACATATAACCATGTTTTTGACTGTTTAGTTATCTGTGCATAGTTAATGATTAGCGTAAAAAAATGTTTTTCCTCTTGTTATGGCTTGCTATCGAGCCGCTCTAGACATATAGATATATTTTCTCTTTTTTTTCTATCTTAATTTTTATTTTAAATTCTGAGATGAAACATGTGGATGGGTTTTCCACCTCTAGTTATAGCTAGTAATTGATAATTCTGTAAATATCTTGTGTTTAATCTACCCTGTCCACCTGTATATTATATCCATCATGATTACATTGTCAGGCAGTTATCCGGGGACTTCTTTTATCAACTTTGGGTGATCCTAATCGAAAACTTTGCACAGCAATTAGTATGGCTATAGCATCTATTGCAGTCTATGACTGGCCAGAAAGCTGGCCAGACTTGTTGCCGTTCCTCCTGAAGTTGATTGGTGATCAAAGTGATATGAATGGAGGTAAGAAATGGTGCATTCATGTTCTGAATAATCCTTTTACTTTTTGTTTCATAATCTTGAATATTTTCTTTTCATGGTTCATTGATGTAATAGTCATCTTAGAGGCTTACTTTAGATGCTTTTTCTTGTAATATAAACTAGTTTTTACTGATGGTTATTGTATCTAACCATTTTCCATGAAGTTATGTAATTATACAAGTATGTTCTAATGAGTACTTTCTAAGAACTTGGTGTTTGGTGTGGGATTCATCACCCATTCATGTTTTAGTTTTCATTAAGTAGGTATGCACTTAAAATATAACACCAACACTTCTGATCCAATTTTCTATTACTTGTTGTTTTATAATTCATTTTTTCAATCTCTGATGACAAAGTCGCGTTGTGGTTGAATTTTTTTCCTTTTATTTTGCTGGGCCCTTAATTTTATGGGTTTTGCTAACCAAGTGCCCTTAGCACTCTTTAGGGTTAGTTAAATTATTATTTATAGTAATATTTTTATATTAAAAGCAGTAGTTAGTAATTGATTTGATGAATTCCAATGCACTGGAGAATAAATTTCTTAATACAGTAAGCTTAAAGAGTGCCCTAAGGGCACTTGTTAGCAAAATCCTAATTTTATTTGGGCTGATTCTTTTGTAGCTTATCATCATACCTTGATAAATACTTGTTTATTTATCATGATTTGTACATTAGTAAAGCACTGAATATATTCAGTTGGCTTTAAGCTTTTTGACAATTTCAGCTTTTTAAAAGTTTGGATTCATTTGATTAAAGCATTCCCAAATTTTGTAGTGCATGGTGCTCTTAGGTGCTTGGCACTTCTCTCGGGGGATTTGGATGATACAATGATTCCAACATTAGTACCTGTTCTCTTCCCTTGCTTGTATACCATTGTATCATCTTCTCAGGTTAGTTTTCTTTTGCCTTTATTGTATTGGTAATAGCTTTAGAGTAGGCCTGTTTCTGTTGTGGGTTTTTTTAATTGCATATAATTTTGAATCTTATTTTCTGGAGATGAGGATTTTGCGAAGTGTGGTATTAGTGGAGTTGTCTGTCCATCTGCGCATTTGTGTCTGTACATAATGCACTTGTTACGGTATAGAGAGAGCACTTTTATTTTATTTTCTTTGAGATGAGGATTTTGGGTAGTGTAGTATTAGTGTAGCTGTGCATGTGCTCATTTGTGACTGTACATGATGCAGAAGCTGCATGGAGATTGCTTTATGGGTGCAAGCATAATCACAAATTTACATTTTTAAGCATGTACATATATCATATTGCCCAAAATTAGTGATATAGGCCTTCTCCAAATTCCTTTGTTGTTAGTTTCTGCAAAAAAAAAAAGAAGGTGGAAACTCCTTACATTGTGATAAGATGTGCTTGTGCAGACCTATAGCAAATATTTGCGAACAAAAGCCCTTTCTATAGTTTATGCTTGCACTTCAATGTTGGGGGCAATGAGTGGTGTATATCAGGTACTCTCATGCAACCTATTTGATTGTGCTGGCTCTTAAGACGTGGTTGGTTTAATTATGTTTATTAATTAACAGAACTAAGATATTTATGTTCAGGCAGAAACTAGCGCACTGGTGGAACCATTGCGTAAACCATGGTTAGATCAGTTCTCTTTTATCTTGGAACAACCTGTACAGCCTGAAGATCCGAATGATTGGAGCATCAGAATGGAGGTTGGTATATGCTTTCATCTCTAGCTGTTTTCATATTTTCTACTCCTGGCTCGTGACTCAATTTTTTCTCAGGTTTTAAAGTGCTTGAATCAGTTTGTTCAGAATTTTCCTAGCTTCACTGAGACTGAATTTATGGGTAAGTTGGTCATATCTCTTTATATGTTTCTTTTAGCAATTTTTTGAGTTTTATATTTAATCTGAGCGTCCATATTTTGCAGTTATTGTGGGGGCACTATGGCAGACATTTGTATCATCCCTGAGAGTATATACTCAATCAGCAATTGAAGGTACAGAGGATCCCTACGAGGGCAGTTATGACTCTGATGGTGCAGAGAAAAGCCTTGATTCCTTTGTTATTCAGGTAATACTCAATTTGCTGGTAAAAAATTGTTTGTTTATTTTTATACACAATAGTACAGATAGAATTAGATCCTGGTCTCTGTTAACTGGTTTTATGGCTCCAAGAGTAGGACCTGATAGTTTAAATTGCTTAAATTTAATTTATTCAAATGCTTTTTCATCGAGCTTTAGTGATAAACTTAGAAGTGGTTAGCATATAAAAAATTCAAGAAAAGTCAATATATAGGGCTTTCCTTTTAGTATGGATTTTCTAAATAATTATCTTTATGCAGCTAGAAGTACAGATTAAAAGTCAATTTATATACAAGGTGGAGTTGGGTTCTAAGTTGATTGAATATTTGAATGCTATGGTATTTGTGCAATGTTGGCTGAAGCTGAATGAAAAGTAGCTATTTTTCTTATGGTTTGGGTGTCAACAGACAGGTTAATCTTTTTTCAAAGTCATTCCAACCACCTTTGGAAAGGGAAAAACCTGGTTTGGTTGGCAATTGGAAGGTAGATGGCTGTTATAAAAAGCTGCAGTGCATGTTTTAAACTTTAATTATTGATTTTTGTTTGAAGAAAGTGGTAACAGGCTTGTTCTTGTATATAGTTTTGAATTCACGAAAAACTTCGGTTTTTTGTCAAGTGCACAAATATCAGTTGTTTCTAGTTTATCTGATCTTTTCCTCTCCTTTTTTGTGTTTGCACTGAACTTGCAGTTGTTTGAGTTTCTGTTGACCATTGTGGGTAGCACAAAATTGGTAAAGGTGAGGTTAGAAGACTCTATGTTCTCTTTAATTACTGTTTCTTTTTTATAATTAACTAGATTCTTTTACCTGTGCCATGCACGGAATTTTTTATTTTATTTTTTATAATTTAAAATTTTAATTTATATTAATTTTTATATTATATATGGATAAATAAAATATTCGTAATCATCTATAATTTGTAGTTTTAAATTACAAAGGCCCTCTATATATAAATTATTATGAAAGAATCCAAATAAGCATTATGAAAGCTTTAAATTATGAAGGTAAAATAACATATAAATCTCAATGTGAAAGTGAATCTCTTGTTCACAATTAGATACACTTTTAAAAGTATATATTATTTTAGTATGAAATTAAGATCTACACGTGTAATATATTATAAAAATTTTTTCATGTTTGTTTTGAAATTTTATCATGCCAAATTTTTATGACGAAAATTTGATTGCACTTATCTTTTATAAAGAAAAAATATTGATTGTTAGAAGAAATTATAAATGTATTTTTGATAATTATTTAATTTTAAAAGGTTCTAATTTTTTTAAAATGTAGTTTATCCAAGTTTAATTTTAAATTAAAATAAAAGAGGTTAGTATAATTTTAAATTTAGATATGTGTAATTTTAAATTAAGAGAAAATATCTTTCTCTTTTATTTTAAATCATAGAAAAATAAAAGCAAAAAAATTAGTAAATAACAGTGATTCAATCACAAACTTTATTTATTTAAATTTATGTGAATTTTGATTTAGACAGTGTATGGTTTTCTATGGTTTCAGATTTAAATTATGATAAAACTTATATACTTTGAAAGACTTGGATAAATGTAAATTTTGAAACTTTAAAATTTTTAAAAATTGAATAATTGATTAAATAAAATTATTTAGAACTATCCGACGTGTTAATAATATAGATTGTCTACTTAAGCGTCCATGTAAGCAAATCTTATTAGGTTTCTATGTATGTTGTAATATAATATTATATATGATATGATTGGTATAATTTTTATAAAATTTGATCTTGTAGGTTGTTGCGAATAATATTGCAGACTTAGTATATTACACTATTGCTTTTCTGCAAGTGACGGAACAACAGGTAATTATTCATTCATTCTGATGTCAGAATGGACTTTGACTTCATCTTATTTTGCTGCCATCTTGACAACTTATGGGCTTTATTCATTTTAATTGAATGCAATCTCCTTCCTTTTTTTTTTCTAGATAACCCTTTATTGTGTTTCCTTTACCAATCTTGTTACCCTTGAAACTACAGAAAATGGAGTTTTGCCAGCAGTATTTTTGTCATGATCTTAACAATGCTGCTTTAGTTGTTTCCATATTCAGTCATGACTGACATGCCTATTAATCCTCATTTCTTCTATCCTTTTAGAGTCCTTGTCTGAGAATGTTATTCCAATCCAATCTGAACATGTTTCCAAACCTGCATTACATCCAGATATTACTACTACTATTGTTCTGTTGCTCTTTAATAAACTAGTGGAGATGCCTCCATACCTGATCATTCAAAAGATGATTGAATCCTTTCCCTGTTTCTTATGTTTGAATCCTTTCTAGGTCCATACATGGTCGATAGATGCTAATCAATTTGTAGCTGATGAGGATGATGTCACTTATAGCTGCCGTGTTTCTGGTAAGTAGCTTTTACATTGTAATTTGATATTGAACATTTATATCAGCACCCAGATTAATCGGGATTTGTCAGTGATGTTACTTATGACCGTCATGTTTCTCTTGATGAATGTATGACATGAATCTATATGCTGTTATTAAGACATTATTTTGGTCATATTGGAAAAAGACAACTTTTTCCTTTTCAATAATTGAAAAAGAAAATACTTCAAATGATGACAGTACAGTTAGAATCTTTTTTAAGAACACCCGACTTCATCAGAAACATCATTTATGCATATTATAATTGTTGTACAAATTGCATTATGATCTCTGGCACTTGTATTTGCCATTTTGAATGTGAAATAGTTAGAAACTTGAAGAAGCTTTTAGAGTAATTATTCATGTTTTGAATGGAATTATGAAATGGAAGACATTCTTTGTGATCAATCTCTAAATGCAATTCAATGAAATTATTCAAATGTCAGCATGGGGTGATTTACCGTGTTAACAATAGTTAATATTTATGTTCTTCAATTATGCTATTGCTACCTACATGACTCTTCTCTAAGTTTGACACCAGTTAGTGAATAATGATCGGTAAGAAGCTTTGGTTTGTGTCGATAACATTTAGAATACATTACTGACTAATTCAAAGCACAAACTTATGTTATGTTTTATGACTGACCTCTACTGGACAATCAGTATGCTTTCTCTCTTGGTCATTTCATTTATTAATTTTATTACAATGTTCGGTAATTATTATTATCTAGTGCTTAATATTTTTCATGAGATGTATGGCTGGGAAAATTTCCTCATTATTGAATAGAATCATTCTTATATGTTTTACTCTGTGTGGGATATGAAATGAGAGCATGAGACTTACTGACAACATGGTCTCCATTGAAGGATAGGACAGAGGTCTAATCCCATTATTTTAATTGCTAGTACTGATTGATTTTGTCTCAAATTTTTATGCATGATTAAGAAAAAAGAAAAAACCTGTGGTCACTAATAACCATACCTTAGATTTTCTTGTTATGCTTCCGGATGAAGCTTGAATGATTTATGGCTTCTTATGTAGATAGGAACTGCACCCAGTAAAATAATTTTATTTGAGTCACAGAGGGAATCAACAGTCTATTGAAACCATGGTAGTTCCTTAAGGAGGTGTAATTACCAAATTAAATGTCTACGGGCAGTAGTCTGTACTTTCAAAAACTTCATTCTGAGTCTATCTTCATCTAACCTCTTTTCTGTTTCCAAGTTCAGCCCATCTTCAACCCATTTTGTCTGTCTCTGACAAATCTCTGCTTGCATTTGCCTAATGCAGCATAAGTCTTGGAATCTGTTCCTGTGTCTGATAGCATATCTCTTACATTTCCATTTTCAAGATTTCCTTGACTTTGTAAAAAAAAATTCCTATATAAATTTACTTTATGCAGGTGCACTTTTACTAGAGGAGGTCGCAACCTGTTGTGGGAGAGAAGGAATTGATGCTATTATAAATGCTGCTAGGAAAAGATTCAGTGAGTCTCAACAAGAAAAAGCTAGTGGTTCTGTAGTTTGGTGGAGGGTAAGTAGAAACTTCTCTTGCGGATTACTTACTAAGATTTATCTTTTGGACTCTAAACTTTTATCTTTGCTATAGTTTCCTATCAACTTTTTCTTTAAATTGCACTTAAATTTGTTTTTCATATAAGAGTATTGCAACAGTCTTTTAAGGTAATGTTGTAAACTTGTTTTAGCGAGCTTTACTTCATGAACTGGTGAGATTTAACAGTTGTAGCTTGTGTGGACTGTGTTGTTCAACTGTGAAGATTCCAAGAAAATTATTTTACTTAACTTGGAAACAAAAGGAAAGTTATTTTTTGGCGTTAATATGAAGGTAAAACTCTTCTTTCAGTATGGGTTGGAAGTTTATAGCATGGAAAGGGCTGCCCTTAAAATTTGAGACTACAAAATAGAGCAAACATTTTCTTCTTTTTCCTCAAGACTTGTTCCCTGCCAGAAAAATAACAAGTAGTGTCTTCATTAGATGTGCCTGGTGATCATGCCTTTAGTTGAGAAACTACCCATTTAGTTGTTATGTTTGGCTACCACAGAGCATTTAAGGGGTTGCATCAGCTTTAAGTTCCTATTATATTTACAATGTTATGCTTGAAGCAGATTTCCACTCTCTCAAAATAATTACTCATCTGGGTGAGACAAACAAGTGGATGACATTGTTGTAATTGCATGATTACACAAAATTGTGTAAAAGCTAGTTGGGGGCTTAAGATCTTAATTCTAATAAAATCATCATGATATGTGGAGAACATATGTGGTACTGAGTCCATTTAAATTCATCTCTTGGGATTCTAGAGTTTTATGAGAGTTCCACATCAATTCATCAGGATAAAGATCATATTTGTTAGCTCACTAAATTGAAGAATAGCAATATATATGGTATTTACCTTTTTGCCATGAGGCATATGCTGCTGACATCGGTAATAACATTCACATGAAGCTAGGATAATAAAGATGGTATTAAACTATTGATACCAGTTTGAATTTTCACCTTTCTTTCCCTAATGTAGTGGTAAAAATCTTTCTAAAAGTTGGATCCGGTCAAACATGTGCTTTTGTGTCTTTGCAATTAATTTTCCCTTTCTTCTCATTTTTCTCTAATGCTTTATAATCATATCGGAAGATACTGTTTATTGTTTTTGTTACTGAAGTAGTTTCTAATATCATTTTAATGGAATTTCTTTCTTTTTCTCTCTCTTATTCCTTTTTTTAATCTTCCTTATAACTCATTCTTGCATGGTAAAATTTTCAGAAAAGGGAGGCTACTTTGTTTGCTTTGGCTTCTTTGTCAGAGCAATTGCTTGAGGCAGGGGTTTGTTCTTTCCATGATAATTTTCAATTATCAGTGGTTACCTTTTTCCTTTGGCTTTAAGTATAACGTCAAATAACTTCTCTTTCTAGGTTTCAGTTTTAATGTTGTATTGAATTTATGGTGGCAGGTTTCTGGACTTACAAAAGTGAGCTTAGGAAACCTTTTAGAGCAAATGATTACTGAAGATATGGGAATTGGTATTCACTTGGTTTTTGTTTCTATTGTGTTTCATTGTTGTATTATATCATTAATTCAGGGAACATATTTTAGTGTTGTGATTTTGTTTGCAGGGGTGCATGAATATCCCTTTCTTTATGCTCGCATGTTTATATCAGTTGCTAAGTTTTCCTCTGTGGTAATGATGCCATCTCCCTATTTTTGAGGTCATCTTATCTGGTTTATGTCATTTCGGAAGATCTAATTCAATTTATAATGTTGTTCAGATCAGCTGTGGAATTCTTGAACATTTTCTCCATGCTGCTATAAAGACAATTGGCATGGGCGTGTATGTTTACCTACCCCATTTTAATATCTGTCCACCAGGTAATTGATAGCATAAATCTTATTATGAGTGTATTTTATTGACAGCCCTCCAGCTGTGAAAGTAGGTGCCTGTCGAGCAATATCACAGCTCCTTCCTGAAGCAAACAAGAGTGTTATTCAGCCTCAAATGATGGGTTTATTGTCTTCACTAACAGATCTTCTTCATCAGGTAATGCACAACTGAACAATTCTTGGAAGCAGTTGTTGAAGTCACATGTAATTGTTGTCTTATGATTCTTATTTCAGGCTTCTGATGAAACATTGCACCTGGTACTTGAAACACTGCAAGCAGCAATTACAGCTGGTGGGTTTAGATAATAGATGATATAAAGGTTTTGCTTGTTTCGTGCAAATTGATTTTCAAAAAATATTTTTTGAAAAATATTTACATTTTCTAAAAAGGCATAGATTTTCTATTATTTGGTTGTATTTTGAAAAATATTTTTTTTAAATAATATTGACATAACTATTAAAGTATTAAAAATTATTTATAATTAAAATATATTAAAATTATTAATATTAAAAAAATTAAAATTTAATAATAATAATTAATATTAAAATGTTATATTAATATAAAAATGTTTAAAACAAAACTATTTATTATTTATATTAATATTTTAAAATAGTTAAAATGGTACTATTATCTTTAAAATATATTTTTTATTAATATAATAATATTTAAAATAGTAATATTTATTATTAATATATTAAAAATATTTTTACTATTAAAATAGTTATATTTTTTATTGAAAGTATATATTATCAAATCATAAAATATTATTTATTTATATTTATTGTTAAAATAATAATATAATTACATAAGTGAATAAAATATAAAAATAATATATTTTAAATTGAAAAAAAAAATTATTGGAAATATTTATTTTATGAAAATAATAATATTAAATATATTATTTAATATTAATTATTTGAATAATAAATATTATTTAATGAATGATTATTTAATTTTAAAATGATCTAATACTATTTATTATTGAAATATTAAAAATATTTATATTTAATAATATACAAAATAAAATATTTAAAATTAAAATATCAAAATACTTTTAATGTTGATATTTTTGTTTTTTAATTAAAATTACGTAAAAATATTTTTTATTAATATAATAATATTTCCTATTGGATTAAGTTAAGTTTAAGTTTAAAAATCATGTTAAGGTCTTACTTGACTAGAAATTTGAAAATATTTTTAAAATTAAAATGTTAGAAGATTTTTAATATCAATACTTTAATCTTTTCACGTAAAATTAAATAAAAATATTTTTTATTAAAATAATAATATTTTGAGTTGGGTCATATTAAGTTTGAGTTTAAAAAAATTATGTTCAAGATCCTATGCTTATGAGTTCAATAAGTAATACTACTCATAAACTTTTTTTTTTTGAAATTGTCTTTCCTTTTTCAAAAAGAAAAGACAATTTTCAGAAAACTGATTTCATTTTCTATTAACGAATCAATTTTTTGCTAAACAAACATAAAAAAAATACATAAATTATTTTTCCGAAGTCATTTTTAGTGAAACAAACGAAGCCTATGCCTGAATCATTTCTCATCTATGTTATAATAAGGTGTTTTCTTTTATATTTCAACTATTTCATATTTTATTTTTGTTTACCTAGGTCATGAATTGTCAACATCTGCAGAGCCTATTATTTCTCCTATAATCCTCAATATGTGGGCATTGAACGTTTCAGATCCTTTCATTAGTCTTGATGCAATTGAGGTTCTGGAGGTAGTAATGAAATTGCTGTTCGTATTTTATGATAAGGAGAAACTTACTGTCTTGTCATTTTTAATATCCCATTTTTGTCTTTTCAATTTTTTTTTTGCAATATACTTGGTTTCCCTTAAGTAAGGTTATTAAGTTTAGATGTTTTAGGTAAGATATTGCATCTTGATATGTCAATTTGTTCCTGGTAGTATATCCTCTGAATGAACTGGTCATGGTCGTTAAAATTAAAAAAAAAAAAAAAATACCGAAAGTTATATGTTGGCAAGTAGATTAGTGGATATACTGTCCATAAGTTTTGCAACTCAGAACTATAAGAAATATAATATCATAGTGCAAATTATTTGCAACTAGGTACCAAAAGTGATTAATTGGCAAGTCAATTAGTGGAATATAATAAAATGATTATATTACTCTAGATATCTTAAATAACCAAAATGTTTGATGGATCACACAATTAATTGAGGTTGGAGGTTGAACCGTTGTCTCACTTTTGGAAGTATTCTTATTTTCAAAATATTGTGCTATGATTTGTAAGAACAATCGCTGCTTGTCAGACACCGGTGAGACATGCACAAGGCCTTTTTACTCGTGTAGGTGTTTGTTATCAAGTAGAAGTCCCATAAAGGGGAAATGTGAAGTTTTCATTCTGGCCTTGTAGGTCCCTTGAAGAATGGAAATACAGCTACTTTGCAAGTTTGCACATTATGCATATTGGTAGGGTTCAATGGGGTGCGAGACACATCTTGATCTTGGTGTAGAATAGGCTATGATATAATACGAAATTTATCATTGAGGAGAAAAGTCCTATGGAATGGTGATTGAAAGTTTAATATCTTATTTTAAATGCTAGTGATAGCCTTTTTTCTTGTAAAGATATACTTTATTATTATTACTCGAAATCATTTATGGGATTTGTTAAGCATCTAGCTTAAAACTAATTGGCAGTAAGTGGAGAGTTCCAATCTGAATATAAGGTTACAGGATATTGGATATTTATTAGATGTGAGATAACCCACTTTAACAGGTTCCCATCATGTGTGGGCAAAGATGGAAAAAGCCTACTACGTGACAGATTTGGAAAGGGCAACGGAAAGAAAGTCCTGGCTTTAATACCATGTTAAGCATCCAACTTAAAATCAATTGGTAGTAAATGGAGAGGCCCCAATTTGAATATAGGGCTGCAGGATATTGGATATTTATTAGATGTGGGATAACTCACTCTAACAGGATTGAATTATGCACTAGATGATTTTGAGATTCTTTTATCATTAATTGACTATGATTAATTGTGTTGCTTTTTAACATTTTACCCATGCATTTGTCTGAATTATTTCTAAGTTTCTTTAATATTTCGTGGGATGTAAATTTACTTTTATCTGGTATTTCTGTTTTGAAAATTTCACGCAGGCAATAAAAAATGCTCCCGGTTGCATTCGACCATTGACTTCTCGAATTTTACCATATCTCGGGCCAGTACTGAACAAAGTACAGCCTCTTAAGTTACTTTAAATTGTTCTATTCTCAAAGTGATGGAGATTTTAAATTATTTGTCTTTAATGCATCTTTTGCTTGCAAATTTCCAGCCCCAACAGCAGCCCGATGGACTAGTGGCTGGGTCATTGGATTTGATAACTATGCTACTGAAGGCAAGTAATACTTGGAAGGAAGAATGTCATATTTACTTTTTTCTTTGTTGAGTTTATAACCCTTTTTTTTTTAAATTTTGAAAACATATAATTGTATTGCATTGTTTTGCCAATTACAGTTTGTGATATTGTTGTACAGAATGCTCCTACTGATGTGGTAAAAGCAGCATATGATGTTTGTTTTGATGCTGTAATCCGGATAGTTCTTCAAAGTGATGACCACAGTGAAATGCAGGTATAACTTTTCACTGAATGTTTTTTTTCTTTACTGATAATTGGCTATCTAAATTGTGGACATAAGTGCTGCTTCTGTACGACGTTGATCAGAATGCAACAGAATGTTTGGCATCTTTTGTATCTGGTGGAAGACAAGAACTTCTTGCTTGGGGTAGTGATTCCGGATTTACAATGGGAAGTTTGCTTGATGCAGCTTCAAGGTCACTTATTCTAGTCTTGATTGTTTACTTCCTATCCCCCCCTCTCTCTTTCCCCTTCCAAACTCTTTTGTTTTGGTGCATGAGAATTTGTCAATTTCAAAATAGTTAATGGTTCTGTTATGGTTACCAAAAGCAAAAATAGAAGTTCTTTTACTTAGAATTGTTATCTTTCTACATGCTCAAAGTTCTCTTATTGAGCTTTATCAACTGCTTTTAGGGAAACTGGGATCATTATGCAGGGATTGTATATTTGATAATTGCCAATTGATTTGCTTCTTGATTGATATTGATATCGTTTCATATTCATATTATGGTGCCCAGATGTATTTTAAAGCTTGTAGAAATCTTCAATACAAGAAAAATGCTCCTGCTGAGGGCTTAGGGTGTTGTTTGTATAATCTACTGATTTTACTTGGAAATAACTCAGTAGAACTATGAAATACAATATACATTTGTTTATTGTGGGTTGTTAAATATGCTCAATCTTTCTTAAGGAATATATGAAGAATAATACTATGCCAATCATAATTACTGTCCCTTCTTTTCTTGTTATGTTAGTGAAAGTTGTGGCAGTTTTCTTTAAATCACTTTGTCATCTTCATAATTAAGGCTGATCCATCCAGCTTGTTGAGCTATCAATTTCAATTCTGTTGTTATGCATTATATATATGTTGCATGGTCAGATAACTTCTTCTTTGTTTGTGAAAAGTTGTTAAATACATGTTCTGTTGCATGAAGAAAGTCAAAGTGGTTCAGGTGGTATTTCATGCAATGGTTGTGAGCTTGTGGATTCTTGCAGTGAATTTAAATTTCTGTCAATTAGTCACCAGCTAAACTCTTCTGGTAAGGTTTTCTCATATCCATGTTTTTGGATGCTTATTTTTGTGCAATCTGATTTGCAGGCTTCTTGACCCTGATCTGGAAAGCTCTGGGTCTCTTTTTGTTGGCAGCTATATCCTGCAACTTATATTGCATCTTCCCTCACAAATGGGGCAGCATATTCGAGACTTGATTATTGCTCTTGTTAGACGTTTGCAATCAGCTTCGATAGCAGGATTGAAAAGCTCCTTGCTACTTATTTTTGCTAGATTGGTATTGTGCCTAAGTTTCAACTTCGTCCTGAATAAACTAAGCCCTTGCCAATTTTGAAACTTTTAACTTCTTGTGGTTTGTCAAGCAGAATAATTGCAAATTCTTTTTTGTTAAAAATGAATAACAAGAAGCTACAATCAGAGTAGAATAGACAAATTCATTGCTTGTAACTTGTGGATTCTTTTTTGTTAAAAATGAATAACAAGAAGCTACAATTAGAGTCGAATAGACAATTTCATTGCTTGTAACTTGTGAATTTTCATTAACATGGTCTTATAATTATTATTTGATACAAGTTGAGGTGTTTTCAGAAAATGTTGCATAAAAGAAGCCTTTAATCTGAAAAAAGAAAGTTTTCCAGCTAAGCTGGACCTTCTTTCCAATTTTGATTTCTGGAACAGGACAGCAATCCTTCTATAGTTCTTATTACTTGAAGTCCTAATGTTTGTTGGCCAAAAAAAGTCCTGATGTTCTACCATCTTCACTCTGTTTTCCCAGTTCTTTAAGGTTTATGGTTAGATGTCAGTCTGCACTGATCATCTTTTTCATGGACCAATTTTTTCACTGTTTCATTTCTTAAAATGCAGATTCATATGAGTGCGCCAAATGTTGAACAATTTATCAATTTGCTGATCACCATCCCATCTGAAGGCTATCAAAATGCCTTTGTTTATGTAATGTCAGAGTGGACCAAACAACAAGGCAAGTTTCTGTGCACATTCCCACTTCTAGCTAGGAAACAAAGTAATGTGAAGTGGGAATATGTTAAAGGAAGGTTAATGGTGAATTATATGAATCTCTGTTTGCATACTTATCCCGATGCAAACAAATCAATATATTTGTGAAATTTTGTGGTAATTAGTTCATTTTCATTGGACCTTGGTAGCAGTAATGTTAGTGTGGAAAAACTAAGAAATAAATCAGTGTGGAAACTGAATGTATATTAGAAAACTGCTTATAGAGAATTATACAAGAATCTTAGGTTTATATACAACTAACTAGGGGTTAAACTAGGAAACTAAATCTTCCTAAAAAACTAATCCTATAATTGAGGGATTGTCTATCCTAATTTTAGGGATACAAATACTTAATTCTAGAGATACAAATATAAATATACAGATTACAAGATTACAACCAGCTGTAAATAAGTGTTTTCTCACAGTTAGTGTTTAAAAGGTGTCTTACAACTGATTCTAATGTGATCCGATAAAATAAAACATAAAAAATAAAAAAAGTTAGGATAAAACTAAAGGCAAATCCACTCTCCAAGTCTTAAGTTGGCATGTCTAATTATGTGGAGCTTCAATGGGGGCTTGAATAGATTGTCTTGAGACAATATTGAGTCTTAATTTTATGCTTGTTTAGGTTATAAGTTGCAAGATTCAATTTTTCTTAGCAGTTAACTATATTTTAGTAACTAATGACTTCGCTGGAATGGCCTTGGCAGTAACATTTTGGGTCTTAGTTTGAACCTGCAACTGTTAGGAACTGATTCAATCTATGTCTAAACCTTGTTTAGTACTAAATGTATCTTCTATTTAGAGTCTAATTCTTGGTTGGACTGGGAATGTAGAGGGGACAATCTGTTGGGAGATTCATTACATGTGCAAAATAGGAAGATGAGTGTATGATATAGGTGTCAGAAAAGTCTTAGTGAGAGAAGTCTTGCTTTTACTGAGAAACTGAAAGGTAGAAGTAATTCAATATGTCATAGCCATTATCTTCAATTTTCTGATATGTTTCTTTTATGCAATAGCTGGAAACCAATCTTCTTAAACTCTAGAACAGCCATATATTTCATCCTAATCAATAACCATGCTAAACCCTATATTACCATTCTTTCATACTTTCCCCTAGACAAAGCCAACCAATATCTCCTTGTTATATTGCCACAATCATAATCTCAAACCAACTCGGTTAATATCCATATTTAGTAGTATAAGTTCCTTTGTTTTCCCTAGCTCTGAAATTTAACCTCACACTCAGTCTGCTTATGTTTTAGTGCATGGATACAGTTGGTGACCACAAGGCTTGTATGTATGTATTATCCTAAATCAGTTAAGTTTGGGGCTTGTAGCAGTCTTGTATTTCATTCGGCCACTGATTGTGGATTGATTTAAGTTTGATACCTGCAAAATTTAACATCTCATCATTTGTTAATTTACTAGAGTTTCTTGAGCTTTATATCAAGAGAGGCCTTGCTTCCTGATGCTAATTTGGTTTAAGTTAGATACCTTAATAACTAATCAGTATGATCTATTCCTGTATTGGATGTCTATACTAGTATAGTTTTATTGTATACCTGGTCATTCATATTGGGTGACTAAATCAACCTAACTGCAAGTGAGCTGAACTAGATTTTCTTACTGTGTCAGCCTCTTTTGGTTTTGCAGTTTTCATTATTTATAGTGTATAAAAAGGATCTGTAATATTTTTCTCTTCCTTGTGTACTATTTGTGATTATGGACAATATCCATTATACAAGAAAAAAAAAAACAGTTCATTAGCTTTTGATCAGCTTACTAATTTGCAAGATAAGTAAGCTTGCATTTGATATTTCTTCTCATGTGTGCTTTGGAGTGCAGGGGAGATTCAGGGGGCATACCAAATCAAAGTTACCACCAGTGCTTTTGCCCTACTGCTGTCCACTAGGCATCCTGAACTATCAAATATTAATGTCCAAGGCCATCTAATTAAGGTTCATGATATTTCTTGAAGGCTTGATTGTCAATTTATCTTGGATGTGCTTACTGGTTAACTCAATCTTTTTATTGTGAAGTCTATGGCAGGGATAACCACTCGCTCAAAAGCTAAATCTGCTCCAGATCAGTGGACTATAGTGCCACTTCCAGCAAAGGTATTTCTAGGTTGTTTGTGTCAATAAAGGTTGCCTTGAACTGAGGTTCTGGTCTGGTTAAGTGATCATATCTAGTGATTGTTTGCATTTGGTGGTTTGAGAATTATTTGCTCATAAAATAGAATGATGAGGAAGATTGAAGGGTAGTAGAAAAAAAAATGTAAGAAATGAAGTTTTTGCGGTGCACGTGAATATGAAAAGGATAAAACTTAAAATACAAAAGTGATATGTAAGACTATCCAAAATTGGAGACAGATAATGTTGAAATAACCTTATTTCCATGTGATATCTAGTTTTTTTTTTTTTATATATTATCTTTTTTATGTAAATTGTCAATTGAGTTTTTCTCTAGCAAATTGGTGGAGACCAACTTAATCTAGTGGCTTTTATGAGCACAGGTCCTAGAATGAGTCTCGAAAGCTTTTTCTTTTTTTTTTTTGTCTATTAACCATATTAATCTGGGTTCAGTTTGGTTTTGCGATTGGATTGCAAAATTATGGTTTTGGAAATCGTTGTAAAAGTTGCTTTTCCACTCAAACTTGGTTTGGATTAAAAATATAGACTTTTGTTGGCATTGTGGCTAAAATTCAAGGTTCAGTTTTACAACCCTTTGGCAATATCTAACTTCACTGTAGTAATTACACCTTTGATTAGCCACTTTAAGGGAACCTTATTTTTTCTCTGCATTTTCCCAAGGTAAATTTTTTTTGAAATTTTTCCCAGTTTAATTTTTGCACATGCCATATACAAGCCAAAGATTATAATACAATTCACTTGTTACCTTAAGAAACTTGGCATTGTTCAGAAATTGTCTTAAGAAAGGAATTGATGTGCAAATAGTTAACACTAGAAAAGGAATTGATGTGCAGATATTGGCTTTACTGGCAGATGCATTGATTGAAATACAAGAACAAGTTCAGGATGCCGAGGATGAGGTACTCCTTGTCCTTTTGTGCTATCTGTCATGTTCTGTTGAATAACTCAGCAGTTCAGTTTTAGCCTAACAGTTAAGTTAGGGAAGTATTTACAGTTGCTGAGTTCAAATCCAGTTTTCCTGTATTGCCAAGGTTAATCCCCAAGTTTAATAAACCCCCTTCCTCGAGTAATGATAATAATCACCGAGGTGGATGTTTAGTCTTTGAACCATTTGTTTTGCAGGATAGTGACTGGGAAGAAATTCATGAAGGAGAGACGGAATCTGACAAAGATTTGTTATCTTCAGTTGCTGCCACGCCATTTGGCAGGTCCGCATATGAACATCATCTTGAAGCAATGGCAAAAGCATATAATGAGGTTTGGTTGAATAGAAATAACAATGAATTCCCTCGTCTTTCTCAAGTTTCTTTTTCTTGGGCATTGTTAATTGTTCGTTTGTGATCATGAATTTGAAGAATCAAGAAGATGACTATGAAGACGATGCACAAAGTATTGCAGATCCCCTTAATGAGGTTATCTTTTTTCCCCCTAAATTTACTTGCATGCTCAACATTTTAAAATGTCAAAAAATGCCATTTCTAGTGTTCAATCTTGCAGATTAACTTGGCAAATTATCTCACGGAGTTCTTTTTGAAGTTCTCTCCAAGTGACCCACAACTATTTGATCATCTTTGTCAGGTTCGGTTTCTGTTAGCATTTACAAGACGTTATACTTGCTTAATCTCCTCCGGACAATAGCTCAAAGACTGCAAATTCTTTTTTTTTTTTTTTTTTTTGTTCTTGAAATTGCAGAGTCTGACACCGGCTCAACAGAATGCTATTAAGGTTGTTCTGAATCAGTGAGGTGCTATGTAAGTTACCTGATTGATCAAAGGTTTGTTTCTTTGCGTGGTTGCCATCGAGCTTTAAAGCTGAGGTTGTTGTCAATGCTATAGGAAAGGAGAAAGCGATATCAGTGTTGGTTTTTCGACGATCGGAACTTGATTGATTGATTGATTCGTGTAAAGAAGCGGAACTCCAAATCTGATTTTGCTATTATTTTTCCGAAATCTTAAGTGAAATGTGAGTTCTATTTGTTAATACTTTTACATTTTACATTTTTTTATTTATTATTTAATTTTAGTTTATTTTTTATTTCTTACTTCTTACTAAAAAATCAAAAATAAAAAAAAATATTAACCAAACTGAACTTAAAGGATATTAACATGATATATTTGTTCTTTATATAAGATTTTTTTGTCAATAAAATTTTTGGAAATTTTTTATATCCTATATATGAGAAATATATTCATGCATGTGTTATTTACAACAATATATATATATATATGTCTGTATGTATATACATGAATTTGTTTCATGAATTAATAATTTTATTTATTTCATTAGAATTATTGTTAAATAAATTTACATAGAAAAAAGTGTGGCTTAAATCGCTTTTACATATTGTATTAAATGAGAATTTGCTTTGTTACTATACTTTTTTATTTATTTACACGGTGTTAGAGTTAATTTTTTTAATGTGCTAAATTATTCATTTTGAAAATAAATTAATAATTTGTTTTTAAACAAAAAATAATTAAACAAAAAAAAATTAAAATTAACATTCAATTGAAATCTTAGTGCAAAGACAACCTTTCAAATTTAATTGATAATATTACCAGTTTAAACACATTATTAATTTGTTGACTTCTATCCTTACAAAATGAAAATCTTGTCTAACAAAAAATAGATTTAAATGAGAGACAATAAATCCTATACTGATAGTTCAACTAGAATTGACCTTATGCCAATAACAGTCGCACACTTTTCCAGGTTATTTTTTCACTTAAAATTAAATATTATTATTCATATATTATTATTTATTTATTTTATATTAAATATATAAAATATAAAAATTATTATATCATAATTTATGTTATATATCAATTTTAAAATATATTTTGTATTTTAGTAAACTTATATACTATATTTATTAAAATTTAACACAAATTACTTTTCTATTTTTTATATCATTTTTATATTATATTTAAAACTATCATATTTACTTAAAATTTTGGATGATTCAAAAAAGTCTTCAAAAATATATTTATATAAAAAATAATTCTACTCAGTCCGTACATCATGTTAGAATTTGTTTCATTTATCACTGTAAGGTAAGGAGTGTGATTTATATTTTGGTATTTAAGGTTATATTAGATGTATATAATGATTGATAAGAGATGATGATAATTATTTTATATAATATTTGAATTGTATTTAAATAAAGAATATGATATAAATAGATAGAGTTTTTTATGAATTGTTCGTAAAGATATTTAGTTTTTGTTTATTTATATTTGTTATTAAATTTAGCAAGTGATCTTGAATAATATTTTTATATATTTTTTTAAATGAAACAAACACGAGCATAGATTTGTTTTGTTAATTAAGATTCATGAATAAAATTTGTTTAAAATTTATTTAAAACTTATTTATTTAAAGTTCATTTATGTTCGTTTGTTATTCAATAATAATAATATTAAGTTTTTATTTTTTATCCTATTATCTTAACACTTCCACTCTTTCAACCTATTTTATTATTTATGTTTGTTTAAGCTTCATTTATATTTTTTTATTGTTCGTTTGTCTTTAATTTTGTAATTGTATGTTTATTTGTTTAAATTTATTTGAGTATAGTTTTTATTCTTTTATAAATATATTTGTTTATTTATATATGATTTATGAATATATTCATTTTAATTTAAATGAATCAAATACAAATCAAATGTGAACGTCGTATCATTTAAATGAACTAAACTTGAATATAGTGAATAATTTTTTTACTAAACAATAAACAAACAAATTACATATATAAATTTGTTTGTTTATATTTGATTCGTTTATATACTTATAAAAGGATTGTAAATAAGAGTAATTATCTTTTTAGCATATAATGATTCAATCTTCTTAAAATAAAAATTTATTTTTAATTTACGAGATTAAATTTATAAATTTTATTATATTCTTAAAATTTTATTAATAATTTAAATTATATAAATTTTAAAAAAGATTAATTTTAACTACTAAATAAAATTATTCTACCATGATCTTTATACATATCAAATATAATATAAGATAATATTATTTAATCTGTTTTTATTTATAATATCATTTGATACTATACTATCATAATCTTATGAACTAAACATATAATAAAAATTTAATATAAGATATTCCATTATTGAAAATTTAAAATACAAACATTTGATTTTCCTCTAATTATAAAATATAGTATAATTTTTCTTATATAAAAAAGATCACAGATTAAAAATATGAAAAATTTATAAATAAATAGATTCAAATTTTAAATTTATCAAATATTATTTTTTAAATAAAATTTATAAATCAATTAAGCTAAACTTTGAACTTGTAACATAGCTTATATCACTTCAATGAAATATTACTTTGCATTTGGGATTAAAAAAAAAAAAAAAAACCTTTGTGTGGAGTAAAGAGCTAGACAATATAGCAAGTAACCTATCATTTTTCCGTATGGACTGATTGTTTTAGGTTGCGTAAACTACTTTCATTATCCGCTTTATATTTCTGTATATCATTAATAGATCGCTGATGAAAATATTTTCTTTACAATTTAAAAAAAAAAAGGGAAAAAACTTTAATCAGTTAATTTTGTGTAAATGATTTTTTAATTGTGGCATTCTTGAGCTACCTCCAGCATCATTTATAGAACCATAGCAATAACGATAATAATAATAATTCCCCTTTTTGTTGGAGTGAGAACCATTGGAGGGTTGAAGTTGAGCTTTGAAGCTAGCGCAGCCACCAGTTTTGGCGGTGGTTGGAGGTGAAAGTGTAGTAGTTAAACGTTAGAACTTCAGCAGTACCGACAATTGGTTTAGGAGGAGTCAAGAAAGTGCGGCAAATGGGACAAGTTATAGAATGGCTGTAACCAAGCCATCTATCCAAGCAAACCTTGTGAAAAAGGTGATTACATTTCAACTCTCTCATCTCATCATCTTCTTCAATTTTCCGTAGGCACACGGCACAACCTTCTTCTTCTTCGCCGTCGGCATCGTCAAAGTAACACTGTTTTTGCTGCAGCTTCGACTTGTATCTGACTATGCCAAGTTGTTGATCAGCACGGCCTGGCTGATGATCATCCTGCTTGTCGTAAATATTAGGGAACAAGGAATTGTTAAGCAAGAAGTTCCAGGCTAATTTCAAGTGGTTTACAATCAAAAGAATGTAATACAACATGGTACGTGGATGCAGGGGCAATTGGTTGGGGATCCGATTGAGAAAAATGGCTGTAAATTATGGATATAACAATAATGCATGGGGATTGGATATATATCCTTACTATTCTAAGCCAAGACCAATTAATCAAGTCGAAAGTCCTAATTATTACAAACCTTCAAGATGAGTTGACACATGACAACGGTTACAGTTTGATTTTATTCGAAATTTGTCGTTACGTTGGAATTTTATTTTATTTTATTTTTTTATAAATAGATTGTTTAATTCTAATATTAAGATAAAATAAGCCATATTCAATAATTTAAAAAATTATGATTATAAATTGAAATAATTTCAATAAAAAATCACTTACTGCACTTGAACTTAAAATCACTCACGTAAAAAAAAAAAAACAATCCTACTATTTACACCAATCTGAAAGGACTAATGAATTTCGTCATAGAGGCTGGGATACTTGTAACAATTAAATTGATGGTTCCTATCCTAATCTAAAAACCTTTTGTCCTCATCTAAAGCATGATAACAGGTGGCTTGTTGTCCAAATGCATAGATTAGAATTCAATTAGATCATGTAATTTTATTTAACAGATAACATTTAACAAAATTTAAATTTGAATTTTAACAACTATAATCCTTTTTTTATTTTTAAATTATGTTCTCTTTTGTTGAATAAAAAAAAAGGGAAGGCTCACGATGAAAAATGCTGACATCATTAAATCTTTGAATGCACAAAAAGAAATTTCAAGAAATTTGATCAAGATACCATACCTAATTTGCATAAAGCTTTTGGCTACTTACACGATCAAACCAACATAGCACACATACATATCAAAGCAAAAGTTGTTTAGCTCATATAAATTTAGTTACCAACTTTAAAAGAAATTGTCAGACGAGGCCCTTTGCCAAAGAATACTGAACTAATAATAGGCAAGGCAACATCATCCACCAAGAGCTAGCAGGCAGCAACAGAGTATTTACATCTTAAACTGATTTTATTTTTTGCAATTCATATTCATATGGATATCCCTTCATCATATGCCTCAATGATCCCAAATGTGTTCTCCCCACTGTAAGTCATGTAAAGGAAGCCATCTTCATCCTTGTTTTCCTCGTATATGGCAGACATCATAGCAGCTACACCAACATTGACAATACACCATTTAAGAAAACTGGTAACATAGGAAATATAACATGAGGAGTGACATATCTAAAAGGCTCATCTCACCGGTTGGTGGTAGAATGTTCTTCACAAAAATGAATATAGCCTTCTCAGGAGTAAGCTTAATCCTCTTCCGGACAACGTAGACAAATTGGCCTACGGTTAGATCAGCAGGAACCAGATATCTGCGTTAATTCCAAAGGAGAACCTTCAGTTTCAAATGAAAAAAAAGTGAAATACAGGGAAGGAATGGAGTATCAGTTTTCAGAAATTAGAATCAGGTTCCAAAAGGAAAACATTGAAGCAATGATCATATTAAAGACACCATCTCATCATAGAATATGGTTTATTCATCAAAATATGAAACAGTCCCATCATATCAAACAAAAAGTGTCAACTCAGATGGTAATAGAAAATAGATATGATCATTAAAAATTACCTACCAAACATCATTAACATATCCATTTTCTCTGGCTGCCATAACTAATAGCATACTTAAAAGACTTCCTGCTCTTCCACCGGGGGCAAATACCAAACATGCAGGTACATAAATTCACAAAAATTAAACTAGGCAAACTTTAAAAACTAGTATAAATAAAGATTCCTTAAATCACATTGAAAGCATACAAGTTCATGCACATAATGAGATTATTTCTATGATATCTTTCCTTCCTAAACAAAAACCCATCTAGAAATGGTTGACAACTCTTTCTTTAGCTAGGAAATCTTGATCCACATCAGTTAGAATCCATAAGAATAAACAACTCAAAAATTTAGAGAACCCAATAACCAAAATCACAACTGCAACACGACAAAAAGAAGACAAATTTGGACAGTCTGTAAAAAAAACTACTAGAAGAGATCACTTACATTTCAAAGCATAGATTAACTAAGATTTGATACCACCATTACTTTACAGATTTTTAACAGCTTGAAGTGTACGACATATCAATGAAACCCAAATATATAAGCAAATTAAATCAATAATATCAAAGTTCTTAAGAATAAAACAAGTAGAGAAACAATAACTGACTTTTTCTTATCAATATCAGGCACATCACTCTTCTCTGCCCTTTCAACGATCACCTACATCAAACAATTAAACACCAATGTAACATTTTAATCATAGAAGAAAACAAATAAAAGTTGTATTAAAAGACACAGCAACCAAACATGACATACTGGGATTCTGTCCGGATATTTTTCCCTTATGCGAGCGGCTTCAGCCTGCCTCCTTTCTGGCAAAAAAACAAACACTTTAACATCACAAAAATAACATGATAACCCCTTTTTTTCTAAAGCCTAATTATTAATTGTTATTTTCTCTAAATTGGGTGTTCAAAATTGTTTCTATTAACGGAAAAGCAACAGTAACGTAAAAGCAAAGAATTGCAACAAAGACAAGAAAAGAAAAGGAAAAAAAAACCAGATAAGAGAAAGAAATTTTCAAAAGTTGAAGTTTCTTGATTTGGGAAATACTGAAGTTAGGGTTTCACAAGAATTTCAATGGGAAATTGTTTTTTTATAAATTGGGCGTTCAAAATTGCCTCTTCCTGGAAAAGCAACAGCAATATAAAAACGAAGATTGGCAACAAAGAAAAAGAAAAGGAACAAAAAAACCCAGATAAAAGAAAGAAATTTTCAAAAGTTGATTGATTGGGGAAATACTGAAATTAGGGTTTCACAAGAATTTCAATGAGAAATTTAAAAGAGAAACACGAACCGAGAGGGTGTTCCAACTTAAAGGAGCTCTTAGCCATAGCGAGAAAATCTGCAATCAAAGAGAGAAAGAAAGAGTGATCGAAAGAGTAAGACTGAATTTCGATGTAAGAAAAAATAAATAAAAAGAAAACTGCAAGTAGCACTCTTTTCAAAGGTCGGTTGGCTCTGTCAAATAAGTTGTTTTGTTGACACGTGTAGGTCCGCAATGCCTACGCCAAAACCCATTTTTGATTCGGGTTCGGTCATGCGTAAATAGTAAATTATATATCATATTTTATACAAAAATTATGTATTATAATTTATATTAATATAAAAATATAAAATATTTAATTTTGAATTTTAAGAAAATTCACAAAATATCAAGTAACGATAATCATAAATATCATATAAAAAGATTGATTTCTTATGCATAATGGATGAAATAAGCAAATCTTATTTTTGAATTCTCATGATATTGGCATTATAAACCAAATAAAATTTGATCAAAATCTTAATTGGATTTGAAAATTTTGGATTCTTCCTCTCTTGGTATTGAGTTTGTAGTCCAAAACAACTTTGGGTAACATCAATTCACAAAGCATTCTCAACTTTTGTGCTATTCAATAATTCCAAATAAAAATAAAATGATATCAGGAATGGATGATTAAGGAGATCAAAGGAAGAGAATGTTTTTCTCATGGTTGCAGAAATGGATGATTTACAAATGGTCCCTCAAGCCTGACCGCAGAATGGGTGGTTGGTCACAGCCACTTCCTTTTCGGGCTGCTATAACCACAATGGCCCTGTACAAAAATAATGTGAAGGCCCCCATTTCAATGCTCTCTCACTCTCTTTCTCTCCTGTGATATGATATTTTCTATACTGATTGAACAACAGAAGAAGATTTTGCAGATTTGCAGCATTTGCTCATGTCTGGTCATCACCCCAGGTTATCATCTGCACATTTGCCTGTTAGAAAGTAGCAGTCCACAAAGCATTCTCACCTTCCCTACACTTCTGATGAACCTCTTTAATCCTATATGCAGACCTGCAAATTCCACTGCAACTCCAATCAAAGGATGCAACACAGATGTTGCCAGCTTGAGCCTTCCACTCACAATCTGCATTCAGAATATATTTGGTTAGACCAAACAGATTTCATGGCATGTATCAGGCAAAAATGGAAAATGCAGCAAGCTTTCCTTGCTTATGGCTCACATGAGATTTGAGAGAATGATGGTATGTTTTTTTCAATATATAATAACTACCATGATTCACAATATTTCGGACCAGTTAAGACCTTACCAGGCGGCGTGCCACAACATAGTCTCCGATCATCAATATGCACCACATCGAGTCCGATAAACCAAGAACCCAGTGAAACATCCTCATTAGCATACTTGTGTAGAACGTGCCTGACATAATCATCATTAGTACAACAATTACAACACTGAGGGACAGGTCTTCGGATCAACACATAAACATGGCTCTTTTATCTTACTGGTTTATTGATATATATGTGGCCAAATCTTTTGAAATGGCATACAACTGTCCAGTAGCATGCCGGAAATACTTGTTTCCTGTCTCGCCAAATTTCCAGTGTTCAGGTTCATGGTATCTCAGCCCCCTGTTCCAGAACATAACAATTAAGAAAACCAGAATTCTTTTGCAGAAGAAAAGGAACCATGTAGATAATATGGCTCACTTTTGAGAGAGGACCGGACCAGATTTCATGCACCCGATATAGACACGTGGTTTCTTTCGGTGTCTAACTAGAGTTTCTCCAAGTGTTGCTGCAGCAATTTTACAGGAGATCAGGACTAAAATGACAAGGAAACATTTAATTACTGTTAACTGCAACGAGTATCGTAATTCTCACAGAAACATGTAAGATAAACATTGACCTTCAAGAGCAAAGGCTACACATGAGGGTAAATGTAAGAAAAACTAATCCTTCTGTTGTTGATTGCGAACTTACCTATATTTACATGGACATCGTCGTCAACTTTGACATAAAAATCTGCATCCCATAAAGCAACAGCGGTAGCAAAATATATCTTAGTTTTTGCAGACAATTCAAGGTACCCTTCAACATGGTCCTGCTCACATGTAAAACGACACATTACTCAGTTCACTTATCAATTTTTTTCTCAGGGTAAATAGTAACGGAATGTTCTTAAAGAAGCTAGCATATTTATAGCAGAATAGCCTATAGAAAAGAGATTAACAGTACCAGCCTCAAGAAGTCTCTATGCTTCTTATTCTCTGCTTCAATTGCTCGGTCCAAAATACCACCTGTTGTGGCACTGGATCATAGAAAAAATGAATACATAAAAGTAAACATTGCCATGTATATTATAAATAAGATTTCAGAAACAGACTTAAAAATTTTCAAATCAAGAATCTATAAAAGTAAATTTAGTTGCTTATAGCACAATTTAGAGTGTTTATCAAGAAGACCACAAGAAAAGCAATAAAGGCACATCAAGCCATCCTGTGGAAGCCGAAGCTGTCTTATATATGTTCCATTGTATTTGAGGAGAAATACATGCAAAGTTCAGCAACCAAAATTAAAGGTTTCTGTTAACTAGTAGATGTAGAACCATCTTTATAGCATTATTTACTATATTTAGAGTTGCTATTTGTTAGAACTATGGTTAAATGGTTGTAATTTAAATGAGTGGTTCTTTTATCTTTCATTTGATTCTGAATGTGTGAATATTTGAATCCGATTCTCTCTCTAATACATCTATCTTTCTGTCTATATTTTCTTACTTTTCTTCCTTATTATCTCTTTGTCTTCCGTATTTATGCCTTCTCATGCTCAAACTAGTAGTTCATAAAGATTCAAAAGGCAATAAAGAATGAAACCGAGATAATAAACTAAGAACAGTGGAAAATGTAGTTGTTCCCAACAGGAGGGCTGCAAATTTACAATGTTGTGCTTGAGAGGGAGACCAGCATGTCAAAGTAAGAAAAACATGCTGAAGGAACATGATACTTGTTCACTAATAAAAAAAATACAATAAAAAGAGAAATTAAAGCTCACCTATGACCAATAACAAAGCGAACGATAATGCCCTTTTCATCCTCCATTTTCTTCCTCTTTTCACCTATTTTCCATTAGTTTTGGAAAGGAACAAGCAAAAACGGATTTAATTCTGGAATCATAATGGCATGAGAGCAAATAAGGTAAGGAAAGCATGAATCCAACAACCTTGTGGCATCCATGTGGCACGAACTGAGTCTCTTCTTTTCCTGCTGCTAAAAGCTGTATTGATTCCTATAACCATCAGATACTTTCTCTTCCTAGATGATTTAGCTCTACTCACATCTGTGGATAATGGGGAACCACTGAGTAAGGATTCTTGTTCTGCCCTTGCAGCAGCTAATTCCATCTCTAAGTTTGAAATAGTCTTATCCAATGTCCTGCATTGAAAACAACATGATAACTTCATTGATCAAGCCAATTCACAATCAAATCAAGCATAACTAGAGAAAAGCAACACCTACTGTATAGCATGGTGAGTCTTAAAAACCTCCCCAATGATATCCTTGGATACAAGCTTTTCTTCTTTCTGAAACAAGTGAAGGAAGCCAATCAGCTTAAAAACTGCAAAACTCCGACGGATTAACAAAAAAGTTTTATATGATGTAGTTAAGATACTCACAGCTTTTAGATTACAACCCTCTGAAATTAGTTTTAATTTTTCAGTCTCTACTGCAGTTATCCGCATGATACCTTTAGATTCAGGAACAGTCCCCATCCTGTTACCAATTTTACAAATTAATAAGCCATCATATCTTACCCCAATAACGTCTTCAAGTATAGAACCATTTCATAAACAAATGAAACCAAAATTTTAACCGTAATGCAAAACATAAACCTGTCAAACAAAATTTTCAATTAAGTCAATAAAAGCCACATAATGAGATAGAAGCATTAAAACTTAAAAACACTTTCAGAGGTTTATGTGCCTCTACAATCTCATTCAAAGAGTCTCAGTTACAAGAACCAGATGTTAAACCAATATTAAAGCTATGTATAGCATGTGTCAGAGTTGTTCCTGCCATGAAATGTTGAAAATGGCTTGAATGCTAATTATGGATGAAGATTTCACTGGACCATGGATAACAAGACTGCAATGTTTTTCATTCAAATTTATAAATTAAAGTAGCAAACCTGAAATGCTGAACCTTTGTATCAATATAAAACTTGAATTGTCAATTCGGATCCTTCTTTCAAAAAAGAAAATATTGAAACCTTAAGAACTTAATATCACATCAGACCATTATTGTTTGTTTCCCAAATATAGAAAAAAAAAAGTTGGATCCAATTTGCCTTGATAGGCACAATTAATAAGGGAGACCCACTGATTATCTCTTATAAAGAAATTTATGAAACTAAAAAACAAACACAAGCTTGAATAACACTGATACGTGATAACAAAAAATTCTTAATAATTCAAAACAACCCATCTTCAGAAAATAAACAAAATCTATTTCCAAAAGAAACTAACATAGTTTAACCATTGAAATAAAGCAAAATCTAGCTAAATATAAATCTTAAAACAAGATTAAAAGGAAGACAAATTTTGGTTTCAAGAAATGGAAAAGCAAAAGTTTTAAACTTAAAAAAAAATAAAATAAAATAAAAACTGGATACCTAATGGTGAAGAGCATTCCAGCACAGAAGCAGCCAAAGCAAAGAAGAAAACTCCATTTCTTTGATATAAAACTTGTAGTAGACTGCTCTCCTTTGCTTTTAAAAGACATAGTTTTGAAACTTTCAATCTGAATTCCCTTGTATTTCTCCACCACTAGCTATCATAAGAGACAAAACCCATATGTAAAAAAGATAGCTTGAGCCAAATCAAAGTGACCCAGTTGCAGAAAATGACTCCAAATTTGAGAAGAAGGGAAAGAAACAGAAACAGAGTGCTCTGTTTTATGCTCGTTAGTTTGTTCCTTTCTTCCTATGTTTTTTGTTGGTTTACTAGGTTTCTTCTCTCTATAGATTCTCTCTCAAAGTCTCAACTTTGCAGGCAAGAGAGCGTTCCTCTTAAACGTAATAGAATAAGGTTTAGATTCCCCTAACATGAGATTAGCCGATAAGCAAGCTCGTTAATGCAAAGCCAAACAGCAGAAAGCTAGTATGAGAATGGATAAGTCTAATTGTTTGAGACTGCCAAAGTACACGTGAGAAGGGGTAACGGCTGGCGACGTGGCAAAAAACAATTGGGTAAAACAGTTAACTAGATCTTCCCTCTGTGCATTAATTGTGGGACACATGCATTTTAGGTCACGTGGGATGCCGCGAAAGAGAGGAAAGACGCGGGAGCAGTGGGTCCCATCTCACGGGGGAATCTGACGCGTGTCATGATGCGGTTAAAATGATCTTAACTTTATGTTCCTTTCACCTGTCACCCACATGAAAGGGACAGATGCCCTCTGGTAGGGTGGTGCCCGACCCGTGGAAGATGGGACACCCCTTTTCTTCGAGAGAAAGGAGGAATCTTGAAGGGCAGTTTCATCGTATAAATTGGATCGAGCCTAGTTGTGGATTTCGATTTTTCTTTATACCATCATAATGTAATAATCTTTTTTTTGCCAAATAATGTAATAATGTTTAACCTAAACTTTCAATTGATTTTTATAAAAAATATAATTTAAAAATAAAAAAAATACCATTCTTTTGATTATTTTATGTAAAGAAAATTCTTTTTCAAATTTCTAATAGCAAACAAAATGTACTAATATGCTTCAAATGTGTTTAACCTTAATTTGGGATTAGATAGTTAAAAACTATAAAATAGTTTAGGTGTATTTTAAAATTTTATTATTCGATATTAAAATATTTTATATTACAATTTAAAAATAAAAAAATAAATTATAAATATTAAAATTTAAAATTTAAATCTCTTAAATATTATATTTTAAAAATAATTATATAAATTAATTAAATTAAATTTCAGAATTCTTCATAAGTATTTTTAAGATTAAAAATAAAACGGGGATGATTCATATGAACTTGAGAGAAATAAAACGGTAGGGAATTAGGTCTCAAGCTCATTATGCAGTCAGTTGATGGATTAAATTCTACAAGTGTTTCAACTTACAGATTAAGGATCTGAAGAAAACATGAAACAGACTGTTGTTAGGTGCTTTGCTTGCAATGGTCGTCCCTGTCGCTTTACAACCCTGCTTGTTTCACTGCTTAAGCAACCCCCCCTCTTTCCAAAGCTGCCACTGCACCAGACCATCCTCTTAGTTGGTGCAGCTGCTTTTCAATTCTCACTTAGCTAATTGGCTTCCCTTTCCTACAGATTTTTTTTCGTTAAAGCTGAAAATATATTTGATAATTAGTATATTTATATTATATAAAATATTAAAATTTATATTTTTATATTAAAATTACATATCATATATCGATATAAAAATATAAAATATATTTTTTTATTTTATTAAATTTATATATAATTATTATTAAAATTTTTAAATTATATTATTTTTTACCTTTTTATATTATATTTTATATTATATTATTGTATTGTATTTTAAATTATTAGATTTAGTCGAAGAGTTTAATTTTGTCCTGATTGCACATCATAATCCAACAAGAAATTGTACAAATTGCAACTTTTATGCCATTAAAAGCAGTTGCCCAATATATAAATAAATTTTATTATATTTATGATTTATTTATTTAATTAATAAATTTGAAATGATATTAATAATCGTTTATTAAACAAAATAAACGAATAAAAATCGAATCTATTCGTTAAATTTTGTTTATTTACATGTTCGAATGTGAATGAATAAAACATAAATGAATTTTATTATATTAATTTATTTAACAAATCATGAAATATTATTTGTGATTATTAATAAATTTAATAAATTAATAAAAACTAAACTTATTTATGAACTGTTTGTTAAATATTATTTTTGTTTACAATTACACCCTTAAAGAAAACTGAGGATTCTATCTAGATTCATTTTTCATCAAAACAATCAAGTAGACCATGAAACAACCATTATGTAACAGGGTGGTTCCACGTACTGGTCATCCATAAATGCCAACATCGATGCCCATCTCAATCCACTCATCATTCCCTGTCTAAGACCCCATTGCATCATGTGGTCTCTGCCATTTTGTTAACCAAGGAACCAGCTCCATCCGCTTCAGAGTGCAGCCCATCCACTTGATTTGGAAACAGATCAATGTAGAATGAAAGAACCCAGTCACCTGCTGGCCTTTTCTTTGGAATGTAAATTTCGAAGCAATTGAGGAATGGAAGTATCAATACATGTCATGGCCCTGAAGAGGATTCCATCTTGAGTCACATTGATGTTAGCTTTCACACACACACACACACATATATATGTAACCATAAAAACTTGGTTTTAGCCAAAACACCAGCTTTCTATGTGGCTATATTTGTGTGTATTTGAAGCAATTTGGTTGTGACCAATCCATGGACAGTGGTGATCAAAATTTTCAACACAATTGTCACAGATGACGCAATATTGGCAACTCCTTGACCTAAAAATTTTACAAATCCGACAATATTTTAGTTTCAGTTGCACCTTATTAACGTCATCTTCTTTTTCTTAATCTAAGGTGTTTATAATTCGCCTTTAATTGAATTAATCTATCGAATTGATTTAATTTGATTAATTGATCATTACCAAATTAATTTCGATTGATTAATAAAAATGATTTTAGAAGAATTTTGGTTTTTAATTAATTCAATTTGAAAATCGAATTAATTAAAATTTTAATCGAAATATAATGAATCATTTAATTTCATAAATTGTTAGATTTTTTAACATAATACTTTGGTATTTGAATATTTTATTAGATGATTTTATTTAATTTATTTAAAATATGAGAAATTAATAGTTTAAAATATAATTTAACTTAAATATATTTATTATTTGATTAATCGAAAAAATTAACCGAACCGATCAAATCAAATAAATTCAGTTGATTAATTTTTAAAATTTATAAATTCAATTCGATTAATGAAAATAAAATAATTTAATTTTAAATAATTTAATTTAAAATTAACTGATCAAATAAATACCCTTACTTAATCTCCATATTACAGTAACCAATACCTTCAACAGATGATTGTTCGGTATTTCTACAAATGATTCCAGGGTCAATTGCAGAAACCAGAATCAAGTTGACAATAAAACTGCAGTCAAATGCAGATGTAAATGATTAGGGTAACAAAAATTTTACTCTAGTTCATTATTTTTGACTGCTATAATAAGTTTGAATTATTGAGTACTGACATTAGAATCAAACATTTACGGATAAAAACTCTTAATTTTCATGATTAGAATTCAATCACGACAACTATAAACACCAATTTACCTTTGCATTGTTTCCATGGAAACCATGTTGGAGCCATTGTTTTTCAGAAATTCTTATGATTTTGTTTGATCTGTTTTATACGAGTAAATGCAAAAATGACAAAATAAAAATGCAAGAGAGAGAGAGAGAGCGGTTTTACTTTAACTAATTGAGCCAGCTTACCAGACCAAGTACTTGGGCCTACACAGTAAGCCCAGAGAAGTGACTCGAAACGCACCGCTTAATATGCCACGCAAGCCAGCAGGCTTTCACGCGTACGTTAGTAGAAGCCGCCGGCTCGCCGCCAGCATTAAACCTCTTACTGGCTGAGTGTTCCCTCTCTTTTTCTGGAACTCGAAGGCTAAATCATAGAAGAAAGGTGCAGAAATGGAGAACAAGAAAGAGAAGATGAAAATATTACTGACAATCGCATCGGTTGCTGCAATCTCAATCTTCTTCACTGCTCAACTATACAGGCGACGCCGGAAACAGAGAAGACCTCAAAGTTGCTGTTATTTACACTCCGAATCAAAGCCACAGCTGAGTTTCAAGCGCGTCTTTGCCGATAACTCCTGCTCTCCTTTCAATCATTTCAACCGCCAAGCGGATTCCGTTAACGGTGAATAACCTTCGACTTCTTCTTCGAGTTTCAAGTTTATGTTTTTTAAATGATTGATTTATGTTGTAGAGAAATCTTCGAGTTTGACTCATCCGTACGAATCGGAGATAACGACATTGATGGAGAATCCGCAGCTTCTGTTTTCTAAGATTGCGATGGATGATTTTGATGCGAAAATGGATGATTCTTATGTTTGGGTTGAAACCGAGTCGCAGCTGAGTCAACTCGCCCAAGTCTTGAGTGAACACCGGGCTTTCGCTGTTGATACTGAGCAGCATAGCCTACGATCGTTTTTAGGTTTCACTGCTCTAATACAGGTCAAACACTATTAACCAATTCTAAATTTTTTTCCTTTGATTTTTTTATTAAGCTTTTAAATTTTCTATTTTTATGGCAGATTTCTACTGAGAAGGAAGACTATTTGGTGGATGCAATTGCTTTACATGATGCAATAGGCATTCTTCGACCCGTTTTTGCTGATCCTAATATTTGCAAGGTATAAATTTTTAGTATGAATTTTACTCTCAAGTTTAGACCTCATTTATTGAAAGTAAAAGGCAAAAAGAGCATTGGATTGCTGAAGCAAATAATAATTTTAAAGAATTAAAACTTAAAAATATAATCTTTTTTTATAATGAAATGCATGCTATTAAATTATATATGGAACAATTATGTTAGAAACACTTTCTTATCCAAAATGGATCCCAATGTTTTTTCTTTGTTCTTGATCATTATCTCTAGTTTGTTGTAGAAGATAAGAAGCATTGATAAAACGTTATTTTTTTTTCCTTAATGCAAAGTTAATGCCACTCTTTTTTCCTGAAAAGTTAAATTTTGGTCTCTTGGTCTTACTATTGGTCTTACTAGTTTACTGATTACTGGCATTTGATTCAATTTATAGTGAATTGGTGCTAAGATAGTAGTACGATTAAAGTATCCTGATCATGTTTTGGACAACTTGGGATTGTGATGCAGGTGTTCCATGGGGCTGATGGTGATATTGTGTGGTTACAGAGAGACTTCCACATATATGTTGTCAATCTATTTGATACTGCAAAGGTGAGCTTCAATCATTTTCCTAGGTTAAATTTTAGTTATCGGAAATGCATCCATGCAGATTGCAGAATTTATGCATTTTAATTACTAGCCATCGTCAGTTTTCTTCTCAATTTGCATTTCTCTTGCTTTAACACAGGCATGTGAAGTTTTATCAAAGCCCCAGAAATCATTGGCCTACTTGCTTGAAACTTATTGTGGTGTGGCCACAAATAAATTATTACAGGTATGAGGTTGACACTTGCTTAGTGATTTTCACGAATCTTATCGTGCATCTTTTAAACTTCTCTATCTAGAACATTGATCTTAAACTTATTTATTCTGGTGCTGCATTGCATTCCAGCGTGAAGACTGGAGACAACGTCCGTTATCAGAGGAAATGGTACAGTATGCTCGCACCGATGCACATTATCTACTGTATATTGCAAATTGTTTAATGGCTGAGCTCAAACAACAGGACTGTGGTATGTTTGCTACCCAAAGCTTATTTAGATATTGGCTCCTTTATCTTGTTTGTCTCAGAGTGGATTAGAAGTTTGGGATAGGAAAATTAAAAGATTATAATAGGAAAGTTCTACATAAATCGGTAATGATAGAAATTAAATGATTATGCCCAAAATCCAAAGAATTACCACTCTATATTGTTAAATTGGGACATTCACAATCAATAAGTGTTGGTCACTTTTTTTATGTGGGGAGGGGGGGTTGATGGTGGTGGTGGTCATAGGGGATCTCACTTGAAGACCTTCGTTTGAGGCAAATATTTTTCCACTCAAGTGGTTTTTGACATGAGATTAATCTTGGAAGAGTGCATATAATATTTCGCATGGTATCTATGGTTAGCCTTAACTTTTAACTGACAACTACTAGAAAGACCTATATATACTACTTATTGTAGCATCCACATTCTAAATATATTAATGTATCAGAATATTCATCCTGCCCCGATGACAAGTTCCATTTTGTTCTTGAGGCTAGTCGACGATCAAACATGATCTGTTTGCAACTCTATGCTAAAGAGGTTGAAGATTTTCCTGGGGCGTCTGCTGCATTTTCAATACTTTCTCGCCAATTGAATGGTCAGGGAAGTGGTCCTATTTCTGGTGCAACTAAGGTTCATTTCTCTCTGCATCACTGAAATCATTAAAAGATTGGGCATTCTTCATTATTTTGTACTTAATTTTACATTATATTTTAATGCTTCGTTCTTAATTCCAGTTTCAGGACCTTGTTAGGAGATTGTGTGCATGGAGAGATTTAATGGTAAGTGTTAACTTTAGTGTAAACTACCAATTTAAGAGTTGCTTCAATACTCAATAAAGCTGGAGGTATTATTCTCCTTATTGATTAGGGAAACTCCAAGGCAAAATTTTTCTGGTCCCCTGTCAAACTTTGTTGATAAGATAGAGTGATCAGTAAATTTGGTAATAGTTATCTCTGGAGCAATTTTTATTGTTGGTGTATGCAAGTAAAGGACTTTTTTCTATCATTTTTTAGGCTTTATCAGTTACGAATATCTCATTTCCGATATGGTATGATCAGGAAGAAGTTTGTCTTCTCAGATCATATTATGCCGGAAATCACAAGGGATTATCTCTCGAACTTTGATCACCAAGCTTTGACCCCATGCTTCTGCTCGTGGCAGCAGAATAAATAGTTGAATCAACACACTTCATGTCAATGCAAGTCTGGGATTATTCTAATGTAATATTCATTGACTTGGGTGTTCCATTCAATGAAACCGGCCTCGGCATTTACTTATTATGTTCTTGTATTCTTTTTTGTTGGTTGGTTTCTCTTGAAAACAGTAGTTATTGATGCTTTACATGTCGTGCTACTTCTTTTCAGGCTCGTGTGCATGATGAGAGCACAAGATACATATTATCTGATTATGCTATTGTTGCTCTCTCTAAAAAAGTCCCTACAACTCAAGCAGATATCTATAGCACCATAATTCAAGCTGATTTGAATATTGATTCTTCGAATTTCAGCTCTTCACTGCCATCTCCTTCCCCTCTTGTTTGCAGCCATTGGATAGATGTCCATCAACTAATCCAGGACAAGTTAGGCAATCTTGATAAATTTTTCCCCGTGGTTCTTCAAAATTGCCTGGGTCCAAATGGGAGCTGCCCTTTGTCTGTATTTAACTATGCATTATTGATGAACTGTAGCCTGAAACATGAAACTAGATTAGTTTCCAAACAAAATGGGTTCAAAAACCCAAAACAAGTTGCTAAGAAAGCTTCTCGTGAGCTTTTCATTCAAAAATTTTCCTGCAAATCTCCAGTTTATCATAATTGTAGGATCTATGCAAATGATGGCCGGCTGTTATGTTATTGTGATCACAAGAAGCTGGAATGGTTGGTGCATCTTTTTCTGTATCTTACTTCCATTTGGCCACAAAATTTATGTTCAATTTGACAAGATAATGTCATTATCTTACAGGTATCTTCATCGAGATCTGGCAAAACTTGTTGATGATGAGCCTCCTGCAATAATGCTTCTTTTCGAACCGAAAGGCCGCCCAGAGGATGAAGATAATGATTTTTATATCCAAAGTAAGAAAAATATATGTGTTGGCTGTGGTGAAGGCAATCACTACTTGCGGTACCGAGTAATTCCCTCATGTTACAGAATTCACTTTCCCGAGCACTTGAAAAGCCATCGTTCTCATGACATAGTCTTGCTCTGTGTTGACTGTCATGAAGTTGCTCATGCTGCTGCTGAGAAGTACAAGAAACAAATTGCTGGAGAATTTGGAATTCCACTTTATGTCCGTAAGGTAATTGATTTGAACCAAGCATCTATTATATCTGGGTCATCTGATTCAATGAACTTCGAAGATTCAGGTGTCTCACCACTACAATTGCGAACAGCTGCAAAGGCCCTTTTGCGTCATGGACCTGAAATGCCACCCAGCCGCCTAGAAGAACTGACCCAGGTATGAATGCTTATCTTTTGATAGTTGTTTTCCATGTAAAAATTTAGTGAGCTTTAATTATGTTTCAATGAAATGCAATGAAGCATTAAGATTTGAAAAGAATATGTTGTTCTGCTTCAGGCCACTGAAGGGGCCTGTGAATGCCAAAAGCAAAAAGGTTCATTGCTATGTACTAGTGTTAAACCATGTTGATTGGAGCGTCAAGCTAACTTTGGAAGTAGAATGTATTGTGAAACTTGTCCAAACTATATGAATCTTGGAAGCTTACCAGATATTAAACATAAGACTGGTAAAAACAGCCATTCTTGACAAAAATTTGACATTGGAGTTATTGAACTAGACATTCAGATGCTTCAAGTTTGATCCAAAAATTATACTTTATCTACAATGTATTAAGTTAGAAGAATCAAACTCCCTGTTCAATTTGCATCTTTCACTGCTAATGTTTGTTTCAACTTCTTTTAGATAAAAATAAATTTTAACTTTTATGTAGTTATTCTGCCACATATATAATGCTTGCCACTTTGGCTACTGCTTCTTTTATTCCCTTCTATACATTTAAAACTTCATTTTTTTTCTCTCCATCAGCATAATATTTATTGTCAATCATAAACAGGTGTACGGCTTTGCTGTAGCATCTTGGCCTTACATTTCATAGGACTCTTTAAACAAATAGGTTCATTTTCCTTCTTCGTGTTGCATTTGCAGATTGTTATGAGATATTATGGGGGACGGGAGATCTCCAAGGAAGATTTAGAAAGAGCCTTGGTAGCAGGCATGAGTCCTCATGAGCGAAGAAGACTGGAGAAGAAGAAAGGCTTATCTTTAAAACAGCCTATGAGGATCCTTCCAGTTATAGAACAAGAAAGTAATAATGTGACAAAGATCATATCTACCACCTCAGATCCATCAAAAGTTGATAATCCTGATGTTTCAGATTTTACTGCAGATGTTTCTCAATCAACAAAAGTTGATACATTAAAAGAAGCACTGGGGACAAAGGACGAAATGGATTTTTCTATGGTAACAGATGCTGATGATACAAACAATCCTATAACATCTTCTAATTTTGAAGTGGCAACAACTTCAACTACAGCTTACGATGATATGAATTCACATAGCAGTGAAATTTGTGAGAATAAAAGTATGTGTGCAGTTGATGCTAATGATAACTCTGAGAGAAGCACCCCAAATGAATTAGTTGACTCATCTTGTACCAGATATGATGGAAACATCCCACTTAAACATAATTCAAAATTATCTTTACTAGGACATGGACCCCATGGGAAACAAGTTGTGGATCGTATATTAAATGAATATGGAGAGGAAGGCATTCGTCAATTTTGTCAGCGATGGAGGCAAGTTTTTGTTGAAGCTGTTCATCCCCGATTCTTACCTGCTGGCTGGGATGTAATGCACAGGTATGCCTCTCTACTGTCATGTTTGTGTGATTGATAGAAAGTTCCTATGGAAAGGAGTGATATGTATAACATTGGAGAATGTAGGAAGATATGGTAAGTAGGAAACCTAATCCAATGAGGATTTGATTGATCTAGAGGGAATTTCAGAGGGTGGGAAGTGTTCCGAAGAATAATTACCACATCTGAGGAAGGACAGTAATATTTGTTGGCTACAGCTTTTACTCCTTGATAAATATAAGGCTGACAAGAGAGAAATTAATAGCAAGCCTGGTAGAACCTAGAATTTTCAGAATCACAAAAGAGTTTGCTAATCAGTTCTATTCCTTAAAAGCTTTGCGTCGATATTAACTGTTAACCAAAAAAGAAAAAAAAAAAAACAGTGACTTGACTATATATTGAAGTACTAATTAATGACTTGTTTCATTTGTTTATTTATTTATTTCGTTTCCTTTTTCTTTTCTTTGTTTGTCCAAGGATTTAACTTTGGGAGCTGTTTTTGCCAGTGGGAGAAGAGAATTTGGTAAGTTCAGTGTGTACAATCCTGCCAAGAAAGGTGCTGATGGAGGTTTGTAATTTTAAGCAAAATGATGGGAATGAAAACCAGAATACATGCAGTTTTCAACTATTGGCGTTACATGGCAGTGGCACTACAGCTCCAGCCCTTTTGTATTGATTCAACCGCTCAAGAACTTTAATTCAGAAGATCCTTTGTTAATGGATCCTGTTTGTTTGTCTGTCCCCATTTTTGAGGATTGATCCCTGACAATTTTTCTCCCTAAAACTAAACTATGCACGTGATTGATTTTGCTTGTGATTTGTACTTGCAAGTCCATATATATTGTTATTTTAAATTAAAATGTAACGATTTATATATTTATATTACGTAAAATATTTAAATTTATATATTCTAAAATTATATATTATAATTGTATTAATATAAAAATATAAAATATAATTTTAATAAAATTAAAATTATATATAATTGCTATTAAAATTTTAAATCGTCACATTTGTAATTTATTTTTTTATTTTATTTATGTCGTATCAAGTTGAACAAATGTTTAAAATAATAATCTCTCTTAAATAAAAATAAAAATTTTAATTTAATCAATTCTTATAATCATTTCACGCAACTATTTTTTGAATGTAACATATAGCATCAGCAGATCTAAAATTTAAATTTAACACTTTTAATTCTTATTCCTATCCTTATAGTTTATTTTTATATTGAAGCTTCTTTTGTACCAAAAAATCACTACCATGAAACACAATCCAATTGAAAATAAATTGAAAAATAACAGACGTATGGGGAAAAGAACAAACAAAGCCAACATTAACAATGCTATAACTTTGTTTAATAAATTAACTGTTGAGATCCAAGTACTCGTCGGTTATCCTAATTTCTTTGTTTCTCTCCCCTACTAGATTTGAATCAAGTTACATGAACTGTAGTGTCATTAAGTCTCTACAAACCATGCCTCAATACCAAAATTCTTTTATAAATACCTGCAAATGATTGACCACAGCCCATCTCACGACAAATCCAGAAGTTAAACATGTCTTCACTTGAAATAGACATGGCACAAAGTAGTCGAACCAGATGAGAGGAAACATACCCTTTACTTTAATCAATGGCCAACTTGAGGATTTAATACAGAGTCAACAACTGAGACTTGTGATCAATGCCATTGAATATGTAAGTGCCAGACATGGGAACAAACTGTTTTGTTATAAGCTGCAGCAAATACAACATTTGCCATTTAGGGCACCTGTTGTGAGTAACAACTAACTTGAACTATTTAAGATCATTTTCCAATGTCTGCCTCCATGTGGACCATGGAAGCATGAATTTGAAACACATAGCAGACAAAAAGACTAAAATGCTATACCTTGATCACCTCTTGTGATGCAATTCCTCCAATGAAGGCAGCAACTGCATGGAGCTCTGCAGCACCAAATCGGCACATTTCGTTTATAAGGTCCTCCGTCAATGTTAAGCCATTGCAACCCAAATCGTTAAGTAGGCTAACAGCTGTACTTTTTAACCGAGATATATCCTCATCCATTCCACTGCAAAACAATAAATACATAGTTGGCATGCAAAGCTCATGTTGCAAGACCAAACGAAAGAAAAATTAAGATGAGTAAGTTTACCCGTCAAACTGCCCAGGAAAACTGTTGAAATTTGCAGCACAGCAGTCAACAGCTCTTAGAAGAATATAGAATCCCACAGCAATACTGCAACATATAAGCACAAGGCCATAGGTTGTAAGCAAGATATATCATCAAGATTCAAATTGTGAAACAAAACCATAATTTTGCAAATGAAAAATCAATCATAATATATTAAACACAATCGTAAATTAAGGACCAACTTTGTCACCACAATATTACACAGAAGATCAGGCAAATTCACTTAGTTAAGCATTTTATATGATGGATAGAATCTTCAGATTTAGTGTTAACCTGTCACTCATATAAAAGAAAAGTTTCATATATATAAGACAATGCATTTGGTCCAAAACTGATCCAAGAACATTATACTATATTAATATTCTGCAAAAGGAAGAGAGTGGAGATTGGAAGATGCACATAATTTTGACATTTGGAAGCCTCAAAATTTAAGTCACTGCACCTGTAATCTTCATCAGTTAAATACTTCTGCAGCTCAGCAAGGGAAGGATTATTATACTCATCCTCAATGAGGTGATACCTGCAAACCTACAAAGTAATGATCAGAATGCCTTGTTGATGGGCACTAAGTCATAAAGCAATAGATGAATGCAAACTTTTTCTACATAATCAAAACAGGATATCAGCCATTGGTTTGTGCTTCTGAGATTTTGCCCATGTACGCTCAGTAGGCTGAGGGTTTCTCCCACAAAAGGTATGCCTCATTGTGATCTCTTGGGAACCATCAATAGGATGATACATCAGTAACATATTGCCCAACATAAACATAGAGATTCATACATGTGGGATGCTGATAATAAAATTTAATGGCAGAACGAACCAAATTAACAGAAAATAAATGATCAAAATAATCCCAGAACAGCAACTGATCTTTATGCTAGTAAGAATAAAACAAGATTATTTAACAAAATGCATTCAACAAAATACAATATTGGCCAAGAAAACCAAATTACAATAGAGATCCACCAAGGTCTTCCAGAGAATGATACTTTGGGGTATATTATAGGCCCCAAACAGTTTACATACCTTAGTCAGAATCGTGATGAATGATGATATTCATACCATCAGAGTGCTTCTCATATCAATGAGGATAATGAAGTAGATTGAACCATAAAATAGTAAACAGATGCAATTTAACACACTTACTTTGAGTTTTCTTGCATTTTTACAGAAACTTTTTATCGTTGCCTTTGGAATACTATGTGGATCTCTGCCAATTTTCTTTAGAATATCCCTAGCTCGTTGTTCAATGACATGAAAATCAGCCTCAGACTTAGCCTGATAGATCTTCTGCAAGTTTACATAATGCCTGAACAAGAGAATTGATGGAGCAGTTATCCTCGATTTTAGAGAATAAAGAAATATCTAGAAATTTTGTAGGGAATGATCACTAACTCAGTTGAAGATGTCATATCTGGAATCGACCCCTCAAGAGGTACCTCCCCACCACCTTCATTTGCAATGAACTCCTGCATAAGTGCATAATTGTGAGAACTAAATTCGATCACGAGAAACTTAAAGGAGCTTGAATAAATTTAGGTTCAAGGGCAATCATAAGAATTTATAGTGGGATGGACATTGATTAACTATTCAATAATCTTTAAGAAACGGTAAATCGCCAAAGTAATATCACCAAGAATGTAGCATGGAAAATGCAGGTTTAACCTATATCACCAATAATCTTAGGTAGTTGCATGACATAAATAATGAAAATATCATGCCACCAAAACGCAACCCAAAATCACACAACTCTTTTTACTCTCCACTAGCAGCCATGCACGAGACACTTCCCGTAGATGGTGCCACTTAAATGAAGCAATCAGACAATTAAAAGATGACAATTCTTAATTTAAATTATTGAGATGAAATTGCAAACTGAAATTATGTCTAAAATTTTCCCAGCAATATTTGCAGAAAGAGAGATAGTTCTGAGAAACAAATCAGCTACGGAAATAATCTTCACTGGTTAGAAAATGAGAAGCTCACATTAGCCACCATCCGGGATTATTTTCAGAAAGCCCCTAGGGCTTACAACTTAAGCAATAAGTCATTCTATACACGTATAAACTGATGAGCGTTCATTATAAGAAAAAAGATATGAGTGCCATTGTGAACAATTTCATTTCAGTCACAGTAGAATGCATGAGTTAAATAATTAATTGAGCTTATTGCGAGTGCAAGTTAACTTTTAAATCCAACCTTCAAAGCTGCTACCATCACCCAAAAGTTAGAAGAACTAGAATCAACTTCAGCACAGCTATCATTAATTATCCGCTGCAAATCTGAACCTGAGATTAGAAAAAAAAGAAGGGGGCAGGGGGTTAGCCACCAAAGTATAGTTTGATATTCGCAGCTAATACCAACTCAACACAGAAAACCAACTAATAATGAATTTTAAGCATACTGCATGACAATTCCACATAGAAGCTTCATCAAGAAAAGTAAAAAGTATCAAATCATAAAAAGGATACTTTCCCCACTCAATTCTTTTCACATCAATAAGTTCTTTGCCGAAAATTTAGTTGGAAGTAATTTATTAATATGAACAAAGAGCAAGGTGCCTCAAATCTGTTGCCTCGTAAACCTAATGTATGAGACCAAAACCAAATTCAATCCCAGCCAAAAAGTATTGCCGTGGGGCAGTTAGCTGGATTACTTGGTTCAAGGCTGTAGAGTCATGGATCCTTCTATAAACAAACTAAGTTTTTCATTCTATTTCCAGATGAGACAAAGAAGTATCTATAGATATAATTTAACCCTCCAAAAATTTTAATCCATGCTTCTGCTAAGAAAAACTTACTAATTCCTCGCAGAGCAAACACTTTAAAGGAGGCATCAATAGCTTCTTTATAGTTATCTTCATCCATTGCAATCATCCTGGCTTTGAGAAGTTCCTAAAATGTCCACGAAATAAAACTCTCTCACTGACATAAATCAGAAGAAACAAAATCTAACAGATAAAATATGCAGAAATTTGTAAACCTTGAACTCCCTTTTCTCTTCCCTGGTTGATGGAAGAGCACCTCCATGGCTTTTTATCCACTCATCTGCCATCTTCACGAGGATGACAACATATGGTATGTGTTTATGAGCAACAGGGTCTTGCACATTTAGGTCAATAGCTTCTGCAAACCTATTATATGTAAATGCCAGTCAGAACTCTAATTGAGGAAAACAAATGATATAAGCTTGACTTCAAAAAATACTTAAATATTTTGTAAGAGAAAATCAGAGGTAAAAACAGTGAGAAAAAAAAATTATTGGATAAATTACAAAAATTCCTTGAGGATATAGAAAAGGTATAGTTTCATCCTAGTATTATGGAAAATATATACTTAACACATCAACAAGTTAAGTACAATAAAATTGACCGCCAACCATAAGGTGGGTGAGTAAATGGTTTTAGGGAGTTGAATTTTGGCATCTCAAAATACAAAATATAATGGATCTTCTATGTAACCTCAAGGATGTTTTAGCAGTTAAACTGACATCACAAATCCATTATAGTGCAAGCCAATAGCAAATAGAAATGTAAAACCATGCATTGAGAAAGAAATCAGCATAGAATGTTAATTGAAACAAAAAGGAAAATAAAAAATCAGTACCCTCTCAACTCAGGCCATGGGTTATTCAACCGAAGGTCATCTAGAAAATGATCAGGCTTTGACTCAATCACAGTGTGTTCCTGCACAAGAAACACTTGAACATTATTTTAAGACCTTTTTCCTTCATTTGTTGTCTAAAATGCTAAATTCTAAAAAAAAAATCAATAACCATTCATTTCCTCCAGGCCTACATAAAATTCAATTGAAATTCCAGATTTTTCCCTGCTGATATCAAGCTATATTTAAGAGATGTCCATGCCTCCATGGTGAGAAAACTACCTACATATGGGATGAAAGTCCAAACAATGTAAACTATAGCATGTTACCTTCACACTGATCCGAACTAAACCTGTTAGGCCATAGGAGCGAGCAAAAATCAACATCACATTTGCCTGTCTACATATTCTATCAAGCTTCACCATAGACTCTTCCACCAGCTGAAACACCATAGTTAAAAGGAATGATCATAAGATAAAAAAGGAAAGAATCACATGATTCTTTTAAGAAACAAAGCAATGCAAAATAACGAATAAGGAGCTTCTATTTGCACCCCAAGAAATGCTCTTTACACCCCAATTTTTTTATTACAAAAATATCCCTAAAATGAAATTATTTAATTAACCTTTGAAAAATTACCTTTCAGCCCTTTGTACACTCATTTCTACTCCTCTTAAAGTTTTTGGATTTGCATTTCTGGAAGCTTTTAAAAGTTTCCGGATTTGCATTTCCGGAGGCTTTTCGGGTTTGCATTTCTGGTAGCTTTATTTGTATTTAATAAAATCTTCCTGTAGCTTTTAAAAGTTTCCAGATTTGCATTTCCATGTACTTTTACAAGCTTCCAAAAACGCAAATCCGAAAGCTTTTAAAAGCTTCCGAAAACATAAATCCAGAGCCTACGATTTCACACACAAGATTTAACCAAAATTTTACGAAATCAAAGACAAAGTAACCAAAATCAAAGGCAAAAATTAAAAATTGAAGCTTGGTGACTTGATTAACTTCAAAAATTAGTGATTTTAGATTGATTTTTGGGGTTTATAGCTTGAGAGATTAGGGTGAATCAGTTTTTGAGAGGGAAATGGTGTGAGAGGGGTGTGAGGGTGTCTAGGGGAAATGAGATTTAGGGGGCGTTTGGTTCAGGGGAAAGTTAGATTAATGGCCGGAATCTTGCTTTTCGTAATTTGATTCCTTAGTTTGGTTCACAATATCTAATTCCTGAGGTATCCTAAGATTCCCAGTGTCAAAAAGGGAAGGTGATAGCAGTAATAGTGTAATTAGTAATGGAGTGTGAGAGCATTTTTTGGGGTGAAAATAGAAGCTCCCTTATGAATAAATCTATTCCAAATGGTCTTTGCACATATAGCCATCAATAAAACCAGAACTTTTAACGGTGTAAAAATTAAACTTAACAGTTAAGCTCATTGCTGAAAGTAAGTAGTTAAGGAATGGGACGATTGGATACCTGAGTGGCTACAACCACGGTAAATTGAGAAAAGAAAGATGTGTTGGTGTCTATCAAAGCCTGAGGATACTCTTCAATAAACTTAGCTTTAACAGCATCATTTAGCTCCTGGAGGAATGAACAAACACACTTGGCCTTTGACTGACCAAGACTTGACTCATCCACTAATCCAAAAAAACAATACAATATTATTAAAAAAAATGAAGATCAACAAATGGGAAAAAATAAAAGGGGAAAGATTTTAAAACTTACCCATAAAATTGTTTCCAAGGTCACCCAATTCAACCTTAGATCCATCGACAATAGTAATGCTTCCAACACCACCAAGAACAAGATTCTTCAGTGTCTCAGAACCAGTTGGCCCACAATTTAGTAAACATATGCTCGCTTTCTCCAGAGCTGCTTGCCCTTGCTCACCCCAGATCCTGCCATTTTATTAAAGCTTGAATTCTGTTATACTTTTTTTTTTTGTTTGAGAAAATTGTATACAGTTGAGAGGTTCACCTGAGCTGGCGATCGTACTTGGTTTTAGGCTCCATTGTAAACTTGATTGCTTCTTCGCTTCCTTAGTACGCAGCACGCACTGTCGTCTGCGTTTTAAGGACAAAGGCGAGAGGATATTGCCTATTGGCTATTGATTAGTGCGACGGCGACGTTTTGCTTGGCAGACCAAACTATGATAATTTTGATCTTTTCATTATTGGAGATATATATTGAAATTATTGATCGTCTAAAACGGTGTCGCTTGCTGCTTCTCTGAATGAAAGGCCCGTTAAGCTTGGGCTTGGGCTTAGGCTAATGCGCTGGTTGAAAATCCCAAAGACATTTCACTGTGTTTCCTGGCGTAGGACTTAAACAGTGCGAATCAACTCAAGGAGAAGGAGCAGATTATGCCAGTTGATGTTGCAGCTGCAGCACATGTTTGGAGATTGAGAAACCTAACCAAATCTGATTATTCAAGTTATGAGAAAAAGTAAAACAAGTAGATGTATGCATTTTATTTTGGGGTTCGATTGGATTGTGCAGCATTTCCAGTGCGGTAAAATCCATCCTCTTTTTTAAGCTAACTGCACCATGAGGTGCTTTTGGATAGCATTCTCTCATGCAATTACCTTTAATAAATTTGATAATTTGTGTATTTATGTAATATAAAATATTAATATTTATATATTTATATTATATTTTATATAAAAATATAAAATATATATTTTTAATTTTATTAAACTCATAGTTATTATTAAAATTTTAAGTAATATTATTTTTATATTTTATTTTGATATTATATTCTTATCATGTCACTATATTATATTTTATATTATCAAATCTAATCTTCGTTTATCCTCTAATCTATGATTAGAAAAGGAAAATGTTCAATGAACAATTGAATCTTTGAGCAATTAATTATCTTACCGTAAAAATAAAAAATACCATCGTCATCATTACATCTGCTTCATCTCATCTCTACAAGACTTAATTTCATCACTACTATTGTTTTAATCTCATCAAAAACAACATCACCATCCATCCAAATAAACCCTTTACCTTAACAACTTGTTCATTAAAAAATTAAGGATTCCAGGCTTGCTCAAAAATGTGGATAGAAGAGCTTTATGCGTGTAACTTTCTCATAGAAAATGAAAAACTCTTGGTTTTGTTGTATCCATATTAGAAATAATAGAGATTAGAATCAAACTTAAGAACCAAGCATAGCTGACAAACCTGCCTGCCAACCCAGACTAAACTTGGGTCAGCAAGAATCAGATGATGACTGTCCTCTTAGAAACATTGCCAATCCATTTTAATATTACGGATGACAAACTAGTTATCAAGCATTAGTGGCGCTTAGAAAATATCTGCAACGAGGCCCCCGAAAGGACACTTAACCTTGAAACCTGAAAAATAATAGAAAAAGCAAATGGATTAGCAAATCCATTCTTTAGGGAAGGGGAAGGGCTACTGATCCTACTTCCCTGTTTTATGGCACATCCACTGGACTTAAAAGGATTAAATAAAATGATCATAGGAAAACCATTGCCTAGCTGAGAGTGTACTAGGAGAAACTTGATAAAGAATCATTTCAAAACCCCATGAGAATACTTATCTAAATGAACATAGGCAAGATCCTTCAACTTGTGTTCATCTTGCTCTGGAGCTTAAACTCCAGGTTTCTAAACTAAAGCAAACTTGTTCAGAAAATAAACAAGAACAAAGCTCTGATTAACAATTCTTGTATGCCAATGATCTGCAGTTTTAGTAGCAATCCACCTATCAAGCCAAGCACAGAACTACAATTCTGAATACAAAAGACAGTTTAAACAGCTGAGCTAATAAGAACCTGGATGACTCTCTGAGCATCTCCGCCTCAATTCAATAAACTACTCGACCTGCATTTTATAAAGATCTTTAGGCAAATCAATCTAAGTGTCATGAGTGTATACCAACTTATGAAATATTCTTCGCTTTGATCATGTTGGGTCTTATGGTTCTCAAGTTAAAGATAATGTAAACGCTTATATTCTAAGATTAACTTATAAAATATTGTCCACTTTGATCTTGCTAGGTCTCATGGTTCACAAGTTAAAGGTAGTGTAAACCCACGTCAACTTGTGTGCTATTATCCTCTTTGACCATGTTGGGTCTCATGGTTTTGTTGCACTTCACAAGTTGAAAGTAATGTAAACACTTATATTCCAAAACTAACTCTAATACACAACCCATGTGCAATTCATGACTCCTCTCTAAAACCATAACACTAAGTATGTTTACATAACAATGTAGCTAATGAAAGCATTAATGGAGAGCTTAAGACAAGCACAAATGCGGCTAAAGAATTACAGATTTACATGATTCAAACCCTAATGAACACTAACATAATTAAAGAGACTAGTAATAAATTTGATTACCCAATCCATCAAACACTTACCAAACAGATCTTTCATTTTTCATTAATCAATTAAAGCATCAACTAAGATTTAATTTCCTAAAAGAAGATCATAAAACTGTCTACAATTGCAATTAACAGAATCAGAAGGGAAAACTGAGAATTGATTACAACTATTATTAATTTCTTTTATTTTTTTTGTTCAATTAAGCAAGAGTAGAGTAAACAAATCTACAAACTAGGGCTAAAAAGGGGGAAAGAGCTCAAATTCACAGATTAAACTAGTTTCATTCAGTAGTTAACAAATCCACAACCGGATCGGGCAAATCTAAAGCTGACTGTGTTGAATTCAGAAACAGCATTCCTTTGGCCGCGAATAGCTTCTTCCTCTGGAGACACCTGGCGCCGTAGACCCTCCCCGTCGCCGCGAAGCAAGGAAAGCCATCGATGGTTGCAGATAACGGTTGAACGCCGTTATACGGCGGAGATGACGGAGAGATCTGAAAGACGGAACTGGCTCGGTGGGTTCTAGCGCTGATTCGTGAATCCCTGAGCCGAGCTAGGGCCCCGGGTTTGATGTATCTTAGGAAGGGTTCAGATCGAGTCAGGGAATGCCTGGCAAAGGAACGGGTTCTCCGGTTCATGGTTAGAAGCCAAGGGTTAAGCGACAGCGAAAATGGAGGATAGGGCTTGGCGGTTTGGGAGATCAGGGTTGATTTTTAAAGGAGCGAGAGAAAGCGGGAAAAGAAGGGAGGGAATGGGGGTTTTGAAAGAGCAGGATTCTAGCCTCTAGGGCCTATCTAAGGCTACTGATGAGGCCTGATTGGGCTACTGAGATCTGACCCACGTCCTGATTGGGCGAGTCCCGATCCCTAATTTTTATCATATGTGGAGCTATGGTCCACTATTGGTGCACCTGGACCAGGGCTAGCGTCTATTCATAGAAAAAATTCAGACAATAATAATTCTTCATAATAGTTCTTGAAATTTTACGTTAATCTTGGAGAGTAAGAATTATATCGATGAAAATTATTTTAAATAATCCTAAAATAACATTATTGAACTTAAATAAAAATAAAAATAATTAATATAATCTTAAAAAATATGAAATACTTAAATTTTCCTAAGCTATATTCAAATATTATTATTTTTTTATCATGAAAATAACTTGAATCTTATTTTTTGAGTAAGAGCAAAAGAAAATAATCGAATCTAAGTCAATAAGTATTTTGCGATGCTTGACTCTAAATTAGTAATTCAAAGTTAAATTTGAATTTGATTAATTTTATTTTTTTAATTTAAGATGGATTTAAAATAAATTTGGAATTATTTAAATTCATTCATTCAATTTTATAATTTAATAAAAATTTACAAATTTAATTAATTACATTAATTTATATAAAAATTTATATTAATAATTTAATTTATAAAATATAAAAAATTTATATATAATACATAAAATAATAAATTATTTACAAAAGAAAGTAAGGTATTTGCTTTTTATACTTCTTAATAAATAATTTATAATTTAAAGATCAACATATACAGTGGGAAACAGAGGAAAAACGAAAAAAGCAAAGAATCGTCAACGTGTGTTGGTCCATACCTAAAAGATACAATTACAAAAGCTAATGGCGAATCGTACCGTTGATTTGACACCGTTTTCGGAAAGTTCAAAAGCTTTCAAGCATCGGCTACACTTACATGTACCTTCGGCTCACGCCAATTCCCTGCTCAGCCACCGATTTCTTATACGAGAGGAACAATCAAATGGTTTGATAGTAGGATGGAAAAAGTAAAAAATTGATTTGAAATTATAATATTTAATTTAAATTAAATTGATTTTTATTTTATTTAATTTAGATTAAATTTGATTATTAAATGTATATTAAATTTAAATTTTATAATGAGATTTAAAAAGTTTTTAAAAAAATTTATTAATTTTATATATTTTTAAATTTTTTATAAAATAAAAATAATTATATTATAATAAATTTATTTAATTATATTAAAATAATATATAAAAATTAAAAATAATTTAAAAATAATAAACTGAATCAAATAATAAAATTTAATTCAAAATAATTTAAAAATAAATCAAATTTTAAAAATTTATAATATTATATATTTTCAAAAAATCAAATCAAAACTGATTTATTCTCTTTCCCCAGGAAAAGCCGCCACATTGGCGCATTTCCATGGCTCCAAGACAAAAGAAACCTAGAGTTTTCAACGTGGCAGAACCCAATTGGCAAATGAATTAATAACCTTAGACCGGAAAACACATAATTAATCCCATGAATTCCGGAGTCTCCAGCTCTGAACTGGCCAGGTCCGTTCTAGAAAGCGGGCACGCAGCCCTGGGTCTTTCCTATTCCTCTCACTCCCCACACGCCGTTCTCTTTCTCATTCGTTTTTGACAAATTAAAAAAAAAAGCCAGAAATTGCCATGAATTTCTGTTAGGCTCCCTTTATTGATTTTTCACCTTATCTTCTGCTTCCTGCTTACTGCCATTTTTATGTGGATTCGTGTTCGTTAAATTGTGTGATCTTGATCGTTTGACGCCATGTATATAACGGCCTCATCTTCAGCTTCTTCCTCGCTCTTAAGAGCAGCTTCCTCATACTCTCGAACTCGGTTTTTTCCTTCTGCGTTTCGGAATCTTACTTCGACCAATCCGACCTCTCATTCCGTTGTCAACCACTACCGATCTCTTACCTCCGCCGCCGTTCGTTCCTTCCACTGCTTCGTTCCGCGGTGGAGCCACCGTCTCGATTGGAGATCTCCTCTTACCCTCCGCGCTCAGATCAGAGCCGTTAATCCAGTCATTGAACGGTTAGAGAGGAAGTTGGCTACTATGGGTACTGCTTTCCAATACTTTCGGGAGCTTGTTTCTTTTGCTTGATTTTGAATCTGAGTTTAGCTTAAATTCAACTTTTCATTTGCTGAATTTCAGTCAAAGTCTTCTGTTGCTTGATTAGGTTCAATTAGTTAGAAGCCTCAGATTTAAAAATTCAATTATGAAAAGTTTTTTGCTGACTAATAATTAATATACCATTATTAATTTCTGGATCAAAGGAATAATTTGTTTTATGAAATCAATGTAATGATTGTTTAAATGATATAAATAGCACTTTTTTTTTCCAGATTTTAATCATGTTAAGTATTTAAAATTTGATAATTAAATTGTAAATTTATCAGATGGGAATTTTTATTTGTTTAACATGTTATGATTTTCAGCTGCTGAACATCCTTTCAAGGCAGTGTTAACAAGTCTTCCCAAGCCAGGTGGCGGTGAGTTTGGAAAGTTCTACAGCTTGCCTGCCCTCAATGATCCAAGGATTGGTAAATTTTCTCTAACAACTTATTCATATATATATATATATATATATTCACTTGATGATTTTGATATACTACTTCATGCCGGTGTCCAATTTAGTAGTTTCTATTAGTTGTGTGACTGATCATATATTTTCCTTGTTTCTGTTGTACGGGTAATAGATAAACTGCCGTACTCTATCAGAATCTTGCTTGAATCTGCGGTTCGTAATTGTGACAACTTTCAAGTGAAGAAGGAAGATGTTGAGAAAATTATTGATTGGGAAAATACATCACCAAAGCAAGTGGAAATCCCCTTTAAGCCTGCTCGTGTTCTCTTGCAGGTGTTTGATTAATCTATTGTATATATATACATATACTTCTCTACTAAAAACAAATGATGCTTTGTTTTATCTTTAATCTATTCTGCTTTGTTGCCAGGATTTTACTGGAGTGCCAGCTGTGGTCGACCTTGCTTGTATGCGTGATGCTATGAACAAGCTTGGCTCTGATACAAGCAAGATTAATCCTTTGGTGCGTTTGTTGACATCATTTCCATGAATATTTACTGTAAAAAGAGTGCTGAAATATTTTCAACCATTTTTTATTTTATGAGGGATGGCCAGTTTCTAGATGCTATAGGTTAAGATTGCAATCTTTTCATATTTTTGGCTTCATAAGTTATTAAGGTTGTGGATCTTGAGAAAATTTTTATATATCATATTAATTTTCTAGTTGGTATGAAAGCATCTTCAACTGCTTTTTTGTCATGTATTCAGTGTGATTCATCTTTTTTTTATTCCTATCTTTGATCCCGATAGCTGTGCATATGATTTATGGGAAGTTATCTAGAAATTTCTAATTGATATCAGTTAAATAATATGCTCTTTTGATTGCTAAATGTCCTACTATAATGTGCCTGGCTATTGTGCAATAATTTTCTTGTTTACTCTGTCCTTATAGTGTATTGCTGAAAATATCTTGTATTCAGGTTCCGGTAGATCTTGTCATTGATCATTCAGTTCAAGTTGATGTAACAAGATCAGAAAATGCAGTGCAAGCAAATATGGAGCTTGAGTTTCAGAGAAACAAGGAAAGATTTTCTTTCCTTAAGTGGGGATCTTCTGCCTTCCATAATATGCTTGTTGTTCCTCCTGGTTCTGGTATCGTGCATCAGGTATAACTTGGGAACAAAGCGGGATATGCAATAAACACTTTTGACATAATGGTGGACATATCCTTATTGATCTTATGTGTAACAAATCTTTTACTAAGTGATGAACAAATCAGCTTATTTTTTTCATTATGTTGAATTTTTCATGGCCAGTTAATCTATGTGAATATGGTGGCAATGTGACCTGACACTGTAATATTTCAGGTTAATCTTGAATATCTTGGACGGGTTGTGTTCAACACTGATGGCATGCTTTACCCTGATAGTGTGGTTGGAACTGATTCCCATACAACTATGATAGATGGGCTAGGAGTAGCTGGCTGGGGAGTTGGAGGTATCGAGGCTGAGGCAGCCATGCTTGGTCAGGTAGGTAATGCCATAGACCAAGGATATTTTTTCCCCGTGCCTCAATGATTAGTAGAACACAGTTCTTTTCTGTTCAATAACAGTAAATTCATGTTTCTATAGGGCATGCTAAAATTAATAGTTAAAGGTGAACGTGAATGTGAATGTGAAATTTCACTGCAGGGTTGTAAAGTCTCTTTTAACTTAAGTTGCCACATTTTATACTTGTGTGGATGTGATCTTTATCTTGTATTACTTATTTGTAGCCTTTATCTCGTGGCTAAGTATAAATGTGATCTTTATCTTGTATGACTTGTTTGTAGCCTTTATCTCTGGCTATCTTTTAGCTTCTTTCAATTTGCTTTTTATGAGAGTTCTAACCAAATAAGATGAAGGCTATAATTTTGATCATGTACTATATCCAACTGTTCTTATTTTACTTTCTTTAAACAGTAATGAGACTGTTCTTAATTCTTGTTCTTCTCATTCATTTGTTTGAATATACATCTCTATCATTTGTATTGTTTTCTAATTAGTCTATTTTGAAATTGACAGCCCATGAGCATGGTTTTGCCTGGTGTTGTTGGATTCAAGTTATCTGGCAAATTAAGAAATGGTGTGACAGCTACAGATTTGGTTCTCACTGTCACACAAATGCTGAGGAAGCATGGTGTTGTTGGCAAATTTGTTGAGTTTTATGGTAATTACTTTTCATGGGGCTGATCTGAAGTTACTCTTAGTTCCTTAATTGTCTGGCTCCCAAATTCTTTATATAAATTTTTAATTTTGCATAAATTTGTAGGGGATGGTATAGGTGAACTATCATTGGCTGACAGGGCTACCATTGCTAATATGTCTCCTGAGTATGGTGCAACCATGGGATTCTTC